ATTTAATATATAAGCTATGCTAGCGAATTAGCGACTTGGATCTAGGTAATATAGACTTCTCTCGTATATAATCTACGTAATAGTGTCTAGCTCTAACTATCTACCCTCTTAACTTAAATGTATATAGCGTTCGAAATAAGTTAAGTTAAGTTAAGTAGTAGTACCTACTTAACTTAACTCGCTAAGTACGTGAGTTAAGTCAAGTACTACTTGAGTAGTACGGTGTAGGTCGGGCCGAGCATCGGGCGACCGGTCCGACCATTCGGATTTAGCCCGCTCCCCCTCTATATACTATATTTACAAGGTAATAATAGGTTTAACCCCTATTAGTTACTAATTATAGTATACTATTAGAGTATTTAAGTACTACTCGAGTAGTTAAATCTACTACTTAACTTAAACTTAACTAAATCTACTACTTATACTTAACTTAACTTAACTCGAGTAACTCTAAGTAGTACTCGAGTTATTAAGTATAGGCAAACCTGGATATAAGGATATTCTCAGGGGACAGATTTTTAAGGATATAACTAAGGGTATCCTTATAGCGAGGGTCTTAGCATAGGCGACGACAAGGTCGTATATTTAAGTACTAGGAAAATATAACGTAGTACCTAGTAATACTTATATAGTACTAGTACTATACCTAGAATCCTACAAACACTGTTTCTAAGCCCTAGGGTTTTATATAGAGAATATTAGGAGTTTACTTAGAACCCCTTCGATAAGGATAAAAACGAGGATAATTTTGGTACCAAAAAAATTTCGGGACCCAAAAACCTAAGGATTATCCTTACTATAGAGGTATCCTTATAAATTCCACCTAAAAAAATCGGGACCTAGAATATAAGGATATAACCGAGGTTATCCTTATATCCAATATCCTTGTATCCAGGTTTGCCTGTAGTGATTATACGACTTTAATAGCCTCGGGTCGATCACTTTACGACTTCAATGGCCTTTAGCCCTGCAAACTCACTTTTACACCCCTGTTTTGTCCCTGCCCGTGGGCGAAGTCCTGAAAAGTTATTTTCGCAGGCCTGCACTTTGATGCTGCTTTTTCTAGATTCTAAGGACCTCCCACCAGCTCCTACCCAACTTGAAGCTATTCAGAACTTTGGAAGTACTTGTACGTATGTACCTAAGCAAAGAATCTTAGAAGCTCCGTACTATAACTAGCGACCTACTGTGTTTCTAGGGACAAGGGGGCATATCGGCCTGTGGAACACAATATAGGGGCCTTAATTCAGGCGACTTTCTAGCTCAATTGCTAAATACCTAGCCTCTCTAATCTATAATTCGTAAGTTCTGTTATTATATCCGTTGAAGTTATTCGTACTCTGACAGGACAGAAATTTACGGTTTACGCGTATTATACCCACTCTGTTCTAAAAAAGCGGCGGTTTAGCCAAGAGGCCATTAAAGTCGCGGAGTGATCGACCGGAGGCTATTAAAGTCGTATAATCGCCTGTAGTTCTTTCCAACGCTGAATGTATGCTTGCTTTCAGGAACTCTCGGTAACCTAGATAGAAAATCATAAACTTGAAAAGATTAGACGTTGAGAATTGATGGGTATAGCGTTATATTGTTCGCTCCACTAAGCTACCCAGTCCCGGAGGACATATGCCGTTAGCTTATTAGACTACAAATATGCCTTCGAGGTCCAGGTCTGCTCCACCCATTGACGTAAATCATACGCAAGGACTTAAGTACTTCGTGTAGCGGTTAAGCATGGTTACCCCTGCCCCTACCACTGTTACCCCCTTGCCTACAAAGCTCAACTTTGTATTACAGTACCTGAACAAGCTACATTTAAAACGCTGCGTTTTAAATCCAAAACTATTCTTAGATATGAATTTATTATCTTCTCCTTTTGGAGCCGTATTTATCGTGTTATTATTATGTTATAAACCGTTAAAGGTAAGTGACAGGTAACAATACTATACTTGACCACTGTACCTCCGTCTACAACTTTAAAGGGACATTCGTAAATTCGGAGTGTTGTTTGTGTTGTACGAGCTGGTCCTTTTTACTAGTATGACGTACCCGTGAAGTACGAGTTGAGTTCAATGTTCGTATATAGAGTGTACAACTCAAATCTGTATGGAGCACCCTAGATGTAAGACTGTTAGGCGAAACTCTGGTCACAACTTTGGATCCCTATTATACGAGAGTTCCTCGAACAATACACTTGATTATCCTATATCCCGTAGGTTGTTAAAGAAATACTGATTGTAAGCATCTGAAGTCGCTCGCGGAACCATTTTAATTATTGAATAATATCATTTTCTAGCATAGTAGTGTCCAGAGTTGTACCCAACTCTCTTACTTCGTCCCATGCATAATAGACTTTGAAATCCGTTGAGTTCTTACCCTGTACATGTCTATTCCACCGAGAAGTCTCACGTCATCCTACTGGATTTTAAAGTTTGTTATGCATGGGATGATGTATACTTTGAGCCAAACAGACCACAAATCCGAATTATGCTGGGAAAGCAGGTACCCTTTCGTACGTACATGCGCATTCATTTGTTGTATATAATTGACGACCTTCTCAGCCCAAAGTATCTAAGAGAGAAAGCGATCAGGAAGGAACGTGTCCTCTACACCTCAGTCCAATATTATATATTGTCACTCTCAACCAATATACCTACATACCAACCACCACGAGAGAAGCATCATCTACAAATCTGTCCAATCTCACTTCGTCTAATATCATTGATTGTTTTGTTCTTCTCGAACAATATACCAACCCACATACAACCCAGTCCGATCTACAAAGTCGGCTACTCGTCAACATGTTCTTCTGCAAGCACATTATTACTGTCTTTACAGTCTTGCTCGTGGGGGCCGTGCAAGTCCAAGCCCTATTAAATTGCAATGAGGCTACCCAGGATCGCGGTTGTAGGAATGGAAGACTCAACTGTGGTCAAGGTCCCAGTGGCGGAACCAATCTTCTATGCTGTGACGAATGTTAGAGGGTACACTCATCATGCTCGGTTAAAGCTAGATTGAACCCTTGGGTCTGGAGGGAAACTCCATTTGAGAGGAGAGGACCTCTATTCGGGAGGTGAGGTGTTGGATGGGGATTGTATTGTATAGGAAAAGTGGTTCAGCTGTTGGTTGTCTTGTTTGTTTGAAAGATATCGACCGTCCCTACATATGCGTCCTTTCATCGCAGGGGGGGGGAACGGCGAAAGGGGCTGAAATTCAAATTCTGTCCTTTTCAGTCCGGGGATGTCGTCCGCTTCGCTTGGTGGTTTACTGTACATGTAGTGCGCGGAAAGGATACGTCGCGCTGACTTCCTCAGGTATCTGGCTGAGAACATCTTTTCTAGAATGAAAGATCACTTTAATGGAATTGTAATAGTCTCCTGTGCATCGCAATTGAAAAAGGGCCGCTAGTGGAAATGGGGGAAGGTACCTCAGAATTTCGGCGACTGAAGTCGTTCGCGAAAGCCCAATCTTAGTATAAGAGTCTCCGGATCCGAGGGACGAGGAATAAATCCACATCGAGACGAGAGGATATTAAACTAGATTGGCGAAAGCCTTTTGTGAGCTTGTTTCCAGTGTTCGTCAACTGGAAGTCCATTTCATATAAGGTCTAGAATATTCTACTTCCCAACTAAAGAATTTAGAATTCTAGACTGGAATTCGTAATATAACCTTCCCGACTATTTGACTTAGAATGAGGCTTAGTATATAGTAGTATAGTATAAACTAGTATTTATATATGATTATGAATTATTAGTACGTACTCTGTACCTCACATCAAGAGTGTTGTCTTGGGTGGCTAGGTAGGAGCATGTGACCAACAGATTTACTAGTAAACTACTACTAGTTTATTTTCTCCCTATTTCAATTTAAGCTCTCGTATCGGTTCGAAGGCAATGTATCCCTTCCAGATGCGAGAGGTACGTGGAAAACGTGCACGCAAAGTGGATACAATAACTGGGTACAAATGAGGCTCAAATGCTTAGAATGTGGGTTCATATGGATCCAGGACAGCATTAGCGGTACGTCGTGTGTACGCGTAGAGTGCGGGAATTGTGGACACTGTACTCCACTTTGGAGTGCAAGTTTTTCATATACCTCTCGCGTCTGGAAGGGATATATCCTCTGAAATTCCAAACTCCAGAGCCTCAATCTCTAGAATATTCCATGATAGAATGGAATTTGGAATTTCCATGGAACTGGGTTCCATTTACCAAACGGTGATTGTTTCCCAATTCTGTCTTTTTGATTGGGGGACGGACTGGGTATCACAATTGATGTCTTAGTTGGTGCTACTTACTTGTCAGCAAGCAAGCATACGAAGTCGTACCAGATGAAATTAAAGATGCAGATGAATAGAGAAGTGTGTATACTGTACTACACTCTACAGCCTTGTGAACATGACCTGATCTCTTCCGTTACAATATTTAGTTATGAATTCCTAGATACTCTTATTACCATACTTACCTTCTTCCGAGCAATGCAATCACAACGAAATCGAGGTCCGAATATAAAAACACGTGCGAAATACACTCGAGTATTTCAAATCATTATCATTCAGGTAGGATCACACTTCAAACGCTGATTGAAATTCGAAAGTGAATTTCATTTCGATCTTCCGATCCAGAGAAGAGGATTTCGTTGACATAACTCTATGTAGACGTACCGAAGGCAATGACTCAATTTTTAAGTTGCTTGATCTGGGAAATCGTCTATCTTCTACCTCTTTCACCGAAGCCTCTCAAAATGTAACCAAGAACCTCAGTATCTCGAAACGGCGCTTTGAAGTTTGCTCTAGTTTATAGGAATCCCTCCAATATATGCTATACATTGATTTTACGTTTACGTTTACGTTTACCAACCAAAGGATGATGAGGAATAGCTATTTGTTAGTGTATTGATTGTGTCTAAGTCCAGATAGCCAATATTTGACGGACAGTCGTGTGCGTATGTTATCTACGTAGCTTTCAGGTAATTTACTAAGCCCAACCAGAGAAGAAATGTCTTGATAACGTATCAATTATAAGTTAAAACTTCCAAAAAAAGAGTCGATGTAAACTGGTTATACATGCTTCTAAAGCCATGTTCAGCGCCTTTTCCAAAACACGTCCTTCAAGTTATCCCAGAAGCCCAAGTCATACAAGTTCTCCACATCCGCTAACCGCCACACCCTCTCCCACTCCCCAGTCCCAACAAGCTGCTTCGAGGTTTTGGGCGGCAATCCATCCCTAGTCCTAACCACAATTTGTTGACTTTCAGCTGGCCAGGTCGTGTGCATCGATTCAACGCAAGGATCTTTTTGGCGGGCCATGTGAATCGAGCGTTTGAAAGCAAACCCATCGGCCATGTCGTCATTCAAGTCTGACCATTTCATCGATTCATTGGTTGTGGTGCCTGCCCAGATCAAGTAAATGTGGTAGCCGAGTAGTATCCAAATGAGCGGTCCAGTGAGGAAACACATCAGGGTTACTATGCCGATTCGGGTATATTCTTGTAATGCCCAAGCCCAGATGGTGAAGTACTCAGACCAGGTAAAACCTTTCCCGTATATCGTCCAGGATGAGAGATTTGCCAAGATCTCAGCGTCGAGCAGTGAGAACCCAACATAGGTTGCATAGGAAATCAGGGTGGCAGTGAAGAAGAGGAGCAGGAGAAACCAGTGTATGTTGTTGTAGCCAACACAGTTGTTGATGAATATACAATGGTGATCCATTCTTGAGATGCAATGTTTGCAAATTGAGCAGTGCTTTGAACGAGCTGGTTTGAGGAGGCGACACGTGTGGCAGGTATTGCCAGGATCGAATATCGTAAAGTCGTAGGGATAAAGTGACATTTCATGGCTGTGATTCGCTGGTGTAAGGTAGCCAGGATCACTTGCCGCTGATGCGTAGAGTAAAACGTAAGGAAGGATTACGAGAATAGCTCCGATGAACTTTCGAGTGTTGCTCAGAAGCTTCCATGCTGGTGGGAGAAAGAGAATCTCGCAGACTGAGAGAAGCAATATAAAAAATATCTATGGTCTATCAGTTATACTGAGGAGTCGTATGGTAGGAGCAGAATTGACCACCAAATTTGAAGGAAGAAGGGGGTATTATAGCATACCATAACAAGAGGATGTCGATCATTCCAAAGATGGTGAGCAACTTTCGAAGTCCAAAGGCTTATACGTCCCCCGGTCAAAAGCTGATCGACCCTGCCGAAGCCATTCGGTATCTGAATCCACTATAAACCATCATAATTGGAATCAGAAATTATGCAGGAGCATGATGGTTAGGTAGGTGGCAAGGGGATTTGAAATGTGTTCATAAGAGTATCTATTATGCAGTCGTATAAAAACTACCCGTAAGGGTGATATCGGAAAGACACTCACAATTATGCGGTAACAGGTACCAACAGGTGTATTCCTTGAAGAAATGAGTATCAACAAAATCAACGGGTTCAGAGCTCGGGACTAAAGTGTTACCTCAATGCAGGCAGTCTACCAAAGAAGGCCGAAAATACAAGAATTGCGATGAGCAGAACTCCAATTGCAAGTTGCCGTACAAGTCCCATGACGGGATGGATTGATTTTAGGGACAGTGGGATAGTATCATGACCATTCTATAGAGTACTTGGTCATGAGAAGGACGGTGTTGTCCAAAATTGCATCAGTACTCGGATGTACTCGAGTAAGCAAGGGGGGACGTGGTAGGAAAATACTGCCCGGTGTATTTGCCCGGTGTCGCACCTGCCGACGTTTCTCTATCTCAGCGTCGGGTCCACGTCGGCGGGGGTGCCTTCATGCCAAGCCATCATGTGATCGCGCGCAAAGACATCAACGCGTGCATCGTGTTCTAGAAGGACCAAGTTGTACATCGATTCACTCATCTCACCACCGATGCCTCTCTTTCCAACATAAATGCGCCACCTGGTCTAGCGGATTGCTGCGTTCAACGCGATCGCTGACCGCGAAAATACCATTCTTCGCATCGTTCGTTGCGCAGTCGAAATGGCGCAAATTATCTACGAGGGTGTCGCTAGTGGAGGGGATCTTTTCAAAGGCATGAAGTTTTATGTGGTACAGCGGGTGCCTTCGCGGAATCACTGGCTTGCGCTCATCGAGGTAAGGAACTGTTGCTGCTATTCATCTTCACACCATATACTTACAAGGAACAGTCGAATGGTGGAGAAGTTACCAAGACCGACAAAAACATAACCTACGTAATAGCGGACCATATGAGAAAAGATGCGCCTGAGGGATCTGTTTCATGGGCCTGGATTGAAAAATCAGTGAAGAACGGGCGCTTGGAGAACATTGAAGGGCATCGTGCTGGACCCCAAAAAAGAGCCGTTCGAGAAGTTGCGTCAGGGCAGCCAATAAGAGCAGGAAGGGTTCCATTTACTGCAGAAGACGACAGTTTTCTCATGAGTTGGGGTTTGAAGGCTGAGCGTAAAGGCCTGTCTTTGAGAGGAAACGATATCTATAAACAGTTAGAGAAAGTGGTATGTCAAAATTGGACAAGAATCTTGGACACAAAATACTAAACCTCGAAACAAGAACAACAGGCATACTTGGCAGTCGTGGAGAGATCGATGGATAAAACATGTTTCTCTACTACCAAGACAACTAGAGGTGTCTGACGATGATGATGGGCCCGTTCCTCCCCCCACCAGGTATGACAGACACCGATCTTCTCAATCGCCTCCTGCAAGTCGAAAACTCCCAGAGAAAGCTCTACCGAGATCTCGTGCTGCAGAAAAGTCGAATCCAGCAAGAAAAGCTCGGAGCCCATCAGAAATAGATTCTGATGACGGACGTGAGACTTCATACTCTTCCAAAATGACTTCCAGCCGTCGTTCTGCTCCGGAACCAGTCTCAAAGGCACCACAGTCTCTGTCAATAGCTCCTACAGCTGGTAAACCGAAATTCCGAACGCTCAAGTCTGTATCACCCCCAAACTCCCCTGGATCGACTGAAGCAAATCCATTTACAAACAAAGAGAAAAATCGCTGTCTTAAGGAATACGACCACATCATGAATTTAGACGAAAGGGAAGAAATTGATGCATGGAATACCTGGGCCCGGTTAGTGAGTACTCGGATACCATTCTGAAAGTGGTATAATGTGCTGAGAATGTTGACAGTATCCCAAACACACTGCTCAAGAATGGCGTAACTTTTTCGAAGACCATATCATTCCACTGAAAGAGGCAGAGAAATTGGCAGTAGGCGAGGGAGAAGTGCAGAAAGAAAAAAAAGGCGAGCGCGGCCTACTTCAGCACCCGAAAGCGCCTCGAATTCCTGCTTCCCCCGGTCTGGCTTCTCCAAGTTTAGGACCTATAGACGTTATGGAAATCGAGGGTTCCCAAGGAGCATCTGGTGAAACCCCGGACTCTGAGGACCACCCACGCTCAATTGACGACCTCACTGTACCCAACGAGGAAGTCTTTAAACAAATCTCGAAGGTTTCCTTAGAAGAAGATGAGGTGTATAACCACACAATCAATGGCCGAGACTTCTCACTATATCAGTTGTGGCAAGTCGTCTGCAGATATAACGGCTATAAACATGTCACTAATAGTAAATCTTGGAACAAAGTCGCTGCGGATCTCAAATTTGATATATCTCAACATCGAACTGCTCCGGTCGATCTTCGCGAATGCTATGAAAAGAAACTATTGGATTTGGAGCTTCACTTGAGAGAAGCATCTTATCAAACGCTTCAAGACATAAGCCCATCGAAAACGCAACGCCCTGAATTATTGAAAAGCCCGGAGATACAGTATAATCCAGAAGATGGCCCTGATACTGAGGATTACAATGACGATCTTGATTATGCTCCATCAACGGCGAACCAACGGCCAGACCTGATTTCTAACAAGCGCAGATCCGATGATAGTTCTTCGGATAATCGCCACCCTCACAACAAGAAGCGAAGGACTGAGAACGGCAGAAACGAACTCAAAAAGGTTCCATCTACCCCCGAAGACATTATCAATGGTACTCGTACCACGCGGCACCCCGAAACACCATCCCCTTTGAAGCATAAGGCAGATATTGAGAGGTACTCTGATCAAGTAGAAGATGAAGAGGAGGATGACTTTGACAGAACCGCTGTGGAACCTATTTCCTCTGTCCTCCCGCGGAAGATGCAACGATTTGAACCAGAGACGCAGGATTTCCAATTTACACAACCCGGGGAGGTTGACAAAAGCTCTTTGGTTACCACATCGCCTGAGCGAAGTAAAGCAGTTCAGATGAATACCAGTTCAAGTGAGGCCATAGAAGAAGGTTCCGATTCGGATGATAGCTCGACAGACTCCCTCACCGAATCACAAAAGGCCATTGAATTGGAAAACTTTGTGGATCGTTGGGTCAGCTTGGGGTACAACTTCGATCTGGTTATTGAAGCACTGCAAGCTACTTGCGGGTTACAGGAAAAGGGGCCACATGAAATGTTTGAGGTTGTGATAGAGGATTTGACTGAGGGACGTGGGATCCCAGAAAATATCAGGGGCGTATGGACACCTCTTGATGACGAGATATTGGAAGCTGGGAGTAAGGACAGGCGCTATTCAAGGCTGGTGGTGAAGCATGGAAGTAGTGGGGTAATCGGCCGGAACAAGTTTTTGGCAGATGCCAAAGAAAGCGAATTGTAAATAATGCACAAACAAACTTAGCGAGTATTATGAAAACACTTGTTACCATCGATCCCTTGAAGTTGTGATTTGCACACACTCTCTCCTCTCTAAACACTTCGAACTCGTCCCCTTTTCAAAATGAATCCTACAATTCCTCGTTACTCATCTACCACTAGGTATATCAATATATCACGCCGTATGTAGTACTAATTACATCGAGTAGTTCGCTCGTCCAATGTATTGGACTCGTCAAATGGGGTGCGGTACAAGGAGCTAGCCTCGATTGAAAACAGCGTTCTTTGGGAAAACACAAGCGTGATACTGTACTACCATGACCAGATCTTATAAATAACCTTATATTATCAGGCCATGGATGTGGAACAGGCACCGTTACGAAAGCTGGCAAGGATGCCATGCGAGCATGCTCTCCATGGGTGCCAAGGTGGGGCGAGGCGGATTCCAGCTGCTACGCAACCAGTATCTTTCTGGTCGGACAGTTCAGACGCCACCAACTGACGACCGCTCGATTCACCGCCGAATTTGGGCTTCAGACTTGACCTATATCGCCTGATTTTCACTTCACATTCTGCTCCACGTCTCCTGCAGAAATTAAATCATTAATCAAATTCTGGTGAAGTGTACCAAGTGCTCTGTACTGGGCGAAACGTCCGTCCTGTTGACGTCAACCACGTTTACAGATTGCCCCTCCTTGTAATTTCTCCCCCACCGCCGCGCGATCCCTCTCACTTTCAAACTTGATATATCACACGCCAACGCCATTGTTCTATGACATTTCTCTTCAAAAAAGAAAGCGGGAAGAACAAAATGGCTGAACATCCACACTCCTTGCGATCCCGTTTTCTCCAGAATCTCCCAACGACCTCCTCCTCCTCCTCATCCCTCGCCGATATGCGAAACACCGAATCACCAAAGCTTCGAGTCCTCGTCGCCTCGAATGGCCCCAAAGATACTGCACAGGCACTGGCGTTAGTGGTACGACTCTCGAAGAATCCGAAAATTGAAACGCGCGCTATAGTCGACGAAGAATCATACCCTGCTCACCGACTGTCCCAAGAAACACTCACGCTGCAGAATCGGTCATTTAGGTCCTGCAAGGCGACAGATGAAGCGCAGAAAGGTATCGAGAGGTCTCAGGTGGAGTTTTACAGGCAGCAGGCATATGATTTGTGTGACTGGGCGGATATGTTGGTTCTGGCACCGATCGACGCCGACACGTTTGCGAAGATGTTGCACGGCATTACCGATTCTTTTCTGCTCGAAATTCTCCGTGGATGGGATGTTTCGAAGAAGGTACTGCTGGTTCCTGGAATGACAACGTCCATGTGGGAGAATCCAATGACGAAGAAGCAGTTGAGCAAGGTTCGGCGGAAGTGGCAATGGGTTAGGGTTATGCAACCTATCTTATGGCACTATGACGACGATAAAGGCCTCTCGAAACGTTTTGTCGCGTGGGAAGGATTCAATGAGTTGGTGGACATCATAAAGAATCAAGCAGAACTTATGACCATTGGTCACGATGTTGATATTGCTGCTTCAGGTGCAGCTAGTCTGACGAAATATAACACCAAGACTTACGCTCTCCTCCCGCCGGAAATATGGGGTTCTATATTCGAATACGTGGGGGACTGGGAGGTAGCGCAGGCGCTAAATATTTACACGAACCTTCCCGTCCCTCCTGACTGGATTCGTGCGAGAAATGGTCCTAGAGACGAATTACACATTTATATGCGGTCCCTCGAATTGGCTATACTTACTTTACCCATCCCTAAGATCATCGAAAGACTGAAGAATGCGCCGGAAGACATGCAATACCTGTCGAGTCTTTGCGTCAAATTGATTCTAAAATTCTGTCTCACAGACCTCCTCACTTACCTGGAAACTAATTTGAAAGATGTATTCTGGTCATCTTTTGGCCAAAAACTGATCCCTAACAAAACATCCGCGGCATTTGGCCGCACTGAAATCCTTGAATGGTGGCGAACATCACCCACCTTCCTCTCCAAAGACTATACCGAAGAGGCCATTGATGGTGCATCCAAATCTGGATTCGTCCATGTCCTTGACTGGTGGTATCGTTCTGGCCTTCCTCTCAAATACACTGAAACTTCCTTGGAACAAGCTTCCTCTAAAGGACACGTTCTAGTTCTAGAATGGTGGAAGCAAGCATCTCTTCCTCAAGGCTCTTTCCGAGATTCTCCAATACCAGCGGACTCGGAACCATTCACACATTCGGAAACTCGACCTCCTCTTGTACTTCTGCCTGGAAAGGCTCTTTTAGCTGCTGCTCAGAACAACCAACCACATGTACTTCGATGGTGGGACAACTCATCTATTCCGATCGCACATTCAGAGGCGGTAGCTAAAATTGCGTCTGCTCATGGCCATGTCTCGGTTCTGAACACATGGCGAGAATTGAAGGGAACAAAAATAGCGTTCGATCACCGCGTGCTTGTTGAACCTACCAAGAACGGTCATGTGGACGTGCTGGAGTGGTGGCGAGCATTCAGCAGGGAAACAGGCGTGAGGGTCGAATATAAAACCTGCGATATTGAAGAAGCATTAGAGGATAGTGTGGGCAGTGAGGCGGAGGTGGACAGGATCAAGCGATGGTGGGTCACCAATGGGCTGAACCTTGGGGTGCAGGTCAGCGAGTGGACTAAGCTTAAGCTTTTGTGAAATTTGGAATTGGATGATGTGTGTTTTTTGTTGTGTTATGAATGAAGTTTTCCTCTTTTAGTTCTTCTGATGGGTTTAGCGGCATCATTGGCGGCGTGGATTTGGAGTCTTTGGGGTCGAAGCATGGGGGGATGGGCGGGTATGGTATGGTATGGATGGGTAGATTTGAAGAGATTGTATATGGAGGACGAGGAGGAGGTTGTGTAGTGTTTTGGTAAACATAGTATGGAGACTGAATATACATATGACCTCTACCTACCTATGCTGCAATTTGTAACGTTTTGAGAAAAGTTCGTGAGTCTTGACTTGTCACTAATAAGTCAACCGTGGTTTTTGAAGGGCGCAACTTTCGTAATACACTACTCGTATTTTCAACCCTACGACGTACTACACGCATGGTAATGTACTTCTTCCTTTTTCGGCCTCTGACTCTTTGACTTCGAGTCTTAGCAGCACCCCTCTCCGGTCCTTTCTTTATCAATGTAATTATAATCTGTTCTCGAGATGAGTCAAGTAATGGGTATGCTATCTGGTAAAATACAGCACTCTCTGTACTCCGTGAACCGAATTCTTCGATCACAAAGAACAGAACGGGTGTTTTTCTGTAGAAGGTGCCGGAGCTAAAGATCTCGCTTGTGTTGGAGCTTTTTGCTCCTCTTTGAGATCCTTACGTGACCCGGTGATAAGTGTTGTTACTGCCATCTGGGAAACTTCCTTTGAAGTTCTTTAGGGAATAGGAAATAAGACGCTTTTTGGTGCTTGTGAGTTGGATTTAGAGGGCGTGAGGAGAATGGTTGATATGGGGTGGATAAGAGGTTGGAACTTGGAGTGGTGGGCTAAGCGAGGGGGCGGCTTTTTGAATTTTCTTTTTTTCTAGATAGATATGTGTATTGAAGTATGGCTTACCGCTATCAATCTGTGGGAGTTGTGAAAGGAGGGGTGGCTTTGTGGTACTGGGTAATTGAGATTGAGTTGTGGGATAGCTCTATGGGAGGTTATAGAAGAGTAGGTTCAGCGTGGAAAATGAGTTGAGTTGAGTTGAGTTGAGTAGAGTTGGGTTGAGTAGTGGCACCTACTCAACTCACCTCTGAGTAACTCTGAGTAGTACTTGATTTGCTGAGTGGTTTGTTTCCACGCTAACTAGGTTAAACACTTGTTAATGAACTCGTCGCCATCGATATCGTTAATCTTACACTCAACAGATCTGTGAACCCGTCGTTTGTTTGTGAACAGTGGGGTCATTTTTCACAGTAGATCTACTTAGCTTTGGATATTTCTTGAGTGTTACTTGCCTGCTATATTAACAAACGTATTTCTTTCTTTTCGCTTCCTGTGGTGGTTTCAAGTAAGATGATGTACGTTTTCACTTGACAATTGTTTACTCAATAAAGGAGGAATATGGAGAAATTAGTTTAATTATAAACAATTCTATCAGCTTTGCTTAGTACAAGTAGTCCGTCTAGAGTTCTTCCTCGTCGCTAGACAAATACAGCTCGAGACACTCTCTGGGTGCGGCCTCCCAAGTCCAAATCTCGGTAAGATCATCATTCTCCTCAGTGCAAGTATACGTCTTCCTGCGTCAGGTCTTTACCCCACCCAGAGACTCATCAAGGTTGTAAAAGAGATCACGATAGCACAAAATGAATATCGCCCGGCTCATCTTCGTTTGGCCTCTCCTGGCACCACCCACCGCACTCAATGCACATGCGACTTCCAGGCGGCGCCATTCGTTAGAGTTAGGCGGCTTCTTGATCACAGCCGACCACGTCAATTTTCGAACATTGGGACAATTTTCAAGGATTTCGGAGAGGAAATTGTTGATGGGACAGGCATCTGAGCGGCTAATTCTGAAGGTCAGGGCTGTGAGATTGCGCGCTAAATGGATGTTTGGTGGAAGTTGGTCGAGTAAGTTGAGTTTTTGGGGATGTGCAGCACTAACAGCGAAGCTTAAGGATCTGTGGTAAGAATGTGTTATTACTCGTCCCAATTTTGACTTCTGAGAGCAGATCACAAGCGAAGACTTACGATACGTCAAAGTTGATGGACTTGATGGATTTCATGGCCATATCTCCTAGGTTCATGAATGCATTCCAGGAGGCTTCGTCGTGTACGAGGGGACTCTTGGACCAGAAAACATTAAGGGCTTCTTGGTAGAGATTTGGGCTTGGTCGGAGTGCTTCAATAAGCGCACAGTTGTTCTCTTTGAGTGTCTGGTCGTCTGGATACTCGCCTTTCCCGTCTGTGAATGTGACCAGGGAATGCTCAAAGATCATCTTTCGGATTTCTACTGGGTAGGCACGCAGGGTACAGTGACAGGTTTTGGCGATCGCCTGGTCGTCGTTAGCTTGCTGATTGTCGGTGGGTTGGGAATAGAGAGACTGGATGTGGAGTTTTGGGGATACCTTGGGTTCTTGAATTTTGTCGTTGGTCTCCATGTTTGCTTTCTTCTCAATACCATCAGGTAGAGATGCACCAGATGGGAAAGATATATCGTTGATGGGGTTGCGAAAAGGAAGCCCTGAGACTGCGGGAGGTGGTGGGGAAAGGTGGGTAAGGTCGGCGAAGATGGTCGGCGGAAATGGTATAGCTTAATAGAAAACATGCATGGTGAATGGGGGGTATAAGTTTGCTGAGGCTTGTTTAAATCATGTGTATACAGAATGCTAGCTAAGCTATTCACCAATCATAGGTTCCGTCAAACCTGTTTAGACCAGTTTAGACTTCACTGAATCTCTCTTTGTAAGATTTTCAACTAGAGTACTCATAGAGGCCTTTATCAAGGTACAATTTGCTGACTCCATAGTCAGTGAATATAAATACCACACTCTGATGTTACATAATTCACGTGGATAATGGTTTGCTTTTGCTCATACTCAGGTTCATGTAGGAGGTGGAGATATATTGTTTGGGACAAACAGCCCCTGGGGCACTTGTGAAGCTATTCGCACCGTCATCAAGTGGAGCCCAGGCTGCCAGACGAAGGCTGTGCCCAAGTAATGTGTGAGATTTATATTGAGAGATTGGTTTGATGCTTGTAGTTGTAAATTGTTGGTTTTGACTCATGAGTTTGTATTGTAGTGAGCGTTTGGTTTGTAGTGAGCGTTTGATTTGCAGTGAGATTTTGGTTTGTATTGAGAATTGTAAAGCTTTTTTAAGGAAAAACGCCTCTTGCAAATTTACAACAACAACCAGCCACCGTAGTGTCATGAAAGCTTCTGGCTAAAGACTTCTTGCTAGAATTCAAGTCCAAGGTGAATAGCTTGAATTCACATGCCTAACATATGACTGCGTTACTTTGCTCCGCTCTTTTAGTACTAGCGTACTGTGCTCTCTAGCATAACTATTGACTAGTATATCCAGAGAATAGATCTTCTACCCTGAACACCATCTGACCAACACACTTCATCAACCACTTTCAATAATAACGCTATTCTGCCAAGGAATGATAACTATATCAAGACTCTCAAAGAGGTCTTTCAAGGGTACAGTGTTCCCCACAGTACAAACCCATGAAAGAACCATCAAAGCTAATAGCCATCAAGATGACTTTAAACGACCCAGCAAAGAGCGATACCCTCTACAGCCTTCCATTGGAACTCAGACAGCAGATTTTTGAGGAATGTCTTAATACAAACCTCGCCACACAAGAATACCACAAGAACAAACAACACAAATCTCTTAGCCTGCTTGTCGCTCTTCGTGCTGATCGCAGTCATATACTCTATGACGACGCACTCTATGTCTTCTATAAGCGAAACCGAGTCTATATCACACTCTCATGGTCAACAGTCAGAAAGTCCCATGTTTGGTACAAGCCCACAGAGACTGCGGCGAGCTATGTAAGACATCATGGTATATATTTTAGTCAAGACTTAGTGTATGTTCCATCCCCATGAATGCTTTTGACCTGGTTCCATATTCTTGATGTGCTAACTATATTGCGTACAGAGAATCAAACGAGCGTAATCTGATGGATTTCTCGCAACTCCCCCAACCACTCTTCAGCCATCTCACGAACCTCGAAACTTTCCAATTCAGCGTCGGTCGTCAATTAATATACCCTTGTCCCAAACATTTCCTCAAGCAACCCTTCCTCTGCTACATCCTGGAGAAGTTCTTCGGAGCAGGATGCAAGAAGTTAAGAAGAGTGAGCGTGGAGTACAAGATCCACCGACAAGAGTGGGTCACTACGAATTTCATCCGTCGTCCCTCGGAGATCGCTGCAGATATCAAACGTAGGGAGGAGGAGAGAGACGATCCGGATTCGTTTGAGTTCATGAAAGCAGCTTTGCACATGGAAGGCGAAAAGTGCTGGATTTCGGAGGAACGGAGCGAGGAACTGACCTAGGTACACCTAGTTTATTATTGGGATGCTGGAGTAGGGGAGGTGCTTGATTTTGATGCGGAGGCTATTGAGAACGCTTTTGTGAGCTTGGAGGGAAAAATGCTGTGGATGAGGATATTCTGATGACACTCCTTTCATTGATTTGGATTGGGACTAAGGCTGGCGGGTTTATGAGGATGGGCATTTGGTAAAAGGGGCTCTGCTTTGGCTTGCGCTGGTTCTGACGTGGGAATGATCGGGTGTGAAGGGATATCTCAGTCACTTGTTGTGGCTCAATGTACTGAAGGAATTTTTGAGAGACCTGGTTCCTAGGTGGCTTTTCACCTACATTAATAAATGCACTTCTTGACCTACCATACTCTCAGCTCACGAAATCTTGTATTAATGATGTCTAAGATGGATGTAACCTGTAGTCTACATTCTACATTCTACAACTGTAGCCTCCATTGTCCCAAAATTAAGCGAATAATTATTCGCTGAACAAAAATCACACGAAACGTCAAAGTGATACCTTATAAGGCATTAATTTTTCTGTATGCCTTCGTAACTTATTCCACCTCATTTTGTAAATATGTATCTTGTTGGATTTAGCTAGGATGAGAATCTTTGTATTTCCATCGCTTTTCACTCTTTTGACTCACTAGACATATTAGCGATATAGACTACGTATGAGACAGGACGATCATAGTTCCTGGCTAGAAAGAAAATTGCTTGCTTTTGATAACGTTACATCTTGCGTGATTGATTAGAGGAAAGTTTGAATCTTTTCTTCTAAATACAGGTAGACTGACTAAAACACGCGAACAACTCATTTCAGTTCCAAAGCAGATACCGCCAATAGCTAGGACCGCCAACAAATACATTCTTTGAATCATTGCCTCGAGTCAACAAGGTGTCTGTCTACGGACAATCTAAGAATCTAAATTTCAACTCTCTATCCTCAAATCTTAGCCTCACCACCACCACCACCTCTCTTCGCAAGATTCCTCTCCAACCCAACCGCAAAAGTAACATGATGGGATACAGCAACAAGATCGCCAGAAGCATCTTTGATAGTGACTTCAACGTCCAACCTTCCATTTTTAATCTGCTTCGATTCCGCACGTACGAAAAGCCACTCAACGCCTTTGGCAGGCAGTGTTTTTTTGAAATCTATGTTGAGAAGCAAGGTTGGGTACCACTAATAATGAAGAGAGGATGTTAGAGAATGGAAGGATGGGGTTGGAGGGGTTTGTACAGTACATACCATTGTTCCGATGTCCTTGGAATCTGTTTTGCGGTTTGCGGCGGCTTCGGGGGTGATGTCGTAGGGATTTTCAGTATGTCGTAGAGCCTCGACGGATATCTTTGAGGGTAAGCATCAAAATGAGTTCTTATATAAATGTCATCTATATATATATATATATGGAATTTAGGATGGGTCTGACTGGAACTTACTGGCCATGCATCAGACAAGAATCCCAACGAATGATTTGTCCACTTCTCGCCTCTCCTCAACCTAACCCACTGATCCGCACAAGTCCTACTCTTCTGACCATCTCGAGGAAAGTAAAACTCCATATTCTCAAGTGCTTTTCTGAATTGCTTGTAAGGCATGTTATCTTGACGACGCCAATTCTTATCTTCATTCCGAGACAATTGGTCAAACGAGACTGCAATTGGTTCTGGATTCAATCTGTAAGTAGTGGGATAGGTTGCTCCGGTCTCGGTATGCATATTAGAGTTGGTGATGACAGCCAATGTTTCTTCTCGTCCATTTTCTAGAGTGTGTCAGTATGTATTCTCATTGTTGAAATCTCAGCTAGGAACGAAGATGAAAGCTACTTACGAGTGAGGGCTATATGAATGACAGATGCTTGCCGGCCAATCTTCGTATCTTTTACTGTGAAAAGCGCTGGGCCAACCTCAGTTCTTCTCAAGAAGTCGACATGAAGGGCTGTCGTGTGAGGTTGATTTTGCGCGGCAAGCGTAGTGTTGAAATGAGTGGCCGCTACTTGGAGGAAGCAAGCAGTAACATAGCCACCATGTGGAACTGCATATGGATTAGTCCTGAGCTTTGAGAGGATTAGAGTTGGACTTACCAGAGTAGATGCACCAGTTCTTGTGGAAGTAGGCTTCATAGGTATGTGACGAGAGTGCTTTGACAAGGGTTGCCTCTTGGAAGATTTTGTTATCGAATGGCGAGTCCATGGCTTTCTTGCTCAGAGATACTGCATCAAAGACCAAGGTTTCGAAACAGAAGTTGCAAGAGTTGTAGTAGCCAAGCTCTTCGAAAACTGAAGTCCCAGATGGGAATATTCCGGTGCGATTTCTATGCTTAGGAGGTGAATCCGTGGTCAATCTAAGCTCTATTTTTCGCTTCCTGACCTTGAATTCGATCTATGACCCGATATGTCATCAATAGAAGTAGTATTTGAGACTCGACCGACTTGATGTTCTAAAGCGCCAGTCTTCTGGAGGGAGTACGAGTAGATGTTGTTGTGGCGTAGCCCCTCTCGTCGCCTACTAGCCGTACCGAGGCTTGGAAAGCGCTTATCGATTGCGATTTAGACATACTGATACAGTACTTACGTAGGCGTTTAGGGTAGGGTTTTGTTTAGTGCTAGCGCTTTACAAACTATTTTAAACAATTATTGATATTTTGACAAATGGCACAGACCAACCAATTTTATAGTTTGCGTACAATAGAAGTGCATTGTACTACCTCAGGGCCACTTCCCGCGTTTGCTTATGAAGCCAAGCTACTCTACAGTAGATTGCTGAACAGAAGAGATGTACTGCGAGATTGCAAGTAGGCTATCCATTAATGGAAGCGAGTTCAACATAACAACTAGTGATATACAAAGTACTTGTATTATCATTCGTCTATATAATTGTGGAATACAATACGTGCCCTTCTAGAGGGTTTTTCTTCTTTTGGATAAGGACCATTCAATGAAGCAGACAAATAGGTAACAATATAGAATCCCGTGGTCTACCCTCATTCTGTGACATTGCATAAGGGTATCCCACATGCACAGGCGGTGTCCCTGGTGAGCTACCTATGCTATGAATCACACGCTAGAATCAGCGTCTCCTTCCAGAATACGAAATAGAGGCGAACGGTACGTCAGCGGGTGATACGTAGGTGTTGTCAGGCAAGGTACAAAACGCAAAAACCAAGGGGTGCCTGGAATGGCTGGTCTAGGTCTGTAGGTAGCTACCGCAGCGTTGTACTAAACTGGTACTGGTACTGGTAGGTACTGGTGGCACCTTGGCTTGGTATTTCTGCTCTTGACTTGGGAGGTAATATCAAGACCAGTCAGTGTGAGTAGTATGGGATGGGTATCTGTGAATGGGCTTAGCGAATGACGGGGTTTATAAAGTTCTGAATAAATACATGTATATACACACTTAAATGTATAGATTAATTCGCCATCTTACTGGTGGTTACGACCGGCCTGGCTCGCTCCAACATCGCCAACATGCCAGGCAGACCCTCGTGTCTCAAAAAACTCTCCAAGTAAAGGAAATAAAGGTGTCAACAGAAACTGAAAGAAATCGGATGGTGTGGCATCTGGATTTTCGCACCCCTTCACTTCGCATACGTCAAATTACATGTATGCTGGCTGACGCATCCCTCTGTTTGGTGGAGGGAGATGCTCTGAAACACTGTTGCACTCCAGCCTGTGTGATTGTCTGCAGGCCTCGTCCTTTCTGCGGATCTCGAAGCGAGAAACCATCAGGCGTACTTGCTACTCTACTGTACGCTCCGTACCTACTGTACTGTACCCTACGCACTGTACAGCACCCACTGCAAGTACTCCGTACACAGGCTGTGCAGTCCCCTACCACTACCAGTACCACGCCAACCCTGCATCCATCCCAAGTCAACTCCAAACTCAACCATTCCCTCTCGCCTGAACATAACATTGGATAAGCATTCTTTCAACATACACCTAGATGCTATTGATTCCCAACCCGACAGCGCTCGATCGCACCTCCACCAGAGCACTCCCGCGCCCTCCTCTCAACAAGATTCAACCCTAAGCGCGTAGTGGGGTAACTAGCAGAGATGGGCCAGGTATCAAGCAGGCCTGAAGAGGTTGCAGCTCTCTATCTCAGGGACCAGACTCGATGTAAGCTTGCATATGCTCAAGGGGAATGAGGAAGTGGCCGCAGATGCTAATTCTTCTCTTTCAGTGTCAATTTCCTCGTTGAAGGTCACAAATTCCCGCAGACAGACCGTCCTGAGGGTACTCCCGGACGCCTTTCCAGCCTCGAGAGTCTCCGCTGTCCGTGATATGGGAGATAGTAGTGTGGTGGAATACGTGCAGGTATATTATTAGCCATCTCGACCTCAGCGCGAATGCTGTTGCCAATTCGTACTGACTTGTTGGACTCAGGACCCCGAACCATCTCAATCACCAGGACCGAATTTTCTCCTCAAGCTCAACAACGACGAAGAACTCAACTTTACTTTCACATTCGTAATCCGGCAGACACCGTCTGGCGCCACTCCCAATACGCCAGCTAGTGTGGTTGATACTATTATCAATGGCCTTACATACGTTTCAGCATCTACACCCAAAGAGGTTGAGACTCTCGTCACTCGAGAGTTCCACGCCGATCCAAACTTACACAAGAACGCAAATGTACAATTAGTGGGAGACTATGCGACCGGGGGAAGCCAGTCAGTCTCATTCGAGTGGTCATGGAAATGGAGACCGCCGAAGCCATCAGAGGACCGAGGAGGCGGTTGGAGAAATAATTGCAGTGTACGTTTCATATCAATTACCACACGATGTTTACTGACTGCACATAGTTTGTCGAATACGATCAAAGGGCACATCGCTTGAATACTCTTGCCAGTTTCTCGTTCTGGGTTTCAAGCAGTACTTTTTCCACTCCCAGTCACTGGGATGTTACTAAATTTCAATTAGACCAGTACCTCAGCCAACCGAGCTCACCCTCACCACCGCCCTTCCACCTCGTTCCACCGCCCAAACTACGACTGCCTTCATCACAATCAATGGATTCAAGAGTTAGTGGCGCCGAGGCGCGCGAGTACGAGGAGCCACCATCCCCAGGAATGCCACCTACCGAACCCTTGCTTGGCCCACCTCTTGCAAAAGACTTGGTGAAGGTGGATGTCTCCTGCCAACGACCCGGTGAGGATATTACAGCCACGGATGACAGTCCATTGTTCCGCGCTACTATGAAAGCCTTGGAGCAGAAAACTGGAGCAATGCGACAGCGAATGAAGAAAGTTTTGAGAAAAGCAGAGGCTGCACACTTGGCGCAAATCGAATGCAATGATGCTATTTCCGGATTCATGGACGCACTACGAGAAGCGGGATCGTCCAATGCTAATGCAGTTCAGCCTGCTTTAGACCACTACTTTGATAAAATAGCCCGTGAGATTCTGCAGTACGAGAAGCAAAATACGAACAACCTTCAAAGGATCATTATTGATCCGCTGAATAAATTATACAACATCGATATTAAGCAGGCAGAAGCTAAGAAGCGAGACTTTGAAGAAGAAAGCAAGGACTACTACGCTTATGTGTCTCGTTATCTGGGTCAGCGACAGGATTCGCTGAAACAGAAAAAACGAGCTGAGAGTGATACCAAATATCAGACCAAGCGCAGGAATTTTGAGTTGAAGAGATTCGACTACTCTTCATTCATGCAGGATCTCCATGGTGGCCGCAAGGAGCAGGAAGTATTGTCACATCTGACAAAGTTTGCAGATGCTCAAACTAAAAGCTATCTTGCGACAGCAAAGAAGGTTGAGGCCTTATTACCTCAGCTCCATGCTCTGAGTGCTGAAGTCCAAGAGGCCGACAAGGAATTTCAATATCAACGGACTGAACGCGAAGAAAAGCGTCGAAATCTGGAGAAAAGTACAACTACTTATGTGGAGCCGGACACAATTCCCGCTGTTGGCATTATCCCCCCAACCCCTAGCGCCAATCCTGGCTCTGCTTCCAATGCCCTTGGTCGATCAGATAGCACTGCTTCAACACTTAGAACAGTCTCAACAAATGGTGGATCATCTATGGCAAATGCTTTGAGCAACAATGGTGGAACTGATCTTTCACGGTCTCCGGGTATCACTTCCAATGTTGGCTCAATCGGTAGCCCCGGGGCAAACTCGAAGTTCAGAGGAATTCGAGATCTCGAAGAAAGAGATTATTCTCAAGCGTCGACGGGCAAAAGTGATACACTGAGAAAGGAAGGCTTACTATGGGCACTGAGTAAACCAGGGAGTCATGCAGACCCTAGAGGCCTTAATAAGCAGGCCTGGCACAAGTAAGTGGATGCATCTGCCCTTACAAGTTTTGTACTAACTCTACATAGATTCTGGATTGTACTCGACGCTGGTAAATTATCCGAATACAGCAACTGGAAACAGAAGCTTGATTTGCATATGGATCCAATTGATCTCCGAATGGCTTCCGTACGTGAAGCACGAAATGCAGAGCGAAGATTTTGCTTTGAAACCATCACCCCCCATTTCAAGCGAGTCTACCAAGCACCCTCCGAGGCAGATCTGAACGACTGGATATCTGCGATCAACAATGCAATTCAGAGCGCAGTTGAAGGTCGAGACGCAAATTCAGCCTCGTCGCAGGCACCCCCAACAACTGAACATCACTCCATTCGCAGAGATATTGGCTCAATCCTGACTGGAAAGAGCTCATCTATGAACCATGGTCATAATAATCCCACAACTAACGCATCGGCAAACAGCGTGTTCCGCCGAACTACTGTGGGTGCGAGACCAGCATACTCACGCAACGGCAGCGGTGGGTATGACGAAAGCCCAGATAAACTCCTTCAGGTTCTGCGAGAAGCAGATCAGGGCAATTGTTGGTGTGCTGATTGTGGCTCTGGAGTCAAAACGGAATGGGTATCCATCAATCTTGCCATTATTCTTTGCATCGAGTGCAGCGGGATTCATCGGTCACTTGGTACTCATATCAGCAAGGTCCGATCACTCACACTTGATATCAATTCTTTCACTACCGATCTTGTGGAGCTTCTTCTACTTGTTGGAAATCGAGTTTCAAACATGGTCTGGGAGGCAAACTTGGATCCAGCCAATAAACCCACACCGCAGGCTACCCGCGAGGAAAGACTTAAATTCATTACGGCAAAATATGTTGATAAGGCTTATGTTGAACCTATATCCTCGACGTTGTCACGATATGGTACACCAGACGATACCTTATTGGCTGGTATCAAGAAGAATGACATACAGCAAGTCATCTATGCTCTTGCTCTCAAAGCCAACCCCAATGTCACGGACAAATCGCGGGGTACTCACTCGGTATTTTTAGCATTGGCGGCTGCGGATCCGGCATCTCCTTCGCCCGTTGCTACTCCCTCACGACCAGAGACAGCCAGTAAACCATCGGCATTCCCCATTGCGGAGATGCTTGTTCAAAATGGAGCTGAAATTCCAATGAAATTGCCAGCCTTCCCTCTGAGCCGAAGTGCTGCATTATATATCGAACAGAAGAGTGCTCGAAATGTACCAGCTATGGATACCGTGCCGTCGTTGCCCCCATCGGTTGGAGATAAGCAGAAGGAGCGCGAGGCCAGGTTGCAGAAGAGAGTTAGTGCGGGTGGACGACTTGCGAAAGCACCGATTCCTGAACGAGGATAACTACAGATATTGATGGGCTAATGATTGATGTGATGATTGGAGATACCATTGGGAAACCTCGCATTGCTGGCGTATGAAATGTTGTTTTTACCGTAACTTGGGTTGCATTGCCTAGGGGAAGAGATTTTCCGATGTGGTTTCATATTCTTCTTGCTGATGGCAGCGTGTGTAACTCTGAGGAAGAGTGGTACAAACAAAACTCCCGTCCTTTGGGGAGGCGCGAATTGGAAATAGTTATGCGTAGGTATGGAAGGAGACTGATGGAGAGTGATGATAATAATTAATGAGATAAGGTTCTGGGTCAATGATAGTCTGAGTTTATCCGTCTTCTGGACTTACTTGATATGGTTGTTGGTTGTTGACTGTCAAAGAGAGATTTGAATACGTAGCAATATCCAAAGCACCATATTCCCTTACTCGTTAAGAGTACCGAGTAGGTAAGCAAGCGAGGCAAGTCAAAGTAAGTACGAGTACTGGTACCAGTACTCGAGTACTTGGAAAGTAAATACAGCTTCGACCAGTATCAGATCATAGCTCGTAGGGCGAATCTGCAGAGTGACATCATGTAGAGGGACTGTTTCTGCTGTCTGGAGGTGGAGAAGCTGGCTCTTTGACCATTCAGGCATCAGGTAAGCTTATCCAAGGCAATGACGGGAGCAATACCCGTGCGGTTGATGCGATGCGATGCGATGCACTGTCTGCACTGTCTGCACTGTCTGCACTGCACTGCTGCACTCTTGAACAATAATTCGTCCCCCCAACTGAATTGCAAATATTGTATTCGTTGATCGTCAAGAAACCCTTCCCCTTCCTTGCAGTAGCCAAGCACGGTGACAGTACAAAGGATCCACTGTTCTTCACGCACACGACCTCAATTGGAGCAGACGGGGCGACTGCATCGGTTAAGCTCTTGGCAAGAAAGCTTGTCTATTGGATCTTCGGGCTGTCTGTGGTTCTCTTCACTCGAGGGTCTCTCAGGGTTTCCTTGGCCTGCCTCCTTCACTGCCACTCGGCCGAGTTAAGCTTCTCAACTCCACACCAACGTGTATACGTTCCGTACATGCTCACGGAGCTCCCGATAACCTTAAAGATAGAGAAAGTTGGACCACTTCGACGTTGGATTCTGGAATAACTGCGTATCTCCACTTCAAGTCTTGAAAGCGCATGTTTTGCGAATTTCACACGCTGATTTCCGGATTTGCAAAGCTTGTGTGCTAGTGCGGTGCAGTACCTACGTAACCCTGTTTGGCTTCCGATTATCCGAGTGCTCGTACTTTCTCAGATCCCCGCCATCGCAATTTGATTCACCGTCGCAATCGCAACCAGCTACCAGCAACCATCCTCCTCCACCCGCTCTTTTACACAATTATACTACGCCGTACATCTCATCGTTGCCATAATATCCCCGCGATAGCAATTGCCAAATTTCAACAGCCCTCGATTCGATTATTTGCCGTCGCAAACTCGAGCTGAGCTGAGCGCAAGCATCAGCAATCAACACCACTCTAAGAATCAACAACAATGTCCCAAGAAAAACTAGCCCCGCCCCCCGAGACCAATGGCGCCGTCGACGATACAAACCATGCGCCGACTGGCATAACCGAAAAAGAAGAGAAACCACAACATGGAAAGGTTGGCGCAACCAAAGAAAAACTGAGCAACAAGCAACAAAAGCTCAAGGATGAGAAACATCCTGCAGGAGGCTACGACAAAACACCCATTCCACCAGCTCGCGATGGCTATACGGTCAAGTTTACCTTCCACCGCGCGGAGAATCTGCCCGTGGCGGATCTGAATTCTCGTTCTTCGGATCCTTATATTCATGCCACTTTGACCTCTGCTCTGCAAAAGAGGCATAAGGAGGACCCAGATCTGATCTTGAGGACTCCTACCATACATAAAAATACGGACCCGGAGTGGAATACTGAATGGATTGTAGGAGGAGTCCCTTCGAGTGGGTTCAGATTAAAATGCAGAATATATGATGAGGATCCTTCCGACCACGACGATAGACTTGGTAATGTTACTATCTCTGTTGGAAGAATCGGGTTGGATTGGCAAGGAATACACGAGGAGCAGTTTGATATTAAGAAGCGAATGGGCAGTAAGAGAGCGTACTCGCTCCGAGCCTGTGCTGTTCTGCTGAGTAGCGTTAATATGAGCGGACATTTATACCTAAGTGCTGAGGTTATTGGTGAAACAGAACCTCCTCACGGACGAATGTATACCATTGGAGAGACTTCGTGGGTCAAGCATTTTTCGCCAATGATAGGCAGACTTACTGGCACCAAGGCTCCAGGAACTGACGAGGCTGGGGGAGAATCTAAGACGCAAAGATACGAGTGAGTTTTGTCAGTGAAATGAGTAGGAAACAAAAACTAACCCCAACAGTTTCCAAGCAAATCAATTTCAATTACAAGGTCCAGTACCTTCGGAATTATATCACCGCTTTGTAGAATTCAAGCCCTTTGTGAAAGGCATGTTTTCGAAAGCTGGTGTTCGAGGACGAATTCTAAATCGAGCACTTCATCATCAACATGCTTCAGTCTATAACTTTAGTAATTCTACCGAATATGGAACTGTAAAACCTCGTTCCGAAGAAGCATCTCTTCAGTTTCTCAAAATGGTACATTTTGACGAAGGCGGTCGTATCTTTACCTATGTATTGACGCTTGATGGACTGCTCCGATTCACCGAAACAGGCAAAGAATTTGGAATCGACCTTCTATCTAAACATACCATGCACAGCGATGTAAACGTTTACATAGCCTGCTCGGGAGAATTCTTCGTCCGCCGTCTCAAACACCCTAAACGGCCCGCCGAGGACCTGTCACAGGAAAGCCATCCAGATGCCGACCTCAAAGGTGGACCACCACATACCGATCCTCCTAAAGACCCCAAGAACTACGAACTAGTGATCGACAACGACTCCGGTACCTACCGACCTGATGGCTCCCTTCTTCCTCTGCTCAAGGATTTCCTAGATTTGAATTTCCCTGGTCTCCATGTTGTCACGAAGGAGTGCACGCATGAGAAACTTGGGAAGTGGAAGGAGGGACAGAGGGAGAAGAAGAAGGCCGAGGGCAAGAATATTACGATGGTACAGAATTCGGATGATGAGATTAGTAGTTCGGACGAGGAGGGGCTGGAGGATCACATTAATACCAAGAAGAGTGGGAAGGAGAAGTTATTCCATGCGTTGGAGAATCCCAAGGAGGCGGCGAGGGAGATGATGCCTGGAGGACATCATAAGGAGGGGAACGGGGAGGGGAGTAGGGCGTAGGTGATAATTGGGTTGGTTATGTTTGGGTGGTTATGGTTGAAGATTTATGGTGGAACGCCGTTTAACGATTTTATTTCAAGATGGAAGGAGCATTTCGGGATTTTTTTGGCGCGTGGGTTGGTCGTTTTTCTGCATTTACGTCTTTGGGCTTTTCTTTCTTGGTGTTTTCATTTGGGGTTGGCCAAGGTTTTTGGGGTTCTATTTAATGGCGGTTTATACTTCTTTGCGATACTTAAGTTAATTGTCTAGGCGGATGATTGGAAGATGGAAGATGGGGGATGGGGTAGAGGATGGGAAGGATGTATGCACCTACCTAGATTGTATAAATCCACTTCTGCTTAATGATATCAAAGGTATTTTATTTAAGATGTTGGGAACAATTGGTATGCTTGGGTTACATGCCTAGAGCTCTTTGATTATGCTACTACTTTAATATCCCAAGCTTTGTATAGATACCGTCACGATCAGTGAACCGTGCTGTATCTACGTACCTACGTATAGTAGGGGAGATACGAGTAGTACAGTATGAAGGTAGATAGATAGTACAACAGCATCCCACTTTACACCAACCACCTTCCCCATTTCCGGGTATCCGTTATCTAACCTATCTAACCTATCGAACCTATCGAACTATATGAATACCTTACCATACCATACCTTACCTATCAAAGCAAAAAAAGAGAGTTTTATGGGTGTAAGATACGGAGTATATCCTGGATGTGATGAGGGGTAAGATCGGTAAGATATAAGCTTCGACTCCACCCCATCTGGTGATCATGGATTGTTACTTTGACGATGACGGTCTGACTGATTTTACTATCTCTCGACACCCTTTTTTCCGGAGAAAATGTAATGTTACTAGATCGCACTAGATCGGTACTGTAGAGTTGCTGACTGGGATGAGATGAGATGAGATGAGATGGATGAGAAACTTTGATAGGTAGTGTGGATTTGTATTGTATGGGGGGAGAGATCTAGGTTTGTGTCTGAGGTGAGGGGAGTTGGGATTTCGTTTGGAGGGTGTATATAGGTTATCTGACTCCCTCACCTTCCCTTTTATCCTTGAGATGAGAAGGAAAGAACGCTTTTCTTTGGGTGCATGTACACTTATATTTCCTTACTTATTGCTTTGCTGACGATAAAAGTAAGGTACGAGTACTTACTGTGTTGGAACCATGATTGATCTAGCGAGTATCAAGATCGGATCGCTGCGATGTGAGTGGATACTCCTATGCGAAATTCGTTTTGTTGTTCTTTGTGAGATGGTATGGGATGAGATGAGATGGGAATGATGCTAATAATGGATCTGAGAAGATAACTCGCCCTGGATTCAGGTCTTCATTCTGGGATTCGTATGTTTCTCCTCCGTGGGCATGTTTAGCGCTATAGGTGGTTTAGGAGCTGGGTATATCTCCCCTTCCCCTTCCCCTCATCCCCTCACTAACCAACCCAACCCTCTCCAGCGGCACCCAAGACGTCGCCCTCTCCGACACCGCCAACGGCGTGCTGTACGGCTGCTTCGCCATCGCCGGTTTCTTCGCGGGCTCCATCAACAACATCCTCGGTGTCCGACTTACCCTCTCCCTCGGCACCACGGGGTACTCGCTGTATATTGGCTCCTTGTGGTGTTATCAGGTTAATGGGACGAGGTGGTTTTTGATTTTTGCGGGCGCGGTGTTGGGGGTTACTGCTGCGTTGCTTTGGGCGGCTCAGGGGGTTGTTATGATGTTTGTTGATTCTTTTCTTTTTTTGATTTATGATTTTTGGAAGAAGGAGAGAAAGAGAGAGGGAGAGAGGGAGAGAGGGAGAGAGAGAGAAAATATTTTTGAAGAGGGGGACGGGGTATTGATGAGTTTAACTGCCCTTGCCTTTTTTTATAATCTATGTCTTGATGAGAAGCGGGCTGCGGATAAAGTGAAGAGATTCGCTAACCGAAGTTCTACACTAGGTCCTACCCCCTCGAGAAAGACAAAGGCACATCGTTCACCCTCTTCTGGACGATCTTCCAGATGGGTACTCTGGTAGGCTCGGCCATCGCGTTAGGAATCGAGATTGACTCGACGCTACCGAGTGTTTCCACGACGGTCTATATCGTGTTTATGATCATCATGCTTACGGCCATTCTATCCAGTTGGCTTATACTTCCTTCGCGTAAGTTTTTCTGAACATTTCTTTTCTATTCTAGGAGTTGAGGATTTGATGCTGACGGAGATGGGTTGATATAACAGACTTGGTTGTTCGTGGAGATAATACTATCGTTGAGCTTGAGGACGCGATTTCTCCGCAGGCGGAATTTAGGGAGTTTGGGAAATTGTTCAAGGATTGGAGGATGATTGCTTTGTTTCCGATGTTCTTTTGCTCCAATTACTTTTATGCATACCAGGTGAGTCTTCAAATGAGTGTTTATATCCGCCTTACTCTACACCTACCCAGTTCCTCAAGCACAAGCTCGCCTATTCTCCTCAAGTACCACTAACACCCACCCCCAAGGGAGCCATAACAAGCGTCCTCTTCAACGGCCGCACCCGCGCCCTAACCGCCCTCCTCGCCGGCCTCGGCTCCACCATCGGCTCCATCCTCATCGGCATCCTAACCGACCGCCTCCCCTTCGCGCGTCGCAAACGCGCCATCTGGTCCTGGACCTTCGTCCTGCTCCTCAGCATCATGATCTGGTCCGCCGGCCTCGCCTTCCAACTGAAATTCACACGCGCAGACAAGGTCATCAAAGGTGTCGCCATCCCATGGGACTGGACGCAGAATGTCTCGACGGGCCCGATGATCCTGATTATGGGGTACTACATTGCCGATGCGGCGTTCCAGGGTTTGGCGTATTATACCATGTCATCGATGTCGAATAATCCGTTTAAACTTGCCCGCATGGCGGGGTATTATAAGGGTGTGCAATCGGCTGGTGCCGCGATTAGTTTTGGGATGGATGCGGTGAAGACGGCGTACCTGGGGGAGATTCTGGTTTCGTGGTTGCTTTTGATGGTTTCGATGCCGTTGTGTTTGTGGGTGCTGTGGAGTGTGAGGGATACGAATTATGATGTGGAGGGCGTGACGAGGGTGGAGGATGTGAATGGGGATGCGGCGAAGGGACTTGGGAATGGACATGGTGAGGTGGTGGTGGGACGTGAGGATGGGATGGAGGGTGGGAGGACAGAGAGGGATGGGGATGGGAAGATGGGACATACGGCTGAGGATAAGGAGCTTCTGCCTTCGAGCGAGCTTTCTGCGTCGGATCTTAAGGTTCTTGATGTTGTAGGAGGGAGTAAGATTTAATGTGTTGTTGGTAGTTTGAATACCTTCATTTAAGCGATGAATAGAATCCCATGCGATTTACAAAATTCAACGGATTTAAACGCCTTCCTCCAGGTCAAGCATACTGTACTAGCTATCCAGGGACAACGAAATGCCTCTTGAACTTGCACATCCATTCAGTAGTAGATCGTACGTCTAATCTTCAAACACAGAATCCCACATCTCAAGCTCTTGAAAAAATCCTCGCTTATTTTCAACCCCCTGAATAGCGTGACCCGCCCATGCCCCCCATGCCCTTCAAACATTTCACATTCCAAAATACGATCTCAAGAAAAGCATTCCAAGTTCTCCCCAGTCTGGTACTACTTGGGTATCTCTTCCCCACTTAATTCCCAAGTAAATTCAACAACCAACCATTCACACACTAAACACCCCTCCCTACCTTTATTCCAAGAAATGCACTTGCTTTCCCATTATAAGCGAATCGTTACTCATTGGCTTTCCCTCCCATCTTCCTCACACAAAGACGAGCTAAGATACACCGACGCCTCCCCGTCGGTATCACGAGAGAAATCGAGGATTTCACGAGGTCTCTCTTTCTCTTTCTCAAATTCTCAATGGGTCAATTACGAGTACCCATACCCTACTACCCTAGGAATAAATCCCCGTGATAGCTAGTAATATCTGCCACAGTACATACATACCCCCGGGACAAAAACGCAATACCCACGCTCTTGATTACTAGATAGTAGACTCTTCTCCATGGCCATTTTCAGATATCTTGACTCTTGAGCTAGGAAGCAGGTTCCCTTCCATTCTAGTTCAGCTAATTTACATGCAGTAGAACCATCCAGTCTCGGCTTGTGCCAACCTCCTACCATGATTCACTGCCCATTGCCTACGAGTACGGCGTGGTTTGGCTATTGCATCTGTGGTCTGCTAGAGTAGCTACCATGTATGTATACGATACGAGGCTACAAAAAGTTGCTTGACATGACTACCTCCCTTTTCTTTCCGTCAAGCATCATTCCGAAGACCCCTCTCACGGTTTTTACAAACATCAAAAACAGCATTCGGTAATATTCATATCAACAGGTCAATTAGCAGTGCCTTGCAGCAGCAGTCGGTGAAAAAATTAAAAAGGATGCAACAACCATCCATCCACCCATCCACAATTTCGCCCTACACCAACACCAACCTGCCTGCTACAGTAGACTGCCTTGCCCATCCAGTCATCATCAGAAAGAAAGCGAAAAAAACACCCAGAACGAGAAATTCAAAAAATCAAGAAACAATCCATAAAACTCGGCTTTTTTTCTCACGTCTCCAATCCCCGAGCACAAACGTAACACCTGCTTATGTACAATTTAGGTGTTTTCAATTACAAAGAAGTTTTGTTTTTCCTTCTGTCAAAACGAAAAAAAGAGGAGGAAAAGAAAGTGTTGGAAAAAGATCTCGGATCGTAAACAGAACGTAAAGCGGAAGCTGATTGGTGAGATATACTGATCGACATTCGAGGAACGTGGAAGAGGTAAAGAGGTGAGGGTAAATCACTTCTTGGCCTCCTCTTCGTCCTTGTCGTCGTCTTTACCGTCATCCTCAACGTCATCCTTTCCATCATCCTTGACCGAGTAAATACTACCTTCGGTTTCCAAAAGTACCGGGTCACCTATACCGCCAAGGGCCATGAAAGCCTCAGGATCCCGGTCGTTTGCAGGCGTCTCTTCTTGTTTTGGAGGACCTGGGATTGACTTAGGCGTTCCATTGGGCGTGACTTTGACAACCGTATTATTGACCTTGTTATTGGAGGACTTTGAATTTGGGTTCTTGACATATACCTTCACCGGTTCTTTCGAATGCTCTGTTTCAATGACCTTGGAGACTTTGACGTCGTTCAAGCTACTAATTAATGTTCGCTCTCGCGCCATCTTTCGCTTGGTGAAATCAAGATTGGCAATTCCGCCGACCAAGCCGTCAGTACTATCGTTTGGATTTATGGGCTTCTGGGTAGTCCAAGGATGCTCTAGGCAATCGTCAATGGTGTACCGCTTCTCGACATCCACGTTCAACATTCGGTCAATAAGATCGAGAGCTGGGTCGCCTACAGAATCCCAATATGGCGAAGGGTAATCGAATCTGCCCATCTTGATCTGTTGCGTGAGAGTATAGGGGTTTTCTCTTGTGTAGAGCTCGTCCGAAAATGGAGGAAAGCCACAGAGACATATATAGAGTACAACACCTAGAGACCAAACGTCGACCGCTCGAGTGTACCGCCTATGTCTGCTCTCTTCGAGAATTTCGGGGGCGACATAACTCGGCGTACCACATAATGTTGTAGTGAAGGATTCCTCTCCAATTATCTTTGCTAGGCCAAAATCAGCTACTTTGACGTGCAAGTCCTTGTCGGTAAGTAGTATGTTCTCGGGCTTGATGTCACGATGGACAATGCCTCGGTCATGCTGTATGTTGTTAGCAAATTGGAAGTTTATGGATGGCCAGTCAAATTACCAAATATTTCATTCCTTGAAATAGCTGAATGAAGACTTTCCTCGTCTCCTCTTCGGTTAGTTTTTGTTTCATAACTATCCAGTTGAACAGTTCTCCCTCAGCGGCAAGTTCTAAAACTAGATAGACAGCGTTTGGCTCGTCGAATGTATCCTTCAAGCAGAGCATATTAGGATGGCTTACGCCCATCAGTACGGCAATTTCTTGTTGCAAACCCTCGGTTTTGGAGCGTTCTTCGACACCGGGCTGCTTGGTAAAAACCTTGACAGCATATCGATGGCCAGTTGACTTTTCAATGCACAAAAATACCTCAGCAAAGTGGCCCTTTCCGAGCTTCTCCAGGAGAGTATATTGTTGCATGAAAGCGCTAGTATCGCGGCGGCGAGGGTATCTGAAAGCAAATCTAGCTCCATCCTTAACCGTGATTTCATCTTGGTCTTTTAACTCCCGTCGTTTGTTGCGCCCAAGCATTGCTTCGTTAACAAAAGTGCCATTGCTCGAGAGGTCCTCTACAACCGCAATTGTGTCGCCGCCCTTGTTTTCTGTGAAAAAGAGGCAATGACGGTTCGAGATGATAGGGTCATCTATAATGAGATCTGTAGCATCTTTAGCCCCAACTCATAGTCTTCCAGATCAATTGCCAGGACCCACCACATTCCGGATGACGTCCAATCAGATAACCACCAGAAGCAATTCCCTTGAGTTTCGTTTTTTCATACTTATCTTCCTCTTCCTGAGGAGTTTTGCCCTTGCAATTGGTTCCGTTCTTGGTCTTGATTGTATCAGGCAATGGGCACGCATTTCGCCTCTTTAAAACCAAGGTTTTGCCATATTGTGGATCCAAGGGATGCAGGTATCCCCATACACCTTCCTCAACCTCATCATTGACCTCTTCGGATAATCCTGTTGGGAAAATGAATTGTGAGAATGCCTGCGTTTCCTGCGGTGGAGAAGAGAATCCGGCTTCGACTAGCGAGCTATGGTCAGGGCGATGTTGTATCTGACTCGGGCGGCCCTCCGGGGGTGTTGCTGTTGCTTCCTTATAGGCCTCGCTCGACGATGTAGACTCCTGGTGGGTGATGGGAGAGGGAAGTTGCTGTTTTTTGGAAACCGGAGTAGTCGGGCCTTGCGCATGTCGCTGGGAGCGCCGGAGTTTCTTGGAGCTCCCTGGAGCTTTGTCTTCATTGGTACCCGCCTTCAGACGAAGCAATGTTTGTCAGTCTCCGAACGGTGATAGCAAGACCTCGAGATCTTGGGACGTTTGTTTGCACTTACACGACCTCGTTTCAATTGCGCCTTGCCCCCGCGTGGAGCCATCTCTGCAGGCAGAAGCTCCGGGCCTCGGTCAGCAATGGCTTCGGATATGCGCTTTGGAACGGATGAGTTGGAGTCGCAGAGCAAGATATTCAGAGGGAAGGGAGGAGGAAAAGTCAACGATCGGTGCAGAATGAAGCAATGTTTTGGGAATATATCCAGCTGAGGTTGCAACGAGGCCGATCGGGTAGAGCCCCCAGCTTCAAGGTCAAGGCGAGGGTGGTACTTACGGAGGTGGTACTGGTGGGACAGACGGGAGTACTGTGTGTATGCCGTCACGCCCGCAGCGATAGCTCGGGGCGTTTTCAACCAAAGCGGACTTCAGCAGGTCAGTCCATGCAATCCCTGGCAAGTATCAGGCACCCATCGAACTAGAACTATTCGCCCAGATCAAAGCTATCACCAGCTATCACAAAGCAAGCCTTTCTGCATGGTTTCATGACCACATATGAGGTCTTACGGTCTCGATCAGTGGTCCCTCAACCAGTGCCCCCCTTTTTATGTTTCACGCATAATGCAAGCGAATATCCCAAATAGGAATTGGAAGTAGTTGACGACGATATTTGACGTAAATACTTGAAACAATGGTCGTATATACCTTAAAATTTTGGAATAACGGCTTTGATTATTCTAGCAAGCCAGAACGCAAGCGTCCTTTAATGCGCAACTCTCCTTATCTCCATCGTTAGAAATAAGACATTACCAACTTTCGTACCACTACCTCAGCTGATTTAACATGCAAATTTCCACTGCAAACCATGATCCAGTGTGGCTCAGACAGAACGTTAGCAATCCGTCTAGCTCGTGACCAAAGCACCTGACTGCACCCCATGAGAGCCTCAAGTCTCGAGAATATGGAAGGGACCTGCGTGACCGAGAGACGAGATAGAGCAAGGTCTATCGTCTGTATCTTCTTTGGAGGGGCATCATGGGGCCTGGAACATGTTCTTCTCTGGTTTCTTGAACTCGTTGAGCAGCAATCAATCCTTAGCCCAACCCCCCGATTTGCCTGCCATTTTTGCTTCTCCAAATGCCTGCTGCTCAAACGATAACTGATTTATCAAAACCCTGAGCTATAAAGCTTGATTCAAGAACACTTGTGCCTCAAATCAACTATCGAATCTACTCTTCCTCTTGATTCCATGAACTTGTGGGGAATTCGAGCGTCCTCTATCAGACTCGAGCCCAGCCATGATTCTTTCAGCGGTACTTTTGGGTGCTCCCTTTCCCCCGACAGAGGGCGTTGCACTCCGATTCGTACTATCTCCAGAGGCTGGGACAAAATCCACAGCTTCTCTTTGCCCTCGTGCTTTTTCGTCTTCTTTGCGCTTGAGTATCGCCTTTTGACTCTTTCCTAGCTCTTTCTTGAAAGCATAATTCGGAAATTCGTTTGGGTCCCAGCAGTCCTTGGCAAGCGTGGTCGAGTATTGGCCAGCTTCGTCGATCTCTGCGAAATCCATCAACTTTTGCATCAAAGCTGGATTCTTGAGCGCGGATGATTTTGCAAGTTTTTCGTTGAAATGAACGCCCTTTTTCTTTAACTCTAGGAAATGCTTGAACTTTTTATTCGTACTGGCTACGGGAGATCCTGGAGGTGAGGCAGGAATATCGTAATTTGGTATCGTTGGCAACGTGAGATCTCGCAACAGAGCATGGTTGGCAGAATATGGAGACTGTGGTACTCCTTGTACTTCTTGGTCGTCTTCCAAGAGGCCTTCCATATCTGCATCGCTCGCTGGAATGGTTGGACCTAGGATAGGGCCAGCTGCCTCGTCTGGTTTGGGCGTATCAATATGAAGAGTGGTAGGGCTCTTCAATAAATCGCCATTCTGCTGTACTCCTAATTCAGATTAGATACCAGAAGAGGTTATCGGCTACAGACAAGGATTGCATACCGGTGTTTATGGCAGTTCCTCCATTGGAACCCGGGATAGATGATACCTATACCTGGGCTGTCAGTGAATTGTTTTGGCCGCAATAAGGTGAACATTTTTGTAACTTACTTCTGCGACATGGCCATTTGTCCTAATATCAGACTCTTCCTCCTCATCGCTGCTTCCGTAATTTACTAGTCCTGCCATTATGTGTTGTGGGAGGTTGTTATTTTTTGAGGTGATCCAATTGCGTTGTTTTGTCTGTTCCGCCTGGGATTTAAGGTTCCGCGACGAGCTTCCGCGTCAAGCTCCTGCCTGAGCTCCCCCATACAAGTCCATCTCCGCCTTGTCAAACAACTCAACATCCCACTGCCATACGGATCTCTATCAAGTCCAACAACAAACTACAAACATCATGAACCATCTTCCACAAGCTTGGGGCCGTGTATGCTATCCAATTTAAACTCACCTTTCGAATACAGTTCACTGACTAGCTATCAATAGCCTAGAGACGACGTTTACGGTGCATACGACAGTTCATATCTGCAGAACGGTGGACCAACTCAACATACCCAACGACCTATAGTTACTGGTACTTCGGTGGTGGCGCTTAAGTTCAAGGATGGCGTTGTAATCGCTGCGGACAACTTGGGTAAATCACCTTCGCCATTCCCATATGGGCCGGGCATAGCTAACCTCATCGTACAGCTTCATACGGCTCCCTTGCCCGATTCACAGATGTCAAGCGTCTTCGAAAATTTGCAGAGACATCAGTTGTTGGATTTGGTGGCGACGTATCAGACATGCAATATCTCGACCGACTCCTCAACTCACTCGATATCCAAGAAGCATATGGTTCATCCGGCCATACTCTTAACGCACAAAACCTCCATACCTACCTTTCAAAAGTCCTGTATAAACGTCGATCTGACTTCAACCCCTTATGGAATCAGTTGTTGGTTGCAGGGCTTGATGGGGAGAGCAAGCCGTTCTTAGCAGCTGCCGATTTGCTCGGTACTACGTTCAGTTCGCCCAGTTTAGCAACAGGATATGGTGCACATTTAGCTCAACCACTTTTGAGAAATGTTGCACCAGATGAAGAAGCTGCTTCAAAATTGTCTTTGGAACAAGCGTTGGAGGCAGTGAAGGAGTCGATGAAGGTCTTGTTCTACAGAGACGCAAGAAGTATGGACAAGTATTCTATCGCTGTGATCACGAAGGACGGTATTGATCTAAAGGAGAATGAGCAACTTGAGAAGCAGAGTTGGGCATTGTGAGTACTCCAAACATCAGTTTCTTAGAACACCACTAATACATAAGATAGCGCAGATCAGATCCGGGGCTATGGTACTCAGGTCAACTGAGATGTTTTTGCTTCGCTGTACTATTAGACCGCAATGATATGAAGCATGACAACAGCACTTTTCCTTCTGACTACGATTGATAATACCTGATTGAGACATTGATAACGATTGAAGTCTGGATATAACGAACTCATAGTGACCATGACTGTTCTCACGGAAGCGAGATATTGTATGTGCCTTTGTAGGGGATGACTTACCGGAAAGACTTCCATAATTGACACTTGTCTCTGGCAACTGGATTTGAGATGTGGACTCAGAAAAGTGTTTTTCGAGTTGGGTCGGTAAACAGTATACTTCCACTCCACCCTGCATTGCCACCCATATATGATGCCAGAAACAGGTAAAACTACTTACAAAACAAGTATTGTAAACAAACCAATCATGGACTTCCAGCTAACATGTACCACCGTAAGTTAGCTCCGAGGTTGGAGCACTGCACGTGATGATTTTGCATGTTTTGTAGACGCTGGGGCTGGACATTTTGCCAGCGCAACGAACGGCAACAGGAACAACTCAAAACTGTATGGAGGGGCACCAAATACAACATGAGATAAGTGACCTCACAAACCGACTTCACTCACCTTGTACTCGTACCTGCCCACAATTCCAGACCCCAGATTCTGTGGATGTTGAGAAGTCGAAGCTCTATCAAAAGCTTGGGTCTCCAGCTTTGTGAGGATCACCGGCAACCAAATTGGATCCTCCCCAGACCCTGGCAATCCGTCCAATCCCCTGCGCCCGAGCCTCAATCTGCAACAATCGCATGTCATCGCATCCTTCTCTACAGTATTTCCCTGTCCTATAAATCGCCCCAAGTGCTTCCGTCCAGCGAACTCTCCCCATAGAAGCTCTATGCCCAGAAGCAGTTCTCTAGAAATCTCCGTCCGAGATTGATTCAACGACCCCTCAACAGGCCGCCAGCTCTTTTGCAAGTCACTACAACAATCCACCGAGCTCATCCGACGAATAGTCAACCCGCCGGGCGACATTGGATGTCCGCGCTCATAGGGGGCTCTTGTGATTATAGTAGAAGGAGGCGCGAACGGGGACTGGTATGCAGACGGCAAGGCTCAAGGCTGAAGCGCAAGGTCGGAAAGCTAAGGTAGGTCTTCTGCGGAAAGAGAAATACAGATGGAATGTGCTACAAGAGCGACGTCAAGTGGTGGATGGCAAAAGGAGCGGAGAACTAACAAGTGTCACAGCTTGCCAACTCATACCATGAGCTACTGGAGTAAGCCTCCCCCTATTTTGCGTGCCATTTCAAAGCCCAGATGTTAACTAGTGTTTGCTGCAGAGAGTTCTCGTCGAAAGACCTTCGGTCCGTTGGGAATTATACACTTGGACGACTGATTGGAAGAGGGTCATTTGGCAAGGTGTATCTGGCCTCCCATAAGCTTATACATGGGTCAAAAGTATGTGGATGGTTCTTGGTAACTGCGGTTCTTATGACTGATGGCTCTAGGTCGTTCTCAAATCCGCCAAAAAAGACGACTCGAATTTGGCCCGCGAGATACACCATCACCGGCAGTTTCTACATCCTCATATTGCCCGACTATACGAAGTAATAGTTACCGAAACTTTAGTATGGTTGGTGTTGGAATACTGCCCAGGTAAGGACAATGCTCCTGTAAAAAGGGCATTCGCTAATTGAACATGTAGGTGATGAACTGTACAACTATCTTTTGAAAAATGGGCCATTACCGGTCGAGAAGGTGCAGAAAATATTCACACAGTTGGTTGGCGCTGTTTCATACGTCCACAACTCCTCCTGCGTTCACCGAGATCTGAAGCTCGAGAACATCCTGCTAGACAAGCACGAGGACGTTAAATTGGTAGACTTCGGTTTCACAAGAGAGTATGAAGGAAAAGCCAGCTATCTTCAGACCTTTTGCGGGACGGTTTGCTACAGCGCGCCAGAAATGTTAAAAGGTGAGAAATATGCCGGAGAAAAGGTAGATGTTTGGAGTTTAGGCGTTATTTTGTACGCTCTTCTGTGTGGCGAGCTTCCATTCGACGACGACGACGACAATGTCACAAGGACCAAGATTTTGGGCTCTGAGCCAAAATGGCCAGACCATCTTACACCCGACGCTCGTTCCTTGATAGGCCTCTTGCTGTCAAAAAGGCCGTTGCTTAGACCAGCACTGTCTGATATACTCACGCATTCTTTTCTGACAGAACATGCTCCGCAACAACAAGCCATATTAAAATTGCAGCAACCGGCCCCTTTCACTACGTCTCTGGAAAAAGAAACTTTGGAGCGAATGCGGAGTGCGGGAGTTGATATAGATCAAGTCATAGAAAACGTTCTAGCTCGACGTTGCGATGCACTGGCTGGGTGGTGGTCGCTACTCATTGAAAAGGAACAGCGAAAGCAAGTACGAAGGGAACGTAAACGTAAAGAAAGAGAAGCCGAGAACCGAGCTTCTCGTAGACTCAGTGCTGCGAGTAGTCGCCTCGAGCGAACGGCGCCAATTTTGACTGGAGTGGATGAAGAAGGACAGGTAATCAGATTAAGTGAACCACCGAGAAGCAGAGGCAGAAAAGAAAGGCGTAGCGCACACTACCCAGATCTCATTCTTACGGACCTTCCGGGGTTGCCAGAAAACGCCCTACTGGATTCTCCGGAGGTTGCAACACCTCCGCCACCTATTGAGAAGGATTCCATACGGTCAGCCAGTTCATCAAGGAATCGACGACCTATCCCACCTCCTAAAGAAGGCACGCTCCGAGGAGCCAGATCTAGGGGTAGTACTTTACAGCTTGTTACGCATAATCCTGATCTCTTATCGCCTCATACGAATGGCACCTCGCCTAGGCCTAAGCGACGGAGACACCAGCATGGTTTTATAAACCAACTCGCTCATTGGAAGCACTGGATTTTGGATAATGCTAAACGCGCAAGATCTCCTGGGAAGCGAACGGCACATTCAAGTCCAGATCTCACCAAGTCTCCGAATAGTTCCAAAGCGGGTACAAAGGAGCCTAGTCCACGACCTGCCACCTCAAAGACACCTCCATCGTCAAGGCCTACTCTGAGTTCTGGACCACAATCTCATCCACCTCTCGCCCGTGTGTATACGACACCAACCAATAAACGACATTCTCTCTCCCCTGTACCACTAACTCCTCGATCAACTTTTAGAAGATCAAGCACGGGTCTTCGGGGACGGAAGTCTACTTCATCGTCCGTATCTTCTGTTCGCACTATTCATCATCATCACCATACTCATTCAAAAGCATCCTCCACGTCTTCAAACGGGTCGGTATCCACGAGTAGAGTTTCTGCTCCCAACCGGAGTCCACATCATTCCGTCAAAGTTCTTCCCGCCACCCCAACTACCTCTGCCTTTCCCTCCAACATTCGTGTTGTCCGCCAGGCTCCAATCTCAGCCTTCAATGAAGCTGCCTCTTGGGGCAACAATGCCTCATCCAGTTCACCGTTTGGAGGTGGCCTCGTCTTTGCGAAGAGGAAGAAGAATCTCTTCAAGGGGCCCAATCTAAATACATCAAACCCTGGTCCAAGTGGAAGTACTAGGACAGGGAGTCATAGTCGAAGTGCAAGTGTGGCAGGACGAAGGAGTGGCGAAATAATCGAGGAAGAGGACGAGGATGAAGTTGAGGAGGTAGATGCGTTTAGTCCAATTGCCGATGATATGGTTGAAGAGACTATATTTCCAGCCGACGAGACTGCCCTCAATACGTCCAAAGACCCTTCCTGATGGCAAATGTCATACGGCAATTTCGGAACTAATAGGACGAGCGTGCGGTGATGTATATGTATATTCGATAGGTTCTTGGACCCAGAGACGTGGTAACGAAGATTGTTTTGTTTTTCTTGTGTTCACATTTTAGCGATTTCTTGAGACGAGGCTTAGGAGGCCTCGTTCTCCTTTTTGTTTCTGGTGGATATCACTCCAAGCGCTTTTTGTGGCATTTCTTGGTGAAAGGGTTGTTTTTGACGATTTTATCTTTTCATGTTCTGAATTATCTTTTTTAATGCTCAACTCCTCGCGGGGCGGGGGTCTTCCATCATATAGATCTCTTCTTTTTTTTTCCTTTTCCGCAAAATGTTTGTGGTATTACAGTACATAGGGTAGTGGGGAATTTCATTGTCGACTTTCTATTCTCGGGTGAAAACTGCTAAGAGGGGCTTTTGTTGATGGGGGGTTTGTTGCATGGAAGGGTTGAGGAATGGAAAGAAATGGAAAAGAATGAAAAAATGAGATTGGTTCCTGATAGTGTTCTCATGTCTCTTTGTATATTATTGTTTATAGATGGGTGTGGCAATTTTTGAATTTGGACTTTACAGAGGAAATTAAGTTGGGTGAAGAAGTTCTATTTACTAACGCCCAGTGATGCTGTCTGCTAAAAAAGCTATAATCTGTCTTTGGACTAGGTTTCAGTCTGCTTTATCAAATTTCTTTCTCTGTTACATGTCAGGCCACTCATCGTTTAGCCCTGCATATGAGCCTCTATCATTACAGCTGTAGTATCATTCATTATTATACCTCCGTCTTTCTTGACAATAATCTCCCACTCTAATGACAATTCATCAGCTAGACGGAGGTTGCCGAAGCTACTACTCTTCACCCAGACAACCAGGCAAAGGTTTCCTCAAAATTATCTCAATCGAGTGAAGAAATGAGTTTCGCTCCAAGCTCATCCGTAATCTGCCTACAGGTGGTATGTAAACACGCCATTTTCTTCGATTCACTTGTATTTAAATTATCACGCATCCTCGCTAAGTGAGCCAAGCCCCTCTTGTGTCTGTAGCTGAGCAACGGAAGGAAAGTGGAAATCTCCCGCCGGGTCTTTGTCGCGGAATTACCTCTGTAGTTTGTTTGATATCGTAAGATAAGAGGCTGGGGTTTGAGGCATATATTCTACCTGTTTCCCTGCTGGAGGGTTTCTTAAACACCACACATCTACATCTACATCTTCTACAAGTCAACTTCAGACCAAGAAACCTTCCATACTTTCAGGACAAACATCTCAAATTGAGACATCTCTTAAACTCAACGCAACGATGAACTTCAAGCTCAGCATCGCGGTCCTTCTCGCCGCTCTCAACATGGTAAGTCAAGTCCTCTCCCCATCCTCTCGCAAGACTCATGAGATAGTACGCTAATATTGGTTGTATAAAGGCCTTCGCAGCACCCCTTCCAAACCGAGGACCTCATGATTGGGCCGAGATCTAGGACCCGGGTATGTGGAATGAGAACTTGAATCCTGTATAAGCTACAGTGCGGTACGTCCCTTACAAAACCCCCACCAGAAGCATCGAGTTCCGATATTGATTCTCTACTATTTTAGATGCCTTCCTTCTGGATTATCAAGTTGCGATACTTGGATGGCGCTGCTGGTGTTGGGTGAGGCTGTGCTGGGGTGAAAAGGTGTATTGTTGCTGGTCAGCATTTGTTGGTATGGATGGACACATGGAAGGATCTGAGATAAAGCATTGTTTGCATCTGGATGGGTTGCTGGAATCTGGTAGAACGGGCTGTGCTCGTAGACCTGGAGTTCGAAATGCATAAACATCAGATTCCATCATTCCAAATTACTCTGTTGATTGAAATGGAATTGTGAAGTGATGACTTTACTTCCGTCCCTCTCCCCTCCCAAGATACATGATATATCATGAACTGTAATTCCATACCTCTGTATACTGACTTGGTATTCGACTATGGCTGCCCAACAGATTCTTTTGGGTCTTCTTTGAAGCTCAGATTACTCGTAGTTACTCGGAAATCTCCCATTTGGCTTAGGAAAAGCGTCGATTGACCTCGCGTTAGCGTTCACCTTTCTACTTCCAACCTTGACTTGTTTGTGGGAGCAAAGATGACTTATAGTCTCTATACATCAAACCAAGACTTACAACAACGAAAAGACAAAACCATGACATCCGCATCCGCAAATGATAAGAAAGTATACCAAGGGCTAGGAACCAGAACTAAAAACAACAAGATAATCAAAAGAAAAGAATACAAACCTTTGAAACTCTACTTACCCTTCCCCATCGCCTCTCGTCGGAGATCCATCACACCAAGCGAGCGAAATAAGCAATATATAGTAAACGCACCTCTATCTACCTCTGCTTCTCTCCCTTTCTTTTCCTTAATACTAACACAATAAAGCTCTGCCCCTGCAATCTTATGAACATGAGCTCTCAACTACTCTTTCTACTATCCAAGACTAATCAAAACCACTAAGTAAAACAATCGTTGATCCAGTCCACCATAAGAACGCCATTACCATTCCTCCTACTAGGCACGAATGAGTCAGAATGACCGCCTTGCGTTGTATGATATCCCAGGTTCCTCTTACACATACTCGTAATAAATTTCTCTACATGGAAGAAAAAGCCATTCTTCCGCATCTGCCAGAAGGGAGGTTTGTCTCCTTTTTCCTCTTCCACTTCTTGTATCTTCACGTACTCTTCACCCAAATCGATCCAGATCTTCAGACCAAATGAATCACACGGGAAATATTATACGCAAAGCCATGCAATTCTCATAGAATAAACTACTCAACTAATTACTTCCTATCTCCATACTAGAAAAGCATTCCTCCCCAATGCCCAGTCTTGCTCAGATTCAAAAGGTAAAGCATATAGCAACAAAACGACGCTTGCCAAGTCAAGTCAAGGCACAATGCACGCATTCTACAAACCCATGAGGATCATGCCATCTAAAATGGAACGACAAAATAAAAAGAGAGCCCCATGTAATATTTCTTGGCTGCAACCTCAGGAACATCCATCCATCCCGTCGTGATTATCTGGCCCCCAAGGCCTGGGAATTGGCAAGTTGCCTGCACCTGGGTGGAAGCTGATCCCCCCACTCGTAATGCATCAAATCACGGTGAACAAGTGTCCCGACTGTGGTGTGACTTGCTTTTGGTGAAGACCATAGGCGCCTCGCGTTGCTGGTAAATTTGCTTTTGAAAAGAGGCAGAGCGCGAAAAGTGTTCTCGTGGTCCTGCTTCACATGAAATCATCACTGGAGTAGATTAGTATCTTGTAGTCTGATCTAGGGATTGCTTAACTTACTCTCCGAAATCGTCGTCATAGGCATTGACATCAGCAACAGCAGAGACATTGCGGGTTGCAACCAGTGTAGCCTTTGTCTTTTGAGCCTTGCTCTTCTTGCCTCCTTTCTCCGCAAGCTTCTCCTCCTTCATCTTCTCGTTGCTCAAGGCAGTCAATGTGCTAGCGATTTTCTTGATTTGATCGCTTGGGAGGTCCTTGGCTAACTGCTTTGCGAATTCCTGTAGGAAGATGGTGTAATGGGCCTTCTTGTTGTTATTTGAGATGACCGGGACGAGTGTGTCGCGCATCTTTTCGAATTGCAGTTTGGTCTTGGGGTCAAATAGTGAAAGGGTAGTGAGATCGACGGTTGCGGTTGGGTCATTCGAGTTCACAACAACGGCGTTGGCTGCGGTGGTGGCCTTGCGACTGTTACTGATACCAATGTTTCCAAAGAGATCTTCGGCGTGCTTGAGATCTGAATCTTGCTCAGTTCTTCGAAGGCGCTCTCGTCTCGCGGCCTCGTCCTCCTCGCTGCTCTCGTCGGAATTATCCTCTGCCAATCTTCGTGCATTTTCGGCTTGTCTTTCTGCGATGCGCTGAGCCTTTGTCTTCTTGTTGGCTTTCTCCTCTGCGTCTGCCTTGGCCTTCTTCGCTGCCGCTACTTTGGCTTTCTCGCGCTCAACTTCGGAGTCCTCTGCGGCATCCCAGCTGTCCAGGACCTAGTTTCCATCAGCATAACATTCATGGCTGTGTAAGTTGACAACTTTGATAAAACGTACATCGCTGTCCCCTTCCTCCTCATCGTCGAATTTGCCACGTCGAACAACCGCAGCGGCCACAGGAGTGGTCGAGGCACCGGTGGAACTATCGTCGGACGACTCCTCTTCGTCTAAAAAGAGCGGTCAGTCAAATGGAGGTCAAGGAAGTGATGACTGTGCAACGTCTCCTGCAGCGTCGATCTTGAGTGTATCGCCCAAATTTGCGGATGAACCTCAAGATGCATCGCGCAGTGGAAAGTGCCCATCACGATGTAGAAGTTCAAAGTACTTTGTGCGCAACTTACCCCATTTCTCAGGCATTTTGGCGGCTATGGATTAACCTGGTTTGTGGTGCGCAAAGCAAAGCGGAGATTCTTGGACTGAGACGACAAGTTGGGAAGATTTCAAGAGTTTGTAGAGAGGAAGTGAGGTGGAAGTTTTGGTGTGGTGTGCTGTGGTGTGGTGGGATCGGATTGAGAGGCTTTGTGTGCCCTTAAAGACTGAAGGAGGGGAGGGGACAGGTTTGTGCCTGACCAAGCCCCTCCCCCTCGCCTGTACTCGTAGGTGTGAGTGAGTATGAGGGAAAAAACGACGTCAATTCTTTTCATTTTTTTCCTCCCAACAAGAGGTTTGGATGTCAGACTTCAAGACCACAGAAAATCTACATTATCGCTTCTACACGTAGAATTTCCCTTCGCTCGAGTTATCTCTAATAATACGATCATGGATGGCTTTAATCTGAGGTCAATGAAGAAAATCACGTGGAAGTGTGTCTGCCCCGCCAAATTGGAACTGATCAAGGACTCCACGGTCCTCGGGTGCTGCTTTATGAAGAGCATCAGTCTGATTGTTTCAATATCTGACCAAGTATGACATGAATTAAATGAGCTTTGTACAAGTAGCCAAAGCGAAAAAAACAACCGCTGAAGCTGATTTCTTGAGATGCGATGCAACGCAGAAGCAGATGAGTGTCCAGATGAAGCAGGTAATTCCAGGGTTCAAATCGTGATGTCATGCTGCGGAAAACTGCATGTGTTTCTGCTGATTGGTACTTTTCAATACCACCTTGGATATCAGTGAGATGTAGGTGATGATTGAGGAACCAGAGAAAGATTTGCAAGTTTTCGAGGCAGATATCAACAAGAGAGATCATAAATCAACTTGAGGGGAGGAAGAGATTTATATAAACTTGCCGGACCCGGAACCCCTCAGAAGGGTGAAAAAGAAGTACCCTACTAATACACCTACCTACCTAAAAACAACTCTATTGTAACAGAGAGGATCGTACTTTTAGAGAAATTAAGCAAACGTGGTAGAATAATTGCCCTTTTCTTCCTTTGTTAGCTTCATTGCTTTGGGACAACCCAATTAACTGTTCTAGGAATTCTATTGTGTTACTCTGTAAGAAACACGTACACCTCCTACTCTCTTCACAATCATTCATCTGGGGCCTCATGTAATATTCCAACTTAGTAGACAGCTGCAGCCACATGTGGCTACTAGTTCCTTACTCTACTAGTACAGCGTCACGAAAAAAGGTTAAACAAAAAGACGTCCCTCTAGGCTTTCAATAACCTATCTTCTAATCCCCTTTTCATTCTTTCAATGTAAGGTTGAGCCAGAGTTGCTTGCTTCTAGGGTGACAGAAACATAGGACAACAATCGCTTCCAAAACATCTCCCAACAAACGCTGTCAGTAATACAGTGATAGCGCAGAGAACAGCGGTGTAATGCATGTTGCGGGTATCCAGGTAAACCTTTGATTCACTCATTGGTTGTGTCGAGAATGCTTCTAAGATGGTGCCCACCTTGGGATGCAGCTGAGGAACAGCTGTACTCTACTGTAAGGAGAGCACGTAACAACATAGATGCTGGCACTGAGATACCACAACCACCACCCAACTTGGACAAAGTGAAGGCATCGTATCTTTCTCTCCCTTCAAGGGATCCACGAGATACACGAACACACGGACTTTCTGCTCCTCACGGATCTCGTATATGACAATGCTTGTTGGGGGCGATAAGGTTGTTTTGGTTTACAGGGCTGGGCTCCCCGTACCTGGCTGATCAACAGGAACACGGGATCCATTTTTAGTATCATTGGGTGGCAGTGATGGCTTGTTTATGCTTTGAGCTCCTGGTGCACCCGTCTGAACCCCTTTTGGTGCTAGTGTGCGCTATCGTCTAAAATCGGCAGAACTTGACCAATCGAGGTAGTGGCGTTTGTTTATACCATACTGGTAGTATCAAAACGAGGAAGTTTTGGGGATCTTCTCCACCAGGCAAAATTCTGTCTGGAGGCTCGTATAGGATGCAGAGGGACCAAGTAGAGCTGCGGGAGCCGCACAGAGAGCGATACGGTACTGGGGAGGGTACTGAGGAGAGTACCAAATCACACCGTCCCCTACGGTAATACTTTCCAGCCCCAGCGCAGCAGCTGTAGGTAATGGTTGGTGGGTGGCTGTTTCCACCTAGCTGTTTTAGGCCTTAGGTAGGCCTTAGGTAGGCTTTGCAGCTCAGGATGGCCTCTGACTGGAATAGATGTTGGCAGCCAGAATTTCCAGGTGTTCTTTTCGCTTGGGATGAAACAAAAACAAGGTGCTTCCGTCCGAACTTTGACAGGTCCCAATCCAATCCAATCCCAATATAAATCTCCCTCCACCCCCCTTCCAACCATACATTCCACCACTGCCCTTCTTCCTTTTGCTCTCCACATCAAATCTCAAGCATTTGCACCGCTTGATACAAATAATAGCATACGTGCACGTCTACATTTTCTCCCCTCAATTCCTTTCACGCCAGCAAGATGTGGTACGTAAACACCCCTCCTTTCAGCTGCTCAACCTCAACCTCAACCTCAACCCCCCTGTTGGCAGGACACCGCTAACTTCTCTCTGCAGTGGCATTTTCGGATAGTACGTGAAGACCTCTGTCGTCGATCCCTCTCGAAATACTAATAGTCTTTAGCATCAATTACTTGGTGGAGAAGGACAGAAAGTACATCCTCGATACCCTAGTGAACGGTCTTTCCCGCCTCGAATACCGTGGATACGACTCAGCTGGTCTTGCGGTCGACGGTGACAAGAAGAATGAGGTTTTCGCATACAAGGAGGTTGGCAAGGTAATTAAGCTAAAGGAGCTCATTGCTGCCGAAAAGCCAGACTTGACCAAGGTCTTCGATTCACACGCCGGTATTGCACATACCAGATGGGCCACTCATGGTCCCCCATCCAGAGTCAACTGCCACCCTCACAGGTAAATCCTCTTTCTTCAGCTTACAAAGCTCTGCTAACGGGATCATTCAGATCCGACCCTAACTGGGAGTTCTCTATCGTACACAATGGTATTATCACCAATTACAAAGAGCTCAAGACCCTCTTGACAGCAAAGGGATTCCGTTTTGAGACCGAGACCGATACCGAGTGCATTGCCAAATTGGCCAAGTACCTCTACGACCAACATCCAACAATCGGCTTCACGGATTTGGCCAAGGCAGTCATCAAGGAGTTGGAAGGTGCTTTCGGTCTTTTGATGAAGTCTGTCCACTATCCACACGAAGTTATTGCCGCCAGAAAGGGTTCTCCTCTCGTTATTGGTGTTAGAACCGAGAAGCGAATGAAGGTTGACTTTGTCGATGTCGAATACACCGACGACGGAGCACTTCCAGCCGAGCAGGCTTCTCACAATGTTGCTATCAAGAAATCGAATGTTGGAAACTTCCTCTCCGCCGGCAACCTCCTTGCACCAGCAGACAAGTCCCTTTTGCACCGCTCTCAATCAAGAGCTTTCATGACCGATGATGGAGCACCAATGCCAACCGAGTTTTTCTTGTCCTCGGATCCATCTGCCATTGTCGAGCACACCAAGAAGGTGATGTACCTCGAGGATGACGATATTGCCCACATTCACGAGGGTTCTCTCAACATCCACAGACTTACAAAGGCTGATGGATCTTCTAATGTGCGAACAATCCAAACTCTCGAGTTGGAGTTGCAAGAGATCATGAAGGGCAAATTCGACCACTTTATGCAAAAGGAAATTTTCGAGCAGCCAGAGTCTGTTGTCAACACAATGAGAGGTCGTCTCGATGTTGAGAACAAGCAAGTTACCCTTGGTGGCTTGAGATCCTACATCTCCACCATCCGCCGATGCCGACGAATCATCTTCATCGCCTGTGGAACCAGTTATCACTCTTGTATGGCTGTTCGTGGTGCTTTTGAGGAGTTGACCGAAATCCCAATCTCTGTTGAGTTGGCCTCCGATTTCCTCGACAGACAAGCACCTGTGTTCCGTGATGATACCTGTGTCTTTGTATCCCAATCTGGTGAAACTGCTGACTCACTTATGGCCTTGAGATACTGCTTGGAGCGAGGTGCCTTGACTGTTGGTATCGTCAATGTTGTCGGTTCATCTATTTCTCTTCTTACCCACTGTGGTGTCCACGTCAATGCTGGACCAGAAATTGGTGTTGCATCGACAAAGGCTTACACTTCCCAATTCATTGCCATGATCATGTTTGCGTTGTCATTGAGTGAGGACCGAGCATCTAAGCAAAAGAGACGCGAGGATATTATGGAGGGTCTAGGAAAGATTTCCGAGCAAATCAAGGAGATCTTGAAGCTTGACCAGCCAATCAAGGAACTCTGCGCCAGAACTTTCAAGCACCAAAAGAGTCTGTTGCTCCTCGGAAGAGGTAGCCAGTTCTCTACTGCCCTGGAGGGTGCTTTGAAAATCAAGGAAATTTCTTATCTTCATTGCGAGGCTGTCATGTCTGGAGAACTTAAGCATGGTGTTTTGGCTTTGGTCGACGAGGACTTGCCTATTATCATGATTCTTACTCGTGATGAGATCTTTGCAAAGTCACTCAACGCTTACCAACAAGGTATGCCAGTGTCTCATTCTTCTTTCTGTCATTCATTTACTAATATTCTATAGTTATTGCCCGTAGCGGTAAGCCAATTGTCATCTGCAACCCAGATGACGAGGAATTCCGTGGTGGAAAGGCCGAGAAGATTGAGATCCCAAAGACTGTCGATTGCCTCCAGGGTCTGCTCAATGTTATTCCTCTTCAACTTATGGCATACTGGCTTGCGGTTGCTGAGGGACTTAACGTTGATTTCCCACGTAACTTGGCCAAGTCCGTTACTGTCGAATAGATATCCCTTCATGTTGATACTGGAGCATTTGGTCCAGCGGGTTCTTTTGGTTTTTGATAATGATTAGCGCGCGTTCTCGGGGGGAAAAATGGGCCATTTGTTTTGGTGTTTTTACAACTAGGTATGGGGGAACATGAAAATAAAGAATGACAGGAAAGAATGATTGACATGCCTCTTTTTTGCCTCTTTGTTCTTTTCATGATTTCTCATGTCTATTAGATACGGGCATCGTCGTGATTCCTTTTTGGAGGGCGGAAGCAAATGTATTCTACACGTTAGCTGGCTCTCATAGGCGTCTAGAAAAAGTAATCTTCTTGAGAAACCAAGTACCGTGGAAGTACCCACGGAAGAGCCACCAAGATGAGCTGAGTCGTACCCGTTGAACCACCTCCCCTTTACACGAGCCTTTCGGTCTGATTCTGTACTGTACTGGTCCCCGGTGTAACGAGTTAAGGTAAAGTGCCGGATATATATACGTTATTGACTTGGAAGTCGGTCATCTACTCTGGTACTTGCAGTAATTGTTAACTGTACTATGATAACACTTTCACACTTGGTGTTCTACAGTGCCGTATTTCGGGCCCTGGGTATGTACCGTCGTGAAGATAGATACATGAACTTGGTAGGTAGGTAGGTAGGTACTTTTATAGGAAGGGTCTGCTACGTACAGTAGATGCTGGGTAACTGGTAGATGACTGAATGGATGGATGGATGGATGGATGTTTAGGAGTTTTGGATCGAGGGAGAGCGGAGGAGGGGGGTTGTATGGTTTGTTCGGAGAGATCTGGATGGTACAGTATTTTGTATAAGACTTACCTTTATAGCTAGGTAGGTAAGCACTGGAGGATATGATATTAGGCAGGAGATCTGGGTATTACTCTATATACACTGATGAAATGTTATTATACTAGTTAAGCTTCTAGTACAAGGGAAATGATTTTTTTGGTATAGGGTACCGTGAGGTAGATTTCTAACGGATATGGAATTTGTTATTTTTTGGACGAGCTGTACATAGGGGTCCTTTGGTTACGCGAGGCTTGTGGAATGATGTTATAATATAAGAGGTGTGTGGAGAGTACTAACCACGTCTCTTACGTACTAATATTATGTTATATCCTAATTGCCTTGTATTAATGGCATGGTTCTGCAAGTGATTTGAGATCCTTTCAATTACGCCATGTTGTTTTATTCAATTTATAGTAAGTGATGTAAGAGAATAAGGTGGGTTGTTTTGGGATTTTGTATGATTAGTTTAGGAGTATGGGCTAGCTATGTGGAATGGACATATATCTTAAAACTACTGAACCGGGGTGAGATAGATAGTTATAGTAGGTAGTGTTTATATCTACGGGTACTAGGCGCTTTACTTTACTACTACGGGGGTTCTCGCTAGAGTCGTGGGGAGGGACTAGGTAAGTGGTACGTATAGGTACGGTTTCTAGAACTCGTGATCTAGGTGGCGTTAAAGCTATAACATAGCTAGGGACAGGAGCCGAAGAAAGTAGGGGGCGAGTAAGTTAAGTAGTAGACTTTTCTCGGTATACTTTCTAACGCTCCTTTCTTACTATAATACGTTTTAGCTCTATATATTAAGATATATAACTAGCTAATAGTTCCTAGTATATGTCTAAAATACGTAGTACTAGTATAATTACTCTTTGGAAGGGTATAGTTAACCTCTTTCTAAGTATAAGCGAAGGTATCCCTATGAAGTTTATACTTCTCCGGCTAGATATAGGAACCGAGTTTAAAACTACATAAAGGTCTAAGTCTTTTTCATCCTACTTCGTCCTAGGTATAATAATTATAGGTTTGCTAGGGTAGCTTCAGTAGAGAACAGGGTAAAATCCCTTATTAAAGTTATAATTATTATACCTAGAACGAAGTTAGTTTTAATCGTTTTCTTATTTAGTATCTCGTACTTAATTTAAGTTAACGAAGAGAGAGGTAAGGTAGTTAATTATCTCCCTTCTTGAGAAAAACTTTGTCTAAGAATCCTGTGTAATACGTAGTTAGAGGTGTCTCTAAGCGTCGCCTATCGTGCGATTAAAGACATAGAATATTTTGTCCTCCTTATCTTAGAAGTAGTCTCCGTTGTTATCTTAGTCCTTAGACCCTCTTTATAAAGGCTTTTAGTAGTAGGCTTCTCCCCCTTACGTAACCTACCCGCTCCTACCCCGACCCCTTATACCGACCCCGCCCCTGGCCCGTACCTACCCCGGCGCCTACCTACCTTTAGCCTTTATTTTACTATTTTGGGGGGTAGGCTATAATTAGCTAGAGGTAGTCGGAGCGGGGTAGGGTCGGATTAGGGCCGGTGGAGAAACAGCTATATAATGTGACGAAACCGGTATCTAACTGAAGGTATCGAGTTCGAAGGTTGGTATGCAAAGAGAGATGACAATATATCACTGTGTGTTTACTTGGAAGTAAACTCGTCACTTGTACAAAGTCGTCAAAGTCAAAAGGTATTGATAACTGTGTAAAATAAGTTGGGCACGAAGCTCCTATCTAATGGCAGAGGTGCCAGTCATATATAGAACCTTCGTTCTTCTGGAGCTTGGAGGGAGCTCAAGTGTGACAGTTTTTGATTTAGTGAATAAGGGTTCGCTTAGCGAAGTTGCGGGTGTACCCTTCCGTAGATAGACAAATACCTAAGGAGTGCGAAGAGCGTCTCTCTTCCCTCCTTGCGAACAATCTATTCCTTGATCCCCACCATAACATCAAGATCCTCAAGCTCCAACCGAAGCTCCTGCAAGCTCCAACGGTCATGTGACTACGTCATGTGATACTAGCCAAGAGAAATCCCTGGATCGCTTAGCCAGTCTAAACGATCCCATTTGCTATAGGAGTATTCAATAGTGCTTGACCTGTCAGGACGCCGCCTGGTCTTCACTTGTCACGTGAGCACGTGATTCGTGACATATAACTAGCGGCTAAGGGCTAAAATAACTCCGTGACTTCTCATCTTACCTTATATTTAGATCTTCTAACTTAGGAACGTGGAATTAGTTCCGTTAGAGAGAGGTTATTAGTTCGGTAGTTTCTTTAAGTATTTATAGTTAGTACTATAACTTAGTATTATTAATACTAGGGGTTATTTTATAAATTGTACTCTATTCTAGGTATAATAATTATAACTTTAATAGGGTTTTTACCCTGTTCGCTACTAAAGCTACCCTAGTAAAACTATAATTATGGTATTACGTGTAACGAATACTCAAACTGGCTAACTAAACTTGGCTGGGTGTTCGCTGGTTGGTATGCTATGATAAGAAGAAGACTATCGGGTTGTTCACTTGGAAGTGAACTCGTTACTTGTATCAAAGATGTCAAACTAATATGATAAGATTGATAACTAAGTTGAGCACGAAGCTCCTATCTAATGGCAGACGTGCCAGTCTTATATAGAACCTTCGTTCTCTCTACATCGCCTACATCACCTGTCGATGTAGTCGACCTCCTATCGCTAACATCGACTGTCGATACAGGCGATGCGATTGATCACGTGACTACATACACGAGAAATCCTTGGATCGCTTAGCTAGTCTAAGCATCCCTATTTGCTATAAGAAACCTGGATGTGCCTGTCGAGGGTTGCGCCTCTTTATTATGACAAGTATCACGTGAGAACGTGATTCGTGTCACGGATGCCAACAAAGGATAAAGTGTATACAGCTTTTGAATCAATTGCTAGAACTAAAACCGTAGGTACGAAGAAATCAAACTAAAGAGAGAAGAGAATCTGAAAGGAGCGAAGTTATTTTAGTTGTTCCAATGCCAAGTCTCGTCACGTGCTTGGCCAAGCGAATGAAATCCTGTCAAATGAAATCCAGCTCCGTCACAATTCGTGACATTACGTCTAGGATAAAGTAAACTAGACTAATCTTACTAACGAACTTTACTAGGTAATTATAAGGAGGACTATCTAGGTATAGTTTTTACCTACTAAGGTTTTCCTATACTTATTACCTAAATATAAGAGAAGTAGATATATATCTTTAGGGTAGGTAGTAGATATCGCGGTATAGAAAAACTCCAATATAACGATATAAGCTATAAGAATACCTCGGTTATATCCTTGAATTTCTTAGTTCTAAAATATTTTTTATACTTAAAATAACCTTGCCCTAAGGAGAACCTCGGTTAAATCCTTATAGATACTAGGAAAACCGATATACTAGTATTAAAGGTTTCCTATATACGTTATATAAACTAGTTCTTACTTTCCTTTTAATCTTATTTCTATTATTTCTCTTCCTGGTTTTGTAGCTACTTTCTTTCGCTCTACTTAATACGTAATCTAGTATGATCCTCTCTCCTCGATAGTAATTTATTCTTCGTTCCTCGGATCCCCAAAAGAGACTCTAGAATTCTCCCCTGAGACCCTTATACTGAGATTGCTTAATACGGCCAACGGTGTTTTATACTTCGGTTTCTATAAAATAGAACCTCCCAATTAGCTCTAACATGCTAAATGTTATTAGCTGTGAGGGTTGAAACCCATGATGGAGGCTCGGGCCATGCCCTCGCTAAGCACTGACCAAAGTCCCCGCTCAGCACTGGCCATTCCCCCACTGCCAAGCAAGTCTCTGCTGTTCCATACTTTTCTGTTCTATTCTTTTGACATCATATATTCGTTAGGCAGCTTCCTGGAATATTCCAGAGACTCTTCCTCTCTCTATATATAGAGGAAGAGCTTGCATGTATGTAGTCTTCACGCACTTCTTAATTGAATATTCGAAACCTCACCTTTGAGTTGTTCAAGGTCTGGCCTCTCACATTAGCAAGGATTCCTCTATATGTAGGCGAAGGATAAGCACTTAAATCTAGCCAGCAGATATAAAATAAAATCAATAATAAGCCTTTTATAACGTATAACGAGTGAACAATAAATGCGACATTACCCCATAGACGTTAAGGAGATAATGGTGAGGTTTAATTATAGGCAAGAACAGATTCTAAACCTTGTAATAACCTTTACTAATGACAGCTTTCATTCCATGTCCTCAAGGGAGTACCCGCGGCGGTTTTACTTCGTCCTAGGCATAATAATTATAGGTTTGCTAGGGTGGCTTTAGCAGAGAATAAGGTGAAATCCCCCGTAAAGTTATATTTATTATACCTAGGACGAAGCATAACCACCCTCGCGACGAGGTTAATCTAATTCATATCTACTATTTCGACGAGGTCGATCCGCTTCGTAACATTCCGTTCGATGCTTACTATCACGACCTTGACCACCTCTATCGTATTCGAATAAAAGTTATTCTCACGACGAGAGAAAGCTAGGCGAGAACGAGGAGATAACCTCAGAAGAGTATAACTAACACATAATATAATAGTGGTGTTAATGAAAGAACTACTCCACCCACCGAGTGCTTAGTAAGCATATATTCCTCCTTCACTATAAACCACTGCTATTTGTCTCGCTTAAAGCACCCCTATAAATCCTGATTCGCGCGATACTACATCTACTCCTAGCCTAGCTTAATCTCTCATAAGGCTCTCTACAAAGTGTTAACGTATAGACGATAGGTTTTTACATGGTAGGAAAGTTAGAGTAAAGTTCGATTTAAAGAAATGTCGCTGAAAGGTTTAATCGGAATTTTAGATAATTTTGTAACGTTCTAGATCGGGGTGTACTATGGAATAATTTTATATACTTCGTCCTAGGTATAATAAATGTAACCTTTACGGAAGTTTTACCCTGTTCTCCACTAAAGCCACTCTAGTAAACCTACAATTATTAAGCCTAGGACGAAGTAACTCGTCTCATGTACTGAACTCTAATCTACTCTACGCTCTCTAAATACCTCTTATAGTATATAACCATGCCCTAACATTACTTTCTAACCAAAAGAAAATCAAAGCAGGTTTACTTCAAGGTATAGCACTTCGCCCCTGTCTGTAGGCGAAATAAATGTAATCTTTTCAGGGGGTTTTAACCTGTCACTAACCTTAGCTACCCTAGGAAAATCATAATTGTTTCACCAATGACGAGGTATAAACTCCTTTCTAACATACTTCGAAGTATTCTACCAAAGATGGGGCCACGTTTACTTGTGTTAGAGTCATGCGGCCCTGCCATGTCCCATGTATATAAGTGTAGTTTCCACTCACTTATAATCCCTCAGGCACCTTCTTACCACCTCTTCTCTACCTGATACAGCTATCACTATACACACTTCCAAAGATTTACCTCCTATATCAAAGCCTACTCGACAAAATGAAATCTCCGACACTACTAGCGGTCGCCTTCTTAGCCATTGGTGTAGCCTCTGAATACCATACTAAGGCTGCATGTACCAACAACGGAGTAACCGATAAAGTGTTGACAGAGAAGGTCTGCACGTTTTATAAAACCGATGGCTTTAAATGGAATGAGAAAGATGATCACTGTCCTGATTGTTCATACTCCATTGGCCCCCCCGCAGCATGCACCAGTCCACATCAGCGCCTAGCGGGGAATCAGTTCAAACAATTATGCGTGCAAAATGGTACCCAAGATTGGACACGCGATCCCAAATGAGTTCATTGGAAAGAAGTGGAGGGATGGGGGTGGATTGGGGGCGAGGGTGGGGTGGACTTTGCGAAGACGACGATTACGACACTCGAGAGATCGCCACTTTTTCAAAAGATAATTTCCTTACGTCCTTGCACCAATGTCCTATAGTGGTATTATCAATGGAAATGATAGCGACCAGAAAGACCTTCTCAGTTGTACAGATAACATCGTGTTCTCCCATGCTCTCCTGTGCGCAACACACAATTAGCAGATGTGGCAGACTTTGTTGGTTGATTGAAAATAAACAAAGGATCCTGAAGGATATCGTGAAAGAGAGATACAAGGGTCCTGGCCGTTGATAAATCAGAAATCAAAATAGGGAGTCCTTACCTCTTCTGCTTATCTAAAATAACATTAAGCAATTTTGGCAGAATGAATTACCAAGCCATAAAACTATCAACTCCAATTACATTCGTTGAATATCCCGAATCTTATTACTTAAAACATCATCGCAACACATATCGAACAGCTATTGATATCCCACGGGTCCGCTGGCCTATCTTTGCCCCTATTGAAATCTCTATTGTTGACGATGCAACCAACCCACTCTCGTCAACTCGTCCATATTTTGATCCTCACACAAAGAACTTTTACCATATCCCTTCAGCTGCGGCCAGAAACACCTTATCGCGCCCTTTGCAGGGAGTGGAACACCAACTTTCTTAGTATCTGTGAGGGTTGGAACCCATGATGGAGGCTCGGGCCATGCTGACCAAAGTCCCCGCTCAGCATTGGCCATTGCTCCACTGCTAAATTGGTTTCTCCTTTTCTACACTTTTCTACTCTATTCTTTTGACGTCACGTATTTGTCAAACAGTTTCTTGGAAGACTCCAGAAACTCTTCCTCTCTCTATATATAGAGGAAGAGATTGTATGTATGTAGTCTTCACGCACTTCTTAATTGAATATTCGAAACCACACCTTTGAGCTATTCGAGGTCTGGCCTCTCACAGTATCTTTGATTATATATTGTTCTACTTCTATAACATCTAAATGTATACGACTAGATACTAAAGATATAAAGACTCGCCGTCTAGATATTTACCCATAAAATAATCTAGAATATAATAAGAATACTACTATAATACTACGAAATCACCTTACTTGTAGAAATAGACGTCAAGAGGGTTATATTAGGCGCAATTGTTAATAACAAGTAAAGAGAGATAGTATAGTATTAAATCACCTTTGCCTATAATAGATGCGACATCTAGTTATATTTTATACCCAAAAACTCGTGAAGCATTGGGTCCTATTGGATCGCTAAAGACTCTTGCAGTGGGTCGCAAAAAGGTGTTTCTGGCCGCAGCTGAAGGGATAGCCAAAGCCTTTGCAGCATACCACCCAGTATCAAGCATGAGCATCGGAATCGATTGTTTTAATGTTGTTTATACATTTCTTTTCGAGGTTTGCGAATACGGCGATGACGAAGAACCATATCGCGAATGCTAATGCTTCCCTACATACCCTACACCAGAAACCTTGACAGTTATGAATGATCGAGGCGAACCCACTCATCGCGGCTGTTGGTCTTCATTGTAATGGCTACAAAGATGAGATTTTGGGCGCTATAGGGGTACAAGAGTGCGGCAGAGTTAATGATACTTCAACAAAACTGCCTTCAGATTCTCAAATATACGTTACAAGCTTCGTTATACGACTTGGGTTACAAAGTATTAGCGGTGATAAGGATAAAATGGCTGCTCTCTGGGTCTCTGCGGCTCACCATGCGACGAAGATAAAGAGGTTGGGCTATTAATCCAATTGCACCTGGGGAACTTCCAGAAAGGATTATTGGTTGGATCGAATCTTCACCAATGCCGGACGAGGAGAAAGGGCGATTACAGGAGGATCTATCAAGAGAGATGTAGCAAGAGGGCCGCGAGTGGATAGCTTCACGAATTGATAATGACATTCCCTAAACAGAAACTGGAAGCAACGTGATGAATAGTATATATTGGACAGAAGTTTTTTAATGGTAGAAGTGTAACTTTTCAATATCTCTAATAGGTGGACCCGATAACATACGAGACACCGATAAGACAAAAAAACAGTTTTAAACTCCTAAAGAAAAAAAAAATACAAATCCAATCCTATTCTGTTATGCAAACTTAGTCGAGGTGCGTGGACTAAGCCGTATTTGGTTTTTGCTAGTGGGTAGGAATCCACCAGTTTGTAGACGAGCGTTGAGGTTGAAGGGTTTCTAAGAGACCCGCGAGGAATCGGAGTCGCTTTAATCACGATCCCGCCTCCCCATGAGTTCTTAGGCAGGTTTAACGAGCGAAGAGGTGGGAAGAGGTTTCTGGGTGCTCCCACAGGAACTGGTCGACCTTTGATATTGTATAGATTTTCCCGAAACAGTTGGATCGGTTTACTCGTTTGGCTCGAAATCATCTCCGATGTCTTCTGGGTCGCTTTCGTAGTCACTTTCGAGATCGCTTTCAAGATCTGAATCCTTCTCGACGGATTCGGAGACGTCACGCTTCTGGGTGGGACCCTTGGGGCCATTGGGACTCTTGGGAAGTTTAGCATCGTGGAAAGCCTTGGGGTTGTTCATCAATGTGTGGAAGATATCAAGGTTGAAGCCACCAGGGGTTGGAGGTTTTTGGTTCGAGGGGTGTGCAACCGAAGGGTGTGGACGTTGTGAGCCGAGTTTGAGGGCACCAAAATTGGTCGCTCTCTTCTCAAGGGATTCATTGGCAATAAAATTACGCTTGCGATTAGGACCTTTGCGACTACGACCGATCGGACCTTTGCGATCAGGTACCGTGGGTATTGGCGGTGGTGGTGGTGGCGCCCACCACGGATCGTCCGAGTTACCACGGTGTGGACCGGAGGCTTTTGGTCTTCCTACTCGTAGTCCTCTCTTCAAAAGAGATTCGGGAACATCTGGCCGCAGGCGGGGACTGAGTGGTGGTGATACATCTGGCCCAGGTCTAGGCCTCTTTCCGTCTGCCTTGCTTAGACGCACCTTACGGAAAGGTCTCAGTCCTACTCCTCTCTTGTCAAGGGATTCAGCAAGAACTTGACGTTTACGTTCACGTTTGCCAGGTGCTGGTCGAGGACGTGGACGTGGAGGCGATGGAGATGGTTCTCTAGGCCTCTTTCCGTCTGCCTTGTACAGACGGAACGGTGTTGGTCGTCCTAGTCCTCTCTTCAAAAGAGATTCGGCAATAACTTCAGGCGCAAGGTTGCCGTCGGTGGCTGCAGGTATTGCGGAGACCAGAGTGGCGACAGCCGCCGCAACGGCAAGGATGTTGGGAAACAACATCCTAAAAAGTCGTGGTGTAGAAGTGAACTGTTTAAAAGAGTGCTACTAAGGCTGTGGAAGCCGAAGAAGAAGAAAAAAGATCAAAGTATAAGAACGAATGTGGTGTTGAGAATAGAACAAAAAAAATCCCGAAGGAAAGAAAAGAAGGAGAAGAAGACTGTAACGAAAAGGGTGAAGAGCCAAAAACTACTGTAGAGGACTTCTCTCTTATATACAATGTGTCACTGCTGAGCGCCCAGGAAAACAACACCTACATCACTGTTCTAACTCGGCGAAGAAAATTTTCCTACACACCCAAGCTACAATTTCCGTTGGCACGTACTGTCAGCGTTTAAAAAAAGGCTGCGACATGATCACCCCAAGGGTTTGTCGATGGGATATAGCCAAGTCCAAAACCCTTTGCTAACTTGCTGGGCAGAAGTGAACCTCCCTCGATATAAGGAGGTTCTCGGTTATATCCCGAATTTCTTAGGCAAGGGTTTAAGAAATATCCTTGATAAAAATCTATCATCAGTTTTTCAAGTCCTAAAAACCTTTTTGTACTGAAAATATCCTTACCTTTATTCTTAGAAGCTATGAATTTGTTTCTTACATAATTTACCGTGATGTATCGTCTCTTTGATTTACCTGTAGACATGTGGTTAGGAGGACAGAAGATAGAGCAGATGTTGGCACTGTTAGCTTTTAGGCTCCTCAGAGATCAGCTCTACTCACATCCACTTCGTGCTGGTCAAAGAGTGCAATTAGAATAATACTAAAACGAACCGAGTAGGAGAAAGAAGGCCTTGGCCGCAGACTTCTAGCCACTCAGAATGTAGGCTCTGGACAATGTGTACTGCCATCCACTGTCGTCCCACTCACATGCGGCGCAGTGGAAAGACGCACTGACTATTAGAGCCGATTTATCACGGTATTTCTCCCCTCCCGGTACCGAAGAGGCGGATGGCTTCAGTAAGGGTCACACCCTGCTACCTAGTTCATAAAACGGCTCGGCCCTGATTTTCAGTGAAGTCATCGGAGACTTGCGTTCCGGAAGAAATAAATTTACCGCCCGTGATTTTCATACTTCTACTAGTAAATTACGTGCTTTGACGAAGTACGAAGTAGCTGTCCCCTCCACCCTCCTTGCCGAATCAGCACCCTTTTCGTCGCCTATGCCGAAACCCTCGCTATAACTTATAAGGGTCCTCTGTCTCAAAGGTTTTCTGTACTTTTTGGCATGACAGTAAGCTGTAAACATCTGAGACCACTGACCAGTTTTCCCTTTAGGCTTTCGCACTCTCAATTAAGCAAACTACACGTTTCATTTGGGAATTCATTAAATGGTAGCCAACTTGGCCTGTGCACATCTGGCACAAAACGTAGGCACTTAGCGAATTTAATACTACACAACAACCAAAAAATCATATCCCACTAACCCCAACTTCTAGCCCTAACCCTAACCAACCATCCTATCTTAAATTTCTACTTCTATTAGTGAAAAAAAATATAGGGTGTTCTAGTAGTATTTTAGTAGTGGAGAAGGTGTGGGGAGCCACGTGGTGGCCAGTGCGTAGGCTTATATGTGTATTATTTATGCTAAGGTGGCTATCATTTAATCGATTCCTTCATTTGCAGACAGACAAAATCTTTGCCGTCTTTTTGTTTCACAGACGGACAAAACGACAATAGAGCTGGCTGGTCGGCTCTCCCTATAATGATACGTGTAGTCCGATGATGAGTAGCGAGGACATACTGGATACTCGAGTACAGATCTCTCAATGGCCAAAACCGGGCTCCCATTGACTTCAAGAATCGAAATCGTTCATGAACACGTCACCAGCCGTGTTCGTTGCGAGTGGAGATTCAAGGTTAATCGAGAGTCATGTTTCTAGAAGGTCTCACTTCGGCTTACGCCATGTGGCACCTGGCCCCACTTCCCGCCCAGCATTGAACATTCGGTAGAGAATATGTGGATAACTTCTTGTATTGAATAACCATTGGCCCAACTTGTCCCGAAGGACATTCGCAAACTGCTTATTTCTACTACTTCGTACCAATACACCCCTTGGTTCCAGGTTCAGTCCACCCACTTCGGCATGTCCAGGGCAGTTTGCAAATGCTATCTTTGGCCATTCTTACTACTTCGTATAAGAGCCTCAGGTCGCAAAGCGTCTGTGCTGCGAGCCCCAATTTAAATTAGGATAATCTTTGGCACAAGTCCATGAGACACTAAAAATAGCCTAATGATATTTGTCTTTGAAGTGACATAGACCCCCAGCCAGTTTACAGTGGGTGGCCAGGTACCTGTAAAGTGGCCCCAGGTCAGTGCGAAGTAATATACTATTATCGTCTTCGCCGCCACCTTCTCGTCGCTGAACGTCATATACTTATTATTTTTGGTGTTTTTACAAATTGAAGATATATCCAAGAACTCATGTTGAAGCCTAGCTGCTTCCAACAACCCAAGAACTGTATTCACCATAACCCCCTTCTCAAACATGTATTTAGTACAGCTTTACTCATCTGTTGGAGGGAAACCCCCAGCCGTGCTACTATAGTCTCAGACTCACACAGCACGTTAAAAGGAATAATAATAATAATAATAATAATAAGAACTCATGTTTTCAACTAGACTAAACTATTTGAACCATATATTCGTAGCTTGCGAATCCCATTCGCCCTCGGCATCCAACTCTAATTCGTCGTCTTCACCGTCAGCATCTTGCGGATTTATAACGGTATAGATGCTGAGGATTCCATTCAAAAGAGTTCTGGGTGTCGGCTACGGGAATAACCTCATTTTAGTATCACGTGTATCATCAGATATTGTAGGTACTAAAAATAACTTCAAGGGTACCTGGCCACCCACTGTAAACTGGCGAGGGGTCCATGTCACTTCAAAGACAGTTATCATTGTTTCAAAGACAAATATCATTAGGCTAAAACTAAAGCCTGAATGCAGGCTCCGACTCGCCACCTTGTGAAAAGGGATTAACATTCAACCAATGCATCGTACTTTGAAGTATAAATTCACAACATGAATCCACCGTTTCTACGGCAAGAAAGTGAGAAGAACCGGGAGCAAGTCTCTCATGGGCGTAAACACCTACCACGGTAGAGTGAGATAACCAAAAAAAGCGGTAATACTTATTAATAATATGATATTATTATTTTGGATTTTGGATTAGGCCTATATAACGAAAGGTCCTACGGAATAACTATCGAGTCCTATTCTAAAGCAAGTTATTAATTAATATAGGTATTAATTATAGTAATCTGGGTATTAATTATAGTAATCTAGGTATTAATTATAGTAATCTAGGTAGGTACTCCGTAGAGGGCGTAGACGTCGTTAAATAGACGTCGGCTCTGTTTGTAAACGAGTACTTGTAAGTAGCTACGGAAAAGTGCAGTAACCACTAGCACCTCTAACATCCAGTCTCCTTTCTTATCTCAAAATAACGCTAACCAAATCATTCGAATAAAAAAGGATAACAAAAACAGCGTTTGTGGTTTAGTGGTAAAATCGATGCTTGCCAATACCCGTGGATAACCCGGGAATACATAATGCATTGGCCCCGGGTTCGATTCCCGGCGAACGCAAGCTATCCGCTTCCCTTTTTGCCGCTTATTGCTGTGCTTGTTGGAGCGTTGTGGTTGCGGTTGTTGGAGATGGCGGGATTCTGCGAAGGATTTTTTTTCGGTTGTGGGGCTAAGCGAAGTGGTTCGTACGCGGTCTTGGCGAGGATGGATGTCTTGGCGGGACCGCGCTCCCTCCGTAAGCGGACAAGAAAAGTGGTAGAGACTTTTGTTTATCTTAGCCTAACTTAACTAAAAACCATTCTATTATATTATTTACTTCGAACAATCAAAATGATTCATCTAAAATGCTAGAACAATCAAGTTAATTATTCTAGATATTTGAAATATTTTAGTACTTGGAAGTAACTTACGCTAATAGTTAAACCATAACTCTCCGTCACTTTTCTAATCAACCGGGAGTTAAGTACGTACTAGACTAGGTAGATAAAATAAGCGATAGATTTTACCTAAATTCCCATACTCTACCCACCAGAAACTAAATATAACTAAGATTTTAATAACCCATTTCCAAGGTTAATGTTCTCAAGGTACCACCCCTTCGCAAAAGTAGTAAGAAGTTTCCGCGACCCTAGAAACTATAGGAATAGGTAATTCACATACAAAATACCTTGTAAACTACTCTATAATACACTAATAAGATATCCTGGATTCTTGCTACTTTTGCGAAGAGGCTGTAGATATCCGGGGTCTCGTCTCAAGTTTCTAGCTCTAATATCCCTGCTAGAAACCAAAGTGCTGGGTAAAACATATACCGAAAGTAGATACGATAATTAGGTTAAATATAGAGTTGAATACTTGGAAAGGCTACTAGATTAGCGAAACGACTTTGCTTTACGAGGAAAAAGGGAAATGGTAGATCCTTTTTCCTTACGGAGTACTACGGAGTACTAAGTACTTTGGGGGAAGGTTTTTGGCGTTTGGAAGGGTTGTTGAAGAGGATTATTTTGAAGTTCTATGGGATTTAGGTAACATAGCAGAAGTTCAAAGGCAAAAGTCCATGAACATTTCAGTTGCAAGACCGAAGAGTTACTATCCCTTCCAGATGCGAGAGTCACAGTAAAAAACGTGCACGCAAAGTGGATAAGGGTGGGAGTAAAACTAGGTTAAATCGAGGCTTGATTCGCTTGAATGCTTGGAAACATTATCTGGTTGGCCAGGCTCCTTCGTTTTATAGGGAAGATATAGTGAAAGTAGATGCTTTTACTCTACCTTGCGTGTACGTTTTTTACCAGTGTATTAAATAAGTAGAGTAGAGTAGAGTAGGGGCACCTACTCAACACTACTTAAGGAGGTTTTAGCCCTACTCTAATCTACTCTAACCTACTCGCCAAGAATTAAGTAGGTTAGAGTACTAATTAAGTAGAGTTGTACTAGTCGGTCCGAGGCCTTGTAGTACACCCGAGGTACTTCGTTATAATATTAGAAGGTAAATAGCGTAAAATATACTATTTACCAATTTTAGCAAGGAAATATTTACAAATGCCTGCGATAAGTACGCTAGCGAGTAGCTCTTAGTTAAGGGGCTAAAGTTCTACTAAAGAGTACTTATTATTTTATATTTTAGTTACTATTATATAACTACTTAAGTATACTTAAGTAGTTAAATCTACTACTCTAACCTACTTAACTAGACTATATACTCAAACCTACTCTAACCTAATTAAGTATAACCCGTGTGTACTTGATTAGCTGAGTATTTCTTTCTTACGCTGTTTTTTACTGTGGCTCTCAAATCTGGAAGGGATACTCGAAATATCATTTCATTTCTAGTCCCCCACTGCAATGAACTTCCGGAAAACTCTAGCTACCCCCTAACATCCTTCAACAATCCCAACCCCACAACCCCATCCCTCCACCCCTCCACCAAATCCCCCGCCCAAAACTCCATCGCACCACCATCCATCAGCTCCCCCACACCACCCGCACCCTCAGCGCCAGTAACACTATCAAGCGCTCTATCAATCCAACCACCCTCGTCCATTCCTTTCTTGATAGTCCCCACCATCTGCAACGTTTTCTGGATGATTTCTCGTGCAAGCGCCTCCGTCTTTTTGTTTGCGTCGAGTTGGGAAGGGTGGATTTCTTTACTGGGTATCTTGGATTGAAAGTCGACGAAGGATAGGATATGCAAAGCAAGGGAGTGTGCGGTGAAAATGGCATGAAGGACGTGGCCGAATGCTGGTATTAAGTCCTTGATTCCAGCGAGAAGTTCGAGTGAACTTGATAGGGCATTACGAAGATCCTCGTTGTGAGCTTCTAGTCGGGACTCGAATTTCTGCTCTTTCCAGAATGAGGGTGAGAGCGAGGAATGTAGAATATTGGATATCGCTTCGTAACATTTCCGTGCGCAATTTTCTGGTTTGGTGAGGTAGGTAGATGGATCTTTGACTTTGGGGAAAACCAATGGAGTAGCGAGGAACGCTTTCAGTGAGGCTTGATCTACTGATTTTGTTGTTGTTGATGGCATCAATAGTTGCAGGAGCTTCTCAGACACAAGGTTTAGACGTGTGCGATATTCCTGAAATGCGTTAGAGAAAAGCTTGAAAATTGGGTCTGCTAACTTACTGAAGGAGCTGGTACAAAGCGAGAAAGCTCCTCAAAACTATATCCGATAGTCCCCTCATAATCAGGAAACGATTCATAGTCATTCGTATCGCAAATCATCGTTTCTAAGCTTTCGGGATTGGGAGCTATCAAGAACGTCAGTTTTTGTGCTGATCTAATGAATTTGAAAAGACTTACAAAGGATATCGTAACCTCCATCTGACACACTCTTGGAAGGCAATAGACGATTTATTCTCCGTTTCTCAACAACAGACATGACGGCCGAAAATGAGCATTCAAGCTTTTCTGTAACCTCCTTGAGCTCGAAAATCGTATTATAACTTCCATGCTTGTAAGAAAGCCAAGTGTTCCTACTGATCTGACCACGGGAGCCTCTATAGAGTTTCTGTTGCTTTTCGAGGCTTTCCAAAGGAGTTCTGTACGTCGTTTCCTGCGACGCGCTAAATCGGTGTGGATGAAAGGTCGATATGCGGTCAAATAGTGTATAAGAAAGCGTATCAAGTTGAATCTGCTTGAGGGCGAGGTTGTGGTGGGCACGCATGGCTAACGATCCATTACCTAGATAAGTGTAAAGTCGTATGAGAAGAAACCAAATTTGCGAATTTGGTTGAGAAATGCTGGCTGCTTGTTCAAGTAGAGCAACTGCTTGTAGAATATAAGAGTTCTTTGGGCTCAAAAGAGAATCTTCTGATCCTTCGGAGCTGATCATAGAAAGCTTGATCAAACAAGTTGCAGCCAAAATAACAAGATCATCAGCAGGATGTCTATCTGTTGGAAGTAGATCCCAACTTTCGCGTCCCCCGTCAGCTGCGGCCAAGTATAGTTTTGTAGCATCAACCGCAAAACTTCCAAGACATTGGGAGCAGAATACAATACAAGGCCGGGAATATGAAAAGCACGGTGCTTCTGTAGGACCTGCATGCTGTTTTGGTTTTGAATGTCGCTCCTGCTCTGGTAAACTACACGAGAGAAGATATCTCAATTTGTACGAGTTAATGTGTTCCGCGAGCTTCTTCTCAGTTTTGAACTACAGTTGAATAAACATTAGCATTCTCTTGAATTGAACAATAGTCAGAAAGAAAACTTACTCCTGCATATTCGGGCTTGGTGGCTTCCCCCTTTTTTGGCTTTGTATATCCTAAATGACCTGGGTCTCCAAAGACTCCATGTTGCGTCAAGATTTCCAATAAGCGCTTGCGTTCATCAGCATTCAGCTGCTGAACGTATGGCTTGAGATCTGTAAATGCAGTAGTAGCAGTTCCATATTGTTTCAAGTATTTTATGATAATCGGAAGCCGATCCTGAGAAGAGTCTGATCTTTGAGCGAAGGTGTTGGTATTCGCAAAAGAAATCTTGACCCAAGCTAATGAAGCATTTCGTTTCCAGCTCTTGTCTACTTCGCACTTTGGATCTTGGTGGGCTTCTACCTCAGCCACTACTGCTTCTCTATATCTAGAAGTTATTAGTTCCGATATGGTAAAATAGCATTTAAAGAAACTCACTCGTGACCTTGTAACTCGATTGCTGAGCGGATAAAGGAATCCCAAACGATCCAATCACTGAATCCGGTTTCTGATAACTGACCAGATGCATCTTTTGTGCGAGCTCTTTTGAGTAAAGATTGGGTAGTGTCAAACAACTCCTGCCAGCTTTTTACTTCGCCAAGGAGAATCAACTTGAATCTCCACAACTGCCACTCACTTTTAGCAATGACCGATTCCGGACCTAGATTGGGATCTTGCAGATATTCTAATCTCTGTTCTGGTTTTCCGAGAGTCTCCGTTATCCTATGCAAGAGGAGCAATTCCTGGGGCGTGTGGATTGATCGCAGTGGAAGTTGCTTCGGATCCTGCCAAAAAGAGTTAATCTTACCCGATCAAAAGGCTTGGGTGGCAATCTATTTGCTTACTGCGGCTGTTTTGGTTGCGGCTGCCAGTTTTTGTATTTGGGCAAATGCTAATGTGCCCCATAATTTCCGTGTCTTCTCTGGGTATGAAGATGATACCTATCAGGGGGTTAGTGACGTGTCTAATGAGAAGGCTTGCCAGATTTACGCTGTAGAGAAACATGGTGGCAATATTCCAGAAGATGTATGCATGGTTGCTCGGGAAGCTCTTCTCCAAGCTGTTAGAAATCTGAAGATAAAATTAGCTATGCCATTTTTTCTTCATCCATTTGATGCTTTAGTTCCCTCCTTCACTGTCTCCATCAGGGATTCAACCCACCTGCCGTGCATGATCGATGTCGTTCTTTTCAAGACACGCTTCGAAACACTTTTTGCTAACGTCTTCATTTTTTGGGGTTGCTTTCACACACTGCCATCGTGCTTCACCAATTATCCGAATCCAGTCATCTCGAGGCTCGGGCACAACTTCGCCATAGGCCTCCTCATAGAGCTCGATAGCTTCAAGGTCCGTAAGAGGCTGTTTTCTCTTGGGCAACTCCTCCAGGTGAGCGAGAACGGCAGTCTGCTCAGAAGCCAGTGGCGATCTCGCTCGAATAAAAATCTTAAGCGCCTACAAACGTCATGTCAGCAGCTGAGATCAAAATTTAAATTTATATCCGTCACGTGATAATCGATTCTTCGTGCAGAATTCCGCACTCAACATGGGGTCTACTGATAGGAGGAGGGACTCACCTGGAGATAATCGCTTGGTTTTTTGGCCAGCCGTTTATCGACTAGCTTGAGGGCCTGCTTATAGTTGCTAGCCTCAATCGCATTCCAAATCGGGGCATCCTGACGATCCTTGATCATCTGGTCCGCCATTGTGCGCCCACTTCTGATCAGCGCAAGCTCATGCGGCTTGAACTCAAAAGCCAACCTATCTGGATGTTGGATGCCGGGGCGTCCGGGATTAAGGGCGAAGGGTTGTGGCTGATTTATGAGTATGTAGGCGAATTTTGTTGGTGAGTGAAGGGCATTTAGTTTCCCAGCAAGGGAGAAAATGGCCGATTCGCCGAGAGCGTGCACTAATAGCCAGGAGGGTCAATGAGGCCAAAATTCACCACTTTGTACCTGCCTAGTCATTTATGTGAAAATGATTCTGTAGTAACTCTTGAACCATATGTAGGTAAGAGCTCACTACATTACCCACAGCCCTTTTCTTTTTCACACCAAAAAAGTCGGAATTTGCTACCACTCTTGTCTAGACCTGATTTATCTTTTGGTCTCGGCTGTTAAAATCCTGCAAGATGCCCTTTCAAAAATGTCTACAATTTTCGCATATAGATGAGTTGAGGTAGTTGAAATGAGAGTGCATTATGCTAGTAACAGAAGGGTCAATATATGGCAGCACGGGCGCTCTATCAGTATTGTCCCAAACTCTTACCAGAAGGAGAAAAGAGTAAATTGACTTGTGACATTGAGAAAAAACTTCAGTAGTGAACTAGAATATCTGGGAAAGCAATTCAAACACCCTCATGCAATTCGTCTTATCATTTCCATATATCATACAAAATATCATGTGGTGTCGTATAGCTTTCGAAGAGAACGATAAACTTCCAATCCCAAAGCCATTCACATGAGAGTATACAATTGTATCGCCAAATGACATAAAGAAGATGCGAGGACCTAACCACCAGATTCCTCCAAGGCCATTTTCCGTGTACTACCACCTATGTATAGTACATATCTTACACTCAAATCCCGCCAGCCTTATGGCAAATGTATGCCCGCAGCGGCTGTCAGTCATGAAAACCATCCCTTTCCCTTTTTGGCCTCCTTTCGATCTGCAATCTAGAAGCACGCGACACGTCAGTAACCATCCATGACATGACCTCCCCACTAGCGGTGTGTTTACGAGAGAATGACACTATGTCCACCCTTGCGAGCCGTTCATAGCCCATAATAGCTCCCGAACAGGCGGTCAAAACCCAGGCCAGTTTGGAACTGGAAGCACGGATGAGTGCATGAGGAGCAAAATACCAATCCTAGAATTATAACGGGAAAATTTCACTCACCCATTGTTTCTTGCAATCTCGATATGCACTGGGAGACGTATCAGCAAAAGAGTCAAATCAAACAGCAACCCAACTTGGTGTAATTCTCGAAGCTGGTAATAGATAAGACCAACAGAGGTATCACATAGATCAACCACCCGCGTCAAGCCAAACTTGGGGAACCCTTGCAGCATGAAAAGGACGGATGTGACCTCAAGATACAACCTCACTTGAAGGTCATCCACTTGAATATAAGAAAAGAGAGTTCTTATCGCCACTTGACAGCGAACCCCAGTCACCCAAAGTTTTCCAATAAATCGAGAAAGTCAAAAAGAAGAGATGGAGAAAGAGCAAATGAAGGAGGGAGGTGGAGGGGACACTGTAGTAAGGTAGTAGAAAACTCACGTAAAGTAGTCTGCACACATCTGTCTATCTCCACCGTTTCGGTGCAAACATTTCAGACTCCTATCTGCTGCCTCCTGACATGGGTCATAGTATTCCGAGAGCCGTTTGCTGTTGGAATATTAGCCTTGCATCCCCATCCCCAAACTAAACATCCAGCTGGAGCGCTGTGATAAATTGTATACCAGGAAAACGGCAGTCAGATTGATGCAATGGAAGATGCCGAAACCAACGTTATAAATAGGACTGTTGGAAGAGCAACGATGGAAAGGGGAATCACCTTTCAAACTTCTCACTGGTCTTCTTATCCCAAGGGCCTTCACCTTCCTGTGAGGGTGAGGGGTCTTTGGAAGACATGGCTAGTGGTGTTGATGCTGATATGGGGTGACTGCGGGAGGTGCCAGTCTTGACGTCCAGAACCCTAGTGAGAACCCACTGGCGTGGAAAATTGTCCGAGCTCGGTTCCGCGCTACTGAAGCGGCAACGCAGCTGCGGAACGGCAAAGTATCGGTTGGGCTAGCCGAGCTTGACTGGGCCGGGGGGCCGGGGTAAGAACCTTATTTTGTTATCGATAAGGGCAACCGCAACTCTCGACTGGAAATTCCCATCGGTGGAGAGATTATTCCCATCTCTCCACACGGAGTACCCCGTATATCATATCCCATTGCATGCCAACAACACCAGCGCGTCCGCTTCTCGGACTCCATTCGAGTGCTACTCTGCCTATAAATATCGTTGAAGGAGAATGTCAATCTTCTCGGCTACTGCCGAAGTCCCGCCTAAATGTAAGTACCTCAGCCTAGCAACTTTTCTGGCGTGTCCCATCCCATCCCCCGTTGTTGGTGCTCACAACTTGTACTCCCAACCTTATATATTACCAGTTTCACGTGTGAGACGACTTCTAATAAGCGCTACTAGAATATTCGCGTAAATGAGATGTTTTCTCTCCAAGTAGTACAATACAATATACAGCCAACCGTACGCTTCTGACTGCGTCTGTCACAGTAACACTATCCTTCTCTCTCTCCCATGGCAGCAATCGCACATGCTCCCTGCAGTTCCCAAGAGCCCAATCGCGGCCTGACATGAACCCACACCAAAAAAACACGATGACTTCACCCTGAAAACTGCTGGCCTCGTCCTTCGACGACGTCTCAAGATGGTTATGAATAAGCATCCCATGCGTCCGTTAACGGCATATGCATCGCGGCGGACCCCTAAGCGAGGCCTGTTTGTAGGTCGTGGAGTTCTTTATCGTCTAGTCTTCCATATCGGGTCATCAAATCCAGCACGTCGATAACTCCCCGCTTGGGTCAGTGTAGAGTACATTAGCCCTCCACACCTTGGAATCCTTTTCCTCCACTCTTGCTCTTACGTGTCTCCACAACCAAAGCCTGAAATGCGCAGTTTGGTAATATGTGCTGTAGTTGGCGAACCCCAAGAGTGACGAGTAATGACACTGATAGTCGCAGAGCGAGCGTTCCACTCCCACTGTGGCCACCTAGGTAGTCTTCGACCAGACAACGCCCATTGATTGGATTGCTGCTCAAGACAAGCGCTGGAGCACTGCACTTGCTCCAATCGTTCCATGCTTTCAAACTTCCGGCACAATATCCTTTTCGAGAAACGCTTTCCATAGAACATCTCGCCCATGAAAGCTTCTGCATGGCCATCCGAGCATCCCAGTCCAGCGTGCTTGAAAGTTCCGACCATGTTCCCAATGAGCAGTCTAGCCACAAGGGACAACTGGGCGCATTGTTTGGGACGATAAGCTTGCTGCGAGAAAGGGGAATGCGTGTCAGGTATCGCGAGACAATCTGGTCCATATTTCTGCTCTCGCGTGGTGTGGGAACAGCAAATTTGATCCAGCAAAAAAAGGTGTGGAGGAACTCTACCAGGGGAAGCCGGATCGAAACATCAAGGACGTGCAAGAATTGCGGTTGATCGCCCGGTAGCGCATTGCCTAGGTTGGACTGGGGCACCGTCGATTCCTCTGGCCTTGAGTGTGTTAATAAAAAACAGTGTGGAGGACGGGTCGAGTAAGCATCAGATATAAAGTAGATACCGTCATTCAGAGAACAACATTTCAAACTTCACTCTCCCAGACTTCTCAACCAACATCCAATTCTGTATACTTATACAGTCGAAATAACCGATTGCCACTGACATCATTCCATATCAACCTCAACCGACAACCGATTCACTGTATACTTATACAGTCAAGATAACCCATAACCACTAACATCATTCCTTCTCAACCTCAACCAACAACTCTTTACTGTATACTTATACAGTAAAAATAGCCGATAACCACTTATATTATTTCAACCAACAATACACTCACGTTGTTGGTACGGTCCCCGGTTCCGCTTGCCCCGAATTACACCGATCTACGGCTTCCACCGCTTTCCACAACCACACTAAGACCTCAACCAACATCCTAACCGCCGTATCGCATCCCAAATATTCAACCACGCCATACCTTTGGTTCCTAGTATTCTCCCGAGCATTCCATTCACTGTATCCTTGATAAACAGTTTATGAAAAGGACCTCAAGGCCTCAAGCAACTTTCTTTTATCCACACGCACATTGAAAACTTTGCTAGAAGACACCAAACTCATCCAATTCTGATACCCACACGACTCTGTGCAACGATACCTTATACGCAATTGTAAGTGCAAGCTCTTGTCTTTCTCAAGAAAGTAGTGGTGATGGATTTTTCCAACCAAGTGGTGATATCAACATGATATCATGCCCCTGGCAGCAATCTTGGTCAAGCAGTATACTTGGTGAAGAGAAAAGAAGTATTTGTCTTCTATCTCTAAGCGAAGTACACTGCTTCAAAGCATCATTCGACCCCAATTTGCTTTTTCAATGATATGCTTTTCAAGGACCAGAAGAAAAACAAATGACAAAGCACTTCTGACAAAAGAATAGCAAAGACGACGACAACAAGTATAAACTACCAACAATACAACAAAATGGCAACTCCAGAAGTTTTCGGCCACGGCGCACCGGAAAGATTTTACTCCAAGACACTTAGCCCTACTCGGGTTAACCCCTCAACCAAAGAAACACAAGAGAGCCTCAAGCGTTCCTTTGCTAAGTATTTGGCATCAGACAATGCTGCGGCCTTTGGAAAGCTTTTCAGCCCAAGTAAGCATCTCGCTTACGAGGAACCAAAACAAATCCATAGCATGGAGGATATTGGATATCCTGCTAGCAATGGTATCTCCCCTGTCGCAGTCTCTGAACCTTTCCAACTCTTCAGTGAGGAGGCTATCAATATCATGAGAAGTGAGATCCTTCAAAAGGAGGTACAAGACAACTATTCCTTCACATCCGATATCGCTCCCAGACAGATCAGAGGATATGCCCCAAAGTAAGTCTCGAATTGTTTATTTAACAATCATGCACCATAAACTAACCGTTGTAGGCATGGAAAGTTCATCTTCGAGGCATGGAAGAACCCTGAGACTCTTGCAATCATCTCCAAGATCGCTGGTGTTGACCTTGTGCCTGTCATGGATTATGAGATTGGCCATGTTAACATGTCCCTTCCTGGAAAGAAGAATGACTATGATGACAAACTCATGATCTCTGAAGAAGATGATGAGCCCATTGTTGGATGGCACCGAGACAGCTACCCATTCGTCTGCGTCTTGATGATGAGTGACACGACTGGTATGATTGGTGGTGAGACCGCTTTGAGAGCCGGTAATGGCGATATCATGAAAGTCCGGGGACCAACCAAGGTAAGGGTGAACCACAACCAGGCCGGTATCATTTCTGACAGTTGCATTAGGGCTGCGGTGTTGTTCTCCAGGGCCGATACATTGATCACCAGGCGTTACGTGCATACGGAGGCCAGGAGAGAATGACAATGGTAAACAATTTCTTTGCTCTCATTTTCCCGTCATTCTATTTGGTGATGTGTTCTCAAGTCGAACCCTTTCTAACACATCATATTTTAGGTCACTTCCTTCCGCCCACGCTCTGCTGGCTTGAGAAACGATTCCGTTTTGACCACCGTCCGTCCCATTTCGAACCTCTCAGATCTCTATGGTCAAACCATGGAGTACGAACTTGAAAACTGCGAGGTCCGAATTCGGGATATGTTGAAGCACATTCGTGACTCGATGAAAGCTGGCGCAACGGATGTCAAGGCGATTAAGGCATTCCTTGATTTTGAGATCAAGACATTGAATCAGCTGAAGACGGAAATTGTCGATGAGACATCTGTTCAGAAAGGCCGTCTCGCTGAAGTTTGTGCAGAGGCAGCCGCTGGTTCTGGCAAGCGCAAACGTATTGAATAGACCAGAGGGTTTGGCGCTGTGGATGGTTTCTCTACAAGGTATTCGAACAATGCCGCAGTGGTATATCGAAGGTCGCTTGTGGTAGAATTTCGGTTTTGGGGAGTCGCTTTGGAGTGAATTCTGGCGAGCGAGGTGTGTGTTGCTTGGGTGTTGGCGTGGTGCTTGGGACTTGAGCATCACGGTTACTTTGTTGCTTTGGGATCATTCATCTCATCTTGCAATGAAGGGCCCCTCTTCACATCCTCAAAGAATCGTTGACCCGTTGGCTGAATTTCATGGTATAAGATTTCATCGGATTGAGTGTAGTTTGAGAAACTGGATTTTTAGCAACAGGGGTGGAATCCGGACTTGGACTTGGAACTGGACTTGGGGGAGTTGATTGATATTTAGTATGCGATGCGAATACACACACTGGCCTAATATGCAGACCCCTGCCCTTCCTGATCGGGTGATGAATTGCGTGATTCTGCTGGGTGTGTTGCAACTTGTAGACGTCCCGACGGTTACTTTTCCTAATGGCCGCTAGAGACCGTTGGTGCTGCAGATGCAGACTTTTGCTGTACACGGTACATCGTCCACACCCACTGCCAGTTCCACCCACGCACACGCACGTCAGCTCCGCATTACCATGGCACCTACGCGCTTCGATAGCCAGGAATGCCCTCAAAGTTCCTGTGCAGCTAAAGTATCGGAGGTGCGGCAGTGCGGCAGTGCAGCAATGATACGATTCAGAATAGCAAGTAATTGGGTGGAAAAGAGAGACCTTGAGATGGGCGGGCCGGAGCGGCAACGTAGATTTATATGATGTAGATATAGAAAGATACGAACCGAGCTAGTTCGAGGCCGAGTCTTGATGGAGGTGGTTGGGCGTCGTTGGGCATTTTGGGTTATGCGCTCACATCTGTCCAGAGATGGTGTGGTGAGTGGTAATAATGGTGATGGTGATGCATGACAGGCTCTTCTAGCGCAGAAGCCGCCTTTTTAAATGGGACCCGCCGGTGGAGACGGAGAACGACTACGACTACATTGGGACTCGTTTCCGGGAATGGATTGCTATGCGCTTCTTCAAGTGTTGTCCTTGGAGAGGTCGTCAAAATTATGTACTCGTACCGTGCTTCGTAATATATGTGGTCAATGGAATCATCAGCCTCCACTCTGCAATGTCACGAATTCGCAGCGTCGGAAGTACGGACCATGAATGAATATTCCGAGTACAGAAGTCGGAGTAATAGGGAGGAGCGGAGTACGGAGTATTGTCGTTCGGTAGGAGTAGGCGTATCTTTTGACACTCCGCGATCTATACCGAGCCGGTACGGGCCAGCTCGGCCCGGGGGCTCGGGTGTATTTAGCCCACCTGAGGTGCGGAGGGATGTCACCTGCAGTGGAGAATCCCGGATCACACGTGACTCGGGTCTTAGCGCGCGCTGAAGCCCAAGCTCATGACTCTAAGCATTCATTCACATCTCTCCAGCCTTGACGCCTGATGGCATTCTTCCCATTTCACCTTTACAACAACCAAATCCCCCACCAATTTTTCGCAAGCACAGCATAACCCGGATCACACTCATCCTACGATTCGCCCTCTTCAAAAACACTACACCAACTCATCAGAGGCCTTTGCAGGTCGGCTTTTATTGCACGCGTCGGGCTGCTGGGCTCCCCGCCCTCCTACGACCGACTTCCCCTCTGTACATCCTCACCACATCATGAATTCGTCCACCGTCCAAAAACCCCGAGCTACCTCATTAGAGGGGAAGGCAAAGGGCTCCTTGACCAAGTCACCTATACCTCAAAGTCAAGAGCTGGTGCCTTCTGCCTCAACTACACCGACAAAACCGGATCTTATCACCGCTTTCAAATCAGACCTCACAAATATAAAAAATCTGGTTACTTGTTCCATATGCGATCAATTACTCTACGAGCCATGGACTTTATCCTGCGGACATACTTACTGTTATTCTGTCAGTAGCATCATCTCTCTACTTTTACAAACCAGGCTAACCATCCGTCAGTGCTTGTGTAGTTGGTTCGTGCCAAATAAGCGCAAGAAGACTTGCCCCGAATGTCGGACCAGAATCAAGCAAATTCCAGCTCCTTCTTTTCTGGTGAGAATATTGCCTTCCTTACAATCTTTCTACAACAGCTAATCTGGGGAATTCAGGTTAAACAACTAGTCGAGATATTCATAAAACGAGAGGAACTTATGCCATTGGACGAAACAAATGAGCAGCACGCAAAACGACGAGCCAAAGAAGTCGCAGAGGTGGAACAAGACAAGAGTAACCCAGCAGGTCTTTTCAAAGGCACATTCTCGAACCCCCTAGGAGAGCTATACAGAGATGATGCAGATGGCGGAGTCATGAGATGCCGGAATTGTAACGCTGAGCATGAAGGAGGCCCAGCATGTCAATATTGTGGCACCGAGTTAGATGATGAGGGGTATGAATTCAGCGACGAGGATGTGGACTTTTACGATGGCGCCGACCTGGATGAACTGGATTCTCTCGATTTGGAAAATGAAATCCATGCCGATCTTGCAGCGGTCCATGGTCAAGGATTTGCATGGACGGGATTCGTTCATCCTTACGTCGATAGACACGCTCGTCACGACGACGAGACAGAGTCATCACTAACATCGGATGAAGATGAAGATGGTGGTTCGCTAGATGGCTTCATTACTAACGATGACGATGAAGAGGAGGAGCAGGAAGATGACGAAGAACCAGTTCGAGCAGCTGTTCGGCGGTCAAATCACAGATCACACCAACAAGCAAATGTGATCGAGATATCAGATGATGAAGATGACGATTCCGATGAGGGTGGTATAGTGTCAAATCGCGTTGCCAGAAACCGACCAATAGTTCTAGGAAGCTCTAGTCCTGCAGGCCCCTCTGTTGTTTCTGTTGTCGATACCGATACAACTGACTCGGACGGCGGGGAAACGAATAGTGAGATGCTTCGACGCTCGGGTTGGAGTCCATTAGATCAGGGTACTGACAGCGACGCCGACGAACATCAATTCCAATTCCGTGCTGGATACGAGTTTAACGAAGACGAACCGGACTCTGAAGATAATAGTGATACGGAGACAATGGTTGGCAACGGAGCTTCTGATGACGAAGAAGATGACCGATCCCGCAGCAGCATATCAGAAACACCAACTATGTATGCCGGCTACCAATCATACATGCCAAACGAGAACCTCATTCATAATTACTCAAACTCGAGCGCAAGCGAGGATGCGGACGATGATGATTCTATAGCAGGATTTTCAAGTGTTTGTGACCAGGACGGCGATACCGAAATGAGTGTATCTCCAAGAGCAAGTCGGAGTGTTAGTATTTCACATGAGCACAGTGTATCAATCGGCGACTCTGAGGACGAAGAACCAAGAACAAGCCGAAGCATGAGTCGCACTACAGATCAAAGTGGCTATAGTATGCAAGAACTCGGTGCTGCCAATGAGATTCATGATATTGAGGACGACTCTGACAGCCCTATTCGGCCTCCCCCACGTCGACTTCCAAGACGCCGCAACCCAAATGCACGAGAGTACGATCCACGGATTAGCATGATATTTGCCGAGCACCAGCAAACTATAAGGAGCGAGCGAGGCCAGGAACCCGGTGGACTAGATGAATTGGATAATGAAGTTCGCAGAATTGAGCCAGCTTCAAGATCAAGACGTATGACAGCCTATAGACAGCAGCCACAACGTCGATTTGATCCACTCAGAGCATCTCGTTCTCCATCAGCAACCCGTGTTGTTGCATCTTCCAGCAGAACTTCCAGGCCTCCTCGAAATTATCAATATGGCAGAGCAAATTCGTAATTTGCCAAGCTTGGGCGGAGGAAAGAAAGTTTTAATCTTGTTTAATGTATACATGCGTGGCGTTTTGGGGTCTCGGCTCCACTCGGAGGAAAAATTGTTATGTACTTGAGCGTTCAAGGAGGGAAGAATACCTGGCTACAATCTGTCTGTATTCTTGGGACCTGGCGTTCTTTGCGCATGTATCCATACTAGTAGGATCAGGAAGGGGGCTCGAGTCTAGCCTCAATGAATAACGTTGCCTTTACTAAACTTGATAATACATGTCGTGATAAACTGACTAAAAGGCGCCAATTAAGTTTTGTTGTAATTGAAAAACGCTAGTAATTCTATGTTATGTTGAAAGCCAAGTATAACTGTGGTTTTTCTAAAGTCTCTTCTGCTTTTGTGGGAATTGGGGTAAGGGAGGGTACTTGATTGGTGGTGCGGCTGAAGGGGCTATATTTTGGGTGTTGTGGTTGTTGATTGTCGCTAGGAGAGTCCAGTACCGCTCACCTCCTGGTGCCTCCTGTAACTTTGGAAAGCATCTTGACTTTCGCGCAATAGCAGATGCACTTCGTCTTCGTCATAATCCTCCTCACGTTCATTCATTCATGCGGTAAGATACCTGGTCATTACTCTGTACACACTATACAAACACTTATTTTATTTGACTAAACTTCTTGTACAACAGAAACCATTGTCTTAGTATACCTAGGTAGGCTGATAAAAGGTAAGCGTTAAGAGGTATTCTCAACTCTGTATGATTACTTTAGTTGTATAAGGCCTTTAAGCTAATATTATTACAGTATCTGACAGAGGTGTGGACAGAGTAACGATAAAGCCTGGCACTCTTCTGGACTGTCTACGAATAAGTGAATTTTGAGCTTAGTGAAGAAAAAACTCGGGAGAATTGGATTACTCAAGCCTACTCACTTTCCAAGTTTTTTCTGTGGTGGGGTTGACGTGATAAAGATGCTTCGTCAGTGTTGACAAGCCAGATACGGCGCTACGACTCAACCAGGAAATAGGGTCGCCGTTACTTATGAACCAAGAGGCAAAGCTGGTATTGACTTTCGACTTACTTTTTTTAGTATATTCGAAAGGGTGTATTCATGCTAAGGGGTCGAAGCCATTATCTTCTAATGTCCAAGAAAAGGTGTCGTTGAATGGCTTCGTGATATCTGCTTCTCGCTCGCCAATAAACGGATGATAAAGCATATTCAGAACACCTATATATGGTGAGAAGATCCGATGTGGATAAAACAGAAGTGTCTATACCTTTTATCCAGACATTCTTTGCATGATCAATCCCAGTGGGAGCAGAAAAGTCGATACCTTATCTACACCCGGTCGATACTGTATCGACAACTAAAAATTAATTCGCTTCGCTTACCCTAGTAGGAGCGGATGTAGATAAGGTGTCTACACCCGGGAGTCGATACCTTATATACAACCGATTATTTAGGGGGAGTTTTTTAAAAAAAAAAAATTATATAAATAGTTCTATTAGTTTCTAATAGTCGTCTATTTATCCCTATAGCGTTCTCTATAAGGCCTTTTTTTATTAAGTATAGGACGAGTTTTCTTAACTTCGCTAAGTACTTTTACTAGTCCAGTAGCTAGAAATAGACTTTAATAAGAGTTTAGGCTTATAGATCCTACTACGTACGTACTTCCGAGTACCACCGAGTACTACCGAGTACTACCTACATATTACTACCCTTCCCCTGCCCTCTCTTTGCCTACCTGTCGTTCCTACTATCCCTACCTACGAGTGTACTTAGTCGTTCTTTTAACTCCCTCCCGTCCCTACCTACGAGTGTACTTAGTCGTTCCGACTATCCCTACCTGTGAGTGTACTTCGTCGTTTTTTGTCCCCCCTCCTATCCCTACCTATAAGTGTACTTAGTCGTTTTGTTTTTACTCCCTCCTATCCCTACCTATATATGTACTTAGTCGTTTTTTTTATCCCTACCTATAACCTCTATATATACTTAATTTAAGTAAGTAATTCGAGCCGTAAAAAGTGTAGAAATAAGTATAAAAATAAGTATAGAAATAAGTATAAAACTATATAGAAAAAAGTTGTAATTTATCAACAACTTTAGACATTTTGGTAACCATTTATCGACAACCGTTTGTAGATAAGGTATCGACAATTGTCGATAGGGTATCTACAACCGAGCGCATACAAAAATGTAGATAAGGTATCGACAACCGGTTGTCGATACCTTATCTACGCCCGCTCCCACTGGGAATGCTTCCCACCTCGTCCTCAACAACCGCGTGCAGAATAGAGTAGTTCCTCTTATAGCTAGGTTTAGTGTTGTTAGAATACCTCATGTGATCTTCAGAGACCCTAATCTGTTCCACATTGAATCCATCGAATGTGGCAGAGTCTGCCGGAACAATTCCATGGAAGGGGTACAGATTCGATTCATGTTCAGAGTAGATAAATATCCGCTTCTACGACAATTTATTACTAATTGATGTTCGCTTCTCCTTTTGAATACAAACGCTCCGCATTTCTTGTGATACCATCGCGGGCCCGCTCGGAGAATCTCTCATATATCGGAGCTTGGTGGTAGAGTGTTTACAACTTTTATATCTGTCAAGAAAGATTTGTATAGACTTAGTAATATTTTGTTTACTGTAGCAATGATACTACGTCTAGACTAAGATCCTCACTATGAATTCTTTCTGTATCTCTATATGAAAAGAGACGCATCAAAATCAGGGGCTCGCTAAACAGGAGAAAACGGCTTGGCGGGGCAAGCGGCGCGGAGAAGATAGAGACATGGAAAAGAGATGTAAATAGTAAAGTAGGTAAATAATATAAAATAAATGTAATATTTAAGATGTAATTCTAAGTAAAGGAGTGGAAATTATACGGGTACTTAAAATCCTCACACAAGGTAGAACCGGTCCACAAAAGATCTATAAGACCCGCGAAAAGAGTGTAAATGATACCATAATATCAACCACTCTCTCCACTCCAATCCCGCACTCCAACAAGACCCCATAGACCCATCCAACCATCCATCCCCTTCACCCCTCTACTTCTGAGCCGTCAAACTAAAAGCCACATCCCCCGAAGGCGCCGCACCCCCCAAACACGTAGCAGAGAACCCCCCATCAGGACACTACTCCCTCGCAGCATCAACACAATGCTCCCACCGTCCTTTACTAATATTGATCGTCGACCCCGCAGCCGTGGCATCGAGCTGGAACTTGGCGGTTCCCGAGGCGCCCGTGGTGGATTTGGGATTCCCCTCGCATTGTGTTTTGGGCTTGGCGATGCCGCCGCAGATGCTGAGGACGGCGACGTTCATGTCGTGCTCGTCGATTTTGCTGTGGTGGGTTAGTTGTGGCGGTTTTGGGAAAGGGGAAGGGAGGGGAGGGGGAACGAACGTGGTGCCGGAACATTTTAGGTTTGTTATGGAGTCTTCGAAGTGGCGGGTGCGGAGGATTGCGCCGGTGGTGGGGTTTACGGAGAGAGCTGTGGTGGTTGCGGAGATGGTGAGGAGAAGGGCGAGGAGGGTGGTGGGGTTATACATTTTGGTTCAGTTGGGGATCTTTGTGATGGGCTTGTCGAAAGCTGTTTGAATAGAATATATAAAGTTGAAGAAAATAATTTAAGATTAAAGAATGAAGTGATCACCGATCCGTAGACAAATGGAGAGATTCAAAAATGGGTGACTAGAAGCAGAACAGGAAGCAGGAGCTCATGATATACTCTTCCCTCGACCCACCAACTCGGTTTCCAACCAAGAATCTCAAACTTTCATGGCGATGAAGCTGCTTCGAGGCATTTACGTCGTCCCAGGCGTAACAAACGTTAAAATGGAGTCGAGTATTTACCCAGTATTCCATGTAAAATCCCATGTAAACTTGCTAACTTCTAAACGCCTGTTATGCCTGGGACGGTGTACTCCGGAGTACAACGTAGCGTAGCAGATCATCAGATCGTCTCTTCCATCAGACGATCATACACCCCATCAACCGAATGCTAACCAGGTGACGCGCCGCAATCAAGCAATTCCTTAGTTCCTCAACCCGTCTCTGTCACCTAAACTTGGCAGGTTTCCCGTTGTACACATTGAACAGAGGTTAACCGAGACAGGTTTCACCTTTGCCGACCGGTCTGGTGTGGTTACATAAGCGAAGATTCGAGACTTGACAAGGGGCAAAAACGTGCAAGAAAGATGAGCCTGACGGGAGCTTAAAATTCTGACAGGGGCATTTGCTTGGTGGGATCGTTATAGATTGACGGGATCTTCCCAGGGGGTAAAAATGCTTATGTAGATAAGGTTATACTTTGTTTTGAGATGTGGGATATGTTATGTAGATGGCTTCTTTTTTGGGAGTGTCAGAGTTTAGTTGGTTTTTTCTGCGAAGTCAGATGTTTAATGAAGGATTTCGACGTTCGGGGTGCACTCAGGGGAAATCGAAAGGTTAGGGTGGTCCTACCACTCTATGAATTGCGAGTGGTTCAGCAATCAAGATACCGGTATGATCAAGTGTTGAATTGGGGAGCCAACCTTGCTTTGGAGCCTTTATGTCAAGTACTGCAATTTCCACGTCTTGTTTCTTCACAGTCGAGTCGTATCTTGTGACAATGTGGTTCCTTCAAACTCACTCTGCAGTTCATGATTCTCCTACTACTATCTTGAGATAATCCGGGACTGGCTCACTCTCCTCCATCTTTTCTGAGAATCCTTCGTGGTCTTCTCGAATACCGTAGCAGAATTCATGTTTCCAATACCTTTTAGTCGGTAGAGATGCTTCACTTCTCATCCTGATCATCTTCTCTTTCTGCTCCTCGCTCACACATAAAACGGAGTCCAACGGCTTCAAGCCTGGTTCTTTTAGAATTGCTAACGCAGCAAGGCCGAGATACGAATGATATATATCAGGTGGATTTCCAGGATACTTGCCAAAGCCGCCAATCCGATGTTGGGTCTGTTCAAAGAGGAATCGGCGAATGGCGGTGGTATCTAGCAGTTTAAGGTTTCCTTCTCCTAGCATCTGGCGTCCGCGTTAGAAGATTTGGTAGGGAAGAAGAGGGAGCTTTTACATGTAGCGATGCCATTACCCAGAAGGCATAGCAAGTATCAACGTTTTTGTTACAACGGCCATTGAAGCCCACAAAGTCCTCCTCTCGACAAGAGGGACCTGGAGATTCAGCCCGGGGGGTTTGTTCCTCGTCATCTGAAGCATCTTCTTCTCTGAATCCCACTTGTCGAGAGACAAGCCATCGAATCGTTGCTGGTAAGTCTGTGAGCCCAGGCGACAAATCTGAGCTGTCTGTTGAAGATGTAGAATCTGGTTTTGGCAAACGTTTCAAGTGTGCCAAAGACGCAATAGCGCAATAAGTATAACCAGCTTTACGCGAGTTAGACACGCACTTTCAGGACACATCAAACAACTTACCATGCGCTTCATGGGATGAACTTTCGGATATACCACCATCATAAGTCTACATAAATCAATTTATATTCAACTAGTAAACAGAACTCTTGACCTACCTGTCCAGCTCTCAAATGGCCAACCAGGGCTTCAACATCTATATCATCAATCCCATCCACTGGCCCTTCTACATCGCCTCTTAGCATCCATCTAATATTCGTCAAAACGTAGCAATGCCTCATATCATGCCCGCCCTCAATATCCCCCTCTTTTGTAACCAATTCCCCGAAACTCCCATCCTCTCTCTGAAGCCTGTTCAGCCACCTCAAGCACTTACGCCTCTCTAAGCGCTCCAAGCCCCCCACAAAGCCCAGAGACGAAATCGCAAAATATGTAGCCGGTAAATTCGCGGGATCCATAGTCCCCCCCGTCCCTTCCTCCCCATAGAACGCGTCTGGATATCTGTGATTTGGGCTCCCGCAGAAGCCACCGTGGGGATGCTGACATTTTAGTATCCAGTTGCGTACGTCGGCTCTTTCGGCGGGCGTAAAGGTATCTGGACCGGCGGAGAGGAGATCTAAAGCGGAGAGGATGAAGAATGCGAGGGTCATGCGGGAGGAGTCAGTGGAGGTGTATGCGTTGGGAAGGAGGCTGAGAAGACATCGTTTCCAGTATTTGATATGCTGAGGTATGTCGAGATGCGACTCTTCTGAGTCTGACATGGTTTGTTAGTATCGAATATGAAGCGTGTGGGGAAGTTGGAGATTTCCGTGTTGAGAAGCTGTCGAAGCCCCGCGATCACCAACTACTAAAGTCCGCACCTTAACGCCGATAAAAGCTTGCCCTGACAGCGGAGCGGAAAAACATAACGCCTAATCAATTTAAGGTTTGACACCGACTGCCGCCGTGACAGGCTCACGCGGGTGAATCCCTGCCAACGAAAGCAGCTTGTTGTCTTCGTGTGACGATTTTATTTTCAGTCAAATGCTCCATCTACATCCTCCATGCGACAAATTTCACAACCACCTCCGGACCTATCCCACCACTTTTCAGCATCTACCAGCCAAAGGTTGTAGTTGAAGTTATTGATCTATAATTACTGCAAATATGGGGCTCATTTCAGCAAAAACAATCATTACCTCTCTTGCCCTCTTCCACATCACACTCGCCTACTTCTTCTTCACCAATCCAAACGTCATCGCAGACCAGAGTACCGTTTTTATTATTGGGGAGGCTATGGGAATGGTATGTATTCTCTTCTAGGTTTTGTCAAAATAAAGCTAACAAAAGACCAAATAGCCCCATGCGCGCTCCTTCGAAGTCACCTCTCCCCCATTAGCCTTCCTCGCAGCAATATTCTTCTACACAGGCGTGAGCGATCTCGTAGCATGTTCCATGCAAGAAGAAATTTACGTCTTCTACTGGGGCTCCCAAGGTACAATCACATTCTCAATCCCTCCTCTTCCGAAGTTTCCACTAACCAGTTCAAACAGCACCAACACGTCTCCTAGTCCTCCTTGGACTCACCATATACTCCTACTTCTTCTCCTCGACTTCCCCGCTTTATGCGAGTAGCACATACACACCTGGGTGGGGTGAAGGACTTAAGAACCGTGTCTTCTTCACTTGGGCGTTCTTGGAGGTTGTTACTTGGTTCTGGGTTTGGGTTACGTTAAGAGAGGAGAGGAGCGAGTGGGTGAGAAGGATTGCTATGAATAGAGCTGAGGAGGAGGATCGTTTGTAGGGATACATGTCATACAAAGATGAGGAAGTGGATTGCACATCTCGCAGTTTTTCAAGACAATAATAAGGCTTGTTTTGGAAATGATACATAGGAGCAAGATTGGTAAGCTGTTTCTTTTGGTGAATAGCCGTGAAGATGACGGCGAAGGGGATGAATGCGGCAAGTTTTGCAGAGTGAAGAGGCAATGGCTTGAAGGGGTGAAGGTTCTCTCTCAGTAAGTGAGGAAGAGGTGGGAGTGAACAGAAACCGGCTCGAGTTCGGCCAATTTGAGAGGTCAGGATCAAGAGAAATCAGGTCGAGGTATTCCCATCTTTAAGGACCTCAATACCGGGCAAATCAGGAGAGAGGAAAAGTATTATTTCTCAGCTCGAGCCACGTACCCTTTCCGAATTCTATTATCACTCTCATAGAACTCAAAAAAAGCCGCGCACGTTGTCTCATGATTTCCACAGAAGCGGTCAAAGACAGCATTTCAGCATCTGGGATCTCTTCCCATTCCAGAACCCCTTCTATGGAATATTCTGTTCTGTTTTGAAGAACGTTGGAGTATCCCATAGTTCCACCATGGAATTTGGAGTTCTGGAATAGAATCATTGACTTAGAATTTTGATGTTTTAATCCGTCTAGTTGATAGGAAGGTAGACGTAAGTAAAAGCAGACTATATAGGACCAAACAGCAAAAAGACCATACTCCCTACTCTTCTAGGAGTAGTGGCGGGTAGGACTAGCAAGCATCACTGGGTATTTCTAAAATAGGGACTTCAGACTTATATTTTGCCTAGCAGAATAACCGCGTTAACTAAGGCGCTAATTATAGATGGCGTGCTACGGGGTTTCAATACTATTTTGCAATCATTTGCATGCCAGCAAAATACTTACTTGCGATCTTTATCAGCGTAAAAAATGATTAGAATAGATTCACTAATAGGGTCCTAATCTAAGTTAATCTAATCAACTCGACCTCCTAATCAATATTAATCCTTTGATTAATAATATAATCTAATTAAATTAATTAATTCGGGCCCATGTATCGGACCAGCGGACCGAGGGCTCGGAGGGTGCCCGGGGTACCGCGTGCCCGCTAAGCGAGAGCCCCTCCTTACTTGTCTTAACTAGGAACGTTCCTATAGATTAGGAATAAGTCTCGGCCTAGCTATATACTAAAGAATGTACTATAAATTATTATATTTATATTTCTAGTCTATAGGAACGTTCCTAGATAAGAAAAGTATAATAATAAAGTATTATTTATAAATAATATTCCTAATTATTAGTAACGTTCCTAAATTATATAGGAATACTAAAAGTAAACAAGTCTTAATTATTAGTAAATAGTCTTCTTATATAACTAAGGACTTTTCTCTATACCTTAACTTAACTAAGGATTCTTTACCTATTACCTTTACTTACTCTACCTTTTTAAAGCTTTACTTTAAGTAGCCTTACTTTAAGCTCTAACTTACTATATTTTATCTAATTCGTATTTAAAACTTATCTAACTTTACGCTTAATCTAAGCGAGCAACTACTTTTCTTTAGAAGAGGCCTTTGTAAAAAGGAGCTTAATCTACCCGAAGAGGATCCGAATACCTAAAGGACTATAATAGTTAGATACCTTTAAAGAGGTTATCGGTAAGTAATATTTATATCTCTATAACGTATAGACCGCGGTTATAGGACACGGTTATATAGTTATATAACTCGGCGGCCGCCGAGCCTCTATACTTAGCCGGCTAGATAGTTTAGTTAGTTATCTAAGTCTCTTTTATACCTTTATACCGTACTATATATGTGACGACACGCACAGCTGATGGACCGCGCAAGAGTGCACGACTACGTCAGGTATCACGAGTGGTGAGATTGACACTGTGGAACTGTCTATACGAAGATTCTAAGCTGAGGAGAGAAGAGAAGAAAGGACAGGAGCTCAGGAGCTGGAGGCTCTTATATACAGGAGGTGTGCCAAGCGCACCTGCTTAGCCGAGTTCCAGCCAGGGGCTGGTCTGTAGCGTAGTGGCGGTCAGAACCGTCACAATATAGTACCTTTAACAAATAGTAGTAATACTTTATTACTATTAGGTCTCGGTATATTCGAGTTCTTTACTAGCTATGTCTTTAGTACTAGTCTACTAGTTCGTCCTAGACTTATAAACACTATCCGATCGACCTCCGGGGGGTCTAAAACCCTACGCCTTATATTATAAAACCTTAATTAGTAATAACCTTACCTTTAATAAACGTTACTTCTATACTAGCCTTACGCTAAAACTATACGTCTCCTCTAGTAGAACGATACTTAGGTATATAAATTAGTCGCTATTATATTCAAGGGGGGCTAATCCTATAATAGTACTAGGGCCGTACCTACCTTAGCTAGTAGTATCTTAATAAAAGTAGGAAGTTCTTACTTTAAATAGAACCCTATTAAAGAAGAAATAACCTATTACTTATAATATATTCCCTCCCTCCTATACTAGTCGATATATAAGGCTGTTCTCTTATTAAATACCGGACTATATACCTAAGAACGTTTTCTAGATTATATTATAAATTAAGGTATATAGAAAAACCTAGGATATTAAAAGCCGGATTTTAGAGGTAGAATACCGAGTTATCTAGGTTTTAGCTAAGTAGTATAAAGATAAGCCTAAGTACTACCCGGAAGAGTAGAATAGTAACAAGGGAGCTAGCTTTACTAACGCTTTTAAAACGCTAAAAGCTAGCATAAGTTTTTAATTCTAATAGTATATAGCTATAGACTACTATAACTAGCTAGAATAACTCTAAGCTAGTTATAATTTAAGATAGTCCTTAATCGGATTTAGATAGTTTAATATATAAATAGTATATCCGTCCCTACTACCTTTATAATAAGAAGAAGCCTAGAACTAATTTACTATCGATTATAATAAAGACTCTAAAAGTAAGGAGGAAGAACCTATACTACTACTAGGAGTTATACTTTATAGTAGAAAATAAACCTTATAATCGTTTAAAAGAAAGAGGCCGTTACTAGAAGAATAACGTAGGTTTAGGTCTCTAATAAAGGAAATCCCGAAACCGGATATATTGTTATCTTTAATACCTAGGGAGTTCTCCTAATCCTAGTAAGACCTAATCTAAAAGATAATTATAAGTATAGTAAAGGTAGTATTTGTGACGGTTCTGACCGTCACGTGCCATTCATATCACGTGGCTTCCTTAGCGAACCACATGTCACGAATCACGTGTTCACGTGATACTTGTCATAATAAAAGGCGCAACCCTCGACAGGCACATTCAGATTTCTTATAGCAAATGGGGATCGCTTAGGGTAGCTAGGCGATCCAAGGATTTCTTCCTTACAGAAGATCATGTGACTAGGGAGTATGAGGAAGTATAAGGGAGGCTTATACTACTCTATACTACCGGAGTATGAGGAAGTATAAGGGAGGCTTATACTACTCTATACTCGGACCATACGCGGGGTATGAAGGTTCTATATAAGACTGGCACGTCTGCCATTAGATAGGAGCTTCGTGCTCAACTTAGTTATCAATCTTATCATATTAGTTTGACATCTTTGATACAAGTAACGAGTTCACTTCCAAGTGAACAATCCGATAGTCTTCTTCTTATCATAGCATACCAACCAGCGAACACCCAGCCAAGTTTAGTTAGCCAGTTTGAGTATTCGTTACACCACATTGTATTTAGACTCAAGCTCTCTCGAGCTCTCCTCTTCTCCTCAGCTTAGAATCTTCGAATAGACAGTTCTACGATTCCATAACCTACACCTTGGAGGCTCCTTGAGCAACACATCGTACGTGTCGTCACATAACGGACCTCTATATAGAGGTAGAGGAATAAGAGGTAGATAAGCTAGATAGGTACTTTAAAGAGTAAAGGGTAAATAGAGACGTAAGTAGTCCTTTAAGACTCTTTATAAGTACTTTTCTTCTTAAACATATACTAATTAAGCTTATAGTTCTAGCCTTTAGCTTAGTAGATAGCTAATAGGCCTAATTATCTGGTTCTATCTATTTTAGTAAGGAAGTATTTATAAATCCCGGCTACCTTAGCTTCGTCTAAGAGGTTCTTTAGCTAAGCTACTAGGGTAGTTTCAAAGGACAGGAATAGGCTATCTAAAGATACTTTAGAGGTAATACTTAGCCTTAAGAGCTAGGGTCGCTTTTTAGAGTAAGAGGAAGAGGACATACTAAGCGAGACTCGTAAATTTAACTTTAGTCTTTAAAGACTAAGTTATTATATTATCTACTTAATCTTTCCTTTTGTTTCATCTCTTTATTAACCCTCTAAAAGCTTCTCTAAGTATATTAGTAGTACTTTAAAATATATACTATTATTCTAATTAATTAGATTAAATAAACGCCTCTTAATCTATTTAATCACCTAAAGTTCCTAATCTAATTCAAATCAATTTAATCATGATTTAGTTGATTACTAATCGATTAATAGAGCAATTTGTTCTCACGCTGATCTTTATGTGTAGAAGAGGTTTAGCGAATGTCCTGAGGCTAGGACAGTTGTTATGTTGGGTAGAAGGGAGAGGGTGGCTGATAAGTACTGTACCTATGTAGGGTTGAAGTTCTGAAGTGTTTGTGATGCTAAAGATTGTCATAGTAGAATGATTTGTGTAGCTTTGTCATAAGTTGAGTAGAATCTATCCCTATGGGAACTTGAGGCCAGATGTGTACGAAAATATCTGACACCCGCCGCGGGCTGTTTGGATTCGATTATTTTAGCGGGATTATTTGGGCTTATTTTAGGATTATTTGTACCAAAATAATCCCAGATTATTTCATTATTAGCCAATGATTACTAAGCATCCGAGACTCTCTGAGCACCCCTGTACCCCCATATTCACCCCCATCGCGCGCACGCGTACGATTGTTATTCACGTACTTTTATACCTCGCAACCTTGTAACCAACTACATTGAACTTATATATAAGTAATAACAATTGCGAAAGCAACGAAAGCAAAAGAGTCTATAAGAGGAGTAATTACAGGCAGGTAGTACTCGTCTTTTAATTCGTCTTCTATAGTAAGTAGTAGTTCTTGTAATAATAGAGGTAATAGTAGTAAAGTGTATAGGTATATACGCGCGAGGGGTAAATGTTCCCGAAATCTACTACTTTTATAAGTAGATTTTATTTTAGTATAAAATAATACGGGCTTATTTAATAATACATTTTAGATTCCGACGTGTTTATATTCGGGGATTATTTTAGGATTATTTCTTGAATTATAGAATAATCCCTAAAACAATCGAATCCAAACAGGCCCTTACTTACTACCCCGTTACGATATTCCCCTCTGAGAGAATATTCTCATACCACTCTTTAAGGTCGTCGTTATTTTGTGTATGATAGCTAACAAACTGACAGCAGCATCTCATTTGGACTTTATAAATAATGTATCTCTTGTACCTGATCTTATGCTTCAAAAAAGAAGTGCCTTCTATTATTGTCGTAATATCCACACGTTGTTTATTCACGTGACCTGGCACTGGCATGTAACCTGAGCGTCCCATAATAATACAAGGCAAGTACTAACTCTATGAGGGTACAAGATTAGAGCCTTAGTACTATAGAATAACGTTATAGCATAAGCGCTCTAGCTATCCGGCGCTAGTGTATTGCATGGAAGGTGCTAGTTCTATTCTAAATACTTCTCGCTAAGCAGATAGCTCATTAGAGTCGCTATTGTCCCTTGCTAGCTTCCCTTTCCATCCTACAACTTGTACGAGAAATTGAGGTAAAGGTGTCTGCATTTACTACACCCCCCCCCCCNNCCCCCCCCCCCGCGCATTCTGAAACTAAGCCGTTCGCCCAAGTAGGCTGCGTTTCCAAGTACGGAGGTATATGAGCCTTGATTCGACCTAGTCATCGCATCCACTTTCTCTACAGGTAATCGTTGTAACTATGTCGTCTGGAAGGAAAGTTTACTTTAATCTTGAAATTACTCTTAGTCTTTTCTGACAGATAATATAAAAGCTGTGTGTATCTAGGAGTGGCTTTCATTCGAGTTTTCAGGTGAAAATCAGCGTCTTTCTCAGAGTTTCTATTAGAATATTACGAGGTTGATACCTCTTTTTGGAGGTTGTAAGGAAAACGTGTAAATTCCCCTGGGGCTATTTTTCTTTCCATAGAGCTTTACACTATTGTAGCTGAAGCAAAACTTGTTGAGAAATTGTAAAAAGGAAGCAGTCTTTTATGGATGAATTGAGATTGTAAAAATAACAAAACAAACGATACATAAGCTATTCTTGATATGTGTATACTCCAAGCAAATAGTGCAACATTACTTCCAGCCCTCTGAGAGTACGAGACGAGAAATAAACGAGTGTGATGACATACCGCTCATCTGGAAATTCTGCATTCGTGACAACCTCAGCGCAATGTGTTTCTGCAGTCGTTTGGCCGACCGTTTCCATTAACTCAAGAAATCGAGATAGCTTATTAAGACGTCCTGCTTGCAAAGCTGGCGCATATTGACGTACCCTGTAAGACCCAGCATGGATATATTCTCCTTTTTTGAGACCCGTTGGTAAAAGGAGTATTCCTTCAATGGTTCTGGGATCTCGGTACCGGCCCGGGCCAGTTAAGTTTGACATATCTGCTAACGGGAGAATAAACACGACCTCCCCCTCGATTTGGGTGTACCTGAGATTAAAGCGTACGGCCTAGTGATCATCTTCGTCTGTCAAAGATTCAATCTCTAATATTGGGGGGATGATTTCGGCCTTTGATTTTTCCGCTTTTTCCTAAAAGCATGCCCGAACAACTGATCTTTAATACACCTCCTGCAAGCTCTCCAAAGGGATCATTTCTTACAAGTGTGACGTGAGCTTCTTGCACATGCGTAAGGAAACGATAGTTTGTGTCATCTCTCCTGGGATATTCATAGAAAACGCCAACGTTGTTGCGTGGACATGAGCTTGCCCAGCTCCAACTCGGTCCCCGATAATCTGCCATTCTTGGTTGGAGATACGAAGCCGAAGGGTAAGACCATATCAGTTGCAACTCGATATCTCTCCTCCACATCCCCGCAAGATACTCGTCGCCACTCTCCTTTTGCGCCATTTGGGCGAGCCCCCCGATAGCAACCAATCTATCACTTTCGAAGGTTAACTTTGTGATTGGATATCTGCTTATTAGTTCTGTCCATTCATGGTACAAGAAAGGCTTTCGTTCTCTCCTCTATCTGTTTTTTGGAGCATAAAGAGGTATGAACGGAAGTCCCTCCGGGAAAGCGTCAGAAGCCTTGCAATTTTCACATTCCCAGAAGAGCTCCTTTTTAGTGAAGTGCAATATTCTTGGTGAAAGTAGACGCTCTTGAAGCGCCCAAGCACGGGTCGATAATTGTGATTCATCGACATTTTTTTCAACCCTTCTAGGTGCAGAGATATCCCATATCTCGTTTTCTGAAACCTTATGTATAACTCTGCTGTTGTAGCCTTGAGGTTTGAGGAAAAGACCCTGGGTCCCGTCTTCAGCCCCATCAGCTGCGATAGTGACGGCTGAGCCTTCGTAAACAGAGCCCATCAGTGCGGATTCACAAGCCCAATCTTGCTGGGAGTTTTGTATGATACACAAGGCGTCAATTCAAAGATAGCGAATATCAAGATTTCGAGTAACGTGGATAGCATCGTGGCAAGTTTTGGTGATATTTTCTTCCGGGATTGCTTTTAGAAACTGGTCCAAAGAGTCTTCTTCAAGTTTCAGGAAATCATCAGCGCCCCAGCAATGACTCAGTGTGGCATAAGCTGGTGTTGTTCCCTCACGAAAACTGGAAGTTAGGACGAGGTGGCTAGGGATGCAGCTCACGTCAATGAGTCTGGTTGGAAGTCAACCGCCTTTATTTGGCCTGCAGCAAAGGTGGGTAGTCCTGCAAGCTTCAAGCCATTTCTTTGTCAGTTCAATCTGCAGAAGCTCTTGTCCTCCTGTTATCGCAGACTTTTCATTAGATAAGGTGGATGGCTCTTAGACATGGTTAGCCACGTCATTCATGAAAGGATGCGAGGAAGTCATTGTACCTTCGCTAAATTTTCTCTTACACACAAGGTAACATATTGTGCGACGTATGCGACGGGACAGGCTATTAGACCAACAAAGAGCAAGAACGTGGTATTCGCTGTCATATTTCAATCGAGAGAAAATGCAAGTAATTGAGGTGGATCTTCCTAAGCATCTGAATCGTTTCTGAGTTTGATGACATTCTTCGAGGGAGTAACCATTTTCTTCTAAAGTTTGTATAAACAACCGACAGAGGCAACATCCTTCTATATAACCGGCCTCCATCTCAATGCTATTATTGAAATGTTTTCTTCGCACTCGACCAGCTTTAGTTGCTTCCAGGAGCATGTCTGGCAAATTATCAAATAGCGTCCGACAGCTTAAGCAGTAGCCATCCTGAACTAGTCCAGGCAAAAATTCCTTGAGCTTTTTCTGGTGTTCATCTCTGTCGAAGTTGTCCCTGAGTTGAATATGGGAATTTCAGACGAACCACCAATCTGTTGAATAGAACCAATCCTCCAAATCATCATGTGCCCTGTCGCCGCATGGGCATTTCTTCGGCTCGGGATTTGAGATTTGGATGTCCATCGTTAATTAGAATCGGTAGTATCAAACGCTCATTCGTATGCTATTCGGTGGCCGGGAGGTAGACAAACATAAGACGAGGCTGGCAAGATTTCCACTCCATTTCACTTTCCGTAGGATCCTGCGGCTGAAGACAACGCATTTTGATCTGCCCGCATATACATGTACTGTACATGATGACCCCGCTTCGAAGAAACAACGGATAAAGACCTCCGTATCTCGGAGTCCTAACTTGCAGCGACGCTTTTAACAAGGTCTTTATTAATTATAGAACTAGTCAATCAAGAAACTATGTTATTATAACATGATTTAACATGAGCATATACGAGCTTAATATACTTCGAGTAATTCCAGAATTCTATTATAAATAAACTAATATATAGTAATATTATAACTTAATTCTATAAATGGTATACTAAATATTATAGTACGTATTAAACTAAAAGGTTTAGATTATAAATTATTCTAACTAATACCTAGCTAGTACTACGCTTTTTTTAGTATCTCCTTTTAGTACTTCTATTTTCGTACTTCCTATAACGAATTACGAATTACGTGTTTATATAATACTTGTTATAATAAGAGGCGTAACTCTCGATAGATATATCTAGGAGATTTATAGTAAATAAGGATCGCTTTAGATAGCTAAGCGGTTATTTATTATTACGTAATACGTATATCGACTATATCGACAAGGGATATAAGATATATAAGAGAGGCGTGTATTACTCTATATACGCTATTAAAAGTTATTATATTAAAAGTCTAGTATAAGTAAATTAATTATCTTATCTTATCTTACCCAGCTTAATTAGAAGTAAAAAGTAATAATGATTTTAAACTATTCGTATAATTAATTTAGTTACATAAGGTTTCTAGAATAATATTTTTATAACTTAAGTATATATAAAGTAATACTAGCCTCTCTTACGTTAACTATATTAATTAGCGATATAGGCGATATATAGGAACGAAGGGTCTATATAAGACTAGTATATCTACTATTAAATAAAAGCTTCGTACTTAACTTGGTTATTAATACTATTATATTAGGTATTTATCTTATTATATTAGTTTAATATCTTTAATATAAGTAACGTTTACTTCTAAGTAAACAACTTCTTCTTACTACCTACTAACTAGCGATATTCGATACTTTAAGTTAGTTAGTTAGAATATTATTATACTTTTCTTCTAGCTAATAAACACCTTTATCTCTTCTTACTATTACTATTATAAAGTAGTATTATAAAGAAAAAGAAGAGAAACTAAGAGTAAGAGCGAAAATAAATAAGTATATATAGTAAATAACTATTAGCGTAATACGTACTAGCCTAGCCTCTTTAGGAAAGTATAGTATATTAATAAAAATAATTAAATACCTAACGCTACTTAAATAGTACTCGAATTAAGTTAAATAAGTATAATTAAGTAATTCGGTTATAATATATTAAGTAGTAGGTTTAACTACTTAAGTAATACTCGAGTATTTATATATAATATAACTATAATATAACAAAATAATAAATTTCTAATATAAGGGCTCTCGGCTAAGTTTAAGTACGTAGATAGCTTACCCGGAGGCCTATTAGTAAGGCGAGAGCGCTTCGAGGTATTAGGTATAGTACTTAAATAACTTATAAATTAATCGAGTATTTAGCGAGTTAAGTTAATTAGCGTTTTACTACTCGAGTTAAGTTAATTAGGTACTACTATATAACTTTAATACGCTACGAAAGTAGTAGTACTAGGTAATAGAAGCCAAAATAAGTAATACTGTGACGACACGTACGATATGTTGCTCAAGGAGCGTCCAAGGTGTAGGTTATGGAATCGTAGAACTGTCTATTCGAAGATTCTAAGCTAAGGAGAGAAGAGAAGGATGGACAGAAGCTTAAGAGCCAGAGGCTCTTAAATACAGGAGGTGGCGCCAAGGGCCATGCCTTAGCCGAGTCTCAGCCAGGGGCTCGTTTGACGCATGGTGGCCGCCGGGTTCCAGCCAAGGCTGGTCTGTAGCGTGGTGGCGGTGAGAACCGTCACAAATACTTATAACTAGAATATTTTACTCGCTTCTAGTTTCTCTCTCTCTTTCTCTTTTTCTAAATAATATACCTTATAATAGTAAAAATATAATAGTAAGAATATAAAAGCGAAATAAATAATATTAAGTACTAGAAATATATAAATAACCGAGCTCTAATCTCTAGTAAAGTAAGAGTATAAAGGTATGTAGTATAGTAGTATTAATAGTACTATAGTTATAAATATATACCTAAACTTTTATAATTTATAATTTAATTATTTCTAATCTAAGTATATAACTAGAATACTATATTAGAATACTATACTACCCTAGGTCTCTAAGTATTATACTAAGAAGGTTAGTGTCACGAATCACGTGTGAACACGTGACGAGTGAAGACCAGGCGGCGCCCTGACAGGTTAAGCACTATCATATCTCTTATAGCAAATAGGGATGCTTAGGCTAGCTAAGCGATCCAGGGATTTCTTAGTATAGGAAGAGTCACGTGATCATGATCGCCTGTATCGCCCAAGTCGCGAGCGACGAAAGCGATGTACGCGATCTAGCAGAGAACGAAGGTTCTGGCACGTCTGCCATTAGATAGGAGCTTCGTGCTCAACTTAGTTATCAATCTTATCATATTAGTTTGACATCTTTGATACAAGTAACGAGTTCACTTCTAAGTGAACAACCCGATAGTCTTCTTCTTATCATAGCATACCAACCAGCGAACACCCAGCCAAGTTTAGTTAGCCAGTTTGAGTATTCGTTACAGTTAATTATACTATATATAGACTTAGATATAATATAAACGTTTCGATATCGGGGGAGTCTATAATAATTATTATATTATAAATATATAAACGATATAATATCGGCTTTTTTATAATATCCGATATAATATTAATAATTACTATATAAGTTATAAAATAAAAAAATAGTAAATCCGGCTTCGAACTAATTAGAACGCTTTATTCTTAAAACTCTTTAACTAATAATACTACTACTAATACTACTACTACTACTACTACTACTACTACTACTACTACTAAGTACTACTACTTAGTTTTATACCGACTAGTTAGCCTCGGAGTATATAAAAAGTAACTTTTATTTGAAACTACTAATCCCCTAATTAGTTAAAGAGTTATTACGTAATCACAAAACAACAAAACCCTACTACTATATAAGGATTACTTTTTATATACTCCGAAGTAAACTAGTAGTCGCCCTTAGAATAAGTATATTTTATTTAAACTTTTTTTTATCTCTTTACTCCTTTAATAATCGTATTCCTACCCTAGATTTACCCTGAAAATCTCCCTAAAATAAGCCCAAAATATACTAATTTTAGGTATAAAATATCGATATCGTCACTTTTTAGACGATAAATTATCGGTATCGTAGGAATACATATCGGCGATATATCGCGATATATATCGCGATAATCCGATAAATATCGTCATCGTGCCCAAGTCTGACTATGTAGATTACATGAACGTCCACTTATAGGCTTTGTGCCTTACCTAACTACAACATCTTAATAGTAAACAGAGATACACTCAATGAAAGCGATTTAGATAATACACGAAGAACCATGCTACTACAAAATTTTGAAGTATAAATTGTTCATACGGTCCTTAGTACTACATATTCCTACCCTCTAACCATCAAATCATATGCTTTTCCACTAACCAGTCCTGGGGCATGCATGCAGTACCCATCATTATTCATCGTCTTCTAAAAGTTTTACACTCGTGCCTGCCTCCTCCAAAGCCTTCTTCAACCGATTCACAACTTCCTGTCTTCTCGCCAATTTTGCCTTCAGCTTGTCTTTGTCATCGCTGGAGTAACCGCTCAACTTCTTTCTTGGTGAAAGGGAACCGCGCGATCCGATGGATGAACGGAATGAGCTCTGCAGGTGTCGCGGCGTTTCTCTCTCGGGAGTATAAGCGAGTCCATATGTTCCCGGAGTGCCTAGCCGAAGTGATTGCCGCTTTGGTTGTGGAGTTGCGAAGGGCGATCCCTCACGGCTCTGTGACAGGTCAACAGAACTAAACCGGAGTCTTCGCATCTGTCCTTCGAGAACGTCGATATCGCCACTTCGCTTCTCAGCCATACCAGTCATTTTGGTGATAGTTCGCATAACTGCCTCAACAGTAGGAGCAGTTCCATTGGCTCTACCATTAGATGCAGAGTGCGAGACAAGTTTTGCCTTGAGTACCGTCAAGCTTTCTTCAGCCTCGCAAAGTAGCTTTTGAAACTTTGTGAAGTCTCTTTTGAGATCCCGTTGCTGTACAGTTTGCTCAGCACTCAAAGGTTTGTTGAAGGCCATTGCTACTTGTTCAGGGTCTGTATGAGTTTGAATGATCTTTCGGACATCTTCGTGTTTCGCGTGAAGTTTGATCAGGTCTTTCTGGAGTTCGCTGCATGTCTCAAGTTTGCTGGCAACGTCCTTTATCCGTCCATCCTGAAGCTCTCGCGCAAGATCATCCTCCATTAGTTTAGAAAGATCGTCGAGTTCGACTAAACACCAATCTTCTTCGTCTTCGAGGTCCTCCTTAGTTCGACCCCCTTGCTTGTAATGTTCCTCATGACCGAGAATAAATGCCTTCAGAGCTTTTGCGTTGATACCTAAAGTATCAATCATCGAATTGATATCTCGATAAATTGCTTCTACCTGAGATGGAACACTATTCATATCTGCTTCACTCTTGTAGTTGGTGTATGCCACGAACTCGTCCAAGGTAGTCGTGGGCTTGATTTCTTCAGCAAGAAATCTTTGCATTTCTTCGTCCTCTTCATCAATTAGAGCTTGAGTTTCTTCTGCCTCTTTTCCTTCTCTGGCATCAGCACGACGTTTCTCCTCTGCCTTTTGTTCTTCCTTTGCAAGAGAAAAAGTGCTTTGGCCAGGCGCTGATGGTTTGGCGCCGAATATCTGAGAAGAGCCTCGAATTTGTGAAGCAACCCCAGGAGCACTTACTGATCGCGATGGATCAGGACGTCCCATCAGTCTCCCAGGTAAAGCAGAACGTACTGGGCTTGGAGAGCGGGGACTCTGGGGTAGATTCTTTGGCTTAGGAGGAGGAAGGGAGGGTGCAACTTCTCTAAATAAGGATGGTCGAGCTGATGTTCCTGGTCTGGAAATATTCGTAAAACCCTCCATGTTCTTGTTAATTTTCAGCCCACCCCCGAACGAGCTTTCAGGGGTAAAGCCGAGGTTCTGGGTTTTTTCCGAGACAGGACTCAAGTCTTTTGCAACATCCTCGCCACTACCTTCTTCGCTATCGGATTGTATCTCGCCTTCCTCAGATAAAAAGTCCGCTTCATCATCTTCTTCCTCGGGGCCTCCTGGAACATCGTTAGGGGGTATAAGGTCAGCAGAAATTGGTTTGGGAGGGCTCTCGGCCGGAGGCACAGAAATTGTCGGCTTTGGTTTCAATATGGTACCTGGAGGAGTTTGTTCGTCAGCTTCAGAAGAGGATGATGACGAGTCACCAACAGAGAAGCAGGTCTTACTAGTCGAGTCAGGTGGCAACGGGGCTTCTGGTATTTGTTCTTGGATACCACTGGATTTCTCCTCGGATTCAGGTTCCGTCTTGATCCGAGGTGTTGCTGGCGTCTCGGTAATGGAGGGCGGCGCGGTAAGGTTCGGTGTCTTGGGTCCAGGAGAAATGGTATTCGTGTTGTTTCCTAAATTGGCAAAACTGTAGCTACCTTCTGTTGCGGGCTTACCGAAACTAAAGCCTGCTGAGGCGGGTTTGGTCACGGTTGACGTCGATGTGGGCTTACTACCAAAAAGGCCACCGCTTGAGGAAGCTGGAAATTTCGGGGGAGCGGGTGTAGATGCTGGAGTTGTAGATTCGTTAAGAGGTGATCCAGGCCTATTGGCTTGGGTGGAGAGAAATCTATTTGGAGCAGGGGTAGATGATGGGGTTGTAGATTCGGGTTTTGGAGCATCCATATCCGCCTCCTTTGATACAGGAGGAGCAGGCTGTGAAGATGCTTGGCCGAGGGCGTTATTAAAGTTGCTGCCAAAGAATGACGAACCAGTGCCCTCAATTGCTGGTTCATTATCCTTCGCGGATGGATCTGCTTTGAAAGTTGTACCAAGAGTAAATCCACCCGTGCTTCCAAATACATTACTTGTAGGTTGGCTCGAAGAAGCTGGAGTGCTGCTTCCAAAGACGCTTGACGTTTGCTTGTTTTCAGTCTGAGCGCTGCTTCCAAAAAGACCAGTCGCTGGCTTATTTTCAGTTTGAAGAGTGCTACCGAACGGAGTATTGGAGCTAGGTGCACCAAACACACTTGTTTGTGTGGTATTGGAAGCCCCGAATGCGTTGTTTGAAGGAGCACCGAAAGCGCCATTTGATACCGCCGGCTTAGAAAAGATACTTTCTCCCCCGGAAGTAGCATTTTGGAGGCTTGAAGCAGCCGCGAAGCCACCTTTCGATGCAAATGAAGAGAACCCCCCAGATGTTGGAGCTGTACTTGTAGCACTACCAAATGGTGACGCTGTAATCGCACCGCCAGTCTGACCAAACGCTGCATTTGGTGCCGTAGATCCAGTGCTCCATGGAGACGGCTTTGCTCCCAGACCACCTGGCGCACTAGGTGACCCAAATGAAGGTTTGCCGAATGTGGTTCCACCTCCAAGGGTAGAGGAACTGCCAAAAGCAGGAGCCCCAAAAGCCCCTCCCGTAGGAGCCGCAGAAGTCGAAGTAGCTGGAGAAGCTGGTGTTCCCCATACGCTTGCTTTTTGTCCCAATCCTGAAGTAGCCCCGAAAGCGCCCCCAGCAGTAGGCACTGATGGAGCACCAAAAGCCGTAGTCTGCTGTGGAGCACTTCCAAAAGCACCACTGGAGGCAGATGCACCGAATGCTGAGCTACCGAATGCAGGTTGAGGCGCAGGCGTGCCAAATAGCGAATTTTGCTGAGTTGGCGCAGGAGAAGATTGTACAGTGGGCGTTGATTGAGGTGCTGCTACAAGACCCGAGTACATGGTGCCTTGTCGGATTGAATCCATGTAGACAAACCACCACGCTGATAATACACCAAGGTTATTGAGAACCATCAGAGCTGGTAAAGGGGTGGATGATTTCTCTATAATCTCGTCGCCGGGAATAGGCTTATAGACCGGCTCGGTTGGAGAGAGATCAACACCGATACCGATAGCGGAAGTGTCATCAATACCACTCATTGGAAGCGCAGCTCTTTTAGTATCATCAGCAATTTCCGAGAAAGTGTAAGATCCTGTAACCGGTTTAGATTTAGATAATGGAGCATTTGCCTTCGTCAAGATTCCGATGTCTGTAGATGCGGTTGAGGCAACAACGAGAATATCGTCTATGTTTGGTGGGAAATTCCTCAATCTCAGCACATGTTGATATGGGTTTGGTCGAACGAGACTACTGAATGGCCCGGAGGGGTCTGTTTCTATCTTTTGAAAAAGAAAGCTGGGAGGGGTGCCAGGTGTCCTTGTCACAAAATGATAGTGAGATTCTGGTAAGTCAAAGCCCCCAGTTGCTTCTTGTTGTGTGTGTATCATTAAGAAAACATTATTCTCGAGCCATGTAATAGAGGTAACTGAAAAGAATTAGTCCGGAAACACATTTTGGCATTGTTAAAACTTACGAAAGGGATTATTTTCCAAGCCAGGGGGTTGTGGAATTTCGCTTTTTCCAATTCCCTCAGGAGTCATTTGGAACGCGGAGCCGTCTCTCAAGCCAGCAACCAACTGCTTCCCTCTAGTACTCCAGGAAACACAATGTACACCGTCTTTTAGGATAGGTCCACTTGGCCCTGGCACAAAAGTCTGTTCCTTAAGATTTGCCATCAACAGATTTCCTTCCACGGTGACAGCTGCAAAAAGTTCTCCCTTCTCGGGCGTAGGGTTCGGAACCAACGATCTTAATGCTTGTGAATTTGTTGGAATCTGAAATTTGGGCTCAGTAGAGCCAGTCATCAGAGCTTGAACATCGTAGACAGCCAACCCTCCGCCAGTCTCTGCCGAAAGCACCAGCCATGATTCATCTGCTGAAAAGGCAACCTGCGAAACCCTCATTGGCATGGGGAGTCGTAGTTGAGGCTGAAATGGTTTGACATTATCCTCTCCCTGTTCCGAACTCTGGTAGGCTTCTCGCACTGCTTTCGTGTATGCCAAAACAATCTCGTTTGGACCTGCTGCTGCAAAAAGACCCTTTTTTGAAGCAATGCTTATGAGCGACGAGGTTGATGGTGGTAATTGGTCGGCGGGCCATGGTGCAGTTATCCGAACTTTAATTTCACCTGCCAGCGCAATAAATCCAAGGGCCTGATATATGTATTAGTATAGTGCTGAGAAAAAGAGCTATATGGAAGCTTGAAAAGGTCGAGAGGCATAGACATACCTCAGTTTGGATTTCATCTATAGCCGCACCCTTTTGTACATCCCCCGCCCCCGAGCCCAGGCTCCCTCCCATACTAGTATTTCCGAAGCTGGAGAATGCCATAACGGTCGCGAAGTATCCCGACTTTGGAGGCGTTCCCTACTGCTGCTAGAATGTAGGCGTGGGCATTGATCGAGGGTTGGTTTGTTCTTGAGGAACGTCGGTTTGACGAGAGACTTCGAGGAAGAATTGGTCGGCGAAGAAAAGACAGTGGTCTTGGTGAGGCGACAAGATGTTGAGTATTAGTATTATATGCGATATTTTCGCTGTTGCCTAAGGTGATTTAGGCAAGAAAACATTGAGGTTGGTTGGTACTTGTACTGGTACCTGAAAGTCGCGATGCATCTGCCGTCGGGCGGCAGCCAATGAGCGCGCGTTCCTTCTGAAGCTCGCAAGGCTTACAAGGCAGCTCCATCGTCGTCAGTCGCAAGCTACCACTCACTACCTTGACCTCTACAGACTCAACTCCAAAGTTTGACCAGCAGTCCTCCATCGCCATCCAAATTCTGACGATAACTGCTACCAAATCCTCAAACCTACCTACAATCCACCCTTCGCACAGGAGCCCCCAAAGCTCCAACCATCAACATGCCAGGCTTCGACTTCTCAAACCATACCCGCAACGCTGCGTTGCATGCCCGAGGTGTACCTCTGCCAAAGGCTACCAGTACTGGAACTACAATTGTAGGATGCATATTTGAGGGGGGTGTAGTTGTAAGTTTAGCCCCGCCATGAATGGACATTATATTCTTGGAAGACTATAGATCTTTCCGATTACTCTGCCTCTGCATCTTGAAGCACCCTGTTCAGAAGCACCCTGTTCAATAGCCCAAGCTAACACTACTATCTAGATTGCTGCAGATACCAGAGCGACCAGTGGTCCTATCGTGGCCGACAAGAATTGCGAGAAACTCCATTACATTGCCCCTCAAATTTGGTGCGCAGGAGCTGGTACTGCCGCTGATACCGAATTCACAACCGCCCTCATCTCCTCTCAACTCGAACTACACTCCCTGTCCACTGGCCGCAAACCCCGTGTTGTCACTTGCATGACCATGCTGAAGCAACATCTCTTCCGTTACCAGGGACACATTGGTGCATATCTCGTCGTAGCTGGCGTTGATCCTACCGGTGTTGGATTGTTTACTGTACACGCACACGGTAGCACGGACAAGCTGCCATATGTGACTATGGGTTCCGGATCCCTAGCAGCCATGTCAATATTCGAGACGCAATGGAAAGCAAGCATGACGGAGCAGGAGGCTGTCACGTTGTGCTCCAACGCCATTCAAGCTGGTATCTTTAACGATTTGGGATCCGGTTCGAATGTCGACGTTTGCGTTATCACCAAGGAGAAGACCACGTTGAAGAGAGGCTATGTCAAGCCAAATGAGAGAAGCAAGAAGCAAAAGAGCTACGTGTTCAAGAGAGGTACAACTGCCATATTGAACGAGAAAATTATTACGAGGGAAGAGATCAGCAAGTATGTAACGGTTTCAGAGCTCGAGGGAGAGAAGTCGGTGGGCGAGAAAATGGATTTGGATGTCTGAAGTGGGTAGTTGGGATGATAATGGCTTATATGTATCAACAATGCAGCATTCGGTTCTTGCCACTTGAGATGGTGTATGATTGCTTTTCTCATTTCCAGCCAGTATATCTCCTATGACTCGATCTACTCGTGTTTTTTGCGCAATTTTGGAATTCTTTTAACAGGGTTCGTTGCCAAATAACAGCATCTCCATTTAATAACAGGCTCGTAATCCCGAACACTCGTTAGGCACATATTCAATTTTGGCCTCCGCCCCATATAATGAGATTCACTCGACCTACCAAGCAGCCATGCATGAGTAGGTCCTGTTCTTACTTTACTTAACCTGGGCCTGGATTACAGGAATGAGGGCTCGGTTGAGAATGCAAGTCCCAGTCATACAAATGCCAATATTACTGTCCCTTCAAACGGCAATGAGGAACTCGTTTCTTTAAAGTCATCGATATATGAACTTTATCTGAGCTAGGGGTTCGTTGATCCGAGGGGGTAAGTCAGTAGGAGGCTAGAGGGCTCAGTGTCTTTGTCCAATCAGCAAGTGGCTTGCTAAACTGCGCCGCAATCTCGTGGCTGACAGCTGCTCACCTCTTACGTCTGTAACATACACTCTCCAACCTCGAGCAACGCATCTACCTATTATACAATCATTCCCATCGTGTATCAACATAGCCCATAGGTCTAATCTTATTGGCCCAAATTTTCTGCAAGCTTCCGGTATTACCCAATTCGTGTTTCTCAGCGGCCGGAGTCACGTTTTTCGAGCCTCCTAAAGTCCGAAGTAGCCAATCCTCGAAGAAGGATTTCCCCAACAACCTTAATGAGCAAAGACCCGAGACGAAAGGCTTGCAAGCAACTCCCAGTGGCTCGTCAACGGGGTCTACTCAACCGAGGATTCGGAGACGCAATCGGATGATTACAAGCTGTCTAGAAAGCCGACGTCGCAAATTAAAGTGTAATAAATCTCACCCTTGCACCAACTGTGTGAAATTCACACGAGATTGCGTGTTCCTTGCTCCAGCTCTGGATCCAGCGAGTCAACTTAAACTTACGGAGATCAAGGAGAAAGTAGGGTCTTTGGAGAGGTTGTTGGAGAGGGATGTTGCTAAACCTATCAAGACTGCCGAGAAAAGATTGGATAGAGCTTTGCCTGATGATGCGGATGATGATTTACCGGGCCATGAGGATGAGAGGGAGTTGGAGCCTACGCCGCTTGCCATTGAGGATGCAGCGTATGGAGAGGAGGGAGAGGATGATGATTTGTTGGATCTCGGGATTCAAATGAAGAAGATGAGGACTACCGAGAGAATTGGAGGGTTTTTAGACCAAAGATTTCGGAAGAGGTCAGTTCTTGTTTTTGGTTGTACTGTTTTGTACCTTGTCTTGGACCCAGATGCCTCAAAAGTTTGAAGTCTGTAGTCGCCGGGTAATCTTGAGCGAGATCAGGAGTTTCTGGTGTACAAGTCTTTTTCACTATTTCTCTATGTCTTTTCAATACCTGAGCTTTATGACTGTCGACGTGCTCTGGACATTTTTGCAATTATTAGCGACCAAGGGAAATATCAATCCTCGAATTCAGCTAACATACACTCAAGTTATCCCACAACATGACAGATACATTTAATACGGGATACAGAGACACGACGGAAAAAGAGCCATCACCAGCATCGTTCGTTAAGCCAGTACCATCCGCAAGCGAATGGCTCAAACCCGGCCCTTCATATATCATGCCCTCATCAGGGTTCTTTTTCGGCTCCCAGGGACAAGCAGTATCACTAGTCGACTTTTTGCCTTCTCGATTAGCAGCAGATAGGCTCATCACGCAATATTTTGAATGCGTGCATCCCATAGCCCAGGCAGTCCACCGCCCTACTTTCGAGAAAGAATACGATTCATTTTGGGGAAGAAGTATCACTCGGAATTGAGCCTCCGAATTCCGTTCAAGCCGTAGTATTTGCAGCTATGTTCTCAGGGGCCGTCAGCATGGATGAAAGCAGTATCATGCGGGATGTTGGGGTTACAAGGGAGAGTCTAGTTAACAACTTTAAGCTTGGCACCGAGACGGCGCTCTCGAGGGCCAATTTCTTGAGGACAACTAAGGTGGAAACACTTCAAGGATTTGTTATGTACCTGGTAATTCTGCATTATTTGGATCCAAGAATGATTCGCTAATTTTTGTCAGATACCCCTTTGCAGATCAGAAGTATCAAGAGCACATTCGGTTCTGCTTGGAGCTGCACTGAGAATGGCAGAGTGTATGGGCCTACATCGTGACGGCGAAAGCTATGGGATGAATCCGATAGAGACCCACGTACGTCGCTTAATTTCGTATCAGCTCTGTTTTCTGGATATACGGACCTGTGAATCTTAAGGTCCTAGACCTTCGATTCGAAAGGGGGAGTTTGATACCAAACTACCTCTGAACATCAACGATGTCGACCTTCACGCTAGTGGAGATAGTCCTGTTTTCGCAGATCGCTGGACCGATGCGACATTCTCCTTGATACGCTTTGAAATCATGGAGATGATGAGACAGCTCTGGGTGGATCGTCCTAAAATAGAACGCCGCCAAATGAGTCTCACTGCTCTTCTAAGTAAGATTGAACATTTCAAAGCCAACATGGCTGCAAAGTACGATCATCTTATAGACGATCGAATACCAGTCCAGAAAGCTGCAAAGCTCGTGAAAGCACTTCTGACCTCTCGTCTCCACGTTATGGTTCTCCATCGCTACCACAACTCTGTCGTCTCACCGATGCCAGATAGACTTCGTGCCATCATGATAACAAACGGCATAGTAAACCTGGAAACGGCAATGGCCCTAGAGACGCTTCCAGAGTTGAAGAATTGGGCTTGGTACACCGGAGCCCTAACCCAATACCACACAGCATTTCTACTCCTCCTCAAAATATACGTCTACCCAAAGAGAAAAGAGGCAGATAGAATATGGCACTGTCTAGACTACATCTTCGAATGCGACCCCACCGAATCTCGACGCAACAAAGCCCTCCGCGTCCTCTCAGAACTCCAGCAGAAAACTGCAATCTACCAATCCATGCGTGGCATGCGAGCCCCAACTAACATGGACCGCCATGTCGGTCAAAGACCCCTTCGCGTAGCAAACGGTATGTTGGCCACGGAAAGCAAACCGCTTATCTACCTCAAGGATTCTGAAGCTCGAGCGGCAGCTTTGGCGGAAGGAGCTGCTCAAATCCAAGCTGTGGAACAGCAGAACATCGCATTTCCAGCAGCTTCTCCGCCTGTACCCGCTTCTATTGGCACGAGTGCGGTTTCCGAAGTGGTTTTCGCGGGCGTGAGTAATGGAGAGGCACTTTGGGCTTTGCCAAATTAGGCGACGCCTGATACGAGTAGCGAGGGGACTAGCAGCGTTCCTGGAGTCACGCCTTCGACATCGACGATGGGAACGGATGATTTGATGGCTGATATTGATTGGGTAAGTTCTTTTTGCATTTCTGTCGTCTATACTCTAGGTATTCCGTATCAGAGAAGCTTTGAATAGGGGTTAGGGGACAAAAACCAATGGATGGCAACATGCTAATTTGACACGAGGATGTTTTCGATACGCTCTTTCCACCTGACCAACCGGATTTTGAGATGCCTCGTTTTAATCAGTATCAATTCCCTTCTAGTAGTGGCTCTGGTGGGGAAGCGCAGTTTCTTGGTGGTGCGGGGGGTGGCACTTATTGATGAGTTATGTTTTATTTGCCTCGTATTGGAAGGGAAAATATATATGAGACTTATGATAATAGCATATTCTGTGGTATTTGTGGAAATTTGCATGATATTAGTGTGGCTACTTACGGCACAAGACAAATAGTGTATATCGAGAATTAATTATTCATTCGCGTAAGTCTTATTAACTCTCTAAATTAATTCAAATTTTTAGAATGCATTAGATACTTTGAATAACTTACACGACAAGGTAAACAATTCGTTAAAGTCTTGGTACACGGCCGTCACCTCGCTTAATTCTTCAACATACTAAACTCTTGTGTAACAGTCCCTCTATAGGATGTGTTTTGCGTATCGAGGGTGACTAAGCAAGCTTGTATATATCGTTTGATCTATTCGATCACTTGTCCACAATAATAACAAATCTACTGATTGTTGTTATAAGCTCGTAAAGAGTAGTTTCTTATTAAAAGACTAGTCCTTTTGTTAAGATTAAAAGTATACTCTTATTTAACGTTTAATTAATAATTTAATAATATATTAGCTTTATAATAAACAGGCTCCGGTTTAAGTAGCTTAATTCTACTACTACTATAAAGATAACAATAAAACAACTAATTACTACTAATTTAATAGGTGTTATAAGGTTAATTATTATTAGAGAATTATCTACAATTAGAGGAATATAATATAAAAATAGTATTATTAAGACAGGAATCGTAAGTAAGGATTATAGCTATTATAAATAACCCAGGAGGAGTATTAGGTGCTATAGTAGAACTAGTATAAGTATAGGGGGTAGGTAGAGTTTAGGTAGTAGATAATAATAATAAAAGTAACTCCTACTATAATTTCAGAGGATTAATTATAAATATATAGTAGATATTATACTAGAGAAATTTAACCTAATTAACGTTTATAAGTTAACTTTTATAATAGATTTCGATAATAATAAGAAAAACTATAATATAGTATTTAATAATGGAAAGATAAAAAGTATAAAAGTTAAAGGTAAATTAAAGGATTATAAAAATATATATATAATTTAAAGTAAAGGTTTTAGGTAGTATATATTAATTATTAATATGTTTTTTGAAAACAAATACCTAACCCTAAATAGGGCTTAAATAGTATTCTATAATAAGATATTAAGATTAATAAAATCGTATAAGTAGCTAAAAGGAGTCCTACTAGTAATCTAATTCTATAAGAAATAAAAGTTTTAAAATAATTTATATAATACTATTAAGTAGCTTTTTTTAGAATAATATATTATATAATACTATTATTTATACCTAAGAATACTAAACTAAAATAGTAGTAGATTAAATATAGGTAGATAGGAAGGTAGAGTTAAAAGAGTTAGGTTTAAAAAAAGCTAAATAATATATTAGCTTTATATTATAACTTTAATAATTTTACTTATGCCGCTACCTAGTATAAACGCTATTATAATTATATAAGATACAGGGGAAAATATATAATTAAGGAATATAGAGTTGATAGCTCTAGTATAAGTAATAGGGTCTTAAATAATAAGAAAGGTGAAAAACTAGAAAACAAGGCTAAAACAAAATAAAGGTTTAGTATAAGAGAGGGGGTATCTAATATATAATTAGGAAATTACTCTAAATATTTATATAAAGTTACCCTTACTATTCTATACCTATATATCCTAATACTTTACCTTTATTTTAATATTATAATAGATTAGTTTAGCTATTAATTAACTTACTATTACTTTTTAGAATTAATATATAGATAGAGTTATTAGCTTAATATCTAGGGTCTTTAAGATTCTATATTATATTAATCTTTTGATTTAGTATATTAGTTAGGTATAAAGAAGAGGAGAAATAGTTAATTTTAAAGAATTATAAATCGCTAAATCTTAATTAAGAGTCTATAGAAGTAAGTATTTAAAAAGATCTTAAATTAAGATAAATTTTAAAAGTTTAACTACTACTACCTAAAAGATTTATATCCTTACTACTTAGATTAGTACTAAAAGAAGATTATACTTTTTAATAAATCTATAATCTATTCTTCCCTATTATAGATTTAGTTAATAATAAGATTAATATAGAAGTAGTACACTTAAAGTACTTATTAATATACAAAATTATTATAATAGTTCTATAAAAAGGCTAAGTTACGCTAATTATAAAGCGTAATATAGTAAACGTATTTAGGAATATTCTACTTATATATAAGGTTTAGTAGATATTTAAATTTAAATAAAATAACTAATTTTATTTGAGAACTATCTAATATTTAAACTTTAAACCTCTTTATTTATTTTAATATATTTGTAAAAGTAATTTATTAAATAACTTATTATAATTATATTTAAGATAAGAGAATATAATCTATTATTTAGACGACTTTATAGTAATCTTTTAACTAGGATTATTATAAGAATAAATACTCGAGTTTCAAAACAATTATAATAGATTTATAATAGTTCTTAGAATACCTTAAAAGAAGTAAAAGAACGTAAAAAGAACCTAAGTTAAGGTCTTAGGATATATAATAGATATAATAGAATTTACGCTAAGTGTCACGAATCACGTGCACACGTGACAAGTGAAGACCAGGCGGCGTCCTGACAGGTCAAGCACCATCGGACCCTCTTATAGCAAGTGGGATCGATTAGGCTAGCTAAGCGATCCAGGGATTTTCTTTGGTTAGTATCACGTGACAAAGTTGGGTCGCCTGGAGCGACGAGCGCTCCAGTCGTCTGGGTCGACTCGGTAGACAAGCGACTCTGGCGACTCCAACAGTTGGAACAAAGAACGTAAGTTCTATATCAGACTGGCACTTCTGCCATTAGATAGGAGCTTCGTGCTCAACTTAGTTATCAATCTTATCATATTAGTTTGACATCTTTGATACAAGTAACGAGTTCACTTCCAAGTGAACAACCCGATAGTCTTCTTCTTATCATAGCAGACCAACCAGCGAACACCCAGCCAAGTTTAGTTAGCCAGTTTGAGTATTTGTTACAACTCTATTCTAGTTAACTAAAAAAGTCTATATTTATATAGATAATACTATAGTATTTATAAGTTTTAATAAATAATTATTAAAAAGCTTAGTAGATATATCTTTATATTAAATACTCTTTATTATAGTAAAGTATAATATCAAGATTATAGTATATTAGCTTTTAAGAATAGAAAATATATTAGCTAATATACTTTTAAGATTTAATAGAGTTTTGATTACTAATATATACCCTTACTTACTAAGTATAATTATATAGAACCTCCTATAGTATAGAGTGAGATAATCTTATAACTACTCTTAAAATTCGTAGTAAAACATACATAGTATAGATTAGCGCTAAGGACTCGAAAAGTATACGAATTAGGCTAAAAAGCGTATAAGTTCTTCTATAAAAATAATAGAGTTTAGCTATACCTAGTATAACTAATTCTACTTATAAATTATTTAGCCCTTAGAGTAATAAAAGAATTAGAAAGGTTTAAAAGTAAATTAAAAGGTAATAGTTTATAAAAATAGATCTTATATATTTACTTAGTTTATATTAATAGGATACCAGATCTAAAGATATTTAATAATAAAATAGTAAAGTATATAGTAGTAAGAGTAAAGTAAATAAAGATTAAAGATAAGAAACGCTAGGTAGAACTAATAACCTATAATATCCTTAAAGAAATTATAGTAGAATAATAAAATAAAAAGGCTAAAAAAAGTAATAAAGATATAATATAAAATAACCTTAATTTCATAGTATTCTCGAAACTAGTATATAAAGGATTCTTTCCCTTAGGAAAGCTTATATATATAGTAGAGGCGTATAAGAATAAAGAGAAGTTTAAAAGAGAGAAAGTAATAAGATCTAATATTACTTTTATAGAAGACGATTCCTTCATATCGATTAGACTAAAGATAAGTAAAACGAACTATTCGAATAGTAGTATAGATATTAAAGTATTAGCGGAGGACTTAACTTATATAGTAAAAGTCTTAAGACAACTTTTCGTACTTAATAAATAGAACTATAATATACTACTATTCTAAAGATCGAGTTATAGCTTAAATACGTCTTTTATAAAACCTACGATAGTAGACGAATTAAGAAAGAGGCTAAAAGTACTAAGATATTCGAATTAGATAAAATTTAATAGATATAGTTATTATTAAGGAGCTATAATATAAGTAAATAGGAATAGGATACTATATAAGTAAATATAATGTTTTAGAAGGTAGACTTCGAATACTTACCTAGGATATATTATTATATTAATTAAAAACAAATTCTTATTAAGTAGGAGGTTCCTTATAAGTATAATACTATTAATTCTTATTAGAAGGAACTAGATATAATAACTTAATTTAATCTTTAAATATAAATTTAAGTAAATAAAATAAATATAATTATTAATATAAACTCTCTCTATAATTTAATTAAGTTCTATAAATTTAAACTCTTAATATAAAACTCTTAATATAATTTTAAGTTCTACTACTATAAGCTATAATCTAATCTTTCTATATAAATTATATATATTATTTAGGTATAGCCTTTTGTGACAGACGTGCTTCAGGTAGAACTCAGAACAATTAACACTCTATTCTTAGGACAAAAGACGAGGAAAGAAGGAGAGCTCTAGTGAGCTGGGAACTAAATACAGGTCGTGCGCGCTAGCGCCTCGCTAAGCGAGCATGTGACATCCAGCCCTCGTGACCATAACCGTCACACCTTTGTCTAGTAGCCTAGGCTCTACTTATTAAGGTATAAATAGCCTTATAAGTACCCTAGGGGCTGTTTAACCTAAATAATATATCCTCTACCTCTTATATAAACCTAAGTATTAGTAAAGGATATGTTTTATATATCGAGGGTAACTAAGTGAGCTTATATATATCGTGCAATATATTCGATTACTTGTCTATAATAATAATAAATCTTCTAATTATTATTACAAGCTTATAAAGAGTAGTTTCTTATTAACCCTCTACTATCCCTAAGCTAGCCACTAGTTTTAGATAGTAAGATAGGCCTTAATTAAGCGCTTAGCAGCCTAGGCTCTACTTGTTAAGGTGTAAATAGCCTTACAAGTGCCCTAGGGGCTGTTTACCTAAATAATATATCCTCCACCTCCTACGTGAACCTAAGTATTAGCAAATCTATAATTACATCCGCGTGGGCTTTATCAAAGTTTCTAAATAATCCGTCACAACACCATAGGTATACGAGCCGCGAAGCATTTACTTCGATATTTACGCGGGACTAAATATTTATCCATTTTTCACAGTAGAACCGAGCTCTCCAAACAAGAGCTCCGATTAGAAGGATTTACAGACATAAATCACAATGGATGTCCTTATTCAGACAATTCCACGTCTGCGTCTGAGTATCCTTTCAAACTTGGAGGTGGGATAATTAGCTACTAATCTAAGAAAGAAACTCGTGCGGTATTGTACTTGATTGAATCCGAGTTTTATGGTATCGCTGAAGCTCTTAAAGAGATGATATGGTTACGTTGTCTTCTTTTTTGACTTGGATGTAAGACTGACGACGGATAACGAGTACAATTATTTAGTGACTGCAGGGAGCTCTTTGAATCGCTGAGAATTTTGAATTGTTCTAGTGTACTAAGTACTTTGTATACGACTTTCAATTTGTTAGAGAAAGAGTTAGTGAGGGTATTGTAGAGTTGTTCTATATGCTAGGTATAGAGATACTAGCGGATGGATTAACAAAAGGTCTAGCTAGGCTGAAGTATAAGGATTTTATGAAGTTACTGGGTTTATTAGAATTTCCAAATTATACAAGATAACTTATTAGATAAAGAGTTTTTAATAAGGCTATTATATATACTAAATAGAGGGTGTGTTGGTTGGTGGATACTATATTCCGAGTAGTTATACCTTAGGATATATTAGAGACACCTAGAGGCTAGCCCTAGGTTATCTAATATATCCTAGTACTTTGTACCTAGCTCTCTTTTGCAACAATTCTATATTTATAAATACTCTATTGTTGTCGATCTAAGTACTATTCCTATAGACCGTTAATATTAAGGAAAGAGGAAGATAAGAGAGAGTGAGGAGGATGAGTATATGAGTAGTGAATAATTGTTAGTATAATACGTATAGTACCTTACTTAACCTCTTTAAAAGGGTAGTATTTATAGTACAGGGGCTGGATGATTAAGTGAAGGCGTATATAATTGAAATATTTCCTCGCTTCTATCCCTCCCTCCCTCCCCTCCCCCCTCCTCTCTTCTGCTCCCTCCCTCTCTCCTCTCTTCTTATAATATATAAAGATACAGCTCTCATAATCGTAAAAACATAACAATAACCGTATAACTACCAAAAACACTAAGTCTATTTATCTAATCTTAATCTTAAGTAACATAGGGGTACGGGAATAGTACTTAAGTAATAGTAAACACATAACTTCTACAATTCGCGAAAATCTCATTATCGATCTAGGTATACAAACCTCCGTAGGATACCGTGTATAACGACCTACCTCTTCAATTCCATCTCTAATATAACTTAACTTAACGACCAGAAAGAGCATGCATGCATACACACTAAAAACCTCTTCTTTCTACCTTTCCCCACCGCATCCAGCAAACTCCATATCCCTCCCCAAAAAAACACCGCCATCCCCACCTCCTTCTCTCCCTCCCATCTCTCCAACCACCCCAAACAAAACCAGAGACTAGCATACTATACAGCAAAAAACCCACACAATCCTCAATCACTCAACCTCCCGACTCCTAACCTCAAAACCCACCCACTCCCAACTTCCAACCTCCCAAGAAAAAAAACGACCCAACGATCCAAGTAAAGCGACACTAAAGACCTCCATAATTATCCGTCTCCCATTCCAAGACCTTAAGTCATCTAAGCCCAAACTCCCAAACCCCTCAAATCAGACCAAGAAAGGGAATAAAAGAAAAAAGGTATAGGCACCTCCAGAAGGGGCGGAAGATTTCATTTATTAATCTCAAAGACGTATTCTAAACCTGGCTAGCGTGATGGATCAATGTAGTACAAGTACTAGAGGTTAGTTGGAAACTGGGCGGTGTTCTAGAGAGTAATTTGTTTAGTCCAAAAAAAAAGAAAGGATAAGTGAGCAAGTAAGTAGCAGAAGATAGAGACGGAGGACGTTTTTGAGGGGAAGGGGGGCTGGGGGGGCATTGCTTGCGGGTAAAGCAAGAAATGGGTATAAGTACGCGTAAGAAGTGCAACCCGAGAAAGCCTGTAATAACATCACAAAAGCAAAAGATTTCACGCCTCAACTAACACACAGGAAAAAAAACATAATATAGTTTTTTAAACGTTCTTTTTGGATGCATATCTAACCGTCTAAACGCCTAAGAAAAAAATCTCCCCGATACCAACAATTAAGGAAATGCATCGAGAAACGTCGGGAACATTGGAAGATAAGACGGCGTGAGTTTCATTAGGTCGCTCGCACAGAACGAGAAAAGGGGGAATCGAGCATCTCAGAAGAAGAAAATTTCCTGTGCCACGTCGGCCATCATACAGGTATATCTCCTTCAAGATTCCTTGCACCGAAGCACCGCCGCGAGCAAAACCGATCCAATGCAAAATGCGAAAGAAGACACCCCAGTAGAACATATGGTCGGGAAGAAAGTACCAGATCAATGATATTCTACTGAGAAGCGCACTGCACACGTTCACCACCAGCACCTTCGTCGTCCTCATCCATGGCCGTAGCACCTTGTGCTCTTGCTTGTTGTGCTGGGTCAACATCCTCGAGGTCGACGGTTTCTGTCATGGTTTCCTTTGGTGGAGCGATGTCCGTAGGGGATGGTGGAAGAATCTGCTTCAAAGCCTCGAAGGCTGCCGGATCGGTCGCAAACCCCTTTGCAGGGAATTTTACGTCGAAAATGACATACAAGTTGCCATTGTCGTGGTGACGGTATGATGGCATACCTTGGTTGCGGATCAATTTGATAGCACCTTTTTTAACGTTAGAAATGCTGACATGAACCGTAAATATGGAAGGACTTACCTGGACTAATAACCTCTCCTGGCATAATGTCCACACTCAACCATCTATCATCCAAATGCTCAATGTAGATAGTACCACCCGCAAGGGCAGTGACCAGATCGATTTCAGCATGGTATGATAGGTCATCGTCTTTGCGTTGGAACCGAGGGTGGGGCTTTTGCTCAATTTCGAAAATAACATCTCCCGGTTGGACCCCAGGCGTCTGATCACCTTCACCTCGGAACTCGATCTTGTGTCCGGATCGCACACCCCTATCGACGTGAACGTGGAGGACCTTTCGCTCGACAACCGTCTTCTTTCCCATACAGACTCTGCACTTGTCTTTTTCTCTAATGATCTCTCCTTCTCCGTTGCAGTCTGGGCAGACGGTTTGGAATCGCTGGATCATGGGTCCCATTTGTCGCATCATTGTCTTCATTCCGTGGCCATCGCATCCAGCGCACTTTTTGACGGCGCCTTCCTTTCCACCACGTCCTTCGCACTTTGCGCAAATAACCGACTTCTGCAGAGCCAGTTTGGAGACCTTGCCGCGATAGATATCTTCGAGAGAGACCTTGTGAACGTGGTGGATTGTGCGGGCCTTTGGTGGACCTCGTTGTTGCATACCACCGCCAAACATACCTCCGAGTCCACCACCACCGCCAAAAGCAGATCCTCCTCCAAAGAATTGGGAGAAAAGATCTTCAGCATTCATACCACCAGCTCCACCACCACCTTCCAAGCCCTCCTCGCCGTACTGATCGTAAATTTGACGTTTTTGGGGATCCGAGAGAATTTCGTAAGCATGGGACAGATCCTTGAACTTGTCTGCGGAATCTGGGTTATGGGCATTCTTATCTGGCATACGGGTTAATACGCTGAAATGTCAATTGCGAACGATGGGACATACCAGGGTGGTGCTTAAGAGCACCAACTTTGTATGCTTTCTTTAACTCTGCCTCTGTAGCAGTTGGTGCGACCTGGTTTTAGATTAGCTGAGACTCGCGACAGGTAAGTCTGTTGTAAGGAACATACTCCGAGGATGTCGTAAAACTTGGTGTCTTTCGCCATGGTGGCTTTAGTTTGGAGAGAAAGAGGGAGTAGAGATTTGCGACGCTTCTTCTATCTGATTCTGATTCCTCGTCTTATGCTCTGCAGTTGGGTGTGTTGGTAGCCGAGGACGAGTGGTCCGGTAGTCCTGCCTCCTGTTTCTGAAGAACAAGGTCAGCTTTCTGCGAGACAACGTCTGATGTGAATGACAGAAAAATTGTTTGCGATCGAAAATCACGGCTGGAAGAGAAGGGACAGCCACTGTCCCAAGTAGGAGGGACCATAACCACTGACCTCTAGATGCGGGCGAGGCTGCGGGCAGCTTTACAAGGGTCGCAAAGCACAGTAGGGACCTGAATTCGCAGTGCAAATCTGGATGCACACTCCTCTGAACAGGTCGCAGAGGGTTCGCACTAACGCCCGGTCTGGGTTTCAGTGTCGAATCTGTGTGGAGAGAACGGGAGGGAAGAGTCGTAGAATTAAATGAGGTTCGTGGTTCGTGGTAGTGGCAGTGGAAGTGGTAGTGCAGTGGTAGTGTTGTGGTAGTTCTGCTTGACTCTGTTCGCAGTGGAGTCCGCCCTGGAAGATAAAACTTTGGCGAAGAACCAAAAAGAAGTCCATGGATTTCTGGCCGCGCCACCGTCATTCACATCAGCCTTGTGCTGGCTAGTCCCCCCCACCAAGCTCAGCTAAGCTCAATAGAAACTTCTAGGACGACACTTAAATTACATAAGAGTGAATGTGCTATATAATCCACCATTTCAAGCGTCTTCATAGGCGCATTTTCTGAGAACATCAGAATAATATTACCTGCTCTTCCACCATCCAGATCTGCTAATTTTAGTTTCCATGCACGAAGGGCGTGCATCCTGGTTCCTGACCACTCGTTTAAGGTCCAATCGCATGTTGTCATTGACTCAATCAAAAATCCATCTTTATCGATAAGACCCCTACCGTTATCTAGATGGAAGTTTGAGGAGAAGGGAAAGTCGCTGTGAAGGTGGACCCCTTTTGTGAATCTTATTTGATTGTGATTTCGTCAAATTGACCGAACAACCCTTTTCAACTGTCATTTAAGATACTGGTATATAAGGACATTAGAGTTAACCAAACGAGAGTCACTCTTGGGCAGTATTGACTGGTCCAAGTACTGCTGCTTTTGAGGTGCCGTCAATACAGGGGCTGGAGGAGGGGCAAGATGATGACCCGCTTCCCAAACAGCATCCGTGGATTAGATAACGAAACCATTACTACATCATCCATCAGAACAATTGAAAATTTCAGTTGCAAATCAAAACGCCTTTCTATAACTTCCTTACTTGAATTTATAACAAAATGAACGACCAAGAGGCCTTCGCCATCGCTGTTGAAGAAGCAGTTATAGGTTATAAGGAAGGCGGCGTCCCAGTGAGACTACATACCCCATGCTACAACAAGAAAGCAATTACTGAGTAACTTTGCAGATTGGAGCTGCTCTGGTTTCTAGAGATGGTAAATTATTAGGGAGAGGTCATAACATGCGAGTCCAGAAAGGCTCTGCAATTCATCATGTAAGTAAAAAAACGTCACCTTCCATTGCCATTTTTCACGCTATATACCTTAGAGGAATACCCCCATCTTGAAATCCGTAGTCCTACCGTTGTAGGAAATTGCAACCGCTGTAAGCTTTTGCAACCGTGCTAGAACCGTCTGTAATCTAAACAGAACTGTTGCACGACAGTTTTACAACGGTTGCAAAATCACAACGGTTGTAGAAATGGGGGATTTCCTCTAAGGTACTCGATTTGTCGTCATCATATATGCTTAAATAGTCTGAAAAAACCCCGGGAGTAAATTCTGACCAAAATTCGTAGGGCGAAACAGCAGCGCTAGAAAACTCTGGCCGCCTTCCGGCATCCGCATACAAAGGCGCTACCATGTTTACAACGTGTGTATTTGGTATCTACCCTAAGATGCCATTGGCTAACCGACCCTCCTAGTCTATCTCCTTGCGATATGTGCACAGGAGCCTGCCTTCTTTATGGCATCTCAAGAGTGGTAATTGGTGAGAACAAGACCTACTTAGGCGGAGAAGAGTACTTGAAGAAGCGAGGGGTTGAGGTTGTGGTAATGGGAAATAAGGAATGTCAGGAATTAATGGAGAAGTTCATTAAGGAAAAGCCCGAGGTTTGGTAAGTAGACAAGCTCTGACCCCGATGGAAAATGGCTGATTGGTACTAGGAACGAGGATATTGGTGAAGAAAAGAGAGTATATTCCAAGGAGATAAAGCAATAGATGACGGAAAGTGGCAGGTTATTGGTTAATGATAAACCGCCAAAAACTTTTCTGCATTTCTAGTATTTCTATAATTTATTTGCTGGTTAGTCTATGCAATTCTTCAAAATAGAACTTGAGGTCATCCGGGTTGACGCGGGGGGTAATTCCTGTAAAAAGATCAGCACAAGGTTTGTTGGAGAATTTGGTGATTCTTACCGTGACCAAGATTGGCAATCCATCCCTGTTTTCCTCCACCAAAACCAGCAACCATGTGCTCAACTGCCTTGGTAATCTCATCTTTGGTTCCGTACAGGACACCCGGATCTGCGTTGCCTTGGAAGACAACAGGGCGATTGCCTCGAATTTTGACAGCTTCTGCGGGATCCTGCAGCCAATCTAAACCTACAACCTGGTATCCTAGATCACAGAGCGAATCCAAAGCATACCAAGCCCCCTTTGCAAATACGACCATTGGAACGGGATCTAATTTCATCTCCTTCAGCCGCTTGGGGAGATTTTCGGAGATGTATGCAAGGTATGGCTGAGAGAACTGCTTGAAGGATTGAGGCGATAACTCTGCAGCCCAGGAGTCGAAGACTTGGATAATCTGTTCGACTCTTTAGCAATGCGTAGGAAATATTCCAGACTTTCAACGTACCTGAGCACCAGCTTTCACTTGCAGTGCTAAATACTCGACACACACTTCTGCAATCTTTTGCAACAACGCCTTGCTAGCCTCGGTGTATTTGTAGACCCAGGTCTTGGTTTGAATAAACAGCTTGCTTCCACCACCCTCCACCATATAGCACAGTAAAGTCCATGGAGCTCCACAGAAACCGTACAATGGAACCCGACCCTTCAGCTTATGCCTTGTCATTGTGATGGCCTTGTAAACATAGTCCAGCTCGGCTGCAACATCGACCTTTTTATCCATAATCACTTGGTATTGTCCATCCTCGGGGGATTGCAGAGGATTTGGGAAATGTGGTCCCTTTCCATCAATCATTTCAACCGTCATACCCAGTGCCTGGGGGATCACGAGAATGTCGGAGAAGATGATGGCAGCATCGATCAGACCGGTAAATCTCTCAATCGGCTGTAGAGTCAAGGTAGAGGCGATTTCGGGAGAACGACAGCATTTGAAAAAGTCATTCTGGCCCTTGGCTTCGTGGTATTCGGGGAGGTACCGTCCGGCTATAAGGGAACCGACATCAGTCGTCGTATGGCATCAAAACAGAGGAGTATAGACCTTGACGCATCACCCACATTGGTGGTCTCTCAACTTTCTCACCTGCCAAAAATCATTAGTCTTGCCCTTCATATTTATGAGATATTGCGGTTGAGGGGAGAAGTGTACCCCATGCGGTTCGGAGGACCAGATCATTTTGTAGAGGTTCGAACTGGTGAGCCATTGTATCTTGGCCTTGGTAATCTATCGTGATATGGAGCCGATGGTGTCTAGATAATGGGACGTTGGAATTTGGGACGTCCGGGCTCATGGGATTCATGGAGGGGTCAATTTGGAGGGGACCTGGAAGGCGTCTCAGCGTCCCTCTTCAAAACCTCAGCAAGGATGGCACGGCCACCACAGCCTACCGCAACCGCAACCTCAGGTCCTCAGGGCACATTACGGTACAGGCACTCGACGCACAGGTCCATCCATACCTACCAAACGTTGAGCATCTCCACTGCTTCCTTGCTTTCGTAAGCAAGCTCGGCAAGCTCACGACGAAGCTGTCGGGCAGGTTGTTGAACATTGCACCCCGCCAGCCAATTCTCTCACACCCTTTGCCATTGTCTGATCCCAACAACCTCAATTGACACACGACCCGATACACGCGATACCTGCCAATCGGCTCCTCCCACCGGTATATCTACTTCTTCGTATATCCCAAACGACCACCCAATGCTGTCGTTATCCCCAATTCCATGACCGTCTGCTCTCCTGTCTGCCGTCGAGCAGTTCAGCGCAAAATAACCTGCCCCGGCGAACCAATTTGGATTTCCGATGATGTCCTGTACCGGAGTTATCAGAGGTTTCTCAATGTATCCAAGACAGCGAAGCGATACGGCAGCTTTGTGCCAGGTCCCTTGGAATCAAGACGGCGGCTGGGAAAACGAGAGATGGCACACGCTTCGGCCTCGGCCTATACACCTATGTCGGTTGGTGGTATAGGAGCACTATGGAGGTGGTTCAGGCAGTCGGACAATATGCAATACGAATGGCAGGCACCGACAATACGTCCTCCAGCAGAAGAGCCCCCCGACTTGGTGCAGGACTGGTTATCGGGATTGGCCATTCCACCAACGCCAGCCAAAGGTATCTCGGAGCCTGCAGCAGTCGAGGTGGAACAAAGTGCTGTGGATAGTCCAGAAGTAGCAGAGTCATCAGAAAGAGCTCAGAGTCAACCCACCGACCGTATGGCTGATACTCTAGAATTCAGACTGCGCTTTTTCCGCAAGTCTATGTGGGCGGTCGCTAGTAGGAAAAATGCAATCAAGCTATGCGAGAATTTTGCTCGCGATCTAACGGAAAGTCTGGCCGTGGAGGGGACTCACACTGAGGTTGTCCATTGGACACTATCTTTGGCTGTGATGAACGATATATCTCGAGCAATATCTGACTCGAAAACGTCTGGATTATGCTTGGTAGCACTCTACGAGAAAATCTGGGAGGGCATGTCTGCTTGCGAATCACTCGATACGAACGGATTGGGTAAGAAAATAACACATAGACTTCTGAACCGTCTTACAGTTCTCATGGATCTACCACAAGCACGATCATTGTCATCTACAATACTTCAATCGCTCTCCCCATCTCAGCAGCTCGGTTTGAGAGGCCCCATTACAAATGTGGTCTTTGCGTGGATGAAGACCTGGGTCAAACCAGAAGCCCCTTTTTCCACGGATGAGTTTGCCGAAGAGTTGGTATACACAAAAGTCAGGTCGAAAATTGAGCGTGTCCATCATGACATTTTGCATTTGATCTCAAAAACTTCTCTAGGAAACCTTGGTACTGATCGTGTCAACTTGAAAAGTCTTGCGGCTGTGCTTAAATCCGCAAAACTTGAGATTATTGAAGCAATTCGTGCCATCGATCGCTTGGAGGACAAATTCCGTCCACCTAGGAAAGCTGCGGAAGATCTTGCACAGGCTCTCTCAAATATCACCAACGATACTCGCCGTACTCATAAGAGACAGTCAATGGTGACGCCTTCCGGTGTCCTAAGAAGCGTGATTTTATCTTGTTCTAAGCAGATTTCCACCAACCATGAAATCTTGCCTCAAAGGGTAAGGATATCTGCTTTGTTTATGGATGTGGTCACATTGCTACCAAAAGTCCACGATGACCTCTTCCATGAAGTTTGTCGCGATATGGTTGCTTGCCGTTATAGCGCGCTTCCCGTCAAGAAAGCGAAAACACTAAGCAAGTCATCGACCCTGTGGTTGCTCCAGCGATGGACGACGAGGAAAGAAATCGCGGATCCTGTTCTCGTCAGTAATGGATATGCAATTATGGCAAATGCTAAGGGTGGAGGGTCTCACGTAACCCTTCTCTTTGCTATTCACTATTATGGAGGGGATATTACGCACGCTTATAATCTACTTTTGACATTTTTCATGAGTACGGGTACTGGCGGCCCAAAGATGATGCACAGCATAGTTTCCCGCCTACAGGATCAGAAAATCCGTCTACAGCCACAGCCCTTCTCTCGGTCGTTAGATCTCATTAGTCAAGGTGAGCCTAAACTCGCCCGTGGCTGCCTTGCTGTTTACAAAGAGTGGCTTTCTATTACACCCCAACCACAACATCTACATCGTCCCACCGGATTGCGCCTAGAGTACTGCCCGAACTTTGTTCTAACACTGATCGAGAATACAACCATTCCTCCTCATCTTATTTGGGAGCTCTTGGATATCCCGTTGTATGCAAGTTTGGACGCTTCTGTGTATGTTCAGCATCCAAGAAAGCGAGAACTGTCAACGGAAATCATCAGCCTAATGGAGCAAATGGCTCTCAAGTTCTCCGCAGCCGATACGCGGCCTGAAAGATTGGCATTGAGAAATGTAGAGCAATGTCTGCTCCACTTGGTTGCACATAACGTACACCCAATACCCGAAGGAATCGCCCAAGCCATCTCTCATGCTGGTCTGACCAGGAAACTCCTCGAAAATGATGGGATCATTGGGTTGGCGAGGTTGCGGTGGTGTCTCGATAAGATTGGGAGGATTGAAGGAGTCGAGGTTGCAAAGTCGGTGGATGAACAGGTTTACTGGTATAGACAGTTTCGTTTGGAGAGGAGGCGGGAGAAGCGGAGGATCGCGAGGGCGTTGCCGATACGGATCTTGGATCGTTGGTAGATATGTAGATTAATATGTATATATGAAGGTAATGGTTTTGATGATACCTAGGCAATGGTTCGAGTTAGCCTCTCGAGCAGATTTGTGGAGGAAATTATGAAGCAGTCCAAGGCTGCATATCATGTTTGCATCTGTACTTGGTAGGGACGACATTCGCTACATCCTCTCTGCCAAACCCCCTTTTCCAGCTTAAGGCGATCAGCTTGTGAGAGATACCTGAGACAGGGTGTGACTTGTATCCTGTCGGTGATTGCGTGACTTGCTTCTAGTATTACATGGCTTTTCAGTATTCCCAAGAGAAAAAAAAGAAAGAAAAAAGAAGAAGAAGAAGAAGAAGAAGGGGAAGGGGGGTTTGTGTTGGGAAAAAATGGCGGGGAGGTTGGTGTGCTAAGCGAGGAGTAGGGGGGTGGTCTACTTCCAAGCTCGGAGTGCACGTGGAGAACGCTGAGAATGAGGAAAATGGGGAGAACAAGGGCAATTCTTCCTCATAAGTGCAATGTCACTATCAGTACCTTACTTCATGCACCTGGACCTATGGAGTCCATGAGCGATTTACAACGTATAGAAGTTTACAAGGGAGAAATACTCCTAACGCTCAATTTCACTCTTCAACACATTTCTAAATTCTACCTCATACGATTGTTGCATACACACGCATCACTATCGGATTTGAACACTCCCTTATGCTTCTTGCCATTTTCTTCACTGCGAAACTCTCTGGACACAATGCAAGAATGGCAAGTTAAGCGGATCATCTCGGTAAAAACAAGATTGTCTGAAAGTGATGTGTAAATTGTGACCCAGATCCAAGAGATCGACTACGACTCTACGAGATGGTATATGATGGAAAAGAGTTCTGGGGATAGATTGAAGAATGGAGAGCTGGTTTGTGGATTGGTGGTATTATACCTACCTAGACTTGGAAATTTTCATGGTTTTTCTCATTGAGTTTGTAAGGAAAGATTGATCAGAAGTAATAGGCGAGATGATGGGAGATGTGTCTTGTATATTCTGAGCAGCTGAGGTATGGGGTAGTCCTGAATGTGTATGTATGATCATAAGGCAGTGTGTTCCTTAGAAGGGAATGTTATGCCGTGAGGGTAAGATCTTACATTTCTATAATATATAAACAAGCAGCTCGCAGAGGATCGAACCAAGCCGTTTCGGGAAGCCCAACCCTTCTTTTGAAGGGATGAATCAAAAGGTCGCAGTGTGAATGCTTCAACATTAATTATATTTCTCTAATACCCAGGTTCCTCGCCTCCGGCGTCTATCCTTTCCCAAGTAGTTTCCCTCAAAAATTCGTAAGTCTTACAGGTTCCGTCAAATAATTACAGTAAGGGTATTATAACCGAAAAAATACAATTGCCTCAGCGATTTCGATAGTTTCGCCAGACACCAGCTAGACGAGCTGTCAACTCATCTTCCCTCGTTGTCGGACGCTGGAATGTTCCGCATCGAGTTTCCAGTTTAATCTCGAATTCCCCGTAGCGCCCAAAACTCCATAGAAAATGACATTTATATATACAAATCTAAACAAAAATCAGTTAAGCCTCTAATGCAAGAAGAAAAAATACCTTCAAGATCCATCCCCAGAAACCGGTTTCCACTTTTCATAATCCCAAGTTCGATCCTTAATCCCATTCAACCTCCTCGCCACCATCCTCGCATCCTCATCCGAAAAGATATCAAAAGGATCCTTATCCATCCTCTTCAGCTTAACCTTCTCCCCCGCCCTCCACCTAAAAAACTGAATCCGCCTCCCAATCGCAATCGCCACATACTCCGCAGGCGGCCCTTGCTCCGAGCCCGAGTATGGAAGCGGCAACATATACGGAACCAACTCCTCATTCTCACAACTCCAACTTTCAGGCGTATCTAAATCCGGAGGTTTACACACCAAAACTAAGATCTCTTTCTGTACAAAGACCGAAGGGTCTTCGGCTCCACACAGGGCTCGTCGCACGCCAAACACTTCCGCGGAGCGGATGAGTGATTCTTTGGAATGTGGCATCTTGAAGTAGGTCGCGAAGCCTTCGGAGGTGGGGAAGAAACTGGGGATTATGGAATGGCCCCAGAGGCGGAGGACGGGGGCTTGGTTGGGACTACGGTCGAGAGCTGCGAGGAGGGCGCGCAGGCGGAGATCATTGTGGACGTCTATTGTTTTGTGAATTGGTGTGGTCATTTTGGGATGAAACTGTTTTTTGTTTGACAAGAGAGAGAAATTCTTATGGAATTCGTCTCTTCCAACTTTTCTATGTTTGCATTTTGGGGATGGGCAGAACCGAGGAATCGGTGACGTACTTGGTGCCTAAAAGCTAGCCACTAAATACAAGGCACCCAAGAGACTTGCAGAGCGTGATCATGAGTGACTTTTTGGCAGATACAGACCTTTCAAGATCGCTGAGAACCCAGATGCAAACTGTATGGCTGGAATTTTCTTTTTTGAGAAGAACTCTTCTGTAGGTTTCCTCTGGAAATATTCCGCGTTTGCCAAAAGTTAAACTTCGGGACTAGTCACATGACCAAGCTCTCGCCTATCTTACCCCTTTTTATAGGCCCCTGAGGACATCGGATTCTTTCATTTTTTTTAACACGAAGTAATAGTCAGTGCGTCTTCCTACGGCGCTGTCGCTTGTAGTCAGCGGAAGCAAGTGAAGTGTAGGCCTTAGGTCTCTTCTAAAATAGTTGATTTTTAAGCTATAAACTTCTATAGAGGCTCAAAAGAGAGCTCTCTGTTAGCTCTATAATATACTAACCTATAAGCTAAATGCGATAGTGGGGTGTTTAGATATTGTAGATTATAAGGAAAGTATACGAGAATAAGTCTGCGCACGTAAAAAGACGTAATTACGTATGCTAAAGTTAATCACGTGCGTGCCTTACTAAAATTTCTAAAGAGTATAGGAATACTAAAACTCGTCCGCATCGCACGCAATTCGCCTTTGAAATACGTAGTCTTTTAATATAGGACAGTACTTAATTATAGCTACAAATTCATATTATTTATATGTTTTTCTGACCAGTGGAAGTAGCACTGTGTCGTAGGAAAGTGCCTATATCCGCATCCCCATACTTCACTTGCTTCCGCACTTCACTTGCTTCCGCTGACTACAAGCGACAGCGCCGTAGGAAGACGCACTGACTAGTAGACATTATCATAGAAGTACGAGCCGAGGAAACATAAACCTCACTCGTTCAAACAGTTGCAATACGTCCTAGCTTCGTGCAACCAGTAAGCCACAAAGAAAAAACCCCTTCCAAGGTTGCATTTCTAAAAATAAAAATCTCTCATCATCTACTCATACAATACCCCCCTTCATCCAATCATAAAACATAAGCTCCCATATACCCATACTCCCAGCTGCAACAAAATATCTCAGATCATCCATTTTCTCCTGCAAAACGCCATCCATGCACCGGACAGCATGTGAATATTTCCCACCAATCAGATTCAGGCAACACGCTATTCATCATTTCGTACAGAGATCTCCAGAGCAGGAACTCCCATCCTACACAAATTTACTCAGGCTCCGAATGCAAGGCTACTGCAGCCATTTCTGTCTCTCTATCTTTTCTGTCCAGGTGAGGTTCTGGTCGTTTGTTTCGTCTTGCCAGGCGAGGAGCTGTGAGGAGGCTGTTTGCCGAGGTTGGTATTGAGAGGCACTATCCAGTAGAACTTAAGATCAGTAAAAGGAGCCTATAAGTGCGTTCTTTGGAGAAGAATGGGGAGCACTAACTTTGAATATGCGGTGTTGCTAGAGGTAGATTGCCCATGCTGGCTGGCACTTGAAGTGTAAGAAGAAGCTGGGGGTCTTCTTTCGATCCTGGACTCGCTGATGAGAAGATTAGTCGGTTAAGACGGAGAGGTACAGATGCTTGGGCTGCCTTACGAACTGCTGCCACCCCTAGACGAACCCTCAACTTTCCGTCCAGCCGTCTTGCTCTTGGTCCGTGGCATATTGAAAGCGATAGGGATGGATGGATAAAGGATTTTCCCCGGATCAGCTCAGCTCGGTACTGTAGATTCTGAAAGCTTGCTAGGTATATCGCGAGTGGATTTGAGATAGTATTTGAACATAGAACAGGGAGGAGCAGATGGAGGAAAAAGAAAAAAAGTGAAAGGCTCGCACTTGGGAAGACAGACTATTAAAAACCATTCACATCTGCTTCTGCCTCCAACGTCCGTAGCCCAACTGACGAGCCCCCAACCATGGAAGCTTGGGAAGTACTGTACATTCTCTGTGCCTTTCCAGGGATCCATCTGTGGTCGCCGACAGCATATTCCATTCGTCCTCCAAAAATACAAATTCTGGCTATTGATTTTTGAAACGAACGGAGTGGAGAACAGCTTCACGGCGTGGAAGCAAGGGACCAGGAAAACAGAGCAGAGCCCCGGTTGCTTTACGAGGTCACGAACCGGAGGTGCTAGATATCCGGGACGTAGGGGCCGTTGAAGACGCTGTCACATTGAGCCACGAGAGAGCCACGCTACCAGGGAGTATGTTGTGCATTTTGGAGGCACAGGGCTGGAAACTTGTGGAGGAGATTTATAAACGGAAAATCGCAGGGTCGGGGTTGTTCAGCTTGGGGTGCATTTTCGGTTGTGATAGGTAGGTTGGATGCATGAGTTCGTCATTACGTCGTGCGCCCCTCCTGGCTAAATTGTAACGACCCCAATACAGAAGGTTGATAGGACACTGGTAGCCGACGTCTTCTAGTGATGTACTCGAGTACTTGTATCACAGTAGTAGTTCCTTACCATTAAGTTGATTAAACTGATTAATACGAGACGCAACGCTGGCCTCGAAACCAACACTACCACATTCGAGGGTATTTTTACCTTGCAGAGATGGAGGTGTTGTCCTAATTGGGAAACTTACGCCATCAATGATTATTTGCACCCTGATTGGTCGTTGTATGCACCGGCAATTGGAGAAGTGTGTGCAATGTCACACATAAATCCCAAAGAAGATGTGTCGCCATGTCAAAGCTACCCATGGGCCACGCCCTTAGTTGAGCCTCCCTCTTCATCAAAATCCAATCACATCACCGTATGACCGCTCCTAAAGAGGCTCTTCATCCGTCGGCCCGTTTAAAGCTGTCAACTTCTGCCTTCTGACTGCACAACTTCGACAAATGCTCCACTCCGCCAGACCCCTCATCGGTGTTGGCATTGCACCTTTACCCCTTTTCACATGCCCTCAAGATTCCAAATAGGGTTGCAAAGCCGTATCTGCTAGCAGTAAGCCCGGGGAAGCGAGCTCGCCGTTCTGTCATGCTGTGGTTATTCATCTGAAGGCATCAGGGGCCTCCGCATTCGCACTCGGTACATGCATACATCTCTGCTGGTTGCACAGCTTGGAGGTATCGTGGATTACACGTGTGTCAATGGTACTTCGCACGCAGGATCGAAGATACGACCATGTGCGAATTCATTCCATGCAGACCAATATCAGAAAATTCCTTTCGGTGTGCCCTCGGTGTACCCGATGAAGCAACCAGACTTGAAGCAGTCCTGGTGAAAAAGAAGTGAAGATCTGCTGCAAACGAGACAAAGGTCCGAGATTGCGATGAGGAGCTAGATTCGTCACAATGGACCTATGGCTCAATAAATTCTCACAGAAATAAGGATTCAAAGACACAATACCACGCATACTACAAGTCGAGACCAAATCCAAGAAAGAGATGCTGCTTAGCCTACGAAGACTACGCAAGCCACTATTTTTGTAGGCTGAGCACGTGGTAGAAAACACATGCCACTAGGATAAGAATATATTAGCCATCCCCACATGCCCTTCCATTACCCCTACCATATCTCAGCCCAGACAGACCCCATAACAACGTTTTCTGCAAGCCCCAAGTCCAGGGAACCGCTGCAGCTGGTTGCACCCTTGCCTGCATGGGCGGCTAGAGCGCGAGGCTCCAATATCCAGCAGCTGCGAAAGCTACAGAAAGCAGACACCACAATTACGGTCTATTATTTGATTTCAAATATCAATCTGCTGGATCTGCAACGACCAAAAACAGCCAATTCGGTCAATGTTATACACATCTCAGGTAACCGATGTGGAATTGCATGCGAAGGTTATCCACTACATATGCAGCCTCTACATATGCAGTCCTACCGTGTTCCACGTTGAACAGATATCGAAGTTATCAATGTGCCATAAAGATATTCGGCATCCCCGAGATATGACTGTGAATCGGATGGAAGAACAAAAAATTAGGGGATAAATTGATGAAATGTGCAACCTCACTTGAGGGAGCAAGTCTTGGCTAATAAAAATATCACAGCATAGGTTGAAGAACACATGCAGAATGCTTGATGTTTGATACTAACAACGAATCGGTAACCAGGTACTCCAGACACCATACAAATTTGCAAGCCTAGAAAGCAGTCAAAAACAGCCACTAAGCCCAAACAATCAGACCTGCAGGGACCTCAATTAGTACGCGTACAATAGTGAGTCCTCAGAAGAGAGACGCAGGGGTCGAATTCCACTCACCATTTTCTAGTTCTTACAAGTTATTATGTCCCCCACTATCCACAGCTAATACAGTAATGGTTCTCCTAGAAGAGCTCGGCCAATGAGTCGACTCTAGTCCAAGAGCTCCGACTTGACGCCCGAAATGACCCATTTGTCCCTATTTGACCACTTTTCGTTGAAATATTCCTCAAACTTTTCGCAATCCCTGAAGACTCGATCATCCGGTGTCCAATACTCGAAACAATTCTTGAATATCAACCGAATATCTGCCTCAAATCCAGCTGCTGTCTTGTATTCGTTGCGATCCATCTTGGCCTTGATAGTCTTGAGATCCCTATTTCAGAATTTCTGATTTAGCACGTATCTTTTGATTCATTCGAGAAAAGGTGTAAGAAAGAAATAGTAAAAGCTTAGACACTGGCAATCTCTAGCCTTGAGAAACTGCGGGAAAAAAAGTTTTCACTCCAGAAGGTGAGACTTACATAGGTCGCTTGACCACGTCGAAATAGTTGGGAGCCTTATGTACATCTGGGTCAACCGGATCCTTGAAAGGTCCAACAAGGCGTGTCCAGAATCCAGGACCAGAAAGCATGCGAGTAATGAGATCCCGGCAGAAAGCAAGTTCGTGATCAGCGTCCATTGGAACGGGGGCGGAGGAAGCACTATTATTAGTCATCCGAACCTTTGGTTGTCGTACAAGTGCTTCAGACTTCCGAGCAGCCTTCTTGGCAGAAGATTTGACTTCATAAACTCCCTCACCATTGGCGACCGAAATGGACTCCGACTTCCGAGCGCGTTTGGGGGCAGGTTGACCGTAAGAGCTTTGGTAAGGGCTTTGGTAAGAGAGCTCTTCGGCTTCATTAGGTTGCGGGAGATGAGGGTGTTTGTTGATGGCCTGTGGGACAAAGGTTGGCGTAGCTGGTAGATCCGACATGACAATGACAAGCTCAGAAAGAATCTCTTGAGGCAAGGATTTTGCAAAAGCGTTACGGGCTTCGGGAGAAGAGCGCACTGTTTGAAGTTAGGAAAACTCGAGAGTAAGGAGGTATCAGAGCGCAGGAAAATTTGCAGTCTCACTATGTTCAGCAGCCCATTTGATAAGCATTTGCCTAAGATCACTGCCCTCTTCGGTTTCTTCCCAGGCTTGCTTTAACAATTCAGTTCCGGGAATGAGGCGGGTTCGCTGTCTTCTCTCTGCCATGACCTTAAGAACAGCAACACGCAAAGGAGCCACCTTTAAATGCATTGCCAGTTTCCAAACACCCATCAACTGGGGATATTCAGGTATGGCTCGTCCCGCGACGCTGTCATAAACGTGACCTGTATACAGGAAGTTTTGGAAGCAACCAAAAATTTCGGCATTCGTATCTGGCAACTTCACTATATGCTCCACTTTGTTCTCTTCTCCTTTTTGACTGAAGTGCTCGCGGAAGAAGGGGGACCGGGCGCAAAGGAGGTCCTTTTGGATGCCAAAAGGAACTTCATCCTTTCCGACCATTATGATGACGAAAATCGGGTGAGGATCGCTATAGATGTCAAAACGTGACCGAAGATGGAAAACGGGTATGTTGTATTGAGATCGCTAGATAACTTACTGCCATGAGACTGTAGTCGATACCTCAACGGGCGGCTCAGCAGCGGCCTCGGTGGCTGGGGTTTTTTCGATGAGGGGATCCATTCTGTACTGACAGCACTGTAGAGGCGACGCTATGATGGATGTGGAGGTGGAGTTTTTGTCGCTTGCGCGTTTTGTTGCCAACCAAGCTATGGCAGGTTGGGGGTGTGTGAGCTAAGACACTGTGCTTGAAATTAGTTTATGAGTGAGTGTGAATGAGATACGGAGTAGGCGGATCGGTCGGGTTTGGCTTGGCACTTAGCCAGCCAGTAGCAGAAGTTCTGCAGCTTTCAAGACCACCTGCAATCCGCATGGAGCCGAAGTGAGCCATCCATGAGAGATATAATTGGAATCTTCAATCGCTTTGAGATGGACCTTTCGAACCATCATAATTCTGAGTGTGGCAGGTGGGAGATTGAGAGACCGATCATAGCTATAGCGGACCCACGGCCGATACTGGAGTATGCTCCTGGCTCCTGGCTCAGGCAAATCTCAAGCCCAGCATTGCGACGCGATCGGCACGGATCTGACAACGTCGAAGAATAGAAATGGGACTTACCTTAACCCCAGATGATGTGAGTAGTCTCAGTTTCCGCTTCTTGGGGGTCGTGGTAGAGGTTGCGATCAAAACGGTTGATGTTGTCGTCTGTTGCACCAGTCCGACCATTTTGCCTTCGGGGCAGTGATTCCGAGTCGGTGGTCGGGGCGGCTCGACCCGGATCTTCGGTGAAAACCATCCGTTCACACTTGTTGCTTCCAGCAACAACAAGCCATGCCAGGGGATTGTTGCACGCACGATTGCAGACGCTCTTTTGAGTCCTCCACCATCCCCAAGAACACTACCAGATTAGGGAAGAGAGATAGGCCTTCATTGAGCGCTACAAGGGTAGACACGATACTCATAAGGCTATCAAATCTGGACTCTACTTTGACAACCAACATTTTGTTCTCAAAAAACACAAGAGCCCCCCCTTTAATACGCTCCCCTTTCTCGCCTCCAATCCAAGCGAAGCCACGACAACGAGGCGCATCTCTACATTTCCATCTCGTTGGCATAAATCTCGTCATCTGTCTCGACATCTGGATCATGAGTCTCGACAACTGGATCAGGGGCCAGCCCTAATGATAAGAGTATCTTCTTCCGCCCCTCATCCTTCGACATAGCGGTCGGTGCAAGCTCCCTGGCTTTGTCAATGTTGACCGAGCCTTTCTTCTTGATCACTTCTGCTATCATCGCGGCTGCTTGAACGATCATTTCGTTATCTTTAGGGAGTTGTTTCTTGAGTTCTGTGCCGATGAAGACCTCATTCACAATATCAGGGTGGAACGAGAATATGTGTTGCGGAATGTGCATCAAATCCTCCCAGTTCTCGGTCATATCTTTGATCACTATCTTATCCTCTGGGATTCTGCTGATATGTTTGGGCTTAATAGCTTTTAGTCTCTCGATCAAGCCCTGCTTGATACCTGATAACAGACGAGCGCAACTTTGTTGCATCGCATAGTAATCAAAGTTCAGATTGGTACGATTGCTGGAAAGGTAAATGGAAACGCGCTCGAGGAGATTTACTGCACCATCAGATGTGGCCATTTCTGCTGTGGCCTCGGGAACATGATCACCTACAGCCAAATAGTAATCGCAGAGGTACTGACTGGGGAAAAACATGGCTTGAATTGGTGCATTGACACGAAGTATCCCAATCTGGTAATGTTCCCTCTTGTTATTGGTGTTGAACCACCATGCCCAAATCCAGAAGTGTGCAGGACCTTCGGCTTGAGTTTTACCAAGCAACGTGGGGTTCTCCTCCAAGATATGCTCCATGTCTTGCCATGTGGTATCCAGAAGCCTCAACTTTCTTGCGGCGTGGTACAGATGTGCTGCAGGAACGATGGAGTCGAAATTGTTTGCACAAATTATGGAATTTGTGAGCATCTTGTTTTTAAACCAGTTATCCATCGTTCCGCAGAACCTGGGGTGGATCCGGTAAAGAATGTTCTCCTCATATTTTGCCGTCGATTCAACGAAAGGGCCAATCGCCTCTGATAGCGCTTTGAAAGGATCGTTTTTTATCCACTTGTTAACATCGCGTAACATGTGCGTAAGAGCTATCCGGTCAGTTTTGCTTCTCTTTCCAAGTCCTTGTAGTTCCTCGTTTGTTTCTTGTCTATAGTATTCCTTCGCAACTGTATCGATTCTGTCTCCGGTTGCCCTGAGATCTTTACAAGCTCGAGTAAAGTCCACACGGGTGTGGACTATGTCGAGGTAGATCTGCAATGTCATGACCAGTTCCATTGAAAGCGATTTCGATGGTGTCTGTTTTGACTTCTTGTACATTCTTGTAATCTGGTCTTCTGTTCGAAACTGGACTCCATGTTCAATGGTTGCATCTAGAGCAAAACACAAACGACGAAGTAATGCGTCGTCCATTTGATATCGCATATGGAAATTGCCATCAGGAATGTTTTGGTATTTAACTCCTTGGCTCGCATCAACAAACTCCTGAAGCGAGCCTTTGTTGTCGCGTCCAAAAAACCCCTTGAGTGATCTATAGGCAAAGTAGCCCACAAAATCTGCGCTCTCAGCTTTTTCTTCAACCAGTTTGTCGAAGTCCTTGGCGGTATATTCTGTGTCCTTTTCGGAGCGTAAGTGCTCATATGCCCAAGGGATCCACTCTTCTTCCTCAGGTGCGGCTTCGAACTGGGAGACTATCTCCTTTCGGCGTGCAATGTTGACAACAATCATCTCAATAACCATGTTGGTTATGTTACATACGGTATCAAGATCGACCTCTTTTTGATTGTATTTTTTCCACATCGATCGCACGAAATCTCTTACGGACTTCATTTGTAAAAAGAAGATACCGAGGTATTCCATCAAATTATGTATTGGGTCAGCGTCGATCTCGATTTCGTCGTCAAGTATTTGCGCCGATTGAATGGACGAGTCTTCCGGTATCTTAATGCCGATTTCCTCTGCGGGTGTTTGTGCTTCCTTCTCGGACAAGATTGCTGGCTGCTTGCTGGTAGTTAAGTCTCCAAGCTGGTCTGCCAGAACCGCACTCGAAGCTTCTGCTTCTCGTTCCCCATCTTCTTCTCGCTGTCCAGGGCAATGCTTCACACATTCTCGGACTTTCTCAAGAACTTGAATGAAATTCAAGTGACGTTGGTTGTCCCACCATTCCGAACCCATCTTTTTGTGTTTTTGATGCATCTCTCAGTGACGCAGAATCACCTCGTCTATCACATTCTTAATGTGCTTCGGAACCGAGATTTTTGCCTTGGCGATTGCTTCTGCGAACTTAATATATTGCCCCTGTGTGATGGGGTACTTTGGTGTATGAAGTTTGTTCTCCCCCTCTTTCTGTTCCTTTTTGTTTACATGGAGCTTTTCTCTCTGCCTTCTTTTGGACTTCCCTGGAGGCTTCTCTTGACGCTTTGCGTCTGTATCATCAGGTTGGGCTCTCACGCCAGCTTTGCCAAATGTCTGGAGGAAGACTCTAATTTTGTCGGTGCCCTCCTTGTATCTTCAATTCGCATTAGCATATTGAACGTGGAGTTGATTCACACAGTATGAAGTATCATACATCAAGACGATAGACAGAGAAGGAAAGGGGGGACACGAGTGTGGCTACTAACTTCTTGTAATTGTTGTCAACATCGTCAAAACAAGCCTTCAACTTGGCTCCCGCGTCCTCCTTCGCTCTATTCACGGATTCTGTTGTATCTCTGGTTCTCGTCGCATCAGTCGTTTCCATTTTGGGTCGATTCTGATGGTCTTTGATGTGACAAAATGAGGTGTGCAAAATACTGGCTTAAACACGAAAAACAAAATGTCAAAGGATGTGGTTGACGACTATCAACCATCGTGAATGAAGCGAAGTGTGAGATGGGATCGGAACATAAACGCGCCGACCGGGGATTAGATCGGTAATTGGAACTCGCTTAGTTGTAGGTGAATTGGTAGCTATGTCTTGCGGATGGTTTTCTGGATTTCACTGCATTGGCCAGTCTTAAGTGATGCTGTGCTTCTTCAAAGAAAATTTGGGAGAAAAAGGACGATCTTTGGTAGGGTAAACAAAGGGCTGTTTGTCTGGGGTATCTAGTGTGAGTGCAGCAATATAGCATTTTGCTAATGAGATATTAGGTTATTTTGCGTTTATTGCGTTTATTGGGGTTGGATATATTGAACATTCTATAAAGCGCGTTCAAAAGATGAGAAAGAAAACAAATACATGAAAGCTACTGGAAAGGGAGGAGAACCTCATAGAAGAGGTAAGAGAACTCTAATCCTTGTGTGTCATGACAAATAGCAGGACGAATGCTCAGCTTGTTTTGCAGTTTGTTTGTTTGAATGGGTGATTTTTATCAAATTGTGATTCCATACGTGCACCACCTAAGTTTTGCGACTTCTGGGGCTCTGCTATCAAAAACTAGGATACAAAAGTCTTTCTTGAATGTTTTTTTAGGTGGAGAAGCTTGATAAACATATATTCATACTTGAATTACAAAGACTAGTCTTGCATTTTATGTTAAATGGGGGAGAGGGTGGTTGGCTAGTCTTTATTTTCATCCAGATATGTAAGTATTTTGTCTACCATACATGTCTCATTTGCTAGTAACATACAATAACAGCAATCAGAGTTTGCTAATATCTCTGATCGACCATCCCTGATTTAGCTAGGTCGCACGGCTTTTCCGCCTCTGTGGAAGGGTTTGCGCTATTACAGCATTAGCGTTTCCCCTCTTTTTCAGAAGATGGAAACTGAGCACCCGACATCTCACCGCACGACTCAGTGTCTCCACTCTTTTTCTAGAGTACTTCTCTAGAGTGATATGTAAGAGGTATCGGTTATATACATAGTGTATATAAGACAGTGGAAGTAGGATGGTCAGATGACTGTTAGGTACATCGGGAATCAAAAGAGTAAGAATTTGACTTGTGAAAATGACTTGATTTTTCTAACTATAAGGACAGTAAAGGTCTATATATACTCCTTAGATAGATTCTAGGAGGTTCTATAGGTTATAAATAGAATAGAAGTGCTTATAAATAGAAAGGGATACTAGAATGTTTCGGTTCACGTGATCGAACGTTCTAGAATATAAAATGACTTGATTTTTCTAACTATAAGGACAGTAAAGGTCTATATATACTCCTTAGATAGATTCTAGGAGGTTCTATAGGTTATAAATAGAATAGAAGTGCTTATAAATAGAAAGGGATACTAGAATGTTTCGGTTCACGTGATCGAACGTTCTAGAATAAGCGAGAACAGACTAAGGTTTAAACCTAAAGTCTATTAGTAAGTAAGGTAATTATTACCTAAATGAAACATGATATAAATGTATGCTAAAGCGATCTAGACCTGCTCTTGCAAAAACTAGTAACTGCATTACAATGATGGACTGCCATTAATCAGGGTACTAGACCCATTTTCGCAGTGGAACTGGGAAATTTAAGTATGACCGGGCAGTGTTTCTGGATAGAATCATTCATAGAGACTTATTTTTTCTTCTTCCTAAGCTTCTGTAATGTCGACTTTATTTTCTTCCCTTCCTGTTGTCTCTCTGTCAGCACTTTCTTCTGCAGAGCGAAACGAAGGGCAGCTCTTTGTGCTTTCTTCGCGCTTAGACGAGGTTTTCTCAACAACAGGATTCGCCTATTTGACTGATCTGCCTCTCACTTACACCCACGAAGATGTATTTGGCCTTTGTGACAGCTTCTTTGGCGAAAATGGGGTGACAAGCGAGGAAAAAATGCAAATCACAAAGAAAATATTTGTTAAAAGTAACAAAAATACTTATCGAGGGTGTGTATCACTGACAAGCCCTCTTACTCGATGCTCACCAATGTGCCAGGTACTTTCCGGTTCAGTTGGGGCAAGATAACCTCAAAGAAGGCTTCGAAATCGGCGCGCCAACAACAAGATCAGCCATCTCACACTCCCCACTCCTTAGCGAACGAGTCAACCTCACAGAACCGAACGTTTTTCCAGCCTCCAACCCTTCATTCCGTCACCGTTGCGAATTACTCCATACCGAACTCCAAAGCCTTTGCGCAAAACTCCTGTCTCTTCTCGCTGTGGGACTAGGAAAGCCGACCACCTTCGATCACTACCTAGAGGAATCTCTGAGTACCCTCCGACTCCTCCATTACCCACCGGTTCCTGAATCCAGACGCCACGATGTTATTTGTACACCCCATACAGAATCTGGCATTCTTACGCTATTACATCAAGATACCACTGGTGGCTTGGAAGTACAGAATAGCGAAGGGCAGTGGATTCCTGCTCCTTATATACCGGGCAGTGTTGTTGTGAATATCGGGGATTTGATGGCAAAGGTTAGCGGTGGGAGATGGGTTGCTACCAACCACCGTGTCCGTTCAGTGAGCCGTGAGCCAGGTGTGGTAACGAGAGGGCGATACTCAGTACCCTTTTTCTTTGAGCCGGGGGTCAATTGCGTTGTGAAGAGTGTTCAGGGTGACGAAGTGATTCACGGAGAGCATTTGCTTGGGAAGATGAAAGGTTGGGTTGAGTTTCAGGACCTGGAAGGGCAGACATCAGATACCCACCCGGTGGATATTACAAGAGGTAGCAAACTGCCGTTGTTGTTATCCTAAATCTTAAAGCGAACGTAATATTATCCCCGTCAATTGGTAAAGTTCAGTCTATTATATAATTTCTAGCAGAGTCAGAGTGATGAAGTCAAAGGATCTAGATTCTAGATTGATAAATTTAATTGTTTTGAATACTATCTGTCCATATTTTCTGCCTCTTGGACCACACATAGAATAGACTCTGGAAGTTGCACGTTGCAATATAATTACTTTTCACTTTTGACCAACCTACGTATACCGAGACAATACTATTATTTGTGCTAGAAATTTACTATATTCATTTTTCATAGAAGATACAGAGTATTTACCAACTCTCTCACATGTAAAGGCTTCATAAAGGCATTTTTGGCACTCAAACAACCATATTTGGCCTTTGGTATTATTTATAAGATCACCACGCAAGTCGCGAGGTTTGAAGAACCGGAATCTTTTAAGGACTGAAATTAGCTAGAAGCTTGAAGAACATCGACGTATACCAAAGACGTTGAAAGCCAGAAAGACGCGAATGTTAACCTCTTAACACCCAACGCAAAATAAACCCCATAATAACCAACTTTAGGACCAGCTAGATAAAGGCTCTAGTGGTGCTCTCCAGAAGCACTCCCGTCCACCCCAGTATTGCTCCAAGTTTGTTCCTTCTGCCCATCCTTCTTGCCACCATGCTTCTTCTCCTTCTTTCCGCTTTTCTTGTTGTCGTGGGACTTTCTGTTGGTGTTGGATTGTGAACTTTTATCCATGTTGTTCCACGGCTCTTCGGCTGGAGTCTCTTTGAGCCAGCGATCCATGATGGGAGAAGTTGGTTGTCCTTTGTTGACTAGATTGGGTAGGTTGGGATAAATGAGATGTGTGTACTGAGAGTAATTTAGTTATGCTGTCTTTACACAATGTTGAAAACTGTAGAAACACTTACAGATGGTCTTCAAACTTCAAACTGAGAGACGTCCTTCAAGTCTCTAGGCCGAGAGACTGCTTATCTATATGCATTTGTTCTCTTTGGGATAATATGAGAATTCCGGTTTGACATATCATGAGGGAGTTCAGAAGTATTTGCAGAGTGATACTGTAATTGCAACTGATCTATTTTATAGGTGGATTTTCAGGAGACAGAGCGCTTGATATCTACTCATAGTCCTGGGTTCGCCCATGTGTGATGGGCAGCTTGAGAATTCGAAGAGTCCGCTTGAGGTTCACAATTATTGCCATGCAGATGGTAGCAACTCATACTTGTGCTCTGTCAGAGCCGAGGTCTTCTTTAATTTGCATGTCGGTGTCAATTGACCTGCTCCCAAAGCTTGCCATTTGCTGGATTTTTGCTCTGCATACTTACAGAATGACTAGACTGGCAACTTTTGTCTAGGAAATGGTATTTACCAGGTTCATGTGCCACATTCATCACTGCCTGACATTGGCAACTGGCTATGGAAAACCCCCACCATCATCCCAATTCAAGCGAACGATGACAAAATTGACTTTTGCCCTGCAGCAAGACTCCAAAATGGGCAAAATTACTCGTAAACCAGTACCTCGGAAGCTTCCCCATGCAAGAAGTTTCGTCACACGCATATTACTGGTGCAAAAAGTGATAAACCTCACCATGCAAGGCAATTGTCAGGTACCTGATTGCAGGCTTTGGAAATGGTAATGTCTTGTTAAGGCGCATTCGCCTACAGTAAACTACAGCATGCGCGGAAATCTTCGAGATCTAGCGATAGCGCCGTGGGAAGGTGCACTGACTATTACGTGCTTGCAATTGGGGGTCATGTTTTGAAATTGAACGCCACTATGCATGGCAACTTCGTTTCAACCAGTTATACGGCATTCGCTATGCGGGGTGATGCAGCCACTGTACATAATAAGCCCAGGTCTTCAGCCTGGACTCGAGTATATGCACTGCAATTCCTTTTGGGGTTCTCAAAACCTTGCTTGCAATCATGGTCCTGCTGCAGAGAAGTATCATGAGATCCAATCGGATCAATGCGCAACCTCCACACAATAACTTACCTCGAGATCTCTATCCATATCTCGTACTACTTCTGTATTCCGATTGAAATTTGCCCTCTTTTGGCTGTCGCCTTACGTTTCTCAAGCCGAAACAAAGATATCGATCTTCAATCATCTCCCGAACCAGCTTGAGATGAGCTTCCATATCATGCCAGCCTCGTCTCTTGACCAGCGAGAATTGCCAATCTTCGGGCTCCAGAGCCACGAAAGCGAGCGCCCTAGTAGTGCTGAGAGCCATCTCCAGCATCAGTCATCGGTTACCCTACAGCGGCAACGACAACCTTCCAGCCATGAGTGGAAACTGTGGAAGGCTGATATATACTACTGGTATATCGAGGAAAACAAGACCTTGGAAGATCTGAGGAAGCGAGTATGCTACAAGCACAATTTTCGTCCGACGTAAGTTATAACGTCGTTCCTATTAAAAGTATTATCACTAACATCTCTAGTATAAAACAGTTGACGAGGAGGCTTGATCAGTGGAATTTCCGGAAATACAAGAGCCAAAAGCGGAAAGGATCCAGGAATAGAGTGATCATTGAAGTCCAACATCGAAGATCTGTCAAATCAATACACAGTCTTTCAAAACTCGGCAAAGATTCAAACACAAATAAAGGCGACAGTGAAACCTTCATAGATATGGAGACTGTTGAATTCGAGTTTCAGCCACAACAAGCGCCGAGTATGCCATACATATCCCGAACGACAATAACAAGCTAATATAATATAGGTCTTTGCAATTGTCGAACAAAACGACCCGAACAACCGAATCGTCAATGTGTCATCCTCCTGACAAGAAAGACAAGCGCGGCCGCTTCGATTCCAGCAACTTGTTCGGGTCCTAAGGAGAATACCATGAATGACTTGGAAGAACGGCTCTCTGAGCTGAGCATATCTTTTGGAGTCGACAGTTCAAGTTTCCAGCAACCCCGTGTTTCAGATAACCGCATGCCGAAAGAATATCTTACAGCAGAAGAACTCAAGGAACTCAAAACTTTTAGTGGTTTTAACGATCAAGGGGCGCTTTCTGGTACAATGTTACATAGTTACCCACAGCCTGCCAAAAGACGAAATGAACCTCTCAAGCTCTTGGGTTACGATGTTGATTTTCCCTCCTCATTGCTGGTTCCGAGCCTATCTGGAGAACTGTATCCATTTCCGCGCCGACCAGACTCAGATTGCACAAGAGCAAGTTCTACTCCAGAAATAATTGTGCTGCGAACTACTATTTCGGACTACCTGAGCAAATTTGGGGCCTTGAGCCGACTGAAACGTCCAGAAACGGATCCAGTTATGATCAAAATGATGAATGAACTGGGGAAAAGGTGCTGGAATTTGGACCTATTTTGTGAGTCGGAAACATGGTATCGACGAGAGTTGTCTGCGAGACAACTGTCGGGCGAATCACCAGTCGCTATCAAAACACTTCAGACGGAACTTGCCATTGTTGACTGCATCAATGAGCAAGGTCGCCATGAAGAAGCGTTCTCGTTGCATGAAACCATCCATCGAAAGATTATCAATCACGACGATACTAATAAGAACGACTTACTCATTAGTGAGACTTTGTTTGTCCTTGGGGGTATTATCTTCGACCAGGGTTATTTGAAAGACGCAGAGGCGTATCTGCGGGAAGCAGTACAGATCCGACTTAATTATTTAGGTCCATGGGAAAAGGAAAGTCTGCAAGTTATGCGATGGCTCGTGACTATTCTCGAGGAGCGAGAAGAATACGAGGAGTGTGAAAGATTGTTGATTACAATAACCCAGCTGCAAAGGTCTATTAGTGAAACAGATTACGGCGAAATTTATTGGGACATGCAAGATTTAGCAAGCACAAAAGGGCGCCAAGGAAAGTCTCATGAGTGCGAAATGATCTATCGAGATTCACTCACGGGCGCGGAATCCAAACTTGGAAACGAACATCCAAGGATGGCAACGTTCTTGCACAATTATTCCCGTCACCTTTTGATTATAGGTAAACTTGACAAAAGCGAAGAATTGGCGAGAAAATCACTGAACTTAAAGTCAAAAATTCGGAATCAAGACGAGTACGAAACATTGTTGACTCTCTCACTCTTAGGTAATATACACCAGAAAAGCGGTTTCTACGAAGAAGCAGCGCAGTGCTGTGAAAAGACACTGCGAGGCTATACATCAATCTTAGGCTCCGATAACATCAAAACAATTTGGGAATGTGATTATCTGGCATATTGCTATGCGGAACTTGGTCGGTTTGAAGACGCTTTGCACCTGCTAGGGGAATTCATTCAGGATGTCGAGGCTCAAGTCGCTAGCAGGAAAAAGCCCTGTTGGGGAGATGGGGGATTGGCCGAAGTTCAAGAGTGGATCGGAGACTTCAAGGACGATATGGAAGACTATCGGGAGAAACTCGAGGTCCGGAACATTTCTGAAGTCGATAACGAGCTCTCTTCGTCCTCTGACGACGAAGGCTTATTGGGCTTATTGGGTGAGGAGGAGAGGTTTGTTGAGGATGAAACCGACGTATGGATATTTGACGCGCCGTAATGAGTGAACTTAAGCTTTCTGTTTTCAATAAGTGGGGTTTGCCTGTATTTTGGGTCATGTACTTTTCTCAACGACTTGGTACTTGAAGCTAACGGTCCTCTAACGTAAACGTGTTTTAAAACTTGCTCTCATGCTCCTTACCTCCGTAGGTTCGTGCTGATGTTACCGTACAGTAAGCGAAACTTCGGCATTGCAATGTTCAATACATTTTTACTAGCTGCAGAGATTAAAACAATCATTTCTCAAGGTAAAAGATTTCCCATGGTTTGTGATGGGTCTCAAGTGGAATTTTGGTCTTCTTTATGAGATGACGAGTGAAATATTTATTTATTCGTATCTATTTACTTGAAGTGGCACAGTTCTTCCTACACATTTTCGTGGTAAATTCAAGCTTGAAGGACTTTGTAAGAGTAATGCTGTTCACTTAGGTCTTTGACGAAGGTTTGAGTCCCGATAGTACTGTACTTAGTACTTACATACCATTCTGGAACAACACACAATAGGCAAGACTATACATACACTCTACATTCAAGCTTTTGCTTTAGGGTCGAGGTAAAAGCTGAATGGCACCGGACAAGGGTCTAATATTAATATCAGACGCATTAGGGTTTTATCATAACCAGATTCTTCTGGATATATTTTCTCAGAATGGAATGCGCTTAGAATTATACGGAACAGATGAACTGTCGCATCCTGGTTATCTGCAATTCAACAGTCGCTATGCAACCTGATACTTTGAACATCGCAATATTTTGGCTGGTCGTCAACTTAGAGCGATGAATGATCCCCTAAGAGCCTCAGTAGTTAGAAAAATGGGGTTTTCCATCCGATTGAATTGTCGCGTCTCGATCGCTGTCATGGAAAGGTTAGTTGGAGTCAACAAAGCCAGGGTTTAGGGGATTAGGGAGCCTGAGAAGGCTGGAGAATCGAGTTATGCATGGGTGAGCACAGCTGTGAAGGCGCGGCCCTCGAACTTGACCAATGTGGATGGAACGCTTGAGTAGGCCGAAGTTGCAAGATCATCCACCATGATAGGAGGAAAGAGCGACCTCTTCGAGTCACTTGGACAAGGTATGATCACAACAGTATACGGCATTAGTATTCATACAAGTTTCGCAAGAAATCCTCCTCTCTCCATCCACACATATACGATTTTCAATGTGGAAATCCTATTCCTGGAGTGTAATTGGCGGATATCTAAATGAGTATCCGTTGCCCACTGACAGTCTGCTTCAAATAAAATACCCTGTTGTTCCTCTGTTTCTTGCCAGCTTCTCGAGTCTCCTTTACAGTATGCTACGTCCACACGCCATACTCATTGTTGCTAGTCCTGCGACAATTGTTCCTCTTCTGCTTGAATTGAGGATAGAAATAATTATCTAATCAGCACTATCACCACAAATATGAAAAAACTGCGTTGCTACAGTAATGATTACTAGCTAGGTGTGCCGAATTTCTGAACCGACCACTCGTCTGTTCCTACAACATTTCCACAACATAACACAGTCCCTTAAGCGAATTTGACTTCAAGAGCACAATTATAGGAGCAAATCATTCAATTTATGTTACACTGAGGCTCATGTAAAATATATTGACAAAGTACAAAGTCACGAAAGGCACAAAGCAATGACTTTACTCAACATCATACCAAACAATTTCGAGCCCCTCAATCTTCACGCTTCACCGTTCCAATAATTAGACCTCAGATCTCTGCTTGTGATAAGTATCACTCTGGAGAGTATGAAAATACCGATGCTTTAAGGGATTTTGGTTTCATTCTGCACCCTGGCTCAGAGATATATGCTTGGAACACATGTTGGCAGCATCTGCATGCGGTTGAAAACTGGGAAACTTTGTTTGATTGTAGCCCATTATTTATTGCGCGGTTGGTTCTGTTGTATCGTATTCTTCCCGTCTTTTTTGTCCTTTGTATGCCCGTATTTAGGGAAAAATCGTCTAATAAGATGGGTTTTCATAGCAGGATGACTGAAATTTTCATGTTGCCGTACGTTTTTTCCATTCATATTGGCTGTATTATTCAGAAATCTCCGTGTTTCTACCTGACCAAGGAACTGTTCCATCTCATTTGACATCAATCCAAGACGAGCATAGAGCAACTCACGTGACTCGCTTCGATGCGTTCCACAGAAAACTCGGCTCGGGACCATAAATGGATTAGCGGGAGGACAAGAGAACACAAACTTTCCTCGTAAACCTTCTCCACATCTCACCTGTTCCCCTTACCCCACAGTTCGATTTGCTCCCGTTCTGTGGCACAGCCTTTGCGAGCACAGTAAGTGTACTTGAACGATCAATTTGGCCGTTAGGCCAATGTGTATGGCAGTAGCAACAAAACTCTAAATTTTCTTTGCCCGATTTGTATCCAGTAAAACATCTCTTAAGACTAACTAGTAGTATTCAGCCTATATACACGCATACTTGGGCTCGGAGCCCCGCCAGTGAACCATGGTCTCAATAAGAGATCTAACTCTGGATAAATTCAAAAAACCGTGGCGTTGGGACGAGTCACGATAGAAAGTCCATATGTTCAACTGTATCTACTGGGCATCGAATGTTTTTTTCAGGGGTGAAGTCAGTATTAGTGTTCGCGTGTCATCCGTATTGTATATTTCTCTAATTGCCCAGTATGATTTATCGAACGACGCCATCCATATATAGACATACGAAGAGCGTTTCCGTCGAAGTCAAGATTCCCTTCATGGTATCGAGGTGCATGAGGCGTGCGTCCTTATTCCGAAGCAAGGTTGATGGTGTGACATACCCACTTCACCCCTCACATATCCCTACACCAGCTGTACGACCCCGAAGTTTATATCAGGGAGTTGACTTCCTCAAAGAAAGAGTATTGTGAAAAGCAAATTTTTTGACTCGTCCGTCTTGAGTGTTTTCCTCTTTTGAGCACTTCTCTGGTGGTAAATCGACTTCGTCACTTTTCTCTATGCAAAATGGTTGGTATGTCAGCTATCAGTCATGTCACTCAAGGCAAAAAGAGGGGGGCAAATATTGCTGCTGTGGAAGCACCCGAATTTGAAAAAGTCCAATGGTACTCTGATCCAAATCTGAGAAAACTTTACCTTTGGTGTTCAGTCCTGTGTATAGCATCTGCAACAACTGGTTATGATGGGTAAGAGAGTTTTGCTGTTCTAGCTTGGCGTCGTGTACTGATATCCATCATAGAATGATGCTCAATGTTTCCCAAAATCTCGATCAATGGCAGACGTATTTCAAGAAGCCACTTGGAAGCAAGTTAGGCCTTATGAATGCCATATACCAAATTGGAAGTCTTGCCAGTTTCCCAATTGTGTAAGGTTTACGAGTCGACGAAATCTCAATACGCTCACTAACAAGGTTGTAGTCCGTATATGGCAGATTGGTGGGGGCGTAAGTTACCTATCATTGGTGGTTGCGTACTCATGGTCTTAGGTGGTTGTCTTGGAGCTTTTTGTAATGGATACGGAAGTATGTCAGTGCAGGAGCTTTGCTCTATGTATACTAATACGCTATAGTGTACGTTGCAGGCAGATTCATCCTTGGCTTTGGAAACAGCATGACACAGCTATCCTCGCCAGTTTTGCTTACTGAGATTTGCCATCCACAACATCGAGGACGTGTCACCACTATCTATAACTGTCTATGGAACTTGGGTGCACTTTGTAAGTTCCATGTCAACTTTTTTAAGATATTATGTAACTAACAATGACAGTCGTCGCTTGGCTCGCTTGGGCAACGATGAATATCAAAAATGATTGGTCATGGCGTTCTTTGACACTTTTACAAATTCTTCCTGCAGTCATCCAACTCTGCTTCATCTTCTGTGAGCAACAAGTCCATTCGCTATTCTCTATATCAAAAACTGATAGCTTTATCAGGGGTCCCAGAGTCTCCAAGATGGCACATCTCCAAGGACAGAAACGACGAAGCTCTCAAAACACTTGCATACTACCATGCGAACGGAGATGAACAAAACGCCACAGTACAATTCGAATTTCTGGAGATCAAGGAGACCTTGAGGCTTGAATTTGAATTTAAGAAGAGCAGCAACTACACCGATTTCCTGAAAACCAAAGGCAATCGATATAGATTGGCGATTTTGATCTCACTAGGTATAATTTCGCAGTACAGTGGTAATGCATTGTTTAGCAACTACATGAATCTCATTTATGAAAGCATGGGTATCAAGAAGCAGAGCCAAAAGATTCCCGTAAGTATTAAAATGAGGCTCAAAGTCTATTTGCAACGCTAATAGCTATACAAGCTGAACGGTGGACAAACCTTGTTGTCTCTAATTGTCAGTGTGCTCTGCGCTATGCTCGTTGATCGCGTAGGGCGAAGACCACTCTTCTTGACTTCAACCCTCGGTATGAAATGTTAACTATCATTAAAGATACGGGTAGAGACTTACTTACACTTTCAGGAATGTTTTTGTGCTTCTTAGCTTGGACGATTACTTCCTCACAATTCGAGGCACAGAACCCAGATCCTAACGCTACCAGTTTCAAGATGGCAGCCGGTTATCCACAGATTGTCTTCGTTTGGGTTTACAGCATATTCTATTCCCTGGCCTGGTCTGGTCTCCTCGTGGCATACTCACTCGAGATATTGCCTTATAAACTCCGTGCTAAGGGGTTGATGATCATGAATCTCGTCGTTCAGGCTACTTTGGTTCTTGGGAAGTAAGTCTCACCAGTGATTTTTTCAATGACAATTAGACACTGAACATTGTAGCTATACTAATCCAATCGCTTGGGACAACCTTCCGCATCACTACCACCTATCACTGATTTACACGGTAAGTCACAAACCTGACCACTAAATGAAGGCAACTCTAACTTCTCCTAACAGATCTGGATTTTCGTGGAACTAGTTTTCGTTTACTTCTTCTACATTGAAACCAGGGGTCCAACTCTGGAGGAATTGGCAAAGATCTTTGATGGAGATGAAGCGGAAGTTGCTCATATGGATATTCATAAGGTTGAGAAAGATCTTCATGGTGATGATGGAGCTGGTTCTCATGATGAGAAGAGATTCGTTCAGACTGAACAAAAGGCAGCATGATTGGTAAGACCTCTAGCTAGAGCAATTATTGATGTTATGAAATACGGGAATTTGTTGGGGAAGGTATGCCGTTATGATCTAAATGATGTAATAAGCCATGCATCTACCATCGCGCATTTGAATTCCTGTGGAAAAACAACTACAGCATCTCCGACTGACTGAGTTCGCCTTCTCGAGACATCGATCTTGCTGAAGTAAGTATTTCTGCCAGCTTTGTAAATCCTTCCTACAGCTCAAGGACAAACAAACCAATTCTACTTCCAGTTCAATAATACCCTACATGTTAATTTGTGTATCAACATCCTCGCCATGCCACCTCGTTACCAAACTAATCAAGGTAGCACTGCATCTCTCGCAACCACACTTTTCCCATCCCACAAACACCTTCCGAGAAAAGCCACGCGATATGCTTTCAACCCTGGTTTTAAATCGATAATTGTGGCGTGTGTACCATTCATGCAATCTTTTTCACAGGTAGGAAGTATTGACAATCTCTGACTCAGCTGCCAAGTTACTAGATTCAGTAGGCAAGGGGAGGTATTGGCATCCTTGAAATGAATCTGGTGGGTAACAGTGTGTCGGAACGATGCTCTGGGGATGGTCCCCGAGTATATGAGAATAGCGACAACTTTTGTAAATCCATGTGTTAACCTGAACTACACTGTAATGGAAAACCCAGTCTTGCTTTCTCTATTTCTTTTCTTATTTTACCTTGGAGCTAAGCTTTTATATTATCTAAATCATGATTATTATCTAAAATGTTTTTAATAAAAGAGATAAAAGTAAAGTACTTATAATACCATTAGTATAGAAGTATAAAGAGATACTAATAAACAAAGTAAGTGGGTAGGTTAAAAGTTATATAATTATTAGAGTGTAGTTCCAACCATAGAAGCGAAAGTTATACAAGTACTTAAGGTACTTATATAAGACAGAGTACGGCTCTATATATAATAGACCCGCCAAAAGAGTGTGTATTATATTGTAATAGATACCTGCAATACAGTAAAGAACCCTTTTTTTTCCTTTTTTCTTTTCTTTCTTCTTCTTTCTCCTTCTCTTCCTCGAGTTCCTGTAAGTTCTGTGTGATAGAGTCGCTACAACATTAGAATGTCATAGTATCTGAAGAGCCCAGCTATCTAAGTAGTCGCAGACGTATGACATGTCCATTCACAGAGCTTGTCGCCATTGATGAAACCCGTATACGTACCCTTTCCTTTCTTTCTAGCATTTTCTCCTTGAACAGACGTGCACTCGCAATCGAGTACTTGTGAGACCTTAACGTATCCTGGAGGTCCGTATTTGTATGCGTAGCAGCTGGAACACGTATCAACAACACGGTCGTCGTTATTACCACTGCCACTTTCAGGGAAAACACTGCCAGAACCACTGGTACCTGTCGCCATTCTGTTTTGGGGGCTAAAGGAGTTTAAGTAGAAATGTTGTAATATATGATCAAAAAAATCATAAGAGCTTGATAAGAAAAGAAAAGGTCGAGAGAACACTAGTCCTTATATATTAGTAATTTCTTTGTTGCTAGAATTCTCTTTGTTGCTACTATATACTTTGTTACTATAACAATCCTGGCACAGTCATTACTAGAAAGCACGTCACATGCCAGGTATATACGTAACAAGCCCTTATTGATCCCAGGTAAAAACTTCTCCTTTTGTACATCTCTTCTTTTCTTTCCTCTGTAGCTTTGAGTCCTTGTCTATAGACTAAATACCTACTATGTTTATATTCTTTGTAGTACTATAATTATATTTATTACTACTATTGTAGGTATATTTATTCCGGGGTGGGGAGGATATTAAGAAAAGCTTTATGAGACAAGACGTCCTCAAGAATGCTATTACGTAGCTAGCTAGCATTCTAAATCAAGGCTATTCTGCATACATATCTGTCCCTGCCCAAGCAAGGCAAGAAATAACATCACCAAGGTATCCTCCCTCTAACAAGTGACCTCAAAACCTAACACCATCGCCAACATCACGTAAAAAGAGAAAATCTCACTTCATTAATTAATCATATCTTCATTCAATTCGTCACGACACGAATCATCTTCTTCTCGAAGATGACGCCATCGGCTCAAAAGCATCATCATCCGAAATCTCATCATCGCTAAGTTCCCTCGCCGCAGACTTGGGTTGCGATTGCGTAAAGTTGAGTTGGGTTTGGCCGCGTGAACGGGTCGCAGCAGCTCTCTTGGGGAGCGCCTTCGGAGGAGGAGCATCTGCCATGAGAAGATCTTCATCCTCGTCATCGCTTATTTGTATTGCCTTCTTTCGCCCTCTGTCTGGGGTTTTTGCTGGTGTCTTGGCTGGAGCTTTTGGTTTTGCGGGGGCTTTAGCGCGTGGGTTTGCAGGTGCCCTCTTCGCTGGTGCTTTCTTTGTAGTGGTCGCTGCCGAGATGACAGATGCGTTGTCGTCGCTGTCTGCTAATGCTGCCGCAGGTCGACCTCGTTTGCGTGGTGGTGGAGCCGCTTCTCCCTCCGACTCTCCTGAAAGGAATTCCAACGCACCAGGCTGTTCCTCCCAAGAGCCATCCATATCCGAGTTCCAATGTTCAGGACGAGGCTTTACTCTATTTTTGGTGCCCCTTCTCAGCTTTACGGCACCTGCTGCATACTGCGCTTCGAGCTTTTGCCGAACCTCATCCATTTTGTCTTGGAGCTCATCTTCCGAATCATGTTGTGTAGCGAGAAGATCTTTCAATTGTGCTCCTAGACTATCGTTTACGAAAACTTCCATGGCGTGCTTATCTTGCTTGTCAACAAATTGGTTTACCGCGTCCCCGAACGGGACCTGGGGAAGAATCTTGAGTGTTTGAGCAGCCAAGTATTCCCGAACGAGCTTATCCACTTTGATATTTTCAGCCAGAGCAGCCATGACGGCCTCATCTGGCATTTCCTTTTCAGTTTTTTCCTTTTCTGTTATGGGTCAGCAGAGTAAAAGAACTGATATTGTGATACATACTTTGGATAGCAGATTTTTTTCTGTAAAACGCAATCACGTCCGACGAGTTCGCGACCTTGCCAACGAATCGATTTGAGAATCTTTGGGGATTCTCAGTTTCGAATTTGCCATCCTCGGGAGGAGTGTATTCGACTTTGAGCTTGACAATGGGCAAGGGTACGTCCTCTACTGAATACTCCTCGTCCTGGATTTCTAACCATTCTGCCTTTGCTTCTGCTATCAAGTCATAAACAATTTCCTCCAACTTAGTGGTAAGCTTGGATCTATTGTCCTTCAACTTTGCAATTCCTTTGAACCGAGTATCGTTCGCCAAGACTATCTCCCGAAAGATGAATGGCCTTACACTCTTGATTCGATGCTTTTCAACCTTGAACTCCTTTCCAGTAACGGTGACAATAGCACAATGCTTTGTGACAGCTTCTCCGGGAACAAGAGACGTGGCGATGGAAGATCCAGGCTGCATGACATGGAACATCATCTCTGGATTAAGTCGGGGATCGATTAAACATTCATGCTCGTGCCCCCAGACGATGAGATCCATGAAGTCCGGAAGGAAGTTTTCTGGGAGGTATCCAGTCTCATTATGAGCATGGTGGTTTTGATGTACTGCCATCAGGTTGAACCAATCATCCTGCTGTCTTCCGGGTTTGAAGAATTTGACCTTATGGTCTCTGAACGTACGGAAGAGTCTCTCGTCTCGGACATTTCCCATGCCATATAACGCCAATTTGGTTTGTCCCTTTTGTAAAAGAATGGGCTTGACCTCAACTTTGTCGGTTTCTGGGACTTGGCCAAAATAGTTTACCAATCCTGAGACTTGAAGAAGATCCAAAGAGCAAAAGTTTCCCTCGCCAGTCGGGTCATCGTGGTTACCATGAATGGAGAAAACGGGAATAGCGACATTTATATCCGGGTCTTCGTAGTTGACATGATTAAAGGACTTGTCAAACACGTCACTGGCATCGCTGAGCCACTCTAGTTCGCATGGCTTCTCTCCGAGGCAATTCATACGTAAGGATCGCATTACCTGGTACAAGGCTTTGCGAGAAGGAACGTTCTCGTGGAAGAGATCTCCAGCCAGTAGAACCATATCGACCTGTATATTGTCAGTTGCATGTTTCAGAGCCGTGGAAGGGCAGATATTACATCTTGTGTTCTTGCAAGCTGCATGACCTCATCGAAACTTCTCCAGCTATCGTCTTTCCGAACGGCATCACGCTCCGCGTATCCCACATGGCTATCTGTAGCGACTAAGATGCGAATAGCATCCGCAGCTGGCATTGATTAGTATGTATACAATAGCCCCGAAGTAGACGTTTGGACAAACCTGTGAAGGTCGGCATTCTGCTCCTTTTGTCCTTGGGAAAACCTTCGTTACTAAGAAGAAGGATGACCAAATGTTGAGGATGTGGAAATTGTGCACACTCGTTTGCCTTCTGCTGTGTCTCCGAGATCAAACCAGGAAATGGTCGCGATGGAAGAAGGCAGTCAACGCGGGGTCAGCTGACCTTCGCTAGCGTGTTTCTGCTCCGAACCCCTGCAAGTAATTGACCCAGCCGTACCAGCGAATTGGGGAATTTCACCACAAGAGCTTCGTTTTGCGCCATCACCAACTTCAAGATGAATGCTACACGGGTTCTATTATCCCGGTCCGTGTGGAAAGGTATCAAGTATCGCCTCAAAAAGAATTCGTCTATGAATATTAATGTTTTCTAGGACCAAACATTGTTCCGTAAATTTTCCAATCCTGTCCGGCGAACGTTCCTAACTTACGTCCAGTCTCCCAATTGTTCGAGTCGCCCCAGGCCAGAAAACACCTCCCGTTAAGACACAAGCGCGATCAGCTACGATATTACCCAATTTCGTAGGAATGATCTTTCAGGTACACAATGGGAAGATATACCATGATGTGGAAATCACCGAGGATATGGTAGGGCACAAGTTAGGGGAATTTTCACCGTAAGGCGACTTCTTATCACCGCTTGTCTGGTCAATATGCTGATCAGCCAAGGACGAGAAAACTATTTTCATACAAGGCAAGCAAGAACAAATAGACGAGGGCGAATTGGCGTTTGGTGGGGAAGGAGCATGGCATGGTTTATTATAATGGTGTATCATATGACAGTGTACGATTTGAAATTGTACATAGGGAGCTGCTGGAACATTTGCTGGCCTTCAATTATAAGCGTTGGAGGAGTGTAGTGTGGGCCAGATTCTCGAAATCTCATTCATTCGAAGTTCATGAGGTATTGTACAACCTCAATTGGGTATACATAGTCCGGACCTATGTTCTATAAACTACCAAACGCCATTCCCGCAGATAACTCCATTCCCAAATGTGTGTATCATCAGCCCTGAGCAGACCCTTGGCCCGTCCCTTGTTATCGATAAAATTCTCCCCTCTTAACATTTACACCATACTCTCCAACTGCCATCCCTAGATCCTCCATGGTGAGGACTGTTCGGTTTTGACTACCACCCTGTCCACCACCTCCATAACCAGGTCGCTGAATTCCCAAGGGTCCACCTCGCCCTTGTTGTTCTTTGCTACCTGGCGCCGTTGCTGGCTGACCAGGTACCGGGAAACCAGCGGCCGCGCCCAAATTTCCCATTGGGTTATTTGCGTTAGAAGAGTTAGAAGCACGTATTCGGGAGTATTGATAAGCATCTGCTGCAATGTCTGCTATGAACTTTTGAGTGGCAAGAGCAAGGAGCCGGGCTAAGCGTTCATCAGTTTGGGGTGGTGGTGGAAGTCCGGCTTTGGTCATGTAGTAATTTGTTACTGCGTCTGGAATCTAGGCAGGTTAGAAGGTGAATAGTTGAATGGTGATTTAACACTTACAATGGGCGCATAATCATCCATTTTGGACAGAAACTCTTTTAAAGATGCATCCTTTCTAGTAGGGAGTTTGGGCTCTGGCGCTGGGGCAACAGGATCAACATTTTCTTCGCCTTCAGCTGCAGCAGGCACAAGGTCCGTATCAGGGTTGGGAGAGTCTGTAGTCGCCATGTTGGATGGTTGTGATGATTTGATTTGTTTGATAGAGCTGCGATATCAAGTGCCTGAGGTGACCAGGTACTCCGCGAAGCTTAGAGCAGACACGAGGCGGAGTGGAGAAGCCACCGCGTAAGGCAAGGCCGCCAAGGCCAAGACCCGACCTCTTTAATCAGCACGTGCCGTATGGCTTATCTGTGAGCGCAAGACTTTATTTTGTTGACCTGCTCTGCGCTGCTTGAAAAGTTGCCTCAAACATTCCAGAGGCTCTGTTCTCTATTTGCGCCAGACTTCCCAAGGAAAGACAACAATACTCCAGATCAGCACCCAACATGGCTGACCGTCGTTCAGAACCAGAGATGCCGCAAGCAAAGCGACTTCGCACTGGTGATATGGACCCAGCCTCGAATCCTTACCTGGCGCATCACTATGAAGATGAGGGCAATGGATATGGTTCGAGAAATGGAGGTAGAAATGGAGGGTCGACTCAAACAGGACTCTCTGGTTTTAAGAGACATCAGACTACCGCTGCACAAGCAGATGTTGCTGAAAATGGACCCCTCAATCCCTTCAACAACAATCCTCTCTCGCCGCGATATTTTGATATTCTAAAAACCCGAAAAGATCTCCCAGTTCACAAGCAGAGGTATGCCGTGTAGTCCCGGCTCAATGATCAACTACTAAGTCTATTTCAGGCAGGAATTTCTTAACATGTTCCAGCAGACGCAGATTCTTGTGTTCGTTGGTGAGACAGGTTCTGGAAAAACCACCCAAATTCCGCAGTTCGTCCTTTTCGACGATCTCCCCCATTTCAATGGAAAGCTTGTTGCGTGTACACAACCGCGTCGAGTAGCAGCAATGTCGGTGGCACAGCGAGTGGCCAATGAGATGGACGTCAAACTTGGAGAAGAAGTTGGTTATAGCATTCGTTTTGAGGATGTCACAGGCCCGAAAACCATTCTTAAGTATATGACAGATGGTATGCTGCTGCGCGAAGCTATGCATGATCATAACTTGACGAGATATAGCTGCATCATTCTCGATGAAGCTCACGAACGTACTCTAGCAACCGATATATTGATGGGACTTTTGAAAGAAGTTGCGCTGCGACGCCCAGACCTCAAAATTGTCATCATGTCGGCCACTCTTGATGCGCAAAAGTTCCAGAGATATTTCAATGATGCGCCCCTGTTAGCTGTACCCGGTCGTACCCATCCTGTCGAGATATTCTACACCCCCGAGCCAGAGCGAGACTATGTTGAGGCTGCCCTCCGAACCGTGCTCCAAATCCATGCCAACGAACCGGAAGGAGATATCCTTTTGTTCCTCACGGGAGAGGAGGAAATTGAAGATGCCTGTCGGAAGATCACTTTAGAAGCAGATGAAATGACGAGGGAAGCTGATGCGGGCCCTTTAAAAGTTTACCCCCTTTATGGAACACTTCCTCCCCACCAACAACAAAAGATCTTCGAACCTGCGCCACCACCAACTAGAAAGGGAGGACCACCAGGACGGAAAGTTGTTGTTGGAACCAATATTGCTGAGACCAGTTTGACTATTGACGGTATTGTATATGTCGTGGATCCTGGATTCAGTAAGCAAAAGGTCTACAATCCTCGAATTCGAGTCGAGTCATTATTGGTCTCTCCAATTTCAAAAGCTTCTGCTCAACAACGTGCTGGTCGTGCTGGTCGTACTCGCCCAGGAAAGTGTTTCCGACTGTATACCGAAGCTGCATTCAAGAAGGAGCTTATCGAGCAAACGCATCCAGAAATTCTTCGGTCAAACCTTGCCAATACAGTATTAGAGTTGAAAAAGCTTGGAATCGACGACCTGGTTCACTTTGATTTGATGGATCCTCCCGCACCCGAGACTCTCATGAGAGCGCTCGAGGAGCTTAATTACCTCGCCTGTCTTGACGACGATGGAGATCTTACTGCTCTAGGAAAGCTAGCTTCAGAATTCCCATTGGATCCGGCGCTTGCTGTCATGCTGATCTCATCCCCCGAGTTCTATTGCTCGAATGAGATTCTCTCCTTGACTGCGCTTCTATCTGTTCCCCAAGTCTTCGTTCGTCCCGCAAGTGCGAAAAAGCGTGCAGACGAGATGAAGGCTCTTTTTGCACATCCAGACGGTGATCAGCTTACAATGCTGAATGTATACCATGCTTTCAAAGGCGCTGATGCACAAGCCGACTCAAAGAAATGGTGCCGTGAACATTTCTTGAGTCTCCGAGCATTACAATCGGCCGATAATGTTCGCCAACAACTAAAACGCATCATGGAGAAATCCGAGCTTGATCTCATCAGCACAGATTTCAACGACAAGAATTATTATACCAACATTCGTCGAGCGTTAGTTGCAGGATTTTTCATGCAAGTCGCGAAGAAGGATTCTTCTGGAAAGACCTACAAAACAGTCAAGGATGACCAGAGTGTATTGCTCCATCCAAGCACCGTTCTTCAGGTCGATAGTGAGTGGGTACTTTACAACGAATTCGTCCTCACCACGAAGAACTACGTGAGAACTGTTACTTCGATAAAACCAGAGTGGCTCTTGGTAAGTCTCCTACCAAAACCTTTACAACCAAGAAAAAGCACCCAGCTAACATACTTGCTAGGATATCGCACCAACGTATTATGACATTTCCACTTTCAAGAAGGGTGAAATCAGAACTGCATTGGAGAGAGTAAATGATAAGGTGAAGAGGAAGCAGCAAACCAAGCGGCCGGGTCGATAGAGAATAGAATCACGATGTTTTATGATGTTAATACACTGCATGTTAGAATAGGGGTTAGTGAGGTCAAGTGAACCGAGACTTTCCTCTTTAGGGGAGCACTTAAACGAGAAGATGTATTTCTCCCCAAGGAAATCAGTAATTTTACCCCCCTACCAAGAAAAATGGAGAAGGTAAAAATTGAGCTGAAGCTATGACTTGACTTGACGACATTGATGACGATGCATGGTAATGGAATGACTGCATATCAGCAACCCAATCTTATAACTTTGGCACGAAAAAGCAGAATACCTGAATCCACAGCAAGAGACTGGTAAGACGACGTTGTCTTTGGTAGGGTGATGGCTTCGCTCCTTTCGTGCAATGCAAGTCCAGTCGTGATGAATGATTACTAGTCAATAACGAGTACAGTAACCTCTACCACGCCACCTGCCCTTTCAGCACTCACATCTGCTTTCATACCATAAACAGACATACAGACAGCAGGATACCATCCCACCACAAGTCAGTTTCCTATCCTATTTTCGCATCTCAAATCCGGTCCACTCGCCGTCATCGCCTTCCCTTCCGGCACATCACCAGATATCCATAAAAAAACCCCATCGTTCGACTGCCGGTATGCATATATTCCAAAGTGTGCAAGCGAAGCCAGAATGTGATTATGTGAAGGGGAAGATAACCTTTTTCTGTTGAGAATATGACGAGTCGGATTTCTCAAATACTGTACAGTAAGGCCAAGGCATCTTAGTCACCCAATGCGATCTCCTGCGTCTACCGCAGGTGTCAGGCATGCATCTCGAACCTGATCTGTCCTTTTTTCCAGTCTCTCTCTCCACACCTCCCAAGCGCAGGGCAGAGCGATATGGAGAGGGAGGTGTTGGAAGCTTTCCGATAGAGCAATTGGGAATTTGGGGGGGGGGGATTCGCTTGCACGGGTAAAAACGCCACCAAATGCCGTTATTTGGAGTCGGCTGCGCCCTTTGGATGGTGGCGCCAGCCGATGTAGTACGTGTGCTGCAGGGAGGTGGTGGGAATATTGAGATAGATGCGCCGGGTGGTGGTGTATGCTCGTATATCCTGGAGAGATGGTGATTCACGACAGAATTTGAAGGATACAGTGATTGTAGCGAATTCTCAACCTGGTACTCGGACTCGGGTCGGGGAGTCATACCGGATCTCATATGGAATTTGATCTGTTCAGTCGAGGGTAGTAGGGAGGAAATGATAGCCGGCCGGCACGTCAGTTGAGCTATAAATGGAGGGATTAAGAACTGGAATTATACCGGTATGTGTTGTTGGGCCTATAATTTGGCTACTTGCATATATACCGTTGCCTCGACAGATTGCGGAGAAGGCGATTCATCACATTTTTGTTTTGTTTTGGATCGAACTCGAATTCGGGTTTGTAGGTTTGTGATTTACGCGAAGACCAAAAGAAATATGGGATGAGTATGGGGTAAGTTGAGGCTCTTCGACTTGTCTCGAACCTGGTGGTGTACAGGTCCTAGTTGGTTGTGGAAAAACATTGAGGAAACTGAAGCATCCAGTAGCCGATTAACGGGCCGCATCAACACGGGAAGCACCGCGCCCCTGGTGTCCCTCCCGTGAGCCGAGCTTCTGGTATTGTGGACGTGCGAATCGAAGCAGGCCTACCAGGCCTGATCTGGTGCATCCGAGCCGGGAGACGGAGTGGGTGGTGGTGGATTTGCACGGAGTAATCCCCGAACCCCTCCCTCCTCCTTTGTTCCTTGACATCTGATCCATACATGTAGGGCAGGCACACTTGCGAGATTTTCTACCATGGTTCAAACGACAGGAAAAGACCGTCACAGGCTTCAACCAAGTGGTACTTCTATTCAACTCAGCGTGAAGCGTTCTGCCGGTCACCTCATCCCACGGATTCGACGACCTGGTATAATCATCGAATCCATGTGAAGCACATCATATGAAATCGTGACACACAAGGCCTCTACTTTCATCGACGATGAACCATCGTGCGCGAACGGTCTTATCGCTAAGACTCGGTTCTTATTAATTTTCCGAATTCCTGCTGGCAAACTTGCAGGAAGCATTGACTCCTTCCTCCCACTGTGTCGGGTACTGGTACAGCGGGCGGTTTGTTCCAACAGTGTGCTGCAGGGCTGGAATGATAGGAAAAGGCCAGACACTGGTCCTTCATCCTCAACCTCCCGATTTTCTATGAAGGGGAGGAGGAACTCAATATTTAGGCCATCATCCTTCACTCCCCCCAGTCGTCTCATTGTGAGCTAATGCCAATTCATAGTCCGAAAGACATCATTGAAGCCGAAGAGCGGAGGATCAAAGCTTGAGAACCAGAATTACAGACAGCCCTGTGAGAAGTACCTAACCTGATGAGGAAGCACATTTGCGCGGCCTAGTAGTCTTGGCCATTGGTTTTCCCAGGGCATATCAAGCCATTCCCCAGCAGAGCCAGCATCCCGCATCATGCCGTTCAACCAAAATCTCCTTTTGTCTTAGGCATTTGAAGATTTCCTAAATTGATGAATACCATGGAAATTCGGATGAACGATGCCATGAGTTCATACTAGGGTGGCCAAACCAGGGTAAGGGGTTGCGTATATATCCCGGCCTTGCGTCTCTTTTCCTTTTTCTTGACTTTGTTGTACTTCAATACTATATTTTTGAACTTCAACGTCTATCAGACTAGTAAGCACCGAACAGGACCTCAACCCCTCTCCAGAATCCTCTACCTCCTGGTCCGCGAAACGACTGTGTGGATCAAAAGTAGCTAATCATAACGCTTTACTGCCAGCGGGTAGTAGTCCAAAATGAGTGGTTCTGGAGGCTATTATAAGTATCGTTGCAAGTACTTTTACACGCACAATTGTCCTCACTGGGTTTGGGTGAACAACGCGCCATGCGCTCATTGCTTGGTGAGCAAAGGTTTCTCTGAAATATCGATATACTGGTAGGTACTGATGTAAAGTTAGGCAGACGGGCGTGATTTCGACACAAGCATGATACCCAATCCTTTTCGGTTATCCCACGAAGTGTATGTGCCCCAAATCGAGAATGGCGCATTGCAGTACATTATATTCAAAATTGTCGCTACAAGTGATATGGATAGCGGTTGGACCATAAAAGATCACCCACAAACAAGCCAATTGTTTCCTACAGCCACGGGCCCTTCTGCTGTAAATCTGACGGCAGCTGTCGACAATCGCCAGAAGCAGAGGACCAAGCCACTTGGAGATCAGGGAAGTGGGGTGGGATGGAATAATACTAGGAGTACCGCTTTCGAATGATTTCATCCAGTGCGCGGTCCTGAGTCAAACGTCGTTTGTTTGTAGCCGATCTAGGTGGGATTCTATTGAAAGGATACCAAAGCTTTTTTATTTGAAATTGAAAGGTGTTGCGATGTTTTGAGATTGATTTGATCACTTAGATCCGTATTCTGTTATCTGACCAGTCTCATCATGGCGACTTGGAGGAGTTTGGAAGATTATTCGGATATGATGTGTGGATCTGTGGGGAGATAATTGATGGGGGTACTATTGGATATACCGGAATTGGTGAATTTTTGGAATTTCTTGATTGAACCAAAGCGAAGGACAGGAAAACAATGGCAACCAAATTTCTTCATGAGCTCGACCACTCGAACATCGAGAACAAGTTTTGGGAGGGTCCCACAACATCATTCGTGGAAAGGGTTCCTTTGAAATAGAACATTTGCCCGATTGGCACTTTCCTTGGACGGCAGAGTTAATTTGTACATGCAAGAATGCTGGTAGCAGACGTGACACCCAACAAATCAGAACGAGGGCGCCTCAGGGCGACAGTCTGACCAGGTCTGTCCTGGTCTAATAAGGTCCACGTTTCCTTGGTTCGAGTAGGGTTGAGAGCCGATATGCTGTCAGCAGAGGGTTCATACCAAAGAGAAGCGGACAGAAGCAGATGACGATAGCCAGAGAGATCTTTGAAGCCGTCGACTTAATGCGATTCGATGGTTCAGCGCGAGTCGACCAGGTAATCGTACCAATAGAAGCTGCCTCGTCGTTGGTGGCGGCATGGTATGGCACACGGCAAGATGTGAAGTAGCATTAAGGCCTGCATTGCAGCATCCTAGGCATCCTAGGCATCCTAGGCATCGTATTGTAGACGTGGGTTGGACTTTGGTAACGCCTGTCGGGAGTCGGAGAATAGAATGGCATGACGGAAAAGGCTGCTCCCCAAGATATTAAAAAGGTGTCATTTCTCGAAAATGTGACAGAATCCGCTCTCCTCGACTCTCTCCTTCAACTCAACCAGACTTTCTTTGCTGGAAGGAATCGGTGGCAGCGGAAGAGAAGCCGTTGATCTCAATAATATACCTGAACCATTGAAGAAACCAAATGAACGACGTTGTAGCCTGACCACGGCAGGCCACCCAACCGAGGTTCCCCCTAGCGCCTCTCGCCATTCCATCCGATGTCCCCTTTTTTCTTCGTCGACACGTGTTAATTGCCGACGTCTCTCCTGAGGTCATTGTCATCAAATGGCAGGTCGAGAATGATGGGATTTAGCAAGAGTGCTGATCCGCAAGCATTTGGTTGAATATGATTGGGGGAAAATCATGGAATTGGGACTTTTTGCCTTGTTTCAGTCAACCGACCAGCAGCGGAGAGCCTATCATTTCTGGTCATAATTGCCAATAGAAAGCTGGAGCGGGAAGTGAGAGAGAACCCTCGGTTAGACGATGTTGATGATGTTCAGTCCAGTGGAGCAGAGCCTCATTCGCTTGGAAGGTCGAGGTCTGAGATGAGGACAAAATACTGGCTAAGTTCTCCAGTCTTCTTACGTGGTGCCTAGATATCAGTTTCCATCCAACAAGGTGGAATAGTGCAGCCATGGATGGATGTTAGATAATATATGAAGCTAAAATTTACATCAATAGAATCTGGGCTGGTCAACTTGTTTACAATGCCTCTGCAGGCTGAGTGACGGGACGCGTATTTTTCAAAGTCGCAGGGATGTGCTTGCCAGAAAGAGTTGCTACAACTTCAGTCAGGTGCAGCTGTTGACCTAGTGCACCGACTGCCTTCAAGTTCTCAACAATTCCGACTGAAAGACCTTCTGTAATTTTATTTCAACCAACGTCTGACTTCTTCCTACTTTCAACAACCACATGAGACTTCTCCAGCACCACGATGCTTCCCATAAGGGGACCCTTCTATCTTCTTGTTGTTATATTCTCCTTCTTACTGCTGAGGATCAATGGAACCAGTTCGCTTGCGACGCAGGTCAGGAAGCTCTTTTGCAACTCCAAGACGCGTGGCAAGCGGACGCCTTCGTTGTCCTGATGACAGGAGGGACTTCTGACATCTATGCTTCACGTAAAGCAACCTTTCTTCGTCCCTGGCAGCAGCAGTTCTTTGGATCGTCGGTTGGATCGTCAAAAATGTTTTCCACTTGTTTATATATATATACTCTCTTTATATCTTTGTCTGACACTGTTGTACACAGCTACCTAGGTAGATCACAGGTGGACGATGTTGCTGCCAGATTGGCTTCCATACTTACTGCGCTTGTGCCTGCACGTCAAAAACGCTCTTTCCTCTGCTGGGTGTTTTGTGGATGAGTACCTACTATATGGCTTCTTCATACATGAGGCAAGTGCATTCCAGGTTCAGAAGAGGCAAATCTCGCCTATGCCTCTGTCTCTGTCTTGACAGCTGCTCTCCTCTGTCCATGCACAGGCCAAGAACAAGTGTCGGGTTGCTTGCCCTTCGCTCCTGCCTCCAAAGTCCCTCGCTTATAGCTGTACTGGTAGTCTGGTAGTCTGGTAGCCAGACCCATCACCACCTGCACTCAAATTATGCCTTGAGGGTCTTTCGTGACCTCTTCCCCTTCCTCTCCCCAACCAATCTTCAACTTCTCACCACCCGCACCTGAACGCTTCCCACACTTTCACAGACCTGTACGCATTATTTGCTTCCACCTGTTCACGAGCAAGAGTGCGCGCACTCTCTGCACAATCCTCCTCTCCCTCTTTGGATTAAAAAAGACTGTCACAACTACTGCCAAGTATGTCCTTGTTTGGTTCGCATTTCCATCTGCTTCTTCTCCCTCTTCCTTCACCATCAAAGGCGACGCGTGAGCACGCGCGCCCTCCCTATGAAATATCCCCCACACTCCATCACCACCACTTTCTATCACTCTTTCCAATCAGATTCACCAGATCGATCCTCGCTGAGCTCTTCCAACAACACTCTTATTTTGCATCAACTCCTACTTGCGCATCTTCTTCAGAGTCGCTGCTAACACATGAGCTAGTGGTTACAGAAACTGAAACTGAACCCCTCTCCAAAATGGCTCCAACATCAGCCCGCCCTAGGCCAGAGGCTCACCACATCTATTCCGTTGGAGAGCTTCTTGCGATGCAGGTCGCGCCTCCTTTGAGCATTTCTGGCGTGGAAAAGTTAAACCAGCACCCCGAAATCTGTAAGTTCTCATTCACCCCGAGTCGCCCCCTCAAGTCCACGTTAACCCGAAGCCAATTTCAGCATGCCTCCTCAAGGTCCCAGAGCATGCCATCAAGCGACAACGATTCATCCCCAACCGCATGATCAATCTCATCGACATCACCAACCGTCGCCACAATCGCCAGCAATCGACCATGTACAACTCGGATGCCTCTGCTGTAGCTGTAGAGAGTCGCGAGATGCTCGCCCCATCGACCACAACTAACAATAACGACACTCAATCGCGTCAATGGTTCCTTCAACGTCGAGACAGCTCGGATGACTCCCCCCAACCCCATTCGGCGCCAGCCAGCTCAATTGCACAGCAGTCGGAGAACTTTCAAAGATTCTACCAAGCTGTTGTATCGCCAACACATGTTCGCGTCACAGCGGGTGGTAAAATCGTTCGCAACACTCGTTCACCTGCGTACGAATGGAATTCCGATAAGCACCATTTTGAGCCTCTTCACCAGCCCGAACCTGCAGCAGATTTGAATGCGCAACCCCCGAGTTGGCACCAAAATGTACCTTTGCCTCAAGGATTCCCTGGCTTTCCTGCTATGATGCCCGGTACTTTCATGCCTCCACATGGTAGCTTCTTCCCGCAGCTCTTCGCCCCTCCTCAATTCAATGGAGGATTTGTGCCAGATCCAAAGCCTTCTGAGAATGACCAAAACACAAAGGTAACCACCGATAGAGGCTCCTTTGATTCGCAAAACTCTGGAGTTTCAGCACAGGCAATCAAGATCTCTCCTCCAACTCAATTCGACCAGACCAAGCCATTTATGTACAATGGACAACTCGTATACCCGGTTCCACCACCTCCAAACGGTCTTCCTGTTCCTATGGCTATGATTGGTAATCCAAACTTCATTGCGCAAAAACCCGTCGCTCCCATTGGCGGATTCACTCATGGCCCTCATTTCCCAATACCCGTTCCCATGTTTCCACATGGTCAACCAGTCCCAATGCACATGCCCCATGTTCCAACTGGCTCGGAAGCAATGCATCCAATGGCCCCATTTGCACCACCACTGATGCAAATGCCCGTGTTGTCGGAACTGACAAAAAGACACATTCAAGTGCTACAGGAGCAGCTCAGAATTCTTGACAGTCAACCAGGCGGAAACCATAGTAGCCAGCAAGCTGTTCAAATGCAACGAAACATGGTTTTGGCTGGGATCAAGCAAATGGAGGCCATGTTGGAGGCTCAGCTTGCTCAAGAGGCTCTCAGCAAGACCGAAACACCTGCTGAGCCCAAACTTCTTACTGCCGCACCTCATGAAAGCCCAAAGTCGCATTCAACATCGGAGCATCAGAAGTCGACCGTTGACTCTGCATATTCTTCTTTCGAGAAGCCCATTGAAAAGCAAGGGGGAGAGAAGAAGCCTTCTACCCGAACCGATTCAATGAGCAAATCAAAATTGAGCGCTGCTGCTGCTATGGCACCCCCATTCCAACCAAGATCGCATATTGTATCACAGCAAGTGCCAGTCGTAAGAAAGGCTCATAGTCTCCGATCGGCAATGTCAGTCGAGTCTCTGGCAGGAGAAGCCCGGAGAAACATTGACTCACAGCTCTTGTCAAGTCCTTCAAACCCTTGGACCGTCAAGAGCACACCATCCAGTGGCTTGCCTTTGGTTGCACCTCCCCGCATTTTGAAGGCAGAGAGTATGCGTGAACCGAAGATTCAAACTCGTCAGCCACCCCCAATGCAAAGATCAAATACGTTCCATGGAAAGATGGATTTTCACCAACCAGATTTGAAACATGGTAACCGTCAGGCAATACCTTATCTTGTCGGAGTTATTCCAGGAGGAACACCTCTCTCGTCAGCAACTCATCAAGACTTGGTCTATCCCAGAGAGCTCAACGAGCACGAGTTGCAAGCACGTCAATTGTATTGGGGAAAGGCGCCTAAGTCAGTCAGTAAGGGTCTTCCGAAGTTTGACGGCAAGGACTTCTACCCACCATCTCCAGTCAAAGAGTCTATTCGCATGGCGGCGGTAAACATTGGTGCAGAATCTCCGATCCATGATTTTTCAGGCCTTTTCACTGAGTATGGTGTGAAGGGGTACAGACCGACATCACCAGTGCGATATCAAGCCGGCCATACTACCTCAGGTCCAACTCAAGCACCGAACCTCCCTTATAACAGTAGTCTGCTTGATCCCGTCAATTACTATGATCCACAAGGCTCTCAAGTTCTCGCAGCACCTTCGGTTTCTGGTTTAGATACTGCCTTTGAAAACTTTTCTGGCTTGTTCATGGAACGTGGTGTGGCTGGTTTTCAATCACCCCAGCCCAAAGAAGAATCATCCACGAAGACATTTCCAACGGCGGAGAAGGAAACAAAGGAAACTTTTGTTACCTCGAAGAGTTTCGATGCAGGAAATGAATCTGATGGCGCAGAGAATGGTACTCCAACCACAGATTCCTTCGGTATGGTCACAGAATCATTCGGCATCCTTACAAGCAATGGTTCGTCGACCTCAGCAGATGATAGAGCCGCCCTGGCCACCGTTGAAGAAGAAGAAAATAACCAATCAGCTGAGACTTCCCCTACAATTACGCAAAAGCAGGTCACCTCTCAAAAATTGGACCTTGATGGCACTTTCGAGGAACGTGTAGCGAAATTTGCCCTGTAAGTAATTTATCGTTTCCAAGTCCGCACTTTAAACCACTAACTGATAGACAACAGCCCCGAAAACCAAACCCTCTTCCTTCAAAACATGCTGTCAAAAAATACGGCTATGACAGGATCTGCGGTCTCTGGAAAGGTTTCATCTGCCACTGCGACTGGTTACCTCCCTCTATATCGTGGTACGGCCATGGCGTCACTTGCTCCAACTATCTCAAACGCTTCATCAGAACGTGATACCGAAACTACCGTAAAGCCGCAATTCTCTCGGGATAACACATTCAGCTCTGTTGGTGGAAGCGGTTCTAATGGATCTGAGAGTATCGAGGATCTGACAAGTGCTGAAGGCTACATGAGATATCTTGCACAGAAGCGCCCCGATAGCAAGAAGTTCGCCGAGCAAGCATTGAATCCTGACCCTCTTACTGGACCGGTTATGGGCTCAGATTGGTAATAATGGGGTTTCTATCAGATGTTCGTTGCTCATATCAGTTTCCGTCTCTCATGCAATCGCTCCCCGACGATTTATGATCTTGAACCTCTCAGACTATGGCCCATTCACGAGGACTTTACGTTTCACCTGCAAGAATGTACACCATTGGCACAAATTTGGTTTCTGGATCTGTGTAAGTGTGGGTTGCGCAGAAGCCTCTGATCCTCTAATACTTAATTGTATGAATACCCCGGTATTCCTATGCAATCATCAATCTTGTTCCTCGACCTCTTTTTCTTTCATTTTTTTCATAATGGATTGTAGGATTATGTACGATTTCATTGCGGGCTCCCATCAGGTTGCCAGTTGATGATTTCTAACAACACATCTGGGAGAATATGGAATGGTTGCGAAGTTTTTTTAGTTTTTTTCTTTTTCTGAAGGAGATCATCATACGTCTGTGTTTCCATTCTTTATTTTTGTCGGTTCTTTTCTGGAGGACAGTCATCGATTATGAAGGTTGTTGTTATTAGTGCGTATGGCAGATGAAGAAAGGGAATGGCATTTGTAAATAAGTACAAATAATTAAGGCGTGTTAAACAGATCTTGTCTATGGAGATATGTGAGGAGGTTGTGGGTGATGTTCATAAAAGTGCGCCGCCGGAACATAAATCCCCGTGGCCAGGTAAAAGGGAATCCCAAGTAATACCACATGTTAGCAAGGGGTATGGTAACACTAAGCTAGCGGAGCAGTGAATCGTAATGTCTGTTTGATAAGGAAGGTAGAGGCGGATATGTGGAAAGAGGTGAATCGTGAAAAGACATAATCGCAATAGCGGAGCGAAGCGAGGTAAATCAGCGAATTCATTCACTGATGCGTAATATTTATACTGTACCGTACTAGGTAGTTGACTAATGGAGAAGCTTGGAGGAAGTCTTGGTTTGAGATTATACAATATAGTAATGGCTGATGACTTGGAATGGAATATTGTTGGGGAGGGGGAAGGAAAGGGGTGAGGAGGGAGGAGGGAGGAGGGGAGGAGGAGGCTGGTTTGTGTACGTTGTATCTTGAGGGGATGGGAAGGAGGAAGGGGGGAAGAATATTGAGGAGTTTGGGCGGTTGGTGGAGTCTTGGGAATATATGGGGGTATGTGGTGAAAGTTGAGCTTGGTTTGAGATGTGAGTTGTGAGTTATGTGTTGTGAGTTGTGTGTTGTGAGTTGTGTGTTGTGAGTTGTGTATTGTGAGTTGTGTATTGTGAGTTGGATAGGTAACTTAGGATAGGGTGGTAAGGCTAAGGATGTATATATGTACCTTTTAGGATTGAGCGGGATGGATGGTGGATGGGAGCTAAGATATGGGAGACGGAGTGGAGAGACGGAGTGGAGAGAGGGGGTGGAGAGAGGGAGTAGCAGGAGGAGGGGATTTCTTTGTGATGGGTAGTTGGTAGTTGGTAGGAACTGGATTGGATGTGATGGGTGTGATGGATGTGGCGATGGGGCTTTTTGGAAGTAGAAGTATATGATTTGAAATGGTATAGTGGATTCGTGGAATAGTGTGGGATGGTGGGATGACTGAAAGACTTGGAGTGTTGAGGAACTCGTTAGAGGTTGGGAGATTTGGAGGTTAGAGGGTTAGGATGTTAGGAGGGGACTAGCATGTCTAGAGTCTAGGTGTTGGAAAAGTAAGTGATGAGGGATTGGGGGCGTGGTTGCGTGGTTGAGTGATGATGTGACAGCAAAACTAGGAATGCGAGTTTTGTGGAATTAAAGGAGGGTGTGAGGACTTGGATGGATTGATGGGAGGTGTAAGGTGGAAGGGGTTTGTTGTGTAAGGTTTATATGTACATACTTGGGTAGTATCGGAGGTTTGTCTTGTCTTGTGTTGTGTTGAAAAAGATACATTTTATGAGGATAGTTAATGGGGAGTGCGTAATAGGAAGAGGGTAAGCGTAAAGCTACTGGACTTAGATATATAGCTATGTTGTTAGGTCAATAGTCTTTGAATCTTGATGATTTGATGAATGCGGAAGTTACGGGATTATAAGTCACTGGGAGATGGAAGTGGAATGGTTTGTGTATGGAAAGCAAAGCAAAGTAAATAAGACGGAAGTAAGAGTTTACTTTGAATGATTCAGAATTTCAGAGACAAAAATAAGGGAAGAGGGAAATGCTGAGATATATCTTAGTTGTCGTTACCTAGCTACCTTTCCAAGGAGTCAAACCATGTTACTGTGCCCTGTGTTCGAAGAATCGAGTTCTAGTATAGATTTGCTCTGTCCAGTTTGTTCATTTCGTTCATTTCTCTTCGCTACTATACATGCCATTCAACATCAACTTCACCACGAACGAACAACCAAACCCTCCCTCTCCAAGTATCCATAATCCAAGTAACTATAACCACAACCACCAAAAACCCCATATATCATACACCTCTAATCCCTTCTATAAAAAAAACCAAAACCCAGACCCAATCCGCTTTACAATAGATCAAAGCTGCCCTACGAACCAGCAGATCTGACGCTATACAAATATAAAAGCCTTCCTCTTCTCGTAAGCGAGCTGATCTCTTTCTTCCTATTTCAACAAGACAACGACATACGAACGAGTCTTATACAATTATTTAATATTTACTATTCATCATCTACACATCACCTCAGTTGATGTAGCTTCCCATGGAGATACATGGTAGTAAAGAGATTCGCTATGAGAGTAGAGTATATGGAAGGAATGGTAATAAAAGACATCGAAAGATAGACTTGCGTCAGACTTTCTAAGTTTCTAGAAGTTGAGCTAAGATTCAAAGGTATAAGAGGATAGTTAATCTGATTAACCAACTCTCAGTAAACCCCTTCTCTTTCCCCCTCCTCCTCCAACTCTCTATCTTTCCACCTCACCTTTTCGCTCTCTACCTAGGTATGTTCCCCTTCCCCTTTCATGTTTGATAGAATGAGAAAATAAGTACAGCACTTACTATGTTTCGTTATTACTGTACAGTACTTTAGGTGAGTGACCTGTTCTCATTCATCCGTTGTAATAGATATTCTTCTAGCACCGTAGGTCAACGATGGTTTTTAGTCCTGAGTATCCGAGGAGTATGGTTTGTATGTTTTGTATATTTTGTATATTTTATATGTTTTGTATGTTTTGTATGTCAAGGCATTATATCATACGCATATGTCACTCTCTATTGCGACCACATACATTACCAAGGAAGAAAGAAACACAAGAATAAGTCAACACTAGATCTGATGTTAAAAAATGCGATTATCAAAGGTAACGAGTACCCTCGGAAGCCAACTGTATTAAAGTACATTTTTTCATTTTCATTTTCATATTCCCGTAAAAGGAGATGACGAGATCTAAGCAGCTTTCTTAGCAAACTCGACGCGCAAAATCAGATGTTTAAATCCATAACCATCCATCTTATCGCAAGCCTTCGAAGCATCGGAGCGCTCTTGGAAACTGATGAATGCAAACCCCTTGGCCAATCCCGTCTCTCGGTCCTTGGCGAGGAAGACTCGTGTGACACGACCGAAGCGCTCGAACATATCTCGTAACTCTTGTTCTTCTGCCATTTCGGAAACCTGGGTTTATTAGTATATTGAGAAGGTTGGATAGCAAGGAAACTTGGGGATAGACTTACGTTCGTAACACGAAGCGTAGCCAGGTCATCTCTCTCATATTTGCCGCCGCCCATTCTATCACCAGCAGCAGCGCCGCCACCATTTCGCATATGTGGAGGTACATATGAGCTCTTTCCGGTTCCAAGACCACCGGCAGCAGCTGGTCCATCAACGTCCGCTGGTCCAGCAGCCACATCTGGGTTGTCCTCTCCAACTGGCGCCATGGTATCCTTGAAAGGACATCTGGCTGTGAAATGCTCCCCATTACAGATACGACACTTGACCTTCTTGTTCTTGAGTTGATCCTTCATACTACCCTGTTCAGGCTTCTCCTCCTTAGCATCCTTTCGCCAGTTGGTGCTGGGTCTGAATATGATGTTTTCGCCGACACTATTTGCGCACAGTTAGTACCATCAACCCCGCAATCCTAAAAAGAATACATGAACGGAACATACGAGGTTGTATCCGCAGCAGGTCCAGCTCCATCCTTGGCAGATAACCCAAACTTGCTCCAGTTCTTGCGCTCGGCAACTCGAGGGTTCACGACTTCTTTGTGGACGGTGAAGCGTATCCGGCGGATCGTCTTAACCTTCTTGCCCTCATCGTTGAATCGCCATGAGACAATCGTCTTGGTGCCATCTTTGTTGGTTGTAGTGGTTTGCGCGGGGAGCGTGTCAACGGTATCATCGAGATCCTCATCATCGGCCCAGTCCTTGTTCTCGCTGTAAGATTTGTTAGAATTCCATTGCCCAATTTTGAAGTGGCGCGCCTGGTGAGGGGCTTACGTTTTCGACATTTTGGCGGGTCCCAAGGCTGCGCTTGTCGGTATTTATCGAGGTTGGTGGTTTTTGATGTGATTCGGCTTGATGGGAGAGCCGGGCAGCTGTTATTATAGGTTTCCACGGCGGACAGATCCTGATGTGGTCGTCGGATGGGCTGTACAAACGAACTTTCTTTCAAAAAAGTCCTGGGTGCGACTAGCATCCGAATATCAGCACGTGATTCATCAGCGGGCTTTCTGGCGGCGAAGAATACCTAGCTAAAACCAACCATCCACTGTAATATTATGACTGTATTTCAAAATGAGTAAGATAATTCCCCTTCAGGAAATTGCCAGTATGAAGACTCACACAATTCCTCTCCTACCAACAAAATAAAACCAATACTCATCCCCAATGGTGGGGCATCAACACTCAGCCTTGACATCCATGTCTCCGTCCCTCACGCCCTTACAAGCTCAACAACCAACATCCAGAACTCACCTCTCCCCTCGGCCCCGACCATTCCACTCACGGTAAAAATCAATCTGCTCATCATCTCCCTCTCCCTCTCCTTCATCTCATCTCATCAAAAACCCCATTTACGGGATTTGCGATTTTCCGCTATCAAATTAAAAAGAAAACTCTCTTAGTGCATCCACCACCGTACCCGACATCTACGGACTACTCTTGCTCGCCTCAACGGCGACCAAATCTGCAGCCGCATTCTGTCCCAAAATAGCCTGAATACGACGTGCTATAGGACCAGAGATTCTACTATTGAAGATACATCTCGAAGAGAAGAAGAGTTTCGTATTCTGTCGAGACAATTGGTCGAAAAGGTGGCTTGTTTGGTGTTGATATTGACGTCTCGAGTGGGGTGTAGATGTGGTGAAAACCCCGGAGTCATCGGTCCCAAACTCCCTTCACAATTGCTCTTCGACCAGAGTCTCTTGACATTAACAAGGATTATTTGAAATAAGGAATCGCGAAGTGCAACAAAAGTATATCTTCTCTACTCTATGGTACCTACAGGAACGGTCCGTTGACCTGGCGCCTATCTAGGACTTAGTTCCTAAAGTGGTGCATACGAACTGCATTGTAGCCCGTGCTGAGCTGCGAAAACAAGAGGGCAGAAATCTAAAATTGGAACCTGCAGATGCTTTCAATACTTGAGAGAGGGGAATCATATTATTCGTCGACTACGTATCCTAGTTTTATACACAGTTACAGCATTTCCTTTTTATCGTGACGTGCCAGTGTCCTTTACACCAGCTTTTAGACGCTGAACCCCAAGCGCACAGCAATGCGTCCCAACAACGCCTCTGCCCTAAATCAATGAACAAAAAGGGATGTATGAATGACAACCGAGAATAGTCGCTAGGTGCAACGTATATGAGTACAGGTGAATACAAGACGAGATGAGCCGCCATAAACCGCTAGAAAAAATTCGAAGCAAAACACAATCACGACGAGGGAACCATCTATGGCTTCTTCTCGCCGTCCTTGGCCTCGCCCTCTGATGGGTTAGCCTCACCAGCATTTGGAGCTTCGGAAGAGGCGTCGGTGCGAGCCTTGTGCATCTTGTCGAAGAGGGTCAAGCTGGCAACCTGGAGTGCATCGGTCTTCTCCTTGAGCTCTGCAGCGCTGACGCTTCCCTCGGTAGACTGGCTCTTGGTGACAATCTCGCGGAGAGCAGCAATCTTCTCGTGGAGAGAGTCAGCCTCGGCCTTGTCGATCTTGTCGGCGTGCTCTTTAAGAGCCTTCTCGGTATCGTTCAAAACGCTGTCAGTCTTGTTGGCGGCCTCAATCGCTGCTTTTCTCTCCTTGTCAGATTCAGCATATCGTTCCGAATCGTCAACCATGCTCTGAATCTCTTGGTCAGACAGTCCAGATCCAGATGCAAGGGTGATAGATTGGTCCTTGTTGGTGGACTTGTCCTTGGCGTGAACATGGACAATGGCGTCAGCATCGATATCGAAGGTAACCTCGATTTGAGGAACACCTCGGTGCGCAGGTGGGATACCGGTAAGTTGGAAGTTGCCGAGCATCTTGTTATCACGGACAAGCTCACGCTCACCCTGGTAAACCTTGATCTCGACAGCGCTCTGGTAGTCGGCAGCTGTGGAGAAAACTTGGGACTTCTTGGTAGGAATGGTGGTATTCCGCGCAATCAGACGAGTGAAAACCCCACCAAGGGTCTCGATACCAAGGGAAAGTGGTGTAACATCCAACAAAAGGACATCGGTGACGTTACCGGCAAGGACACCTCCTTGGATAGCAGCGCCCATAGCGACAGCCTCATCTGGGTTAACAGACTTGGCTGGGTCACGACCAAAGATGCTCTTGACGGACTCGCCGACCTTTGGCATACGGGTCATACCTCCGACCAAGATAACCTCCTGGATCTCCTTTGCGGTGAGATTGGCGTCCTTCAAGGCCTTGCGGACAGGCTCAATGGTTCGGGTGATGAGAGGGTCAACAAGCTTTTCAAGTTGGGCTCGGGAAAGCTTGGAGTTGATGTGCTTAGGTCCGGAAGAGTCGGCGGTGATGAACGGAAGGTTGATATCAGTTTGCAGGGAAGATGACAACTCAATCTTAGCCTTCTCAGCAGCCTCGCGAATTCTCTGGATAGCCATGCGATCGTTGGAAAGATCAATGCCAGAGTCCTTCTTGAATTGTTGGACCAAGTGACGGACTAGGTGAATATCAAAGTCCTCTCCTCCCAAATGAGTATCTCCGTTGGTGGACTTGACCTCAAAAACACCCTTTTGAATCTCCAGAACGGAGATATCGAAGGTTCCTCCACCCAAGTCGTAGACTGCAATAATCTTGTCCTCATCCTTCTCAAGACCGTACGCAAGGGCAGCTGCGGTTGGCTCGTTAACCACTCTCAGAACATTAAGACCAGCGATTTGACCAGCATCCTTGGTGGCTTGACGTTGGGAATCGTTGAAGTACGCTGGAACTGTGACAACAGCATTTTGGATTGGCTTTGTGAGGTAGGACTCAGCGGTCTCCTTCATCTTCTGCAGGATGAGACCACCGATGTGTGAAGGGGAGTATTTTTCGCCTCTTGCCTCAACCCAAGCATCACCATTGGTGTGCTGAACGATCTTGTATGGGACCTCCTTGATATCGCGCTGGACCTCAACATCAACAAATTTTCGTCCAATCAGTCGCTTGGTGGCAAAGAGAGTGTTTTCTGGGTTGACCACAGCTTGACGCTTTGCTGAGACACCAACTAGTCGCTCTACTCCGTCTGCGGAGAATGCTACTACGGATGGTGTTGTTCGGGCACCTGGTCATATTTAGAGACAGATTCCAACGATCAAATTTCATTGCCACATACCTTCCGAGTTCTCGATAATCTTGGGCGTTGGTCCTTCCATAATGGCTACTGCTGAGTTGGTGGTACCTGGTGATGTTAGTATGCGACTTCTCGTGGGTGGCTAGTGGCGATGTCATACCCAGGTCAATACCAATGACGGGCCCCTTGACCTTATTGTCATCTGAATTGTATCGTACAAACGATGATACGAAAGGCGAGGGTGTGCGAATTGATGATCGTGTGGTCGTTGCAGAGACTCTTGGAAGCTAGAGGTGACAAATTAGTCCAGGTATCAAAAACACGACATGACGATGACCATTAACTTACAGTTCTGGCGAATCTTGAGGACAACATGTCGGAAGCCGCGAATGCGAATGCAACTACCAGGGGATTACTGTGAGAGAAAGGCGCCTTGAGATGAAAGAGATCGGTCGCAGGAGGAGGTGGGGTGGTTGTTTATGAGATGAGGTGGAATGGAGAGAAGAGTCTGGAGCTCAAAAAACTTTGAAGGGGAAAAAGTCGTTGTGCTAGCTTAGAAACTGATAGAAGACCCGGCCCGGAGGGTGGAGGGTGGAGGGTGACAGGGGTGTCGGTTGACTGTGTGGTGGCTTGGCTCAAGGCGGCGAGATTCCAGAAGCATCTGCTATGTTCTAGAGAGACAAGTCTCTGAAGGTTTAATATTTGCATTTATGTACATGAATCTAAGTTATTAGATTCGCATGAATTACATAGCTAAATAAATTGGTCTTTTTATGTTAAATTCTGTGAATGAAAGTGATTGTTTGGGGGGTTATTGACGGTAGTGGCACAAGTGGTAGCCGAGGCAATGGCCATGGCTGCCCGCAAAGCACAAGCCGCTTTATGCCCTCTCAAGTGCGGTGCCCTCAAGTACAGTGCGGGTGGCACTGGCAAGACTGGCCTCTGCTCTTTGTCATGCCCATGCCAACCTTTAGACCACGATTGACGTATCGCTGGGTCGCTGCCCTGCACCACAAGGGTCATGGCCACGCCACGGTCACGGATATCTTGAAGCTGCGACAACTAGAGTAACTCCATACCATAACGTCCACCAAACGCTCACACTGACACCAACATTGACATTGACACCAAGATCATACTGATTCCTGCTTGTCCAACACTTTCCACAACACCTTAATGACAACGAAATCCTGGCAGAGCGGCAGTGAGCATGGCTGTCATGAATGAGAGCCTGTGAGTTGCGCCACTTCTATAGCAACATTTACCAAACTACCAAACTCCCAAATACAAATACTTGCGCTAACATACGCGATCCAGACACCATGCAACTGAGGACTTGATTCTAGCCAAGTCGCGGAAATTCTATCGTGCCAGCATACATACAGCGTGTGTATTTCAAGCTCGGGCTGGCCAAGGGAATCTGTGCTAACTGCTTCACTGTAGCCACTGGCAGCTGCGCTCCCTCATTGGGACTTCACAACGCGGCGTGATCTACTACCCAAGTGGTCATGAAATAATGCGCCTCGATACAAAATCCAGACAGCGAGAGGTCGTCACAGCCGTTTCATTTCCGCCGAGATGTCTTACAGCCTCGAAGGACTGGCTATGTTGTGGCGGGGAACAGGGGACATATGTTGCCATTTGCTTGGATGAAAGAAGGAGGAGGGCTCCGGGGACAGATGCAGATATGGATCCCGATGAACGGCTGCCTTTGGACCTCGACCCAGCAAGTCGATCCATCCTCCGCGAGGCCCTGTCGAATTCAGATATATTACCAGCGTCATCTCGAAGGTCAAGGGGGCGACTTTCAGCAAAGACGGCGAAAATCGGCAAGGAAATCGTGAATTGTATCGAACTTTGGTCCCCAAGTCCTTCCTCTTCCAAAAAGGCATATAAAATCCCAGTGGCCGTCGTTTCAAATAATGATCATAACGTATTCATTGTCGATGTTGCAGAATCGGAGGTTTTGGAAGAGCTGAACTTTCCAGATTGTGCAAACCGTTCTGTTATGTCGCCAGATGGAGAACTTCTTGTAACCATTTGCGACGACCCCTTTCTCTACGTCCACGAGAGACGACTGAAGGTAGCATCTCACGATGATGAAGCCGAGAAAAAATTGGAAGATGAATATGAGTGGGCGTTACGAGGCAGAGTCCAGCTAACAGGCCAAAGACAAGCCGATAGAGGAGAAATGCGTGGAAGCTTTGCATCGTCGTTCTCAGCTTCTGGAAAGTATTTAGCCGTAGCAACGCAATACGGCGTGATCTCTATCTTTGAAACAGCCACACTGGCCCAAGAGGATGAAAGCTCGCTCCTAGCAGTTTTTACATCATCGAGACCTGGTGTAGAAGCTATACATGGAGCTGTCCGCGCAATGCTGTTTTCGCCTGGCCCCGTTGATCTTCTCGCTTGGACAGAGGCAACAGGTCGGGTAGGGGTTGCCGATGTTCGAAATCTATGCCGCTCTCAACAGCTCATCACTTTGGACTCTTATTCCGAGGGAATGGAGAGAGTGATCGTTTCGGACAGACTTGGTGACAGCGTAATCGATCCAAGGTTACGGCACTTTCGTGTGGAACCAGCATCTACGGCCAGTACAACCCCAGACTACCTAGGTTCGGATATGGAGCGTCGAAATCCTCGACACCATCTAACAAGAGAAATGCTAGATAGGCATCAAGCCCCACTTACAGCAGAAGAGCTCGAGGTCTTGTCAGCTCATAGAATAGCCCGTCGAATAAGGGATACGGCAAACGCACCACATACAGGCCGTGAAACTTCGGCTGACACTTCCAATTTACCAAGACTGGGGCATTGGAGCGATGAGCGATTATCGTCGTCTACTGTTGCGGGCAGAACGAGAAGTGTTGAACGTCGAATAGCGAATGCAAATTTGCCGCCCGCACTCAGGGAGTTTATCAATCCAGAACGCTCGACAACTTCCATAAGATCTTTTATAAACGACCGTAATAACGACCGCGAAAGGAGGGTTCACTTGAACTTTGAATTCGACCCACAAAGATCGAACAACCTTCGCCTCACCGCGGACGAAAGTTCCAGCGCACGGGATTCATCAGAATCTAGTGTGACAGTTGGTACTGACAGCACTCCCTCAGAGCAGCTATCACTGATCGCACAAACCCTTGAGGCTACCGGCGTAGATTCAACTACCACGGCATGGCCTGAGCTAGATGCTCTCTATCGCACCAGACTACCTTTAGATCCTCCTCTCGACAGGGCCGCTCGAGTACGCATTGAGATAGAGGATGATGATCGACGCGATTTCGCGAATAGGCTGAGACAACCATATCGCCCTCTTGGTGAGCTTTCTCTCGGAATTCGTGATGAGGGTGTAAGCGCTCTACGAAGATCTCGAGCAGGTGCAGTGGAAACGATGGGTTGTAGATGGAGTGAGGATGGAAGGACCTTGTAAGTAATCCGGCTCCTTCGCTGCTGTCTGGCTTCTTGCTAACGGGATGGAAGATACGTTGGTGCGGAAGATGGGATCTATGAATACCGCGTCAATGTTGCTGGTCGAAAGATCTTTCCTAGCCTTGTGTTGCGTTAATTCTTTCTTGACTTTCTTGGTTGGGTTTTTTTCAGCAATGGCGTTCCTTGGGCGTTTATGGGATCAGGGGATTAGGGGCTCATCATGAATTCGGAGATTCATGGGTGGTTCGATTCTTTTCGATGGTGTTTGGCTGGCCCTTTTAAAAAAAGATTCTGGCTATTGTGTATTATGAATCACGTTCTTACGATTTGTAAAGTATCGGGTTTTTTGACCAACGTCTTCCGAGATGTAATTTTAAGATGTAATTTTTCGAGTTATATGTTGTAAGTTGTAAATGAACCCGTTCATTTTTCATCATACAGTAACACTACGCGCCACCGATACTATCATACTTCGTTTCGGAGCAGAAGGTGGTTTTTTCTCCCCACAACACAAGAAGTGAGATGATGAAGTAACATTCTCTGTGCTGTGCCAGTTGTATGTGAATCAAGGAAATGCAGCGAATTTATGATATCGACGTCGGCAATCTAGTTTAATATCCCCTCGTCTCGATGTGGATTTATTCCTCGTGAGACTCTTATACTGAGATTGCGACGTCAGCGTGTCAAATTCGAGTAGTTGAGTTGATTAGTTTTATTGACACGCTGGATCATATCGTTAACCTTTTCTTTCTGTCTGTGATGGAGATGAGATCTCTTTGGTTCCTCTTGTTCTTTTTCTTTTTGAGACAGAGTGAGGGTTGTGTAGGATGTGGGAATGGCGATGTGGGTTTATTGGCGGAGTGTTGTTGGTACTTCTTATAGGAGTACATAGCTAGATAGCTTAGGTGAATGGTATTCTAGATCTATAAGCCTTGGTGGACTTGAATTGTTGGTAGGTTTTTGGTAATTAGTATAATGAGATGATTGGTAAGGTACTGGCTGTACTTGTATTAGGGTTTTGGTAAGGTGGGTTATTGAGGTGTGTATAGAGTATCAACCAAACCCGCTATCTTACATATTTAAATCGTATGTCTTGATTCTGTATACCCTTCAGGGAATATTTCTTTGAACCTTTGAAAATCATAGCAAAATACTCTCCTAGTAAATTAAACGGCACAAAGGTCCTTCCTCTCACGTCTACTAGTCTAGATAATCACAAGCCTCCCCTCTCCAAACTCCAACAATTCCCCAGCAATCCGCCAATCCATACAAACCCCTTCTCAAACAACCCAAAAACGTACTCTTACAAACTACTAGTAATAAATTCAATTTACTCATACCCTAGCACAGTACGATATCCTTGGAAGTTGGAATCCCACAGACCCATAAGTATTAAGTACAAGCAGGAAGACCCACTTTGCTGTGCCACCCCCCGTCATATGTATGGACAAGCGAGACAAGTACCGAGGATGTGTATATCAATGCCGGTCTAATTGTAAAAGTAAGTATAGTATGTTCTTTCATTACTCACTCTAGGTTTTTGGTATACTTGTTAGGTCTTATTGGATAGGGTGGTGCTTTTGATGAGCTAGCTGGGAATGGTGAGATACTTGTGTTGTAGTTGTAGTTATATGGTATGATGGAGGGGTTTGAGGAGGTCTGGTTGTTTTTACAGGTCTTGCTATGGTATTCATACTCCTGTAAGTCAATTATTAAACTGATTCGTCTTTGACAACGCCTCGCAAGACCTGGCCTCCAGGTCCTTGGGTGTTGAGAAGTGTTACTCTTTCTCATTTTTAATTTTGGATGCGGTGATATCCTCAGAGATTGTAACGAATAGCCGAGACCTTACTCATTCTCGGGTTTTATTCCAGAGGGACCAAGCGGTTCAGTGACGATGATGATTTGGAACTCCCTGAAGGAGTGGAAGATTTCCTGATGGAGGAATAGTCTTGGTAACATTCTCATCTCTAGGAACTCAGATCGATTCGTAAGCAGATTCTCTTAGAACTTCCAAACAGCAGCGGAGCCTTTTCCCGAGAATGCTTTTCAATTCGCGCAGTTGCGGACGGCAAGATTATATCTATTTGGTCTGAGCGCGTCCCAGAGGTCCCCTATTCAGCACTTGAAGCTGGCTATTCCTTTTGGATTTGGTATAGAAGGATGAATCTAACTTAAGTCATGTTGCGCGGTCCTTGCATGTCAAGCTGAAATATTTCAGTAAATCGTGGGACAGACTATTTGTAAGAGACGCGGTCATTACTCTTGTTACATCCAAGTTAGAATAATTCAAATTGATATGTCTTTATTAATCCAAGTCATTTCCGACTATTATGTAAGTAATTTAAGTTGATTGTAAGAGTTCTGGCACAATGGGGTATTATGTTGTGTACAGAGTGATGGACAGGTCACTTACGCTGATTTCCTACTCTTTCCTTGACTTGTTCTTGGTCTACAAGCTTTACGTTGACTTCTAGAATTGACTGACGCGCATTATACTTGAATTGGATGTTGTCCTTTGGAGGCGATCCAAACGGCCCAAAAGATTAGTTGAAATCTATACAAGAGCGGATTTAATACATCTATTCGATGTCCCGTTATCTCCTGCACCGCCCGGCGTAACTCGAAAGTGGGTCAAGGACATACTATCCTAGGTAGAAAAACAATATATAGCTTTATACTAAATTTACAACGTCTTCTAACACAAATAATAACTTAAGCTAAGTTCTTTACCTAATACTAATTAAGAATTAGTATATGATTATTTATACTAAAAGAGAAGTACGAATAATTTACTCTAATCAAATTTCTAGTCTTATTAAAAATATATAGTTACGTTCTAGTCCTATATCTCGATATCTCCGTACTGAAAATTAGTATGATTAATAGCTTAGTATTGCCAAGGTGTTAGAATTAACCTAGAATTATACGTTATAATAGTTCTACGCGAAGTTGCTTAATCCTAGTCAAGAGTTGCGCCGGGCGGTGCAGGAGATTGCGCAAGTCTCCTGAGACTTCACACGCGATACCAAGTAATCTACATTAGCCGAAACTGGAATACTGCTATCTCAGATATAAGACATAAAGACGAACCGAGACTTGATCTTGCGATGGCCATGGAGGAACCAATAGAAGGTAGGTAAGGTCACACACGATCACTAATAAACTCTCAATTACAAGGGTTCGGATCTTTCTTTCGGGAATAACCCACACGTCAACCCCGCCCCAGCTATTATATGTACCTCATTCCCTTTTGTTTATATATTCTGATCCCCAACTAAACAACTAGCTGTGCCCATTATTGCAATTCAAATAATACCACAGGTCTTCATTTCAACTCTACAACGAAGAGGACCTGCCTACAAGTCACACTGTCGAAGTTGCAGAGTCTGTGGCTGCTATGAAAGTGGCGATGAAGGGACGTCAGCCTGATCCGAAGAGGTGCATAATATTCGAAAGTGGTTCCGGTCCTATATGGAAGGTGTTGAAGACTTGACCTTTTACCTACCGATGTTTTTAATGTGGAAATTTGTCCCTCTACTTGATATAACTCTCTACATTCTTGTATCTTAAGGACCACTTTGAAACTGCAATACTCGAGTATATCAAAAACTGTCACAAAACTCTTTCGGCAAGCCCCGTACCGCCACCAGGTGACTCATATGAGATATTTCCAGGTTGAAGTCAGAAATGCCCCTGCATCTCGGCAATGATGCAAAGATGTACTCTATGAATTCCTATTGGAGTCTCTATAAAAGCTGATCCGAATGAATAACCTTGGCACTTGCTTACGCCGTCTATCACACCACTTAAACATTTTTTCTCGCCCCCAACTTCGAGGCTGAGGGCTCTTGAACTTTATAAAATTAGGCTAATTGCCCATCAGGCATTTTCCATATATTAAGAGCTTATTCGTATGACTAGCCTACCACATTTAGGTCCGACGTGCGAGGACTACCGGTATTAGGCGTTTTTCTCCAATAATGTTGCGGTGGGTCCGCGGTAACAAATGCCAAACCCACAAATAGCAGGGTAATGGCCAAGCCATGAAATCCACCCCGATAGGGCTTGCCAATCCAATACCTTTCCCATATAACGTTAGCATGATCCCATGAGAGAGGAATACCGAGGCCGGAACAAATTTTTCCTTATTCACAGCCATGGCAATGATGGAAGAGACTGGAAAACGGAAATCCACGCCAAGGTCGAAGACGGGATGCAAGAATTGCAGGTGAGCTAGCTCCCGCTCATGGCTTCGCTGTCAGTTCTGTCAATTCATCGGCTTACCTTCTCTCGCATCGTAGGCTGCGCCGGATAAAATGTGGAGAAGAACGCCCCTCTTGTTCTCGCTGCGTCAAGAGTGGCTTGAATTGCACTTTTGATCCAGAGCCCGAAAGTTCTCACGGCTCGGGTTCTTTTCTAACCTTTTCCATGAGACCCGACGATTCTGGGGCTCCGTCTGAGACTGTTGCTGGTTATGTTCCTCCGGGGCTGAAGCGAAAGATAGAAGCTCAAGCATTACGCACCCAGCGGAAATCCCGTCCAGTAACCAAACCACTGAGGTGACTATGTTTATTCTATTTAGCATATCAGGACTGTAATCTGACGGGAAAGCTCCAGGAATCCCAACGAGAAAACAGTAGAAGAGATACGAGATTATCGAAATGAATTGCAGCGTGTCTCGCCAACCACGACGAGCATCCCCTTCCAACTTCCCGGGAACGATGAAGAAAAGCTACATTTTTATTACTTCCGTTGTGAAACTCTCCATGACCTTGGTGGACACAGGCATCTTGACTTCTGGGGAAAGACTGTCATTTCATATAGTCAAGAAGAGCCAGTAGTACGACATGCTGTATTAGCTCTCAGCGCATTCCACCGCAATAGAACCTTCAACCAAGCTATATACGACAATAACTCGATGCAACAATACAATAAGGCCCTGCGAGAGGTTCGCAAATTGATGGCTAGCCAGACTAATCCTCCGATTGAGATGATTTTAATTTGCTGCATGATATTTTACAGCATCGAGACGACGCGAGGAGACCACGAAACAGCATCAAAACACGCGAAGTCCGGTCTCCAAATACTAAAGCATTTTTACCCCGAGATGAGAGCCATAGGTGGCTCACTGAAAACTCCACGCAAACGAAAAGAGATTGACCGCAATCTTCTCGCCTTATTCGTTGGCACAGATTTATCACTTTGCGGTCAAGATGGTTATAACCGAGCACCAGATTTCGTAACGACGACGATAGAAGAGCGAAGCGGGAAAACCCCAACGATGCCAGCTAAATTCACAAGCGCACTCCAAGCCTCCGTCGTCTCCAACAAACTCGTCAACTGGACCTTTCAGATCCGCGCCTTGATTCTTCGACAGTGGCAGGACACGGGTCTTCCCTGGGAACTTCCCCCACATTTGGTAAAAGAGATAGAAATCATACAGTCCGAGTTGCATCGGTGGACATGGGCGTTCCGACGCTTCGTCCAGGCCAAGAAGCTCGCAAGGGCTAGCCGAGACGAACTGGACGATATCCTTTGCCATCAACACCAAATCCTCATGTTCAAAGTCAAGTTTCCGGATCTCCTGATACCGGATCCGAAAATGTTAGCAGGGGATATAGCGAAGTCCCTTCAGATGGATTACGAAACCAAATCCAAGTACTTTGGAGAAATCCTTAGTATATTTGAAACTCTGGCAGTGGACTTTGTAGCGAAAGATGAACGGCCTCGATTTACCGTTTTCTACGATGGATCGATTAATTCCCTATCCTTGATTGGTATCGCGTCGGGGAATGATTCTATGAGACAGAGAGCTGCGAATCTGCTGAAAATCTGGCCGCAGAAATCGGGCTTGACGGATGGGAAGAGGATCGGATATGCGATTGAGAGATCTTTGGAAATTGCGAGACACAGGAGGGAAGAATTTCCGGATGAAGATAAAGACGTCTTTCAGGATGTGATTATGAGTGTTTTGCAAGATCCCGCTTTTCAGGTTACTGGGGAGGCTATTACTCCGAGTAAGCCGCTCGCCACTTTGACTGCTCATAATGACTGAGTGTGGACGGATGCTTGGATGAAAGGGCACTCGGTGGGAGTGAATTAGCGGGTTTATCACTTTCCCAGATTACTGTCTGTAATGGAGGACGGGCTTTTGTTATGTGCCTCAAAGATAGATCAAATGATACCAATTTCCACGAATACACTGTTAATTATGCCTTGTATCCTGATAAAATCTCTATTTACTCTCAAACTCCTCCCCCCTCAATGGCTTGGCAGAACTTAAGCGAACCATCAACCCAGTATAAGTAAGATCATTCACTTCCCCATCAAGCAGTCGCACCTCTTTCCCACTATCGCCCCTTCATCAGCGTAAGAAAGAAATACTCAGCTAATCACGTATACACGGGTTATACTTGGTTAGGTTAGAGTAGGTTTGAGTATATAGTCTGGTTGAGTAGGTTAGAGTAGTAGATTCAAACTGCTTAAATATACTCAAGTAGTTATATAATATTAACTAAAGTATAAAATAACCAGTACTCTTTATTAGAATGTTAGCGCCTTAGATAAAGAGCCTTCTTCCATCCTCCTCCGAGACATAAGAAATAGTAACAACTCCCGACTCCTTACCATCCTCATCTTTCTCTCCTCAGCAATCAATATTGAGTTGCCCCCTTTCTCATCACTCCTCCCTTTACCCTCTAGTTTTTGTACCCCCAACATTTTTCTAAAAGCTTACCCCTAATTTTTCAACTGAATGCCGTAATTTCGTTTTTCTTGCGACACATTCCACTTCTTTAGATCACGTTCTTGTAGACTACTTAACACTCGAACTCTCACACTCACTTAGCTCCTTAACAATCGAATCATATATATAATCAATTTAATCGTACTTGTTCACAGCAGTACGCTGTTGATACCTCCCTGGGATATCGACAGATATCTCTTAAAGATACCAATAGTTTTTCTCGCAGAGTTGCTTTCTGATATTTTTTTTGGAAGTCTGCTTTGTTATAGATCTTTCGACTGCTCTGACGGAAATGTTAAATATACTTATATTAGACTTGAAAATCAGACAGGTTCTTGTGATCTTTAGTTATTGAATAGGACGGAGACTAGACAAATAGATTCTTCCGCATCTAATAGAAGCCCAGCAGCAGATTTGACATATATATATAGACTCAATTACTTGGTACATCACATATCTACTTACAGTACAGTACCTGGGAATACAAGAACCCAATATCCACACCTTAATTATCATCCAGGAAAAAAATAACGATTAAGTGTAGATGTACTGTATTTTGTATTATCTTCAAGGCGAAAGATGGCCTTTCACTGTAGATGCCGTAGGTACCTACAGTGCCTACAAAAGAACAAATAAAAAAGTTAAGTGAACCTACTGTAGGTACATGTAAGACTAAATTCCTTCCCACCACCCCACCCCAGTCTGTTCTAACTTTACCCCCGACTTCAATTCCCCAGCAATGAATCTAGGAGTGTACTATAAGATCTCACACAGTTAATCTTACACTCAACGACGTCGACAAGAACCCCTCCCCTTCCACCACAAGGAAACATTCCAAAAAAAGAAATTAAGCCGTGTATAAGTACTTAAAAGGGTATCATATCTAATTCGCACCTCCCAACTATTCACTCACTCTACTATCTATACCCAAAGCCAAGTCAATTCCCGTATATAAACATCTATCCTAAACCCCCTTCAAATTCCCCCTCCCCTCCCCCTAAACCAAACAAACCACCATAACAAACAATAGGTATCTCAAAACCCAAGTACTAAACTCCAATTCACCCGTCCCGCTTCCTGTATCTGTCAAACCCAAACGCATAATCCCAAGCCCAAAAGAAAAGAAATGAGAACAAAAGCATGTATGTAAATGACATCCATCTCCACATCGGCACGAAACTCTCCTCAACCCCCCTTCCCCCCCGCGCTTCAAATCAAAACTCCTCTACTCCCCACCCACTTTCTCCCCATCCCCATCATCCACCACCCCATCATGCTTCCCCCCACCCCCAACCCCATCCTCAAACGAAATCTTCCTTCCAAAATGCTCATGTCTCACACCAGTCCTCTTCCCAGGGTGCGCAGGATAACTCGCGTGATGATGGGGATGTTCATCAGCCGGAGGATGCGTCGAACGAGTTTCGATGCCGAATTCCCGCTCCAGGGGACGGAAAGAGGAGAGGTCGGTGGGGTGGTGATGGTTGGTGCGGTGGTTGTGTGCTTCTAGGGCGGTGAGGGCGAGTTTGGCCTGGAGGGATGTGCGGTGAGTTATGGAGGGAGGAGGGAAGGGAGGGGAAGGGTAAGAGGGAAGACAAACCTTTCGTGCTTGGATGCGGGTATAGCGGTCGAGACTCTCGCATAGTCTTTGGAGGAGCCATTCGCTTTCGCCTTCTTCGGCTAGCATGGGACTGTCTTCTCTGTTTACACTATGGTTAGCGGCGCCGAAGAACCAAGGGAACGGGAGTACGAAATCTCATGGAGAAAATCAGGACAAAAAGAATGTTAGAAAGAAAGCAGTAAAAACCATACCCAATCCAATCCCACTCCGTCAATCCCAACTCCCCCTCCCCATCCAACACATCATCCTGCTCCTCCAAACTACTAAACCGAATCAACCTCGTAAACTCCACCCACTCCTCATAACTATACTTCCTCGCTCTCTCGGCCCTCATATCCCCCGCGACACGCTTAATACAAACAGCCAACTGCCTCGCAAGCTCATGATGACTCCTCTCCCTCACCGGCTCCCCACCCTCCTCCACCAGTTCATCCAAAGTAACCGACGCACTCCCCTCCTCCAAATCCGGATCCTGGACCTCAAACCCCCTCTCAATCCGCCTCCTCTCCTCCCGTTCCCTCGTCTTCCTCTCAAAGTAATTCTTAAGCCTCGGATGGCCCTCCAAAAAATCATGCCACACCCCCTCTTTAGGCATGACCGTCCAATCCGCCAGCGTAAACGTGCCGCGATTGATGGCCGAGATGACCGTATCCCCCATATCCGAGATGAGAATCGTCATCGTCGGGACCGCTATCAGGGACCAGATCACAAAGAAGGGTTTCCCCGCATTGCTTTTCGGCGAGAAATCCCCATATCCGATGGTGAGGAGGGAGACGTAGCAGAAATATAGTGCTTGGAAGTAACTTAGGCCTTGCATTCTTTTCTCGACGAGATGGAAGATGAGGGCGCCGATTAACCAGAGGAGGGAGAAGGCGATGACGGACATGGATAAGGCCCAGTAGCGCTCGAATTTATGCGTGTTGGCTTGGATTTCGCGCATCGTGTCGAAGCGGTCTTTTTCTTCTTTCAGGAGGATAATTTTTTCCTTTTTGAGAGCTCGTCGGGTTTCGGCTGCTTTGCCGTGTTTGGCTTTCTTGCGATCGCGACTGAGTGACATACGAGGGAAGCTCAAGACTCTCTCTGGTTTGGCTCTTTCTCTTTCGCTGTCTCCAGCTGGTGGGTGAGTATTCTTGAATTTGATGGTTCGGCCTTGAATATCGAAATGTCCATATTGATCTAACGAGTGCCTTTTTTCTGTCCCAGCTGTCGATATCTTGGCCGAGGTGGCAGATGCTCTCCTTCCGACAAGTGTCTCTCTTCTCGGTGGCAAGCCTAAACGATCTCTAAGCTCCCTCTCACTGGTGACAGTACGACCATACGTCCGTTCTCGTTGCTGAAGTTGATGTTTTCGAATTACCTTGTCCTTACTCATTCCCACTGCAAACTTGCGAATGCTATTAATCATCAACCCCAAAAAGATAATTCCAATAACGGAATATGGAAAGACGATTCCACGACCGGCATCATTGGTTCCCACGAAATCACCGAATCCAACAGTGAGGACTGTAACGTCACAAAAGTATAATGCATCGACATACGTGAAGCCACATACTTTTGAGAAGACCGCTGCTCCGCCCGCAAGCCAGAAGAAGAACATCATCGTTTGTAAAATGAGCGTTCTCTGATCATCGTCGAGGTCGAAATGTTGCGGGTAATGACCGAGTGCATAGCCAAGCATATTGACCATAAGAATCATAGAGCCTATCATGTAAAGAACCGCGGCGATGATAGCATAGTAGAAGCCTTGCGAGTACGTTTCCCCTGGGCCAACAGGAGGAACATAACTATTCATGCCCACAATAATTCCAATAAGCTATCACACACATTAGCCGCACTCCCACCAAACCCCCACGATTCAAAAGACTTACAATCCCAGTAGCGAAATACCACGCAATGATGGTAGCAGGCAAGGCAACAATATACCTCACCCTCTTCGTAAAATTCAAGAGCAAACAGAAATTCCCAAAGAACCCAAATCCGAGAGAGAAAGCGTTAAGTATGATACACCACCTCGGATCGGGGATCCCCACACCATTGGTATCAGCGCCCTCGGGGAGAATCCCATTATTTGGGAGACTATCTCTCCATTTGGTAACCAGGGCTGCGATGGAGAGGACATTTGCGAGAGGTCCGATGGTAGCTGCGAGGAGTGGAATAGTCGTAGATGCGAACCACCAATCCCTATTCTCAAGGCATTAGCATTCCCATACACTTTCATTTTCAGAACGCCATGGTTGGTGAAGAGAAGGGGGATATACTGAGGTAAATCATCCGTCTTCCCTCTTAATTTGAAATCCGGTAATCTGCCTATCGTTTTTATAGTACGAATCCCGGAGTCAGTACTCTCGAATGTATCTGCGTTCCCATTTGCCATCCCATTTCTCTCCCCACTCCCCCTCGCACTCCCATTACCATTCCCATCATCGAGCGACCCATCCCCCTTCTTCCCAGTCATCGCACCGCGCAACCGGGGCGAGATGCTCTCCCGAGAACTCGAGGTAGTAGACCGAGCATCGTCATCATTCATCGAGGGGCTCGTCGTCGTCGGAGGTACAATCATATCTCTATCGACGTGGTAATCCTACGCATCATCATCTCCATCCCGCGTGCACGAAAGCTCTACCGCAGCTCAGACACCGTCTCCTATCTGCCCAAGAACCCAATTCGTCGTTGCCAACCGTCCAGTCCAGTGAATCGCCCACCTTCCCATCCAAACTCCAATAAGTATTGTCGAATCCACAGTCCAAATCCAAATCCAAATCCCAAGAACCCGGGTCTCCGCACTTGTACAGTACGAGTAGCTTTACCGTATCTGACTGCACCGCATTACACAGCACGGCATAAATACAGTACCAGAAAAATGACGTTCAAACCACGATCGTCCAGACCATCAACAAGACCTAAAAAAGAAAAATCGAAACACATGCTTACCAGCAAACGCCACCAATCCCGATCCCCAGCACTCAACCCCCGACACGCACTTCCCCACACGCGGGGGAGACCCCTCTCCTCTACTCGCACATGAAAGAAAACAATTCGCATCACCAGGTGGTAAAAAAAAAGGAAGGGATGAATCGTGATTGGCTCCACACATCCATTATGATTCTTTCTTTAGAAGTACCTACGCTACGGTACGACTCGATTGTATTCCTCGGCCATCGCGCGGGATCCATTTTCTTGGGTGGGTTAGAGGGGATTTTTACTGCCAATGGGAGCTGGAAAGGCTTGTGAGGTTCATCGGTGGCATCGGTGGCGTTGTCTTACAGCCTATCTAGTATATGATAAGATAGATAGATACCCGAGGATCTAGACTTCCAATACCTAGACTGTCCTTTGTTCTCGTTCTTACGATGGCGAATTTATACATTGCCTACCTCGCCTACCTACCTATAGATAAGCTCAACAAAAAGACTCAAAAAGACATCACAAAAAGAGCAAAGTTAAATCTTCAATTTCTTGTATACCTTATTAGCTAGAACGGTGAGACTACTGTACTACATGTACGTACCCGTACCTTATTCAGTGAACCTGCACCTGAACCGCACCTGCGTCAGTACCTACCTACACTTATTACTCGAGTACAGTAGCGCGAACACGTACCCCGCCAAATGCAGTACCTACACTAATCAGATCTCTGCATGACTTGCAAGTCACTTGATAAATAAATCCTTCCCTCCACTGTACTCGTTACCCCACTATTTTCCTTACCGCCAGACCCGTCACCAAGACACCATCTCCCTGTCAAAGGATCTGATCTGTACTCAATACTTCATACACCTTATCACGACAACAACACGACATAACATCTGTATTCTGTACCTATGATGAGTGGGCCAGCTTAGAACCTTGTCTTGTATCTCGATATATCTTATACAGGAAGGATACTTTGTATTCCAAGTAGTACGGTACAGTAAGTTACATTAAAACCCTACCTTGTATCAACATCACACATACACATGCACACAAGGAGATAACTTTGATCTTTCCAAGAACTCTCGGATTATATCTATTATTCAGCCACGCTAGTCAAAGTCCTGCAGCGCTAAAGCTCAGCCCAGCTCAGCTTAATTCTTCCGCTGTTTCTCTTATCTGTCTGTCCATTGCGACACATCCCTCCATCTATGTACAACACAAAGAATTCATCCACACCGGCGCTTCATCCCGCCAATAGGCAGTATAACTAACACCCTTGAGTTTCAGAGAGTCCCCTGGCAAGATTCCTGTCCATCATTGTTCTCGACTATTCCCCCAAAATACCAGGGTTCCGTTCATATCATATCGCATCCCCAGTTCTCAAATGACAGTCAACGTTCCGTCATCATGTTCCCTCAAAAAGGAAAAAGGAAAAGCCGATTCCTTCCCACCCTACCCCTTCCTAACGCCATCCATCCCATTCGTATACGTGCAATATCTCATCAAAAATATCAGTCCCCAGTCCCCAGTCCCCGGAACTCCTCATAATAACCTTGAAGTTCAAAATTCAAGCTTCAAACAGACCCATTCCAAAATAACGCCGCCATTTCTCTCTAATGGTGTTCATTCGCTCATTCGCTCGCTTCGCTTCAAAACCTCAAAGAAGTCTAGTATGTCGTATGTGAGTGACAAAATGTAATTATATGCAACACCTTTTTCGCAAGTCTCATTCCCATTATATAACCCTCCTAACAACCCGTCAACGTGTTTTTCGGCCACGGATAACCTGTGTCGTCCCAGCGCTATATCGATCATTAGCTATGGTTGTGGTAAAGAGGAAAGGGGGGAAACATACAGTAAGATTCGGGTTCTGATATGCGATCGGATGGTTCTTGATATACTCTGTGGTAGGGTATCCTGGAGGATCACAAGTTATACTCTCTTGCCCCTTCTTCTGGTATATTCGGACATAGTCGACATGCATCACCGTTGGGAACCGCAAGTTAGCCGCGTCGATCCCAGTCCACGAAGCACTATACCCAAGATTCAACACCATTGACATCGGCTCCTCGGGCACTTGTCGTGGTCCAACATTGCCATTTTGACCAATAGCTCTTCCATCCACAATAAATGATGGGTTTTCACCAACGAACCACGCGATTTTGCCATCTTTGGTACCAGGCTCGTATTCATATGCATACTTCTGGTATGCTAAGCCGTCGTACCACTCATTGTTGAGAAGTGTTGTGCCACTGACAGCTTGTTGATATGGTCCTCCACAATATCCGTTCATGTTCGTAGTTTCATAGTCCGGGATTGCCATAAAGTTTTCGTTGGGTCGATAAAAGACATCGAACGGAGCAACTTGCAAACTCTGTGTGACAACTCCAATTCTGTTATTGGGGTCGACTGAGCCTTCAAGAATATCCAGCTCAGGAGCTCCTCTACCAACACCTGGATTGGGATGATCCGACCCTTTGCATGTACAAGAGGCAAGTTTTTGACCCGGGAGAAAGGAAAGGCCACTTGAATCGGATTGATTTGGTGTGATACCCGCATCACATTCATTATAAGTGTAAGGCCACACTCCATCCGTGGTGGCCTTGTAACCTGGTCGACCCAAATTTCCCATGGACCAAACACCAGGCCAAAGACCGGGTACTCCTGCTGGACCGGCTAATGAGACTCCAACTTCAAAGACTCCTCCTTTAAAGCACAGTTGATTCCAGCTGTTCAGCATTCCTGACCGGTATTGGAGACCGTGATTTGGAAAAGCATCCAGTCTCAATTGTAACGTTCCACCACCAGTTGTAATTGCGTCTGGGTCATACCACTCAAAGTCCTGAGTAGCTCCATACCAAATGTCGGCTCCCGTCCAATATGGGTCATCTCCTGGGTAGAATGTTCGGTTGGGCTCATTAAACTCGTCACTGAATACCAAGTGCAAGTCTGTATCATCAAATTGGCTCTTTCGGGTTTTGACATCTTCTGGGGTATCTGGATCGATCAGTCCCCTTCGAATATTTTTCATAGCGGGATATGTGCGATTATTGACGTGGGCCCATGCAGGACCAGTATCAACTTCAGTACTCGGAGCGGTTCCAAAAATCCTTGTAGAATATGTGAGGAGCGGCAAGAGTATGAAAATCGCGAGAAGACCAAGGATGAGAAAAACGGCCCCTATGGTACTAGCGATATTTCGAGGACCAAAGAAATCCTTCCACGTCGTTCTATATACTTTATCATCGTCATCCGCTGGCATGTGGAGCTTATCGTCGGCCTCGATTTCGTTCGCGTATAATATAAATCCTTTCTCTCCACCATAGTAAGGATCAAAAGCACCGATACTATCATCTGGATAACCCCATTTCTCTAAATCTGCTTGTGAATCGTTGAAAGGATTATTGGTTGATGTTCGAAGTAAAGAGACCTGGGAGGTTGCTGCTGTCGCTGCGAGAACTCTATTGCTTGTGGGTGTTGAACTCAAGTTGGTACTTGATCTTGATGCGGGATATCGTGAATAATCGTGACCCAAGTCACCTAACCTTCTTGGTGTTTCTGGCCTTGCTATAGTTTCTCCTGGCTGTAAGGCAATCGCAGATTTCTGTCGCAATATCATCTGTGCTGAACTCAGAGCTGCAACCTTTCTCTTTCCCTTGTCAACAGAAGAATCTCCCGCGAGTTGGGGACTCGGGTCTTCCCCCGAAGATGATGAGTCTCGAGGTGAAACTCCACCCGTGTTACCAGCATTTACCACACTGCTTTCAACCGAACTTAATGAGGACGATGGATTCAATGGCGATGGAACTATTGGCATATATGAAGATCTTCGATTGAGACTGGCGGCGGATATTTGTTTCCCTAATTGAGAGGGATTTGGACCGACCTGCTCCATTCCGTTCGCACTATTTCGCCGCGAAGCATCGGGACTGGGTGTATTGGGAATGGGAGTATTGACTCGTGAATCAAATGGGTTTTGTTCTGAAGAAAGCGTGGAAATGCGATTTTCGGTTCGTCCAACCTCGCTCATATCTCCCTCTGCAGTAGCAGGAGCCAGCGCGGGATTTCTTTTCTGAAGTGGTGGCATAGTTACAACTTGGATTCATAGACCATTAATCTATATGAAGAATTTTGTCGCGCAGTCCATTTCCTTCGTTGAAGTCAAGTGATTGTTGGTAGTTGTAACTGAAGTCGAGATTTAAGGTTCCATCTGCAGTGAGTGATATTGACAACGAAAATGGAAACTCGAGCCGGTAAAACGACAAAGGGATAACTCCAACACCACCTTTCGAAAGAGATCTGGGAGGATACAGATACCTGTATCTCGAAATTCGTGATCTACGGATTTGCGATAAACAGAGGCCCTGTCAGGTAAATACCCCAGTTTTCGTCCGAGGGTTTGTGAAGGATAGTGGAGATCGCGGGGGCAACCCTAAATGGGAATGGGAGGAACCTGGAACGAGGGATGTTGGTGGTTTCGGACAAAAACGACTGTGAGGGATTGGGAACGAAAGTGATGATTGACGGCGATGATCAGGAGAGAGATGAGTTTGGTAGGAATTGGAAAGAAGAACGAGTGTCAGTTGAGGAAGTGAAGGGTCATGGTTCGGGTAATTTGGACCTGTACGGAAGTGATTTGGAGGGTGCAGTGAGAGCAGGGACGAACTGCTGCATGGGGGTGGAGTGTTGGAGTGAGTGGTGGAGTGGGCTGCTTTCAAGTGGGGCAGGGGTATAGTAGGCGTGGTATTCTGGGCAGCACCTTCCTTGGAATGGGCCAACCAGAAAACGGCCAGTTTGAAGACACGCTGCAACGCGTAGAAAGCGGCAATCGATATATGCAGTAGAGTACGAGTAGTGACTTGGAAACTGCACCAAATCTACCTATACCATCGATGGTGTAGATCACCACCACTATAGAAATTATATTATACATCTTTTTGAGAGTGGTCATAAACTCGTCGTTGCAGCAGAAGCAGGGGCCAGTTGGCCATGACGTTTCCTTGCCCCAAGCTTCCAAGTTCTGCATCCGCAAAGCTAGAATTCCCGTTGCAAAATGCCATCAAGCTCCTCAGCTAAAAAAGTATAAACCAGCACCGCTTCGTCTCCACCAGCACCACCCAGACGACACCTGCACTCGCTAACACTCGACTCGAGCAATTGAAGACATCATCACATCACGTCTTCGAAAGGCATCTGCTCCACTCCATTCGTATCTTCCCCCGTCATATCGCAACCATAACCAAGGTTACAGCAGCAGCTCACTCTCTCCCCTCGTATCAACAACCCCCCAAAAACAGGGCCGAAAACAGCTGCGTCGGCCTCCAACGCAACGCATTCAAGGGGTTGGCATCGAGAGTGCCACAAGGGTGGCGGGAGGGGGTTGGTACGAGTACGAGTAACAGTAGTCATGGGAAAGTGCATCCTATCCATCCATCCCTAGAGTTACCTATCATATCCCCCCTCCGAAGCTGGCTAAAAGGATCGGATCTGCCAACAAAAGATAAGAGGACATCGACATGCAATTCCCTCTGATCTGGTGCCTGTCTGATCTCAAGTGATGAGTAACCCCGTACCTCTGCTGTGCCCAACTCAGCAACTCGGCGCATTCCAATCACAACATCACAACATCACCATCCACCTCCCTCTCCAAAGCCGTTGAAGCCAAACCGACACACCCTAACGCCCTCAGGTCCTGCCAATCAATTCTCCCTTTCATGCCTCTCAAAACCACAATTTACCGGCACGAGTACTCGAGTACGTTAAACCCATCCATCCAACCCCGATCCCACAAGAAAACTTCAATCTACCCATCCCCATCGTGCCGTCATCAAAACCAAACCAAACCGTACAGTGCCTGTCCCGGTTCCGTTCTAGTGCATGCAGCCGAACGGAACGGGCACGGCAAAGGCTTGCATACAGCAAGCGTCAACGTTCAACCAACCCAATCCAATATAAGCTCTAATCTTATCCGACGCACGCGCTGTACTTTACTAAGGTACGTGCTGTACCTGTACCTGTCTGTGTGCCTTATTTTAAACTTTCAACTTTCAACTTTCATATCTTGCCCTTGCCGTGCCGTACCGTACCGTGCCGAGTACACCGTTACCGTTGCACAGCTTGAGGTAAAGGTACTTACAGTGCGCATTTCGTTTTGCTTTGATACGATGCGAGTAGGTAGAGTCGAGTCGCACAAATGCTTGTAGTACAGTACAGTGCCTATGAAGACTAGGAGATGAAGCCGGACGGTAGGTGGGCAGGGGAATGGAATAAACACCACGCACGTAATCCGGAGGTACTGTAGCTATAGAAAAAATCGTATGCCGTCTCGAAACGGTATGATATAAAAGCGAAAGAGAAAGAAGAGGAAAAAACCTTTATATTAAGAAAAGGATTTATAATCAAAATCCCGAAATCCCAACTCACTTCCACTTCAGCCTCTAGAGTCTACGTAAACAAGCGCGGCTCCTCTCCCCTTCCCTCATCTAGGTACCAACTCATACAATACAATATATCAAAAAAGGAGGGTTTCTAAACAGAAGAAAAACACCACGCTCTAGATAAACGAATTTGTAGAAAGGCAACAACAATTGAGAATTAAAATACAACATTATACAACACGATTATACACTATATCTTTCCATCTTCTATCTTCCATCATCGCATCGCTCTTTCCGTGAGGGTTGGATAGGTAGGACTTCTTTCAAAACGCTTGGGTTGGGTTTTCTCCTCGTAGTAATGAGGGTAGAAAAATTCCAACGACAGCAACAATATTAATAATAAAACACCAAACCGAGGGAGGCTGTTGCCATAAATCTATGACAGTCTCTGTCGCCCTTCTCTTCTCCTATACATGTAATGAAATGATTACTTTAAAAAATGGGTTGGGGGTATACAGCCTCTGCAAGAAGCTTCTTTTTAAATCGATCCGAGGACAAAAGGAAATGATTTATACATGAGAGATTAATTAGTGCGTGGTGCTCGATTCATCTAGATCGATTCCCAGGGCCGTCTTGAGGGTATTCAATTGACTTTGTAGATTGTCAATGTTTCCTTGGAGTCCAGTTAATAGGCCCAGGACGTGAAGTTGTTTCGGCCTGGGTAGATTGTTGAGAGGTACCGAAGGGGATTGTCGGACATTCTGTGGTGGGGCTGACGGAGGCAGTGCAGCTGAGGGACCGCTTTGCATAGGTGGTTGGTACATCTGTCGAATGTAATTGATAGGCTGAGAAGCTGTTGAATTAGGAGGATTATTTGCTGCGGTCCAAGCTTGTGGTGGTGGTGGTGCTGATGGTGGTTGTATTTCTCGAAGAGGGCCTCCAGCGGGAATTGGATTTCCCCTAGTCATATCTTCAGGTGATGGTAGAAATGACTCTGGTTTCTGTCTCTTTTCTCCTTGCGGTCCTGGAGGATGTGGTATCGAAGATTCGTCCCTGGCGATCTCGGCTTGGATCAGTCTATCCATATCAGGAGACACCTGCTGCTGGTGTTGCCAATTCGACTCCGAGGTTGATGCAGGAACCGCAGTCTGCGCATTTGCAGGCGCCGCCGCTCTTTTGCGCTTTCTCGCAGGCTTTGCTGACTCGGCCACAGGTTGAGAAGTCATGAAAGTCTGCAGCATTTCCGGATTGGAAGAATGATATCGAAGGGCTCTTCCATCGGCAGTGCCTGCTTTGTAACCATCATTAGCAGGGAGTCCGACCCACTGAAAGCGACGTACCTGAAGTCTGAAATCGCAAGCTGCACTTGTTGCCCTTCGAAGTGAATATGCAGGTCGAGCAAGCTCCCTGAAACCACGGATCCAGCGTTATACATTGCGCAAATCGACCAAAGCCTCCAGCGCAATGCGAGCAGGCTGATTCCACGACATTGCCTCGGGTGGACAAGAGGATGGCGCCTCTTTGCTGGACGCGCGGACTATCAATGGCCTTCTCTCGAGGCAATTCCTGACCTGGACGCCATGGAATGCTCCTGACCTCTGGTAGTGCGCGCAAACGCTCTAGGAATGGGATTTGGCTAGACGACTTGGGAGCGCGTTCTCGTTCCGGAGGAGCACCAGCAGGACCACCCCCAACTGGAAGACGAAGACTGGGACCTGGGGGATTTGGCTGCGAACTCGAACTCGAACCACCCAATTGATACTGGTAGAGATTCTGCTGAGCCGCATTTTCCCCAGCCATTCTGGAAAAGATGGTGGTGATGCATAGGTCCAGGTTCGAGGTGGGAAGTAGAGCGCCCAGACCATGGGAGGGAGCTCTGAAGGTTAAGGTTTATCGTTATCGCGGGGAGGTGCCTCCCAATTTCCCAAGGCTCCTGGTGCTGGTGCTGGTGCTGGAGTAGGAGCAGGTGCTGGCAGTGGAAAAATTAGGTCGCGTCTCTTATAGGGTTTTTTGCAAGCAACACAGAACAACGCCCCTGGGACCCGAGGAATGGATTGGACCTCGATTCTTGCGAGTTGCATACTCCGTACAGTATCTCCTGGACAGGTAAGGTACTAGGTACTACAGGTGCTAGATCCATCAATGCCTAGTCCTCACTCTTCAGTTTTCATTTTTCAGTCTTCAGTCTTCATCTTCACTTCTCTCTTCATCTTCACTTCTCTCTTCACCTTCACTTCACTCGGCGCCAGACGAGTTATGGTTATGCACACCTTCCAATTGCCCTTCCAGTTCTAATTATACAAGTTCGTTATCATACCTATTCTATTACAGTATCCCAACCCAGCCAGGAACCAACCAGAAGAACCTGACACCTGCTTCCGTATCGCCGTAAAAATCGCTCGCTTCCAATTTCCAGAAATCATTGCCATTGACCTATTATCGCTTCATTATAACTCCATGAGATCACTCTCTCATCCTCATTCCTCAATTCCTAGCGCTCTCCGCAGACTGTTGAGCTCGCGCTGTAGATGATCAATCCCGCCTTGCAAGCCACTCACCAACCCATATACCTGTCTCTGTTTGTGTTTTGGCAGCGTGTCGATTAACACTGCCGACCCTTCCTCATTAGCCAACGTATCCTCACGCTCTCGTCCACCCTGTTCAAGTTTGAAGTTCGAGCCATTGCTCTCCCCCCCATTCCCATTCCCATTCCCAAACATCTGGTTGCCGGAGCTAGGCGATGTCTGTTGGTTTACTGTTGCCCAGCCAGCTCGGTCTCCGCCCTCTGGAACAGCACTTCTCGTTCCCACTCCGACTCCATTCATCATCATTGGATTTGGAGGTACAGGCATCTGAGTGTTGACTGTGGCCCACGGTCTCTGTACAATATCCTTCATCTGTTGTCGAGCATGCGAATTGCCTAGTTCTTGTTCCCATTGTGGTCGCTGACTTTCCCATTCTGGGACCGTATCTTTATCCTTTCTACGTCTTTTTGCTTTGGGGCCTTCGCTCGTAGATTGATGTACTAGCATATCGTGACTATTGATGAGAGACACTCCTCCCGCACCAGGTGTGTTGACGGGCGAGCTTTCGGGGTTGTCTGTAACCAGGGTTAGTGTAGTCCAACAATCGATGGAAAAATTCAACTCACCATCTTGTACCTTGATGCTACAACGATTCGGTCGTCCGCTAAGCTGACAACTAGCACATGCACCCTTGAAGAATCCCTCCAAGGCGACACAAAGCTCGAACTTCCCTCGGCCGTTGGAGCAGCTATTGCAGGGCGTAGTTTGAACCTCTCCACGCGTCGCAAGAAGACATCCGAATCGAATCTGTTTCCTTCGTGAATCACCTCCTGTCTCGTTCTCCGCGCCCGGTTCTACGCCAGCTCTCCAGGGCAATGGTCGCTTCTCGGGCATCATCTGTAGACGTTCCTCCATCGTGAGCGACTGCGGTTTCTGCCGAGATTTGGGAGCCCGCTGCGGCGCAGGTTGGCTGATCGGAGTCGTAAATTGATTCTGATTGAAGCTCATATCTTCTTCGAGCGGCTCTGGCGACTCGAGTTGATTCTGGGCGGAGGGGTTATGAATCTGCGCGAGCAATTCGTTGACAAGGGGTTGTAGTACTAGCCCACCGGGGGGAGACATTGCATCTATCGATGGAGGACGGGACAGCTCGAAGTCGGACTTGATGGGAATGGGATTGGGATTGGGATTAGGCGGGTAGCTGTCTTCTTGGAGGCTCATCCTTTGGATAGATCAAAAAGAGGAGCGAGCGCGAGGGGGATTGGGTCGTTAAGGTTGGGAGAGTGTTCTATTTTCGCATGCCTCAAACTACCTACGATTTTACCCTGGAAATAAGCATAACTGAGGGTGCTATCGCTATCAGAGCTGGTGATCCGAAACACTTGGGGGGAACCCACAGCACCCCTGAAATTAGTCATTCTTCGATTCTGGATATTAACCGTTACACAAACCAGCGCATTTCTTCTATGACTTTCATCCAAATTTCATCCATTCGTAAATTGCAGGTGGTATTGCAAAGATGTGGTTGTATCGCACAAGCTTTTAAGGGGGCTCCCGCTGCCCGTACAGGACCTTCTCCACTAGCCTCGCGGTCTAAAAGCGGATGGCTTTTCGTTGACGTTGGTTTGAGCTTGAAAGGCCTTGCAGCGGCAACCGCTAAATGGTTACATATCTGAGCGCGCGCGCGAGGCGAGGCGGAGGCACAATAATATGGTTAATTGTGTCAGGTTGAAATGGCAATTAAAAGACCTACATGAGCCAATCACCTCACCCAGCACAGCATTTCTTGGGGAACGGTGCAGCTCATGATGTATAATATATATGGAGTGGTCTTTTCATTCATGATCCTCTATCCCAAGACCCAAGCCTGTATCAATATTTCATTTCCATCCATATCATACACATAATTCGTACATCGTACAAGACCGACCTCTTGGTATATGGCATCCCATATTATTTCTTCTTCTCTCCTTGCTTTGATTGAGCCTTCTCTATTTCCTTTTCCTCTTTTGTTTTCTTCTCGGCCTGTATTGACTTGTCTACCTGCCAAATAGCTCGATCAAGTTCGATGTCGAGTTCCGGCATGCTAAGTGCCTCTGCAATCTGCTTTGCCTCCCCCTTATGAATGATCATCCTCTCGACTGAATTGGGTATTGGGTTGGTGTTAGTCTGCTTCTCAAGCGCAGTGTTGAATGGTTGGTTTTTGTCCGCGTAAATCAAATCTAATATCTTCGAGGGTTTTGGTGTGACGAGTTCCTTTTTCAAAAGGAATTCTATGTGCTTTGAGCCTGACAGGGCTCTCCAATGTGACCATGCCCGAAAAACGAGGTAGAAGAACGGCAAATTTGGGACTCTGGAAAGATGGTTAGCCGTGCATCACAAATTTTCAAATAACCTGCACTTACACTGGGACTATTGCAAAAGGCGCAGATATTGGCATACCAATGCAGCTCCATATCAATCGCTTCTGGTGTAAGCTTTGACGTTCCGTTCCCAGTTTTTTTAATACTTCTAAAATGTTCTGCTCTGGCAAAACTGTCGATGGAAAGAAAACTTCAACTTTCTCTCCGGCAGATATCTCCTTCTTCCGCGCTGAGATTGGGGGTATGGACTTCAAGCCCCATTCCTCATATGGGATGCGTTTTAGAGCGTAGTTTCCATAATCCACCACCTTCCTCTGCCACCCACTTTCCCTTTTCTCCCACCCCGCCCATAACTTTGTGGCCTTTGATGTCCCCCAGTCAGCCCAAGTCTGCTTCTCGGGCGCAGCAACGTTTAATCGTTGGCAGTATATGAGCACTCGCCGCGTAGAAATAGGAAGGAGGAAAAGTCGCATCGTATCGGGACGACCGGACCGCTTTCACGGTGTCTGGAGTAGAAAATCGAACTCAATTCATTCCTGGGCAGAGGGGAAGACGAGCGCGCGATTATCGATAAGTTGGTTTATGCGTGGAGATAAGGGAGGGCAGAGCTTAAAATGTTGGTGGGACAAAATTATTCTGGAGAAAAGCAATGACGCACTAGCTCAGGGTTACAGCTGGAAAAGCGGCATCGAGTACGAGTATCTCCTACCGGTAGTCCATTGCGAAGGTTATTACCTAAATCTGCTGTATCTTTTACCTACCTACCGAGTACCTAGGTAGTAAACAAAAAACACGGCAGTAAGTGCATCTCTTTGCTCTCTCTTGCAGGCTGATCCTCGTCAGTTGATAAACTCAGAGTTTCCTACATAGGTAAACTATCTAGACACAAGTAATCAATTTAGATGTCCTTGGAAGTTTGGTTAATTATGTTAATTGCTCTCCAAATCTAGAATAACCAACCTATCTTGTGTGCCGAGTAGCCCGCCTCTCCTTTCTGTTGAAGAATCGGTTAAGAATGTTTGGTGAAGCGAACTTTGCTTTTGGCAGTCTTTTTATATGTGGGCAGCCATAAATACTCATCTACTTTTATGTAAACAATTTACTACCTAAAATACACCCGTCAATGCGGCCGTTCGTTGCTTTCCTCTGCTGCTCCACCTGCCCCGTGCTATTCAAAGCTCCTGGCCGGCCCAAGAACCCCTATAGGGAATGGTTCTAGACCCACGGTAAACTGACTTGCAGAAGATCCACCAGCCACCACCACGTTGAAGCATCCCCGAGAGCATCAGCATCGAATTTGTCCTTCAAGGTTGACGTCGCACCCATTTTCTTCTACAACACCATGTATTTCCTTCCCCGCCATATTCTCTAGCTTTGGTCTGCGCGGTCATGCATGTATCTCGTGCCCTTGACCAGCCACTCCCTCTAGCTAGCTCTCCTAGCTCCCCCAACCAGGCGTGCACTGGCGTGGCGCCAACCTCCCTCACGCTCACGCTTCTTTAGCGTCCACTACCTCATGGCATCGTCAAACATTTCGGACCGGCAGGAATCGCGCCAGGGATCGCAGCTGGATACTAACTCCCACCTTCAAAATGGGCTCCTTCTCTCTTCCCAGCGCCGAAGATCTGGCTCCTCTCTGTCCAGCGGTGCCACCATGAACCGATTTCGGGAACTTTCAAATAATCACAAATCCTTCACTGCCTCACGCCACACAGCTAGTTCTGCAGGTACGCAAGCGACTAGTCATGTATCTCAGGGTCATATAAGGACCATACCGCGTATGTGGAATCTCTGTGGTGCCAGGAAGCAAGCATATTGACGTGGAATAGCGTGGTTGGATTCTGGTGAGGATGACGATGAGGTTATCACAGAGCCACCCCAATCGGCAAGACTTCTGACTCCGCTGCCTCGAGCGCATAGTGCGCAACACAACAACTCGCCATCGCAAACCTCCAGACGGATCTCTCACGACGGGTATGTGGATGCATACGACGAATCCTCGAAGCTCAATGAAAAGAAACCAGAAACGGGGTTCTTTGGACCCAAAGAGCCTGTGAAGGGACGTAAATGGGACCACGCTAGAGATGGAGAGCCAGTTATCCTTCAGTCGGGTGTAGTTCCAAGATATTCCCCTTGGAGAACGTATGTCAAGTCGTCAATGTATGGTCCCAGTCCGAATGAAGACAGTACACGGGTCACCTTTGAATTCTTGAACCAGCAAACTCCAGGTTACGATCGCCCTTGGAGAGGTGACTTGGATGGGGCAAATGACCCAGAGAAAGCAGCAGGCTTTCTACACAATAAAAAACAACGTCGTTCCTTTTTCCAGCGCTGGCAGGTATGTAGCGAAAGTATACGTTTCTTTTCTTTCAGATTACTAACATCGCTAGCATATACTTCTCATGCATCCTTTAATTCCGTTAATATTCAGACTAATTGTGCTTATGACATCTATCATAGCTCTTGGTCTTGCGGCTTCCGCTCACTCACTCTCTAACAAATACCGATACCCTCAAAATCCCTCTACAACGATGGCTGTAGTTGTGGACGTTGTGGCACTTCCCTATATTCTTTATGTTACTTGGGACGAATACACTGGAAAGCCTCTGGGCCTACGCTCACCAAAGGCTAAGATCCGCCTTGTCTTAATAGATTTGTTTTTCATTATTTTTGAGTCAGCCAATTTGTCGTTGGCATTTGCCGCTTTGACTGACGCTGATGGGAGCTGCACATCAAATGGTCAAGGTCAGAATAAAATTCTATGTCGCCGAATCAATGCCCTATGTGGAATTTTAATGGTGGCACTCATTGCCTGGAGCATGACATTTGCAGTCAGTATATTCAGGTAAGATTAACTATGCCGCTGTAAATATATATCCTTTCTAATCAATCACAGGCTTGTGGAAAGAGTTGGTGGAAGGGAGGATGCAGAATAACAGGGTACTTCCCCTCCATGGAGTTAAATAGGATTTTTCATTTTTGTGTAAACAGGAGATACCTCAGTTATGTAGAGCGAAGGCGTTAGGATACCAATCTATCGGCTAGATTCAGTGTGTGTGCAACATAGAGCAATGACATGAACAGCTGGTTATTTTTTCCTCATTACTTGTAGATTTTTATGATTTGGTACAAAAAAGTGGTGAATGAAATAGTCAATTTCAGAACCTTCTACTTGGTAAAAGCCTGACTTAGCTGTGCAAAACTTGGGACCATCTCTTTGGTGCATTCAATGTAGTCTCGTCTAAAGTTACACGGCTCACCCCTGGATCATGGCGAACAGGCAGGGATTCACAATGGAACCTGAGGCATGCGGTAGCCTGGTCTACTCATACCTTGCGTGATAGAACGCCTTTGAGGCTTCCTATATTTCCACCTTACAACCTCGCCCTCTTCGAGTTCGCAGAACACTGCGATCTTTCATGAGAGTACTCATCATCTACCACCCCTCGATTCTTTCTCTGCACTTGTCTCAGCACGACTGCCCTTTCCTTACCTACCCACGCTCCCCTCCAGATCTTGCGACCAGTTCGCGTCTTGGAGGCACACGCTATCGAATTCCAGCATACCCAAAGCCGTGAAGGCACGAGCGCAAGCACCTTCTGCCACACTCTGCAGAGGAGCTCTGAAGGTGAGGGTGAATATCTGGGTTCCAACACGACGATATTCGATATTCGGCCCGCGTCTCTTGACTTTGCCCTTGCTTTCAAGCACCCCTCATCATCCGCCCCTCCATCCGCCACATTTGCGATTAGATACACAGCCCTCAAGATGGCTCCCCATCAGAAGGATGATCTGGAAGCTACGTAAGTCTGGCCTTTGTCGTCACTAGCCATGGTCATCTTGACTCTTGCTAATGTGTTGTACGTAGCTGGGCCTACCTTGAAGGTATAGTCGATAGAATTATGGCCAACCTCACGGAGGGTTTTACGATGGACGAAGTATGTGTACCCACTTTCTGTGCTCTCTATAACCTTTGCTAACCGGTGTCTCGCGATCTATAGTACATGAAGTCTTACTCGTACGTCCCTTCATCTGCTGAATGCTCAAGCCCGGCTCTCGGTACTAACAGTATACTAGGGAGGTTCACAACTTTTGCACATCACAAAAGGCAGTCGCGAACACCAGTACTGGAATTATTGGCGGTGCGCACCGTGGTGGTATGATCTTATGATAAAACCCATCCTGTACCCAATGCTAACACATTGCTAGCCCATCTTCTCGGCGAAGATTTATACACCAATTTGAAGAAGTACCTCGATCGATACCTGGACACACTTGTCATCGCATCCGAAGGCCACTCTGACGAGGCTCTCCTGCACTTCTATATCAAGGAATGGAGCCGCTACACTTCTGCTGCCATGTTCATCAACCACATCTTCAGATACCTTAATCGACATTGGGTAAAGCGAGAGATGGATGAAGGCAAGAAGGATGTATATGATGTTTATACATTACATCTAGTCCGCTGGCGTCACACCATGTTCACATCGGTTGACAAGAAGGTCATGGAAGCCGTTTTGAAGATGACGGAAAAGCAACGAAACGGTGAGACCATTGAGCACAGCCAGATCAAGGCTATTGTAGACTCCTTTGTTTCGCTGGGATTGGATGAAAATGACCCTACAAAATCCACTCTTGATGTTTACCGATATCATTTTGAGAAACCGTTTTTGGCAGCCACCTCAGCCTTTTATCAAAATGAATCGAGAGAGTTTGTGGCTCAGAACAGCATTGTCGAGTACATGAAGAAGGCCGCCACTCGATTACAAGAAGAGGACGAACGTGTCAGCATGTTTCTGCATCCAGACATATTAATTCCGCTCCGAAAAACCTGCCAAACAGCATTGATCGCCGATCATTCTGCACTTCTCCGTGATGAATTCCAAGTTTTGTTGGACAACGATCGCTACGAAGACATGGAGCGTATGTATAACCTTCTCTACAAGATTCCCGATGGACTGGATCCATTGCGCGCCAAGTTTGAGGCACACGTCCGAAAGGCTGGTCTGGCGGCTGTTCAAAAGGTGGCAGTCGATGCCGAAAAACTGGAGCCTAAGCTCTACATTGATGCTCTTCTTGGTATTCACATTCAATATCAAGCCTTGGTTAAAAAGGCCTTCCAGGACGAGCCCGAGTTCACCAGATCTCTCGACAACGCATGCAGAGAGTTTGTGAACCGTAACCAGGTTTGCAAGTCTGGATCTAACAAGTCACCGGAGCTGCTAGCCAAGTACGCTGACGCCGTACTCAAAAAGGGAAGCAATGGCGCAGAAGAGAGTGATTTGGAGAATACCCTTGACCAGATCATGACAATCTTCAAGTACATTGAGGATAAGGATGTATTCCAAAAATTCTATTCCCGAATGTTGGCTCGACGATTGATCCATACTACCTCATCTTCCGATGACTCTGAGACGAGCATGATCAGCAAGTTGAAAGAACAATGTGGTTATGAATATACTAATAAGCTCCAACGCATGTTCCAAGACATGCAGATCTCCAAGGATTTGAATGCCGGATTCAAGGAGTTTGAGGCTGGACTTGTTGAAGAGGGTAGCCAGAAACCTGTTGATGCATCATACCATATTCTAGGTACAAGTTTCTGGCCTCTGAATGCTCCACAAACAGACTTCAACCCGCCTGCCGAGATCACAAAGGCTTACGAACGATTCCAAACATACTATAGCCAGAAACACAACGGTCGCAAACTCTCCTGGCTGTGGCAATTTTGCAAGGGAGACGTCAAGGCGAACTACTGCAGACATTCAAAGACACCATACACTTTCCAGGTATCAACCTACCAGATTGCCATCCTACTCCTCTTTAACGACAATGACAAGAACACGTATGATGATATCAAGACATCAACTAACCTGCAATCTGATGTCCTGGATCCGGCATTGGGTATTTTTGTCAAGTCAAAGGTTCTCCTTATGAGCCCAGAAGGCGACAAGCCCGGACCAGGCAAGACTTTCAGCTTGAATTATGACTTCAAGAGTAAGAAGATCCGCATGAATCTGAATATTCAAGTCAAGTCCGAGCAGAAGCAAGAGGTCGAGGATACTCACAAGACCATCGAGGAAGACCGCAAGCTTCTCATGCAGGTATGTGCAGTCATTAACTTTCCGATTTTTGTAAATCTGCTAACACTATGTTTAGTCAGCAATTGTTCGTATCATGAAGGCTCGCAAGAAGATGAAGCACTCTCAGCTCGTCAGCGAATGTATCAATCAAATTAGATCTCGCTTCATACCCAAGATTCCGGACATCAAGAAGTGTATTGATGTTTTGATGGAAAAGGAGTACTTGGAACGCCTCGATGATGATGAGCTTGGTTACCTTGCATGATCGTTCCCTTTCTTGTCTCTATTTCGGAGCATTGATACTTTTTAAGTCCAGTGAGGACATAATGGCCAGCCCTCTAGGGGATCGTAAGAGTAATAGCCTTACCTGCGATCTCCTTTTGAGACTTGCATATTGGATGGTAAGTGACCGACCACTGAGTCTTGGGGTTTCTGAAGATGGCGTGTTCCTTTATCTTTGATTTTGAGAAAAAAGCTCATTATCTTCTTCTAATGTCAACAAAAACCTGATATTGCAAGAAACGAAGGTCATGATGAATATTTGGGGGTGGGGAGGCAGGGTGGGAGCTGGGAGCGGGACTTGTTTTTCTTGTTTTTTCTTTTCCTATTGTCGTTTCTCCCTGATGAGTCTCATGGAATTTGTATGAGACGAGACACAGATAGGAACAGACAGTGGCTGGTGGCTGGTGGCAAACGAATAAATAAGCATTGCTTAAGGTGTCGGGGGAGTTTTGATTTCGATATTGTGGATACACCTGGACCTGGCTGGGTCTCAAGACAGAGAGACTGTAATGTTCTTGCAGCCAATAAAAATGATGCACCATAAATTATCGTTGACTATGACGTGAAATATACTGTTTGGTGAACATGGGTATACTTTTGACCGCGTAAATTTTGGCTTAGCGATGGCGATTTTGTTCTTTGCGAGAGTACGATATATTAATTTGAAACGATAAAGTGGGTTGGACTGAGTCTGATAATCTGATTGGCCTTCAAATCCCCGGTATACTTAAACACTTAAACTCTTGGTCTTGACAATAAGTACTGTGAGTGGCTTCAGCTTCCTGCACTTCTGAATAGGGAAGACGGCTGTTGTGATTTTCCCGAAAATATCAAATAGCTTCCGCTTACTCGTTCTAGCTCTGCTTATCATCTCTTTCTCAAGTTTTATTACAGTAGTAAAGATGAGGAACTCTAGCATTGCCCCTGTACAACACCATCACGTTGCAAGTTCCTAACTGAGAGCCAAGTCCCGCCAAGCCCAGTGATCTTCTCATTCGCAACGTCTTGCTTGCGAACTCTCTTCCAATTCTGTCTAAGAATAGCACCTATGTTTTTGTTTCAACTAAAGGCCCGAATGTATATATTGAACTCTTAGCCACTTGTGGATACTTAGCCATCACCAGCTACACCAGAAACCCGGAAACTTCTCAGGAGTTCTCGACTCAGCCACTCTTTTAAACTTGCCCAACATGCTTTACAATATTCTTACCATCGCTACCCTCTTCTCCTTAGTATCAGCGACCCCAGTCCCAGAACAAATGGGCGACCTACCACCGTTACCGAAAGGTCCCACGGACCTACCACCTTTAGGACGTGATTATTTCTGGAAAGTGACGAATTGGCAAGCAGAATGCCTTCCAGACTCCAAATGTTCATACAGTGCGAATCCCCAGAGCCAAAGGAAAAGTCGGATTCTTCAGTAAGGTGCAGACTAACACAACCAGGCTTTGACATCTCCGGCGTCGAAACACAAAGGGGGACAAACCCAACAGTACCCCCTTTCAACGCGTTTTGCGAGGCCGCAACTCGTCAAGGCGGTCCCTACGCCCCCTGTACGGTTACCGATCAGCCAAAGTATGAGGGCCAGCGAAATGTCTCGGCGAGTTTGTTGAGGCAGGAGAGTATTAAGGATGTGCTTGGTGTTGAGCGGCTTGCAGTTCAGGCTAGCTACCAATTTGAGGGTTTGGCGGATGCGTATGTACTCCCTTTAACTCTTGATATGTGTGTGTGTGAGTGTGCGTGTGTGGATGAAAGTTGCTAATTGATTTTTGGGCTTGTCTAGACGCCAGTCTTGGAATTATACTGGGAATGCGACGGCGGGGTTTGAGGAGAGGGAGTTTGATATCTTGACGAATCTTTTTCACTTGGGTCCGAAATTGAACCCGTAGATTAAATGATTAGATGATACAATAGAGGAATTGTCAAAAATGACTTTGTGTGCTAGCATTATTGGGTTTTGTTATGTAGATGGTATTGCATAGCTTATTGGGCTTATGAGATATGATTCTATGGATAACTTGCTACCTCGCTTACGAAGAATCCAAAGATATCTTATTAGATTATGCAATTCCTCTTAACATGCTTACAGTTCACACACGTCTAGTCAAAATTCAAGAAGCGATGAGCGGCAGCCGGTACTCCGCAATCTACTTTGACACGCCTTCATATCCTATGACAGAAGTTGTGAGACACCTCCAGAGTACTATTGTTGTATGTGATGGGTCAGGTCATTTCCGTCATAGGCGTCTCTCTTCCCGGGCTTCTACCTCTTTTTGTTGACACCCACATCACGTATCTCATCTTTCTCGCTACTAATTGCCACCCGCTCTACTTCCCGTTGAGAATTTGCTGCCGGACTTCTTGTTTGATGTCGTCTCATTACTTGGACAATATCCCTCCGACTTGTGTCAGACAGTCGAAGTGATAATATTGATCTAGCATTTGAGTTGGATGAAGGCCTGTTTCCTCCTGAGCATTAAGGTTACTCTCCAAAAGAAGTTCCTGTTTGGGATCCTTGGTTTCTGGGAATGAACTTGTAGATGTTGAAATGGCACCAGATACCCATTCCAGCCATTCCATAATGCTGGGAGCATTGCTCTCAACATTTCTTCTCATCTTACGGTAGGTATATGACAAGGAGAGAGAACCTATTTGTCTTTGTGCTTATCAGGAACTCAAGTCTCATTCTAACTTCGGTATCTGTATCTAGGAGTAGTTTCCGTACTACGTCCTTCTGAGAACGTTCTTCGGTTCTTCGCTCTTCTTGCTCAAATGGTTTCTATCTGTTGTAGTCAGGCTGGAAAGACAGACATTCTCCTTGCTCTGTACTCTTTTCACCTCCTCTATGGAGTCGAACCTTCTGACGTCAAGCTCTATTACGAGGAACGGAATGGAAGGTGATGAAAGGGACCTCTACGAAAACCCTCAGTTTTACGTTGCACAATAGCCGTATCTGTCACTAGAGGCTGGAGGCAAGAAGACTTACACAAACTGACGTTTTAATCCCAGTGTGATCCAAATCATTTGCTTTGACCTCCGCGTTTCCCTCCTATATCAAGGAGGAGAAATCCTAGGCCTTTCATGTCTTAATATCGTACGCTATTATACTCATGATTCCTTCTGTAATCGCTCAATAAAAAAGGGGGTAATTTGTACTTTTGTTGGTACGGAATAGAGGTGTCGAGGAGTAAGAGCTTTGAAAACGACAGGCCTGACCAAGTGTTTTGCTTTGGGGCTGGTGGAAAGTTCCGAACAGTCATAGGTTTCACAATATGAAAGTCGGTATGGCGTACGAGGGTGGTAGCTTGCTGGTCCTTTATGCGCGGGTCTGACCGACTGTACTGGCATGAATTGTTGTACTGATTTTGAAGTCGTACCAAGTTGACTTGTACCCAGCTGGATTGCTTTCTCCTTTGTACACCTCGTTATTTTCCTGGCTGAGAAGTTCGTATGGCTTGTTTGAGACAATTCGATAGCCGTTTGATTTTACGATTCAATTTATCGAGTTCCTGATTCCAGTCATCCTACGCCCTGTACTTGGCGTCCTGGATCGTCCTGGTCTTGTATTATCGTCGATTTGACAGGAGTTTGAGAAATTGCTGAGCAGATCGTTCATGTACTATATTAGCTCTCTTGGTTTGTAGTCGATTAATCTCGAGCATTATATCAAATCGGCTATTTTGCTTCTTTCGTGGTGTAAGATTACTGAGTGCTATGATGAGTAAAATGGGGGGAGAAAGGGAGTGTAAGAGAAAGGGGGTGTGGTGTCTGCTGGTTCTGTTAAGGAGTATTCGCGAGGGCTATAAAAGTAGGTAAAAACGCTGAAGGAGCTTAGATTAGATGAGTAAAAACTCCACTATATATGGATAGTGGAAATAGGGGGCACATGGCCATGAAACACGTGATCCAACACTCCATATTCCAGTTTGTAACATCTTACTTAAAAGTTCTTCGAATAGTAAAGAATAGTTGCATCTCTTAAAAAGGTAGGGTGTCGCTATATATTGTATAGCGTGGTGCTAAGAGTAATATAAGTTACGTGCGAACAGCCTCTTGAATACCAGGCAGACGTGAGGTAACTGAGACAGGGGGTTCAGGTTCAAGATAGAAATCTCCGCTACAGACTCATTTAAGACAAGCGTTCTCTAGCAATTGCCACCAACAAAAAGAAAGAAGATGCCCTTATGGTTACAAGAGGAGTAGACTCTTCATAAGTACTAGTCCAATCCCAAATCCAAGTCTAAGCTCCGGTATCTATACTGTTCGTATGCAATCTAGTATAAAACTAATATAAAACTTATATATCTATTCCGAAAAAAACAAAAGGTAGTTGTGTAGAGCGATATGTTAACAAATGAGAAATGTCGGTTCCCAAAGGAGTGATTTGTCGCGTCTAAGCGACTGAAAAGTAGGTTCCGAGGGGGGTCCATTTGCATTCAAAACTTCGTACTTGCTTCTAAACAAGCACGAAGCACGCGTCTTCTGTAATCCAAGCATCCTATTTACCTAGCGATTTTGGCCGTGTCGGTTTGTGGGGCTCGTTCTTTTGAAGTGACAAGAGTAGGGTTGGCTCGCTTCGTGAAAAGGGGCTTTTTGTGACGTAGGATATCTGCTAGCTCGCGGGGCAGGATGAAGACTCCGCAAGGCAGATCTAGTCGAGTTCTTATGTATGCCGCCAGGATCGAAGGGTAATACCTAAACGGGTATATACTTTCCAAAGGATGACGGTTTACCGGCTTCCAGTTTTCGGTTGCAATATTGATATAGACCATATAGACCGATAGAGCACTACTTCTAAAGGACCTGCCAGGCAATCATCTTCCTTTGCTACAAACTCGATTCTTATTCCATCTCTGTACTCTTGTTTTGGATTGATTCCTTTGTTAGGCCTGTCAGTTGAAACCGACTTATTTCTGTACTTGCTGACAGCCTCAACTTGCCCCACAAACCAGAATAAAAATAGACCAAAATCTGTACTCGTAGATACCCTCGACCTAGCCAGTAGATACTACACAAAAGAAACACCCTCAATTTTAGCTCCCTTAGCTACGCGCCCACTTCGCATTATACGCGGCCATACACCTTTAGATGACCCGAGAGTTATCCACATCGTATTATTCCGGTTGAAAGTAGCTATCTCTCGTAATCTATGAATTGTAACAGAACTCGGTTCTTCTACTAGAGTCCTTATTTCCCATATTACGTACGGAAATTCCCGACCGGACGAACCAATAGCCCTACTAATCACGAAGAAAGAGCTTGAGAAGGACCTGAAAGTACCCGGTTAGGCCGTCTTTCGCGCTTTTTCTATTAACAACAGTAGGCATAGAAAGAGCAAAGGGAAAAGTAACAGAACCAATGTCCCTTCTAGACTAAAGAGAGAGTGATAAAAAACCGTGCACTCCTAGGTGGAGTAAAAGTATCTACTTTCATAATATTTTCTCCGTAAAGTGAAATCGTTTTGCTAATCAGACTATGCTTCCAAGTATTTGGGCCTTAATTTATTAAATTAACCCATTTATTACATCTACTTATGTCCACTTTGAGTGCATCTTTATTTGCCACTCTGTGTGTTTACTCTGTGGTCTGGAAGGGATACTGAAAATCCCGAAGGACTTCAAGACACGGACCCCCCNCCCCCCCCGGCTGACCCAAACCTCATTTGCCAGGGACAGGATACATCGCATTGCCTTGGAATAAGTATTGATACCCAGTTGCTGGGAGTTCGAGTAGATTTTGTCGTACTAACGTAACAGGCGACTAGTGAGTCCAGAGTCCAGAGTTCTAACGTAGTTACTAGATACCCCGAGGTACTGGAGTTACGGTCAGTGACAGAAACGTGTAGAGTACCAGCGAAGTTACTAGAATGCCGAAAAAGTATCTGAATCACGAAGATGTGGGGTACCAACTAAGTTCCCAGAATGACCATATTCCCTTTGGTAAAGTACTATGCGCGCCATTTAGGACGAAGAGCCTCAACCCCCCTTTTCTCGAACCCGGAACCGGTTGAACCGAACCCCCTCGACCACAAAGACAAGTCTTGACCTCTTAATTAAACCCCCTCGAGAACCAACCAACAGAACTACGCGAATGAGCCTCGAATCCTCGCATTTCCAGTTCCAGACTGCCGGTAATCTATACCCTTCACTTGCGAAAAAGCTTCAAGTACTCGCATTTGCTCATGCATACTGCCGGTACTACCCGCACGTCACTTCTTCAACTAATCAGGAAACTTGCTAGCACAATCACAAGCAGAAGAGAAGTGGACAATTTGATTAGACAATTTGATTGGAAAAGATGGACATAATTAGACAGGATGGATTTCGGACGGATTTGAATGGAATGCTACTATAGCGATTTGGCCTGGTTTCTAAGTTGATCTAGTGTCCAGTTATATAAGTAAATAGATATTAGCTAGCTTGCTCCGCTCCTTCCAGACTAGCTTGTAACGACATCAACAAGTGCGTAGAGACTTAGCTAGCTATACTTGCTTCGGCATATAATACGAGGGACTTATTTACTACATATGGTGATTCAGGTCTATTGTATTATGTTAATGGAATATTTGGTATCTACTTAGTGCCTGGCATATACACTACACCTTGTGCCTAGATAGCTCTCTTTTCTCCTTAGTTGCAATAAGGAGATCACGAAAAGCGTTGGTTACACTTGCCATTCCACCGCACCTTCAAGATCATTAGCCCGGAGCCACAAGGCTCTTGGATTCGATGATACCTTAGCCTACAACAGTAGGCTGTGTTATTTCAACTCTCGTCGCTGTAAATCGCGGCGCTCCTTTAACCAATTTTGTCTGTGAGTAATGTCGCCAGCGTCAGACCAACCAACATGTTATCGTCTCTTATTATCTTTTATATAACTTTGGAAACAAACTAACAAGAATACTTGCAGTTTTTAAACGATGTACTCGAGGAGTTTGAATATAATATACTTAAACAATACTAAGGTCAGATACTTAGGTAAGGAGGTTAGCTAGGGTAGAAGTAAGAATACTTAACCTCTATACTTTCTAACCCCCACGAAGCTCGCGTTCCGCAACCCCGGCGCCAGTCGACCTTAACAACCTAACTGACTTGACTGGATATGCGTCGGAGGGCGGAGACACGTAGATGACAGAGAATTTTGACTTCGAGGCATTTTATTACGATGAAAAGGCACGGGTGACACACCTAGAAAACGCTCTGAACACCGCGCTCCTTACGCTTGCGAGCGAGATAGCAGCTTTCCGTAACATAGCGAAGGTCACCCCAATCCTCAAGAGCGTCCGCGACATCATCGCCCGCATTTCGGAGGTTCAGAACGGGAACTTCTCAGAAGGTATCATGGCTTGGATGAGTCGAGAAGTCCAATACATTCTCAAGCAATGGAGCCAGAGCGAGGATAACGCAAATACCATCACGAGTTTCAACAACGGTCTTGATATCTACCACCGTAACGAGGCCGCGATGGACAAAATTGGTGTAAACGATTTATAACTCTTTTCTGAAAGCTATGGGCAAGGATGATAAGTGCATCGAAATTACGTGAATATGTTATAATAACGAGTTTATATATGAATTCATGGTGAAATAAATACGCGAACCGAATATTTAGAAACTGGGTACCCTTACTAGTATTAACGCCACTTTACAAGGGTCTATTTTAGAAACGTAGTTAGTATCTAGAAACCTTTATTGATTTAAATTTACTAAAAAGCTTATATAACTAAGATCTAGTATTTCCTTTCAATCTTTAAAAGAATTAAAGAAAACGTAATTCTAAAGCTCTACTCGCGTAAGATTCTTATAGGAAGAAGTTTCTATAAAAGTATTGATATTTCTAGGATGTATTGTCCTCTTTCGGTTCTTGTTAGAAACATAGAATATAAAGAAATAAATAGTCATTCGCGTAAGTTTCTTAAACGCTCTAAAATAATCAATGTAATTAGAATAGCTTAGTTGCTTTGAAAAAGACCTGCACGACAATGTAACGTTGTAAAAAACTACTCAACAATTCGAGTACTCCTCGGAGTTTCTCCGAGTTGTGTTGAGTTGAATAGTGAATTTGACTACTCGAGTACTAATCAAGTGGTACTTGACTCAACTTGAGTACTTGGCGAGTTGATTTGAGGGAGGAGGCCTCAATTCCGCTCGAGTTGAGTTGAATAGGTACTACTACTCAACTGTACCTGCTCAACTGTACCTACTCAACCTCAACTCGACTCAACTCATTTCCAACTCTGCGATAACGTAGAAAATTCACCCAAAGTCGTTGCACGTAATCGCAATCTCGCTTAATTCCACGACATTATATTCACTATAAAATTTTCCAGCCATCTCTTTTGCACTGCCTACTCGGAATCTGCTAACTCCGCTCACGTGAAACGCTAGCAAAATAGCTTCAAACTCAATTATTGTGTAACACTCCCTCTATATATTCGCCCACAATCGATCTTCTTCCCACTTTCCTTTCCTTCCTTCTTCAGCTACAATGGCTTCCTTCAACCACCACCAATCTTCCTCTTCCTGGGCCATTGGCCCCAATGGCTTCCAAAAATACCAACAAACACCAGAACAGAGGGCCATCTTCACACAGGGTCAATCGATCCCCCTCTTCTACCAACCAGACGGGAGCATTGCTCCAACCATGCCAACATTTGGGTTCTCCCAACCACCACCACCTCAACCTCAACCTCAACCTCAACCTCACCACTACCACCACCAACCACCGCCACCTCCCTCATCAGACTTCTCTTTCGAGACGAGGACCCCTTTCTCGACCACAACACCCGGCCCCGAGGCCCGCGTCAAAGCCCTCGAGGCTCAACTCGAGGAGATGTGCCTCGCCAAAGTTGCAGCGGAGGAGGCAGCAAACGCTGCAACTGACCAGCGGGCCGAGTTGTGGGAGAGAATGAAGAAGGTGGAGGCCGACGCAGAGAGGCTTGTTGCCGGGGGAACGCTAACCGAGGGCGTCAGGAAGGAGATTTTCGCTCGCATGCGAGTACAGGGAAAGAAGCGGCTCAAGAAATTGGGCCCCGGCTCGACCAATTCACCATCGACCACCACCACTGCCGAGATCTCTGAGGGTACGACCAGGGAGACGTTCATCTACGGGTACATTGCCTCGGACGATGTCGTCTCCTATACCAATGCCTCCACGTCGACCTCCGATGATTCTCGGTACGTCGATGCCGGTTCGGACCCTGTCGTCTCCTACACCGACACCTCCACCTCGACAACCGACGATCATCCTTATACAGACACTGGATCTGATCCAGTTGTCTCGTATACCGATGCCGCCACTTCGACTGCCGACTCACAAACATTCACCAGCGTTGGCACGATGACCGAGCCAGCGTTGTCCCGAGTCCAAGTCATTGGCGGGATGATATCTTCCAAGTGGCAAGCAGCCAAGAAAAAGAGAACCTTTTTCACTCGTTTTGTTGTTCTCTGCCTTGTGCTCGCAGCTCTTGGTTGTATCATCAACCAAATCGTCAAGTCCTGCCGCCACACCCCTGAGGTGCTGGTGGAGGATCCAGAACCAGAGACCGTCCCCGCTTGCGACGAGGTCATCCGCCAGATCGAGAGGGTTCTCTTCCCGGTCTGCAAGGAGGACGTCTCTGTGTTGCCCGACCTTCGCTTCTGCGGCGATCGGGGTCCTCTCTGCTGGCTCAAGTGCCTGCGTGTTCTGCCCGGCCGCTCTGGTGGGTTCAGATACGCTCGGCGCTTGGGTTTCTCTTGTCAGTACCTCAAGGACGCATGATGATCGTACAGAGGATAGTCATTTATCTTCATATCGTTCCTTGAGTGGCATTGACTTTTTTTTTTCCCACTGTTGCTGGCACAGTGTATTTCCTTTGTCTTATGAGTTTCATGTATGACTTCTATTTCTCAAGCCTTCGCAGGGAGGGGCGGGTCTTGGTTGTCACGGTTCTGTAATTTCCTTTGTCTTATGAACTTTCATGTATGACTTCCATTTTCCAAGCCTTCGCAGGGAGGGGAGGATTCTGGATCTCAAGGTTTTGTATCTCTTTTGTCTATTGTTCTCATGTATGAACTCCAATCTCCAAGCCTTCGCAGGGAGGGGAGGGGATCTGGATCTCACGGTTCTTTATTTCCTTACATTGTGTTAGAGTTACAAATGCCATGCCTCTTTGTAAAAAAAATTGATCTTCGTGACCGTGACATGCAGTGTATGCAAGTGATGACAAATCAAAATTGTCCCAGTGAATCTATCCAAAACGACAACTAATTTCCCATCAAACCTGCTTCCCGTGGTAGCAATATCGCCACCGTCCATGACATCAACACACTGGTCCTTGATGTGCGAAAGTGGTGAACGAGATACTTGAGCAAGTTCGTCAGCCACCAGATAATGAATGCCTGCTTGCTTCTATTTTTTCTTGACCAGTCGCGGAGCGGACTGGACTACGCTTCTTCTGATGTTCTGCTCTTGAAAGCCTCCAGAGCTTGCTGCTCGACACACTTTCTTCGTGGTGAATTGCTTGCGTTGTTTTGACTACCCGATTCCAACCGAATAATCATACGATGCAATATCAAGATTCACCTTGATGCTATCCACCGACGACAGACAAAAGATAATTAATAATCTTGAACAGATCATTACAAACCATCTTGAATAAGCAGCCTTCACCCCAATAGCACGAAGTAGTCAATCGGACTCTTTCTTTTTTCAAACTTGAGTTGAAGCCACAAAACATCCGCCTTCAAAAACACACTCAAAATGTCACTGTCCACGGCGACGAGCTGAGACCAAGAATACGTCAACCTATACCATCTCGAAGGGAAGACACAACTAACATGCCATCATCCCCCACCTCATTCCAGTCTTTCACTTCCCTTCTGAAACCAGCCCAATTTGTCAGCACTTCCTCACTCTCGATCCTCGCCATCTCCACTCATCTCCGGTTCGTCTCAACTTACCCCGCTCTCACCGCTAATGCAACGGGAACTCATCCTATGACGAGACATGAAGACACAACTCCTTTAGCAGGAATATGGCGGTGGTGTGACCTCGAGTATGAACCCCCTCTTTTCCTGCGTCCCAGTTTTCTTTGGCTGGTGCTGGGAAGGGGCTGTGAGGGGATCTTGCTTTGAGGTTGAGGTTGAGGAGTATAGTACTGTACATATACGCACATAGTGAAGGTGTCTCTGTAAATTTGCAGAAGATACTGCTGATAATATGACATATTCCACATTACTATTTAAGTAAGAAGTGTTTGGATTCTTACAAGCAGCAATTCGCAGAAAATTCCAAAATACTCTTACCTTTCCTGATTTGCCATGTCAGTCATCTACTCGAAGTTTACCTCCTCATACTACACACCATTCAATAACTCCTTTCTCCCTCCTCTGAACTCCGAACCACCAAAGATCTACAATCCCTTCCATCCAGAATATCTCATGTCCAAACAACACGCACTCAAAACAGAGTAAAAGATATCTATTCCCAGCTCCTCCCCTATAAAACAAAGTCCTTCAACCAACCAAGTCACATATCAAAACATTCGAGCCTCCCATCAAGTCTTCGACCCAATCATCGTATCCACACCTAGCACACATTGTTTTTGCAGTACTTAGGGTTATATCTTTCTTACCCCTTAACTATTCCCAAGATCATTCATCCTATCGCATCCCTACTTCCAAGTCGTGATTTCCATACCTCTTTTTTTGAAGCAGTAGGTGGCGGTGAGCCTATTCTATCCCAACATCCTTGCTCAAAGATATACACCTCTTTTCCGAGCTGGAATAAGAGTACGTTTTGTGCTTTACGCTTCAAGTATTCCTGTTCTTACCCAAACGAAGCAAGCATTCTTCATCTCCATCTAGCTCTTTCTCTATCTCTCAGAACCAAGCTCAACAGAATCACATACAAAAAACCCACAATAACCCCCCAACACTCTACCCATAACTTTCTATCCCAATATAATACAGCTTCCCACCAAGGTCCAGACTCCAGACTCCAGATTCCGTACCCATCCAATCACCCCATAAACACGCCAACCTTCAACCTACCTCCCTTAAAAAAAAAAAGCCTTACTACAGTATAGACTACCCTAGATACACTTAACCCCCCTCCCCTCCCACAAACTTGATACCACCACTCACCACCCCCCTACTCCATACACTAAAATTCCCTTACTCCGTAAATATCGAAGAACAAGACAAGACAAGCTCAAGCTCAAGAACGACCAAAAACCAGCCGCCTGAACTAAATAAAGAAAATAGGAATCCATCCTTTCTCCTAATTATTGGAATGATATAATATCAAACCCTCTCAATCTTCTACAAACTTTCCACCCCCAAACATCACTACAAAGACTTCTCACTGTCACTGTACATAACCTCCCCCCTAACCCCTGAGCCATCCCTTTTTAACCGAGAACCCCTAACCAACCCAACAAACCAACAAACCAACTGTCAAGAGATAAGGAATCTTTTGGATTAAATTGTAAAATAAGGAGATTTCGAGAAATCAGGAGACTAGTGGAATACAGCACCCCCAGATCCCAATGGCACGAATTTCTTCGTGAAAGGGACATAGGAAAGCTGAGGTGGACGGGAGGTGTTGATGTTTGAGTCAGGTGATATCATGTGATTAAGAGGGAAGATACCTAGTGAGCCCTGAAGAAGGAGTGGTGTTGAGTATGTTTTGTGGATGGATAGGATGGGTGTTTGGAAGGAGAGTTATGGGGTGGGAGGGGGAGTATGGGTAGGGTGGTCACATGATATAAAATCAGCAGGTGGAGGAGATCCATGGAAGGTGTCGATACCTACTATAAGCAATGCAGCTCTCTCTTCCTTCAAGAGGGAGAGAAATGTTACTTCGTAGAATCAAGTACATACTTTGAAGTACAGCGCATCAAATGCAAAGAAGTACATCAAGACAATCCACCACCAATGCTAGTACAGCACAGTACATGATTTCCATAAAATAAAAAGGTAAAAAGTATAAAGTATATTCTCCAATACGGAAAAAGAGCGGAAGTACGGTATTGTATCAACAAAAGACTCCTTAGCCCTACGACCCACTTGGTAATTGCTATTTACCATGAACCTTCCAGTCAAAAGACCTGCATTGTAGGCAAGTGACAATCTAGATTAATATCCTCTCGTCTCGATGTAGATTTATTCCTCGTCCCTCGGATCCCTAAAAGAGACTCTTCTGAGACTCTTATACTGAGATTGGGTAAGTGACTAAACCTTCGCTAGAGGCTACCTCCACTCATCCAGTTTGGTCTCGACGTCTCGTCCATCTAAATAGGTTATAACCTTTTCTGGAAACCACACGAGTGGGGGGTCTGTACCGTATTGTACTAGTTCAATTTACCTTAGCACGACACAAGATTGCAACACCCCAAAAGGAGAGAGACCTAAAACCCAAATGCGGCGGAAAATAAACTTACCCTCAACTCAACTACCGTACGAGTACGGGTCTTGTACATACAGACTCAGTACATAGGGAGCGGCTATATAGTACTGGCTGTGGTGTACCATACCATACCGTACCGTCCTGGCGTGGACGCCTACTGTAAGCGCTGAGGGATTTGATTTTTTTTGTTTGGGGGGTTGGATGACTTCATTGATACCCACGAAAAGACCTTTTTTTCTTCTCGTAGAATGACCGAAACTTTGGGATGATGATACGAGGATGTTTGGAACGAAGTAAAAAGCTCGAGTACCACTAGCTCCTCTTCTTATTTTTCACTTCGTAAGTTAAAATCTGATCTGGCCCTACCCGAGCCCGAGTACCAAGCTATGAGACGGGCTGAGAGAAGATCAGAAGGGTCCTCAGATAAGATGGTTGGATGGGTCCGGTAATTTTACCGGTGCGGTGCCTAATTCATGCCGGCGCCGCGCGCGTTAGGGTAGAGAGTTGCAGTACGGTGCTGTACTGTACTGTACAGTAAAAGATGAGGATGGATGGAAAGAGGGATGGAAAGTTCGATAAAGGCATAAAAACTATCAAATCAGAAATTCGGAGATCCTACATAACACGTCTCAGGTTGTGGCCCTGGCGATCTGAATACGCACGGATCGACAATTGAGCGAGTGGTTCGGAGGGTTTTTCTTGGTTAGCTTCCGGTAGTGTTAGTGTTAGAAGTAGGTCGAGATGGGTGGTGCTTGTTGGTAACTCCAAGGACCTTTTTTCTTTTCTTTTCGTTTGTGTTTTTGCGTTGTGCGAGATAAATTACCTCGCGAGGTAACTTAGCTACGGTAGGGTGTTTTGTGTATGTGCCCGAGCGTCGATGTCCGGGATTTAAAGAAAAAAGAAGAAGGAACACAGATCCGAATTTGATATCAAAATCTTTTCCATCTCACGGGATCTTGGAAGATGTGATATGGAAGCTAAGTCAGGGAACTTCCATTTGTGGATCCTGTGCTAAATCGGTCGACGAAGATTCCGCGGATCCGAGATAATAGAACAAGGGGCCAATGATTGCAGCTAGCCGGACGATGACCTGCATCCACGGACGTAACTCCATTATCCAAGCCAATGAGGCACTTGGTGGGTGTTGATGATGCAGACCATGTCATTGTTATTTGTGGAATCGAATTCTAGACTAGATCGTCGTTGAAAGGCGTCGTCGGCTGGACCAGTTGGGGAGATCTCCCAGGAGAAAAAACCGGGGTTGGACTGGCTCATCCGTTCATACTGGGGAAACTTGGCAGGCCTTTGTCTAGACGCTAGGAAGAATTCAAGAGACGTGACTGGCCAACGAGTAGATAGTTTCTGTACCGATTTTGGATCCAAAGTGTAGAGTTGTGCGTGCGGCGGATGGCTGTGGATCGCTTCGTGGTGCAGGTGGTGGCTGCTAGAGTATGCAAGGGAGAAGTCTACTTGGTAGAAATACAAATACTCGTACAGCAGTCTAGTAAGCGAGCATCTGCTTTGGTCCTTTGTGATTAAGTTTTCCCAAACAATTGCACCATGGGCATAGTTGAGGTCCAAGCAGCCACGAATAAATAGAAGCGTGGCCGGGTTGGACGTCTATTGGGGACCCCTTCTAGGCGGAAAGTCTATCGAAATGCGAAGGGAACCATTGAGAGCGTGGTGTAAGCTTGTACGGGTATACCCTTGGCGCGCCGGAACGATGAGGTAAGTGGGTTGCCCACTAAAAGAACACATGGAGAAGCCTCGTAGGCGTACAGGCGTACGGAGTACAGGCGTACAGGCGTACGGAGTACAGGTGTACAGGGCTTGTTACGCGGCTAGCTGCTCGCACAGAGGGAGGGAAATACAGTACAAGTATCGAATGCGGTTAGCTGGGGATGGTGGTGCTTTACGCGTGGAACAATGGTAAGGGTTACCTAAGATACCGAATGCGTATGAATGCGTATGAATGGGTATGGAGGGAGAGGGAGTGGGAGTGGTAGTGGGAGAGGGAGAGGGAGAGGGCGTGGGAGAGGGAGAGTGAGAGAGTGTAGTGTGCAGGTGTATGAAAAAATGTGGGTGTTTGCAGCAGCACCCCGTACCGGTAGGGTAGTAGTGTACTTGTAGGGGTAGCGATACGGTAGCGTGTAGCAGTAGCGTAAGATAGCGGCAGCCCCATCGCAGGTATATTTCCTCAGTGCTCTCAGGTACTGCCGGCACTGTAGAGGAAAAACACCTACGGAGGCAGACCCGGTGAATGAATTCCGTACACTCCGTACGGACGGTGATGAGAGTACCGTGATAGTGTTGTGGTGGTGGTGGTGGTTCGGCCGCTCTCAGTGCTTCCTTGGTTCTGGAACCAGAAACCCGCCCCATTCGGCGTGGTCAAAGACCTCCTCCCTCTCTTCTCGCCTACCCTAACACAGCACGCTCACACTCACGCTCACGCTCACGCTGCACAGCCTCTGGCCCTCTTCCCCTCTCCCGCTTCCCATTCGCTGCCCAGTCCCTCTTCAACGCTTACCTCCCCTGCTACCCTCGCTCGTCCTCGCTACCCTACGTCCCCACCCTAGACCACACCACTCAGCCAGGCTTGCCTAGCTGGGCTGCCGCTGCTCACTCACGTCGACCGATCTTCGACTCGACCTACCTTCTCTCCCTTACAACCACTTCCTCCGACCAGACCTCTACCACCCTTCCGGATCCCACGACAGCTTCGACGAACACCACGATATCGTCGAGTTGTCTTCTCCAACATGAACAAGCTTGCCAATATGCGGCATTGGTCCGAAAGGATGGGCCCCGGCTTCGGAATGGGCAGACCTAACATGAACATGACGACCATCGCCCCTCAGCACAAGACCATCCCCCACGGTGCCTCGCCCGTTCTCTCACCCACCAGAGAAGATACACATATACACTACTCTTTCAACGTGCCCTTCTCGTCAGATCTCGCCGGTCCCAACACGGAAGACATCCTATACGCAACGAATGGCGCCGTACTGCGATGGACACACCCGGAGGACGCGCCGGATGATGTGCCTGTACACAAGCTTCCAGTACACAAACAGAACGAAGACAACCTGAGGAAGCTTTGTGAGGAGATCACCGCTTCGCCACTGACCGTAGAAGCATATGTCAGAATCGCAGAACCCAGAAGAGTCAAAGGACAGGTTACGAATGTCTGTCTAGCCGGAAGTCCGGAATTGGTTCACAAGAGTCGAGAAACCATTCTCAATGATACCCCATTAGCACTGGTAAGGCTGCTTGATATCCCAAAGTCGAGCTGTACTGACAAACCTAGCGGTGTACGATTGTTGATATCGATGGAGAATTAGTAATTGACTCGGAAGCGACTGCATTGAAGTCCCATGTGGTGGATCATCTCGATCAGATCTCAGCGTTCTGTGGAGTTGACATTTTCCTTCTCGGACCCAAATTTGCATCGTTATCGGAGGGCTTGAACAGCAATGGCGATGCTGGACGGGACCACCGCTGGCGAGTAGCCATTTACGGAGATATGGAAAGTGCTGAACACGCAAAGACCAGAGTTCTAATCTTCATCGATAGGCTGGTGAGTGAAATACGCGACATCCAAAAAGCGAGTTTTGAAGCTAATGTTAGCAGCTTGGGCGTGTTGTTGATGGAACGATGCTTGAGCTCTCCCTTCATACGGTCGTCTGTGGGCGATCTCGAAAAAACATCAAGATTATCGAATCGGCAACGAACACCGCAATCTACTTCCCACCTCCTTTCTCACAGGTCTACAGATATTGCCCAGCAGGAGCACAGAGACGTAACCCGGAAGAGATTTTTATCACTGGTGACACCCCACAAAACATCACCGCGGCGAAGCAGAAAATCCACGATTTGGTCAGCCGTACTAGAGTTTTCATGAAGGATGCAGTGGTTGCCGCTGCCAAAATTGATAGCATTCTACTGAGCAGACTCGATAAGGTCCGCAAAATCATGGAGACGAATGGCACATTCATCCAATTCCCAGCCTTGGCATCAACCCGCAACATGATTCGGATTCAAGGTGTGGAAGGGCTACATGTTGAGCGGACTGTTAGGGACATCATGTCACTAGTACGAACCCCACAGAACTTGTTCCACAAATTCATACTGACTTAACTAGACGGGCCAATTTTACAGTGCGTCTTGGTGGATTCAACATGCAGATACCATGCGAATGCCATCCAACTTCGACATTCGGACCATGCTTTTCGATATCTGTGCTAATTCTGATGCCGATGTCTCCTTTGACAAGCTAACCTTTGCTATCACCGGATCCGATGATGCTGTGAAAGCTGCTTTGATGGTCATTTCCGAGATCAAATTTGTTGCACGTTCCCAATACCAAATTCGGGTCAAGATCGAGTTGGCCAATGAACACAAGGAATTCGTTAGTGGCAAGAAGAATGGCAAAATCAATAAAATCATGGGTCAGAGTAGCGTGCAAATTATTTTTGACGGCTTCAACGAGTACAACTTCAATATCGATGTTTGCGCAGGAAATTACGAAGCCATGAAATCTGGGTTGATGTTGGTGGAACAAGAAATGCCGGCCTCGATTTCGTTCCATGTCCCAGATCAATATCACAAGCGCATTATTGGCATTGGAGGACAACACATTCAACGAATCATGAAGAAGCACTCTGTCTTTGTAAAGTTCTCAAACGCCATGGATCGAGGTGGCGTTGGTAGAGAGGATGATGATATCAAGGTTGACAATGTCATCTGCCGTACCCCAGCTCGTAACGCCCAAAATTTGGAGCTCGTCAAATCCGAAATTCTGGACATGGTGGACCGAGTCGACTCGGAGTTCACATCCCAAGTCGTTAACGTCGACCGTCTCTACCATAGACAACTCATCGCTCGCCTTGGCCAAATCGAAGAGCTCGAGAAGAAATGGAATTGTAGAATTCAATTTCCCAGCACGGAGCAAGCTAGCGACGACGTCACAGTAAATGGTCCGGAATGGCAGGTTCCTCATTGTGTAGACGAATTTCTTGGAATGGTTCCAGATCACCACGAACTGGTTCTTGCTCAATCGCCCGAGTTGAAAATCTTCCTTAATTCGAAGCAGTTCAAGGAAGATCTCATTCTCAAACTCAAGTTGCAATACGTCGTCGAAGTGCAAGTCAAAGAAGATGAGGCTGAGCGCACAGAAGATGGCGGACCTACCACCACATTGCTCTGGACTTTCACTAGAAACAATGCTGGTGGTGTACGGGACGCCATAGACTTCCTGACAACCAACATGGCCTCGGCCAGCATTGAGGTCACGGTTGTCAAGGGTGCTATCCCACGTCCAAAGTCTGATTCTTTTGAAGAATCTCTTCAATTCTTTGACTCTAAGCTTCTTCAGCACGCCCCGGCTCCTGTTTCTACGGACTCTCCAACCAGATCTGCATTTGGAGATGATGTCGCCCGTGAACGCAGTACCATTTTTGATAAACTCCGCAAACCCGGTAGCATGTCTTCCATCTCCTCTTTTCTTGATCGCCGCAAGAATAGCTCACACTCACCAGCTGGGTCGTTCTTCAAGAACGGCTCCAACAACGTTTCCAAGTCTTCTTTGATCTCCATAGAGTCTACTAGAAGCTTCAATGCGGACCGCAATCCCTGGAACGATAGTGGCGTCAATTTGCCCGAGGACGACACTACTCCTTGGCCAACACGTCAATTTGGGAATGGAAGTGGTAGCAGCCATGACCACAAATCCCTACAAATCCAACACCCAGGTGACACCACACCAAAACACATCATGCGAGGCTCCACTGATAGTGGTCGCCCATCAACTTCTCATTCTACCTCAGGATACCCAGGCCCAATCGGGCCACCGCGTTAAATGAGACCCTTGTTTCCTCTATTTCCTAGAGTCATGGATATATACCCTGGCGCGCAATACCCCAGATACCAGCTTGTGCTTTTGTTTCTATTTTCGACTTTTTTCTGCGTTTTTCCCTGCGATTGCTTTTTGTGTTTCCTACTTGCGATATGTGTTGGTTGCTTTTTACCCGAAAGAAAAAAGCGAGAGCACTCGGCGTCCCGTTGTCGACATTTTTACTTTATTACTTGAGATTATGATACAGAGATAGAAGTTTGCGTCGTCTTCGGAAAGAAGGAAGGGAATACCAATTTGATTTGGCTTTTTTTGTTATTTGTTGTTATGGGTGCTTTGAGGCGCGAGAATGGGAACTTTTTTCAAATTCTTTTTCTTTTCAAGCTTTTTGCGTTTTCACTCTTCTCTACTCTTTCCCTTTCAAGTGGTGGCAGGTGGAGGTGGAATCGATAGCAGGATGGATACGAAGAGTTGACGATGATGGGCTTCGAAAGGACGAATCTTTCTTTCCTTTTCGCGGCTTCGGCTTTGGATGCAGGGACGATGACACACACTACGTACGTTACTGGGACTTAGGGGGCACAATTTGGGATGGAAGGGGGGAATTGTGGTACACAGCGTTGGTGCGTTGGTTGGGGGGAGGGAATTGAAATAGTGGGTGCATGTTATGATACCCTATGCCACAGTGAGAAGAATGAAAAGTTTTCCTTGAATAGTATGGGGGTTGTCTCTACGATGGTGATGTTATAAGTGTGGCATATATGCGTTGAGAACTTTGCGAGTCCGCTATGATACCGAAAACTGGCGTTCTGTTTTCCATGTCCTGCCATGAGATTCTGGAATCGTTTGTGTCCCTGCTATATTACAGTATTTATCAACAAGACCCGAAGAAAAGAAAAGAATAACGGGATGTCGTGGTAATACTTGCACGTAAAGATCCCTTCTGGTCAATGAATAAGTCTGTCTTGCTTTATTATTGGCGATGATCCGGCGTTAAAGGTGGGCGTGGAGGGAAAGAAAAGAAAAGAACGAAAAGAAATGGGGGAAGGGGAAAGGACAAGGCGGCACGTGGCTTGGTGGGGTGGGTAAGCTGGGAAGTTAAGCGAGATACCCCTTTTTAGTACAGTATGTACAGTCTCGACAGTGTATGTATGGTAGGTACTTCCCCGCCAAACTTCTTGGAGGGTGGTTTGGGACGTGGTGATGTAAGAGTTGAGGATTGGATTGGATCGGTTGGGTTTGGATTAATTGTTAGGATAAGATGGGATGGGATTAGGGTGGTGAGCGGGGTGTTAGTTTGGAATGATATACAACATTACGAGGTGGAGAACGAGCTTCCAAGTTAACCTTGGAACTTCTATACTATTCGAAATACTGGTAATTTTCAACCCCAATCCCCCAATCTTTCAGTGAACTACAAAATACCACTACTAGGGAACTGGGAATACCTAACCACGAAATAGTCCTTCTGTTGATACCCTTGTACTGTACAAATACACTTTAGCGCCTTTCTTTTCCTCGTGTTACTTTTGCCACTTCTGCTACTTCTGCCATGTTGTCAGGTTTATACTGACAGGTCTTTCCACCATATGCACCTAGGTGGAACAGGTCTTGTTCAGGTTTCATTCTCTCGTTCAACCTTCAAAGGAGACACTATTTATATATAGTTCTCGTTAGCTCCCTTAGTTATGAGCTGCCTAGTTCATTCAATATACAATTCTTATACTATCATTCTGGATTGCCTGGCATTCCACTTATCCTGTTCAACATGCCATTTTCAGTAATGAATGATAAACTGACGTTGTAAATCGGTTATGAATAGCTCGTCTCAGTAGCATAACCAGAAAATCGGAGAGACTATATTGAGGGGAAATATCTAGAATAAGGAGTTTGCTTCTGTTTATACTGAGAAGGTTGTTGACGCGGGGAAGTGGCTTGGGAAGATGGAGGGTAATGGCGGATGATGGAGAGGGATGAAGAAGGATGTTGAAGTCGGATGTAATCATGTAAAGATGATCGTCGAACTTCTGATGGAATCTGGGACTGAGGGATCTAGACGATAGATTGAACCTTGGTTGCTTGGAAATGTTAGCACATGCAATACCACCAAAAGCTAAGGGAATTGTATATCGCTCGTCCATGGGCCCTTACAACCATAGTCTACGGTCTGTCCACCCACGCAACCTTCCCCCGCACAACCACCCGGTCCGCCTATAAACTCCTTGAATACTTCTGTCCTCACTCCTCTTTATACCCACCATACTCCTCGCTCATATCGTCAAGTCTCTCAACACCGGCTCATAGGACTCGTCGATCCTCCCCACATCCTGGCACAAGACTCATATATCGCAACGACGACAAGGCGACATATAACGCACGAAAAGGAGACGACGGACGAATCCCCTTCCTTCTGATATCTCTTTCATCTCTTCTCGTGGATAAGACAAGAGGCGAAGTCTCGAAAACGACACATCTTATCGAGGGAATCTTTCCACATCATCTAATCAGAAATCAGAAACCATCTCCCTATCCGGATCCCTTGTATCCCATACCAACTCCATGCTCAACACTATATCCTGTCCACGTCCAAGGTCTCGGATTCGATTGGTAGACCTGTAAACTTAATTAGTACCTATTAATCCTCTTGAAAACAATCTGCAACTCTAGGAGTCTCCCTCTCTGTATCTTTCCACCAAGACCTCCATTCACATCTCTAAAATCTCAACGTTCTCTCCGCTAACATTACCTGCTCATCAAATGATGGTTTTATCCATTCTGCAAATCCGCCGCGAAGCGTAATTTTACGGGGCGGTAATACTATCTTCCTCCGTGACCATTTAAAGCGTATTACGGACGGCCGTTGAGGTTCGAGGATACTTGATTGAGTCACGACAAGGAATTGGAATCGGTCTCAGATTAAGTGCGGTTGTAATATGCTGGTTCTTGTTCTGCGAGCCTGGGGCTGTAGAAAGAGTATGTGAAGTAATCAAGCAGGACGGGAGACTTCGAGTGAGTAAAATATACTCTGATAGTTCATAAAATCAGAACTTAGACATACCTTCCTGGTCCCTTCCTTCCTCTCCTCCTTCTCTTTCCCATCTCTACAACTCTCACCAAAGTAAACAAGGAAAGCGCACTCCTCACCCACCCATCCATCCATCCCTAACTACCTACTCGAGTCCTCAGCCAACCTCACAAACCGCGCCTACCCAAAAAACCCCTAACCCCTCACCCCTTTCTTTATAAAAAATGCAGTATAGGTAGCAAAATGTTAAATATAGCAGGTTTATAGTAAGTTTTTTATAAATGTCAGATTATTGGGCATCACTCATCAGCCATTTCACATCAATCATCACTCATGGGCATCACGCATAAGGCATTTCACATCACTAACAAGGCATCATAGTTTAACGTCTTCGCGGACGCCACCTTATATTGTGGTGGTGAATGCTACCGCTACACCATTGTACCATCCCTAGATCTGTGTTAATTATAGGGGATATCCTTATTGCACCGTATGACTTACTTGCTGGAGGTTTTGGGGGATCTTCGGGTGTGTGGTCGGGTTGGGTGAGGTGACGTTGTGGTCTGGGATGTGTGGTGGAGGGGTTTGTGAGGTTTGGGTGGGTGGGCTGTTGGTTCTGGGTTGTTGTGGGGGTGGGTGGTGAGATTTATGGGAGGGAGGAGCTTGAGGTATGGAGGTAGTCCGGAGTTGTATTGGTGTTTGTTGTTGAGATCAAATTCATGTTGAGGAAATATAATGCTGAGAGAGTTACCTGGACGGGAGTGTTACAAGCCGAATCATTGTCCTGCTCCAGGGAAAGAACATACATCACCGAAGCCGAAATCAACAGCTTCCTTCCGGAGGGAAGTGTAATATCTGAATTTGGCATAAAAACATCATATAGAAGGAGATACAGCCTCATCCCTTGGATATTTTCCAGAGTCGATAGATAAATGGTACGCCGAAGAACCGTGCTCCCGACCTTTAAGCCGTATCAACTCATCCGAGATACCTTGGAATCTGGAGAACTACCTTGTTGGCTGCCTAGCGGGCTCTGTACAGCGAGACAGGCAGGTGGATATTCAAGTCGAGGAATTTGACTGCAAAGCATTCATGGAAGAGCGAAAAGGAAGATGACTGAGAAGGGAGTAAGGCAGGGTGGTACATATACTGAATGGTAATGGCCATGGATGTCCATTTTGATCAGCGAAAAGAAATAACAAGACAGCATGGACACCCATTTGAGCAAGAAATGCCGGTCTGGAAATGGTGTAAAGAAAGTGCAATCTACAGTCTACAGGTGCCTGTGGGTTGGATGTGAGTATCAATACAACCCAGGAAGGCACGACTATAATCCAATTCCATTTACAGAACTGGAGGAACTTGGAAGAAATCTGAGGACTGTGAAGGCGAATATACACACTGAAAAGGAGAGTCTAGAAGAGCTGAGCGGCTAATTAATATAGAGACGAGAAAGTTATGTTGATATCAAATGAGCTGTACTGACCACACAGATTTTGTGAGCACCTAGCATAGTACAAGATAAACAATCCCATTCACAAAATCACACACGGAGAAAAGATTCATCAATTCTACTTTTATTCAACTAAAACACACCAGTCATAGAGACCTGACTATGATCGCACGCAGCATGTACGAAAGCTTCGCCACGAAGCCGGTAATCCATCTCTGCGCCATTCTTCAAATGAAGTAACTCCATGCCACATACCCGTATGCGGCGAACCATGAAATCCCTCCCTTCAAATGTAAAGAACAATTTGTACCTCCCCAAAAAGCAAAGCAACTCCATCCCGGTGCTATCGTGCAAAAGAACTCCAGCCCGCATCCGTAAAATCGTAAGATCATAACCATCTCTCAATCCAGATGAGAAACCCATGCCACTTACAAATCGCTATCCTGCATGAAGAACGAACGCATAGGGGTCCGTGGGTTGCCCAAAGATCCTTCACTTTCAGCATCAGCATTCAACCTCATCGCCGTGATCTTGGCCGCATCTTCAACAAGTCTCGGTCCAATAGGACGATTCGTAGCACTTGTCTGAAGACCCGGTCTCCAATTCATCAATGCCATTCGTTCATCGTCAGTCAGAGGGTTATTGAAGTAAGCCGGGATTCCATCTCGACGCATCATAGCCGAGGCGACAGCTTGCTCCTTCCTTCCAATTGCCTTGGAGTGGTGATCGATATAATCTCGCAGGTATTGGATCTTGACTTGGAGTGGCGGTGCCATAGCTTGTTCCTCCATTTGTGCACAGGTCTTGGGACGATGGCAGTGAATGCACTCCCTCTCGGCATGGGGAGCATCATCAGTACTTCGACACTTCCACCATCCTCCCCAATCTCGTGAATGCTTGGTAGACCATTGACGACCCTTCTCGTGGTAGTGCATGTCCCAGACTTCATGTGGATCAGACTTTCCTGGTGGGTAGCCATTCTTCTCAATGTCTTCCAAGACGATCAACTCTCTTATCAGCTCGGCGAGTGATTCAAGGGGCTTGCCTTTGTTGTTTCGAGGGAACCAGGCGGGGAGACGGGAGAAAGGGCCGTGGTGTTCTCCTTTGCGTAGGAGTCCACCGGGTGGGATATGGGTTGTATTGCAGATCTTGCAGTGGTTGGGTTGGCCACGGCCATCGTCTTGTACGTCGTTGCACATCTCTCTCTCTTCGCGTGTGAATTCAAGTGGTCCTCTTTCAGCTGGGCTACCTAGACCAAAGACAAGGTGGGATCCAGTGTTCTCTCCAGAATAGAGCTGCTCGATTCCAGGTGGCTTTTGGGTACCTTGTGGATGAGGACCTTGTCCAGATTGATGGCCAAAGGTCGCTACACGACCGCGACCGGGAGTAGCTTTGGTTGATTTGATATTCATCATCAGACCCTCACTTTCGGTGCCGGTCGACGTATCAAACATTTCTGCCTCACCAGCAGTAAGGTTGTCGAGTCTGGCCAGATTCTCCGCCGTGAGTTCCAGTCTCATCGCCGCAAGTTCTGGTTGTGTCAGACCACTAGGACCGGTTGAGTAGTAGATTGGAGCAAGTTCCGGGTAGATGTGTCGATGCAGACGAGGAATTCGGCAGTGGCTATCGAGCTCGTAGCACTTGTTGGTCGGCGGCGGGAAGGCTTGACCGATGCTTCTCAGTCCTGGACCAGGGTTATCCGTCGGGATGGGCTTAAAGCCACCGATTATCACAACGTCTCCTGGATTTAGGTCGTAAAATCTGTTGGGTTTCTCGCCTGTGTCTGGGAAATTCTGCCAATCGCACGATACACCAGAAACCAGGCCGGCTCTAGAGATGAGCATTGGGGGCGACGGTGACGGCGACAGCGACGATTCGGGCGACGATTCAGGTGATGGCGAATCGACTTCGTAACTTCGAGACATCTTGCGAAGAGGCAGAAATAGCGGATGCTCGATCTGTCTCTTGTGTGTATTTGCAATGTGACGATCGCAAGCGCAAGATGCGTGCGGAATTGAAGGCGTTGTGTTGATTTGTTGTTGTTAAGCTTTTTGGTATCAAAATGGAGCAAAGCTGGCGGAAGCGGACAATTCATAGAAATAAAATGGCGCCGTGTTATTCACGGAACTTCTCCTTGACTGGCTTCAGTACTTGTGACTTGAGGCAATAGCTTGTTCACCGTCTTTCCCCGACGCGTTCATATGATTGTTATGCCATCTGCCATCGAATGATTATTCACTGCCAACAACTTTGCCCAATACTCTTACGCGCCAAAACATCAACAAGATGATTGAATGGCCGACCAAGGCCTACTTCGAAATCCTGCTCTCCTGATAGCTTCCAAGTGAGGCTGTCGAAGTATTAAGTTGAATGTTATTGCAACCATCTCAATCCCCGACATCCAAGCGACCAATCACGACAAACAACACCGCCAAGTGAGGATAGCAACATGGTTGCCATAAGTACTGAAGAAGACCACAAGAACTGCAGTATGCTACGCACGAACGTATCACCCACTTATATACCATGTACGCCTGTAGTTTTTGCTAAAAGGGAACACAGAGAGGAGTGGCTTGCAGCAACCAGAACAGCACATAGAACTTCTCTTGGATACTATGAAGCGGCCTCCAAGTCGGCCACCCCCCACAAGAGGGCTACCTACAAGACGTGTGTGCTACTACCACCAGCTGAGGGAAGGGCCAATTAGGATCTAGTTGCCTTAGCGGTTGTAACAAGATGCTGGGCCATCGTTCTGCGTAAACTTATGGGACTTGTCTGCTAAGAGGATCAAAGTTGGCTGCCCAAGACTTAGGATAATCAAATCGAACGAATCTAAATTACCCCAAGTCTCGTGAATCCATCAACGTAAACTCCCGATAGAAGATTATCACCCACAAGGCTGAGATAAACAATGGTTGACACTCTTGCCGAGACTATCCATGGCCAGTGTCCGCTACTCACACTAACCAAGGCGCTTGGAACCCGTTTTACTATGACTACAGTAATTGCACATTGAAGTTGTAAGTAGGTAGGTAATGAGCAGAGTGGAAGTTTTTCAGAAAACAAACTAGTGGGTATCATAAAACAAAAAAGAAAAGGCCAAAAAATACAAAGAAATACAGAAAAATACAACAGAGGGAATAAGATCCATCAAGCCTTCAGAGGCCCAACGCTAACCTTCTCCCTCTCCTTCAACTCCCGTTCATTTTCCGCTCTGATTTTCGCCTTCATCTCTCTCTCCTTGCGCTGCTGATGTTTCGTCCATCTTCCACGAGCACCATGTCTCAACTTGGTAATCATTTCCCCAGCCTTCCCTTTGGTAATCATGGCCGGAGTGAGTAAATTATCACTGGTCCGTAATTTGTTCAGAAATTTGAGCTGGCCCTCTGTGGCGGGGGCATTTTGCCATGGTTGATTCCGTAGGATGAGCTGGGGGATGTATTTCTTGGACGCGAAGGTGTCTGCCGCATGGACTGCGTCTTCAAAGGTCAGACATTTTGCTATTGTGCGTGGTCTTGCTAATGGGGAGTTCGAATTTCCGTAGATGAGCGTTGCCAACTCGGTGACGAGGAACATTTTCGTGTCTGTCTCGTCGTCGAGGACTAGTTCTATTTTGACATAGGAATTGCCTTTACCGCTGCTCAGAACGTAGCGGTCTGGTCCAACATTTATCCAGGAGTTTGGCGATAGGAGTCTAACATGTCGTTCAGCGGAAATGTCTTCAAGAAGGTCAAAAATGCTGTCGTAATCCGTGAACGTAACAATATTCGACACTGGCGATTGATCTGTTATTTTAGAAGGAGGAAATTCCGGTTTAATTGAATCATTCTCGAGTTCTTCGTCCAAATTACGATCACGGATTTCTTCCATATCCTCTGGAGTTGCTCCCTCAACCACTTCCAAAGGGTCGAGACCAAATAGGGTGGGCGTAGTAATAACTCCAGTGTTCAGACTTGCCACCATATCTATGATATGGCAGTTCTTTTTCCCTGGATGTAGCCTCATTCCTCTACCAATCATCTGAACAAGTAGATTACGAGATTTTGTAGGACGTGCCAATATCACACAATCGATATTTGGGATATCAGTACCCTCTGTGAAAACGCCACAATTAACGAGCACCGGAAACTCCCCACGTTTAAAGGCATCTAACGTGTCACTGCGTTCGGTCTTCTTGGTTTCACCAAGGATAAAACGAGCGTCTATGCCGTACTTTCGAAAAGTACTGACCAGCCCATGTACGTGGGAAATATCAACACAAAACGCCAGGGTAGATTTTCTCCCTTTTGCTTTAGTGAGCCAACTCAACACAGTAACTTTGTTTACTGATTCGGTGTTAACCACTTTTGAGAGTTCATTGGGCTTGAAATCGCCATTAGGAGCCCTTTGAACTCTGGATATATCTGCCTTGGTGTGTACAGTGGTAAACATGACATCTGACAGCCACTTTTCTCCAATCATGTCGATATAGTCCTTATGATAAACGATTTGGTCAATAGCAGAGCCCAACTTAAGTCCATCAAATCGTGAGAGTGTTGCCGAAACTCCAACAAGAGCAGGAGACGTGACCATTTTCTGCCCCAAATCAAAATGTTCCAGCGCCTTCCGATACCCTGGTGAAACGATATGATGTGCTTCGTCGACAAGCACAAGTTTAAAGCGATCGGCATCAAATTTGGCCAGTCGATCGCCGGATATAATACTGTATATGCTTGCGACTGTTATATCGGCATGGCCGCTCGCGAGACTCGAAGCCATCTCGATTTCGACGGATTTCGTGGGGTAGGCATTGATACAATGACGAGCAGCCTGCTCAACCAACTCTTTGCGATGGGCGAGAATCAATGTTTGGGTCGCTTCTTTTGTATGGGGCTTGATTCGGCCTATAAGCTGGGTGAAGATTACCTGGGCAGGTGTTAGTAACCATTGTACTCTTGCACGCTCATACCGCAAAACATACAGTTTTCCCACTTCCGGTGGCCAGAGAAATGCCCATTCGTTTGTGGCCTTTATCAATGTGGTCAAGTACAGCTTGTATGCATTCTTCTTGGTACTGACGTAGTCGTATCTTTAGTGGAAATTTTACAGGGGCAGGAGTCGCAGAGTCAACAGCAGTAGAAGTTGTGGCATAGCGATTCCATCTGACGGCCTGAAATATTGGCCTCCATCTGGGGATCCCAAGCTTCCACCTTCTCGATGCTGGTAGCATATCTTGTCGCATACATCGCCCTGAATGCCTCTGGTGGTGATGAATTGTCGTCTGTCGTTTGCGTTGCCCGCAGATCAGCCGCGAGATGCGGACCCCCACAGAGACCGTTGGGCAGGGGCTCGAGGTTCCAAGCGGCCATTTATTTTTTCCCCAGAACAAGCTTCTACCCCGCTGGTTACAACAACAGAAATCAACACTACAACTGCAGCCCGACAACTTCCAAAGTCACGCTTCTCTGCACTCCACTTTCGAACCGGTAACCTCATCTTTTGGAGTCTCGTCAAACCAGAAAGAATGCATGCTGCAATACCGAGGTATACATCTCGTGGAGGACGTCTCAAGCCAATCAACCAAGACAACCATGGAGACTGATGAATTTCAGGAAGAGCCGTTGGCATTTCCGGATGAAGATTCCGGATCAGCATATGAACTTTCAAAAAACGACCGAGCTTTGTCACAAGACGGGAGTCCTTTGCGGTCCCGAGCTACCAAATTCAGGAGATCGGAAAGTCATGCAAGTCGTGCAAGAGCAACCTCTAGTCTGTCTCGCTCACGCGCCAATTCATCGCCGGAGAGGGAATTATCTTTAACCCCCGGAGAGGAGGAGCGTCTGAACGCGCAAATTCGAGAAGACGCAATTCGATGGGCAGCAAATTTTCAGGAGCCTCAATCACCAAGTGAAATCAAAACTCCTCCTAGAAATCTCGCCACTAGTCGCAAGAGAAAACCTAGACAGTCGCCTGGGGCTGGGGTTGAGCTCAGAGCTAAACGTTTAAAAGTTTACTGGAACAACGATTACCGCGAATCACTTAACAATGAAATTCTTGATACAGTGAGGACAACCAATGCAGAAACTGTACCTCTTCTTCCAGCTAGTCAGATAGGGGCATCAATATGGACCTCAGAGGAGAAAAGCATTTTCTTCGATTCTTTGGCTCGGCTTGGAAAAGGAAACGTGCGTGGCATCGCAAAGCAGATTCGAACCAAATCTATTCTTGAAACTGATGAGTACCTACGACTTCTGCATCAAAGCTCCGTAGAAAGAGTAATGAAATCCGATACCGAGCTCAAGCTTTGGTTGAGTATGCCTACTGCAATTGAGCTCAGCAATGAATGTACCGAGATCCTCGAGCGAGCAGGGGATTCTCTTGCCATCAAACAGCAGCAAATGGAGAGGGTTACCGAAGAAGAAAAGTGGGGAGCAGCATGGTTGATTGACGAGTCCATCAGCAAACGACTCAGTAAACATAACCCAGGAGGGAAGAAAGCAAGCGCGTTTGATGAAGTTCTTCCAGCCGCCAATCTCTTTAATCTCAGGAACTGGGTCGAGTTATCAAGCAAGGTATTCATGAACCCGGCTGAGCCATACGAAGAGAATAATTGGCACAATGTAGCTGACGTTGGTGAAACTCCCGCTATTCGAGCAACGGCGATGGAGGATTTCCACTCTCTCGCTGTTAGTGTCACGAAACGATTGATTTCAACGACATTTTTCTGCACTATGTCAAGAGAGCGAGCTCTGGCTTCCAAAAAAGTCAAACACGGAAACGTAACGATAGATGATGTGGAAGCAGCTGTACGAATTCTTGGGATGAAATCAGATAGTCACGAATTTTGGTTAAACTGCGCGAGAAGATGCAAACTGCAAGTAATCGATGAAAACGACAAAGGCAGGGAAGAATCCATGACATACGAAGATGTGGAAGAAGAAATGAGAGCCCGCCGCCAGCGCTCATCCCGCTCCCGCTCTCGGTCCAGGAGTCATTCAGTTCACTCGAGGGTCCCTGAGCCTAGTCCCACACCTTCAAGTGCCTCAGACGTATCAATCCGTGAACTCGAAGAAGACATTCTTATCCCTTCAAGGGAGAGAGACTCGGACGAAGAGTCAGATCTTTCAGACAGTGACACAACAACCTACCAAGAATCAACCGCAAGACGCTCCCTGGCCCGACAAGAAGATGAGAAAAAACAAGATCTCTATATCAATGAATGCGATATCGAAGCCAGCAAAGCTGCAGAACTAGAACTATGGACGCTCCTTGGGCAAGAACCACCATTGGAACTGAATCTTGATGAGGTCCTTGAACCGATGAATACCCCGACTAGTCAGAGGATTTGGGAGGATGATACTGGAAATTGGAGGGAGAATGTTGAGTATTGGAGTTCGTGGGAGGTGTTTGACCGTCCTGTTCCCAAGGAGAATTTTGAGAAAAATAGGAAGAAGATTTCGAAGAGGGCGAGGAGGATTGCTGAGGCTGAGGAGGAGAGTAGCGATGATGGGGTCTCTGATGGCGAGGACATGCAGGTTGACGAAGAGAGTGCCCAGGAAGAAGTTGACCATCCACCAGTTAACCTCGACCCCGAAGCAAACTCCGACCAACCAGACGACGAAGAAGAAACCTCAGAATCGCAACCGTCCAACCCCCCAGAGCATGACGAAGAAACAGACGAGGACATCCCATCCCCTCACCCCACCCACTCCACACAAAACAACTCGCCTCAACCTCAAGAAGAAGAAGAGGAAGAACCACCCTCCGACTCACCCTCAGAAAGCGAGAGTCCCAACCCCCTCCCCTCTCCTTTCAAACACCGCGCGCACTCCGAGTCTTCAAGTCCCCAACCAGAAGGCTCCCTGCAATCCTCCATAGAAGGAGATGTAGATGTACTTATTAAATCAGAGGAGGAATGAATGAATGTATGGTCTTTATGAAAGAGAAAGAGATGTATAGTACTGCATGTATGTATGTACATAAATAGATAGAATGGTAAATTTGTACATGTACAGCAGGATCTTGCTTCGTGTAGATATTCTTAGCGTTCGGCATCTGGAACACGATTTCATGGATTATATGGAATTCTATTCTATATAGAACGTTCCAGGCCTTTTTAAAAATAGAATAGAATATTCTAGAGAAGAGGCCTTTGGAATTCTGGAATTCTAGGGGATATATATATATACTACTATATATTTATTTATTTATTGCTATTTAACGTCAAGCGGGGTCTAGCTCGCGTGGGCTAGGTCCTAGAAGAGTCCCAATATGGGCAAATGACGCTAGAGGGGTGCCCTAGGCTACAGGGGGTGTAAAAGAAGAGACGCTAATTTACAAGAGACAGTTTAAAGAGAAGCCCCACTTTCGGGACAGCCCTTGTCCTTAATTAGTTTTGAGAACCAGGGTACAACAAGTGAAATACATAAATCAAAGAAAGAAAGAAAAGTAGGCCAGCCTATCTAGGTAGACAAATCTTAGTGAAGAATCTAGTCTTAAAGTAGACCTTATTAAATAGCTCCTCGCAGCCGGGGCCGAGGAGCAGCTGAGGGTTCCTCTGAGCTTCTGCTAGTAGCCTAGGGGCTACGTTGTTTGCTAGCCTACAAAAGAGTAGGTGGATTCGAAGTGAAAGAAGCGAAGGTGGTAAGCGACAAAGTCTCCATGCCCAGAACGAGCAGCTATTAAGCGAGCTAGAACCTCCCTTGGTAATTGAAGAGACCGTGGCTTCAAAGACCAATTTTCAAGCCCCAGATCCTTATAGACAGCCGGGAGTGTAGCGCTCCAGACCTTCTTTGCAAGTCCAATCCCTGTTTCTTTAACCCCCCTCTTGAGCGTAGCAGTACAAAGTGGAGAGAGGGTATTAGAAGGGGGTATCCGCGCTGCTTTCCCAGCAGCTCTGTCCGCGATTTCATTGCCTAGGATACCTATGTGACTAGGATATATACTACTATATATAAGAATTCTTAATCTAGAGGGCTAGGTAGGAGCTGACTAAGCTGTAGCTTGTGACTAAGTAATAGTAATAATAGTATAGTTAAGTGAATAAAAAGTAGGATAAATCACGTTCTAATATTAAATATCCTAGATAGTATTAGGTAAGCCTAAAAGTAGGTTAAATATCTCTAATACGTATAGTTTATATATAGTAAAGCTAAGTATAAGCTACCTAGTAGTTAAACGGAGCGTAACAACTATCTTATAAATTATATAATTAGTTCTATTATAGAATTCTATAATTCTATTATGGAATATAGTATATTCTAGAGGTTATAATAAATGGAATGGAATATAATATTCTATATAAAAAGTCTAGAATGGAAAGGAATTCTAAATGCCGAACGCTGGATATTCTTGTTTATCTACGTACGTATTATGGACTATGGACGTACAGTGTGATGAACAAGTATGAAGTAGATAGATGGAGAGATATCTTGTTAATACTACATTGTACTTACTACTCACTACGTACTACCCAAAATCATAAATGTCAGCATCAAAAACAAAAACATCAGAAATTCAAATTCCCCAAATTCCCGGTATAATGCTCACATCTGACAGTCTCAATACCAGTATCACCACTCTCACTCCATCCCCTTCAGATCAAAATATCACTTCCAAAAGAAGAAGGCAGACTCCTCAATCAAGAAAATCTCAATTTCCTATGGTTACACATACAATCAATCTACCCGAAATCCCCTTGACAGAAAGGAAAAGGAAAGGAAATCATTAACACCCCCTCCCCTCCCCTCACTCACTCCCCTACCTCTCCTCTAAATAGGAAATCGAAGTAGAGCTAGTTCTTCGCAAAATACATAGAAGACCAGCCACCCACGCAGCCATCCACATCTCAATTTTCTCTTCCCAAAAAAGACGAGAAAATAGAGAGAAACCTCTTGATTTGTAATACCATCATATTTCACCCCCACCCCCATACCCAAATGACGCCTGGATGAATTACACATTGAATGGCATTTCCCCTGCCAGAAACCGAAAAAAGCTCAAATTTAAGCTAGCAAGCACACAACTCCTAGCAGATCCACAGCTTAAACATCATAACTCTTTACTTTTCGCTCCGGGTCTGCACTTGGTGGTTGGAGACTACCCGTCACCGGCTGTGCCTGTCCCGCCTGGAAAGTCAATCGGTCCGTCCCCATCACGACGTTCTGTGCCATCATGATACCCTCGTTACCGCCAGTGGCAGCTGCAGTTTTGAGTCCCTCTTGCACGGCGTGCACACGCTTTCTGAAGGCCAAACGATCTGCGAATAGTGCTTGACGACCTCGCTCCAACTCGCGACGCTCGGCTTGAAGAAGTTGCTCCATTTCATTAAACTGCTTGAGCTTCAAGTCCATCTTCATTAATGTTGAGTTGACAGCTGAAGATACGAGACGAGTCATTTCTCGCTCTTCGTGGGAGGCAAGTCCACCAGCTCGGGCAGCGACTGTAGCAAGCGGAACAGTGGCAAGAGCACTCAGGGAATTCATTGTCGTCGTGATGGTCGTTGTCGTAGTAGTAGTGGTAGTTTCCTGTCGGACATCAATTTCCATTGAATCCGAGGATTCCTTCTCCTTGCCTTTCTCGGATTTTGGATTTTCTAACTGGTTGCGGAGACTCTTCTTCAAGGCGTCCACGCTTTGACCAGCTGCAGCTGCTGTAACACTGGGCTCAGTGAGACCAGCAAGGAAACCAATGACAGACATAACTGGATTGTCGGCTTGACTAAATGGCAAATGTCCTTCTTGTGAGCCCAGCATGCTGACTCCAGTTGATTTGGCCAAGGGTTCTGTGTCGATAAACTTGTCCACAATTTCAAGCTGCAAGAATTGAATCACACACTCTTCCTTGTTTCGTGTACCAACATGTGCTGCAATCTCATTCCAATCCTCGTCATACCGCTCTAACGCCTCAAGAAGACGAAGGATCTCGCCATCATCCCAGGGAGCCTCACGATCAGGGATAGCGGAGTATGTTGGGTTTTCAATTTTGACGTAGTGTATTGCTTGGTGGTTGATCGGTATTCTTCCGTCTGTGAAGCAGTTTGCACACAAGTTGTGTGGAAATCTAGTGGCCGAAGTACCCGCAGAGTTCTCATGGGCGTTATGATAATAAACACGAGTGCAATCGATTCCACAGGTAAAGCAGTTGATTTTTGAAATTGGTTGCTTGATGGCATCCTCGAGAGTCGACTGGGGATCAGAAGTCCCATTTGTCGCCGGAGCGTCGCCATTGGCTTGCTTTTCTGACGATTTGCCACCAAGCTTGGTCTCCTTTGCCGATGGCTCATAAATATTACGTCCGATTTCCAAGTTCATCTCAGGCTTTGCACCTGTAGCCGACAGAGCCTTCTTTGCTGAGGTATCTGCATTTTCCTTTCCCTTGATGACGTGCGCATCTGTAGAAGGTTGCCAAGGCTGTAAACCACGAGGAGTATCGCAAATAACCTTGAAATGGCCAGTGAAGGGTGGTCCGACGTTTGATGGTCTTGACTCGGCATCAACCTATACGCATGTTAATTGGATTTGTTGACGAAACGAAGCTATGACAAGTATTTACCTGGTAATTGATGATACCCCATTGTTCCAGAAACGAGTGAACTCGCATTATGGCACACACATCCCCAGCAAGGTTTCTCCTACATGCTGTCACAGTCAAATATTCAATAGGGTTGAGTCGGTATGTGTTGATCATGAAATCGCGGTAATCTTTGTATATAGCTGGGGTCTTGCTTCGATTTCGGCTATTGAAGAACTCTGGCAATCCCTTCTTTTCAATGACATTAATAGTGCGCATATCAAACCAAGTAGCATAACTAGGAAGAACTATGGAGTGCGTCTGGGCAATGAGATGCTCTCTAGCTGTTGTCTCGATCGAAGATTTTGTTTTTTCAGCCTGCTCTTCTGTCGATCCAACCAAAGCTTGCTCTTGCCCTTTGACATTTGCCATTACTTCGTCTTTCGAGGCATCTCCATTGGGAGGAGGTGCATTTGGTGCGTCTAGAGGATTGTCAGAAATCACAGCAGGCGTTGATCCAGAGCTTTGACTTTTGATAGCAGCGGTGGATGGCTTATCAGCGTCTCCTTCAGTCATAGTGACATCAGCAGCTACAGAGGGTCAGTAAGTATGAAGCGAATGGCACAAGAGAAAAATCAATGAATACCTTCAGCTTGTCCCCCTCCTACGGATGGTGAAGCAGTCTCTCCCTGCAGTGGAGGCTGCGCCAATATAGAATTGCTTCCAGGCGTGGCACCAGCGGCGTCCGAGCCAAAGTTTAAAGAATCTTCCTCCATTTTAGAAAGGGTTGTGATGTTAAGGAATCTGTATTGTCGCAAAAAGTGTTCAGTTCTCGAAAGTCGTAGCCTTTTGCGCCAAAAAGCTCAGAATCCCAAAATGGGTTCAGCAGTGGTTTATATGAGTTGAATCGCAATATTTTAGGAATTCGGTAACCGAAGATGCGATGCGATGGAATTCGTTGATGCAGTCGGAATGGCTGCGCGTTGTTGAGTTGACGATAGATTTTCGGAGGTCGCGACTGCTTCATCACCAACGCGCCTGCTCTTGCGATTTGACCTGAGAGCTTAGGAATTGGGCACGTGATTTACGTTGGTGCCTGGCTTGTATTTTGATGTCTTGTATAGAAGGCAGACATGTGGCGTTGCCTCGGTTTAGCACTTAGTTAGATCATCAATTTCACTTCACGTTCACTTGAACCCAGCATTCAACCATACACCACAAAATGATGATTCCACGAATAAGCAACACAGTCCTACGCCAGGCAAGAAGTCAACTGGGGGCTCCGAATAGGCCAGTAGCAGTCGCATCACTATCAGCTTTCGCCCGATTACTTTCCTCCCTGGCAGTTTTGGAACAGAGGGATGGCAAACTTAACCATAGCTCACTTGGTGCAGTAACAGCCGCGCAAAAATTGGGAGGATCAATTACCGCATTCATTGCAGGTGGAAATATAAAAGCTGTCGCACAAGAGGCAGCAAAAGTCAGCGGGATTGAAAAAGTCATTGCCGTAGATAATGCTGCTTATGAGAAGGTGCGCTCATAGTCCTGCGACGATTGGTCTTTTCGTGGTACTAATACCTCTTAGGGATTACCAGAAAACTATGCTCCATTACTTGTTGAGAACATCAAGAAAGGAGGATTTACACATATCATCGCAGGCCACACAGCATTCGGCAAGAGTTTAATGCCCCGCGTTGCAGCATTACTCGACGTCCAACAGATATCCGATATCACAGGCATCGAAGACGAGAAGACCTTCGTTCGTCCTATATATGCGGGAAATGCCATCGCCACTGTGGAATCGTCAGATGATACCAAAATAATCACAATCAGAGGAACCGCATTCCCTGCAGCAGAGGCAGAGGGAGGTTCCGCTTCCGTAGAAGATGGTGTTGATTCAAAGGCTGAATGTGCTACGGAATGGGTGTCAGAGGAGCTGGCCAAGTCAGATAGACCTGATTTGGCTACTGCTGGAAAAGTCGTCTCTGGTGGTCGAGGATTGAAATCAAAGGAGGAGTTCGACCGAGTCATGCTTCCATTAGCCGACGCATTAGGCGCAGCTATTGGTGCTTCGAGAGCTGCTGTTGACAGTGGTTACGCAGACAACAGTCTGCAGGTTGGCCAAACTGGAAAGGTTGTTGCCCCGCAATTATATCTCTGTGCAGGTATTTCGGGAGCAATTCAACATCTTGCAGGAATGAAGGACAGCAAGGTCATCGCAGCCATCAACAAGGACGCTGATGCACCGATATTCCAAGTCGCGGATGTAGGATTGGTGGGGGATTTGTTTGATAAAGTTCCAGAGCTCACTGAGAAGCTCAAGCAGTAGTAAAACTAAATGTACATGGTATACAAGAAAAAATACACTTTTAGTCTAGTACGGCAAGCATTTCATCGATCGATGTGAACTTTTCGCGTTCTTTTCCAGCCAATTGACCCTTCTCCTTCTCAAGAGAATCAATTTTCTTCCAATCCTCCCAACTTACCCTTCGACAACCTCTTGATTCAGCTTCATCTCTTACGCCTTCCCACCCCAAGCCAGTACCATTACCAGAATTGAGGAATGGTACCTGTTCATTCCAGTCCATGGTAATTGACTCAGCTGTTTCGAATGCATTACGCATAGTTTTGTCAATATTGCCAGTTGGGCCACTCTTGACCCATCCTGCGCAGTAAATTCCAGGCAGTGATTTGGCAGTCACTGGCTCAACGACACGACCAAGACCATCATTTGGAATTACTCCATTTTTGTCATCAAACCGCAATCCCAATTCCTTGAAATCTGGAAGAGCTTCGGATTTATAGCCTATGGAGCGGAAGGCTAGCGATGCAGGAACTTCGATAAGTTCGCCAGTGCCAACAGCTTTGGCTTTGGGATCAAGCAAGTCTGTGCTTAACGTGGTCTTCTCGAACACCATGCTTCCTAGGCAATCTGGGGACTCTGTACTTCTGTTGACGGATATTGGTGCCATGCAGAAATCGAGGGACCACGATTTTGGTGCAGTCTCAACAGAGGCTATTCCACCTTTTTTCAACGCCTCGATCTTGCGACGTCGTGGACGATGCTTAATGTTCTTTGTTATCAGAGATAAATCTGGAATCATAGGCTCTTCCACAGGATGAAAAGCCACATTGGGTAACCTCAACAGTTCTCGAAGCTCTGGGAGTTCAAAAGCAGCCTAATGAATGCGGTCAGCAGCCTTTGCACGGTATCTACAGGGTGGAACAAACCTGTATAGGACCTCTTCGTCCGACAACCCTTACTCTCTTGACCTTGCTCTTTCTCAGTGTCTCGATGGCGAGACCGGTGATATCGGTCTTGCGTAATATATCAATATCCTGCAGTAGGATACGAACCACATCCATAGCTACATTCCCGTTCCCAATAACAATAGCTTCCTCCCCCAGTGAAAGATCTGGAGCTAAGTCCGCATACTCTGGCAATCCATTGTACCACCCGACGAAAGCACGGGCTGAATAGACTCCCTTCAAGGCATCCTCTCCTGGGATATTCAGAGCTCTGTCGCGAGATGCGCCATAAGCAAGCAAAACCGCATCGTAATGTGGAAGTAATGCTTGCAGGGGAAATGCTCCTTTCTGCTTCCCAATTGATACATTTCCAACAAAATTGAATCCGGGTGACTCGGCGACTTCTTCAAATATGTTTTGGCAGTTCTATTATCTAATTTAGCTCATGGTTCTGAATATATTTGGGGTGTTTATTTGTACCTTCACATCAGGATGATCCGGCGCAACACCAAAGCGAACCAAACCAAAGGGGACCGGCAACTGCTCGTACATATCTACCGTCGAATTCTCAATATTCGACATGACCTTCTTGGAGGTATAAAATCCAGCGGGTCCAGATCCGATGACGGCCATACGAAAAGGTCGAGCATTTTGGGTTACAGAGTATGCTCGTTGATGTATGGGGTTACGGAGTTTCCTAGGTAATATGGTCGCTCGGGGAGTCGAGGACCTTATACATCGTGTACATATCCAGAACTTCGTGGGGTTCATGGTTGTTGTGCCTTGAAGCTATTTACAAAGCTCAAGCTCCAAACTGGGGTGGAAGTGGAGACCTCGGCGCTAAGATAAGATCCGATAAGGAGGTTACTTTTTTTTCTTCTGCGTGCAACTGCTGCTCAGACACTACTTACGACCCCGCAATATCACTCAATGGCTTTTACCGCAGGTAGAGGAGGCAGCAGAGGCGGATCCCGAGGACGGAGAGGTTCTGAGGGGTTTTCTCGTGGTCGAGGCGGTGGTCCTAGAGGCGGCGCATCTCGTGGAGGCTTTTCTCGTGGAGGCCGTGGCGGTCCTAGAGGTAGAGGACGCAAGAGACCTGTGTTTGACAGCGCAAGATTAGCCCAGCAGAAAGAGGAGTATGTCATTTCTTGATTGGATACTAGGAATGAGAAGCTGACAACGTCCAGAGAAGAAAACCAAAAATCAGATTCAGAAAACGCATCTGAAGAGGACGAGGAAGCAGTGTCCAGCGAAGAAGAATCTTCTGACTCCGACGACGAACCACTTCCATCTGTGCGCCCGTATTCTGCATTAATACAAAGTCTTACAGCCGATGCGGGACCACAAGCTAAAAGGAGAAAGTTGGATCATACGTCAGTATCTAAGGTCGAGGAGGGGAAGGATGATGATGCTGCGGAAGATTCAGATATACCCGCAGAGGACGCCGACGAGGTCGAAGAAGAAGAAGAAGAAGAAGAAGAAGAAGAAGAAGAAGAAGAAGGACCAGATGCTGCGACTGAAGGGTTACTGGATGATGACGACGAAGACGAGGAGGAAGGGGATGCCTCAGATCCCTTCGAGGCATATTTCGCTGATCCGGACAATAATATTTTAAGTCAAAGACTTGAAGCAATACAAAAAAGTCGATGGGCAACGAAGAAATCGATCTTGCCCCGAGTTGGAAAGGCAGTGATATGTGTTCCCACAACTGATACGGATTTCCCAAGTCAGGCCTTGCCCAGTTCAGTTTCTGATCACAGTGATCTTAAATTGAAGCAAAAGTTGACTGGAGTTATATCTAAGCAAAAACCTACATTCGACGATTTGGAGAAGATTATCGCTTCGCATCTGTTTGGCTATCAGGATATATTATACTGCGAGCGAAAATCGTCCAATTCAGAAAATCTACGACGACTAACATGCTTGCATGCTATTAATCATGTTTTCAAGTAAGTCTTTTCTGACGGAGATTTATCTTTACACAGCTGATCTTCACAGAACCCGGGATCGTGTAATAAAAAACAATGCTCGTTTAGCCAAAGAAGGGAATGAAGACCTTGAGTTCAGAGACCAAGGGTTCACTCGACCGAAGGTTCTCATGATACTACCTACTCGTGAATCTTGTTGCAGAATGGTTAACACAATTACGTCTTTATGTGAACCAGAACAACAAGAAAACCGAAAAAGATTCGAAGATTCATATGTTGAGAAAGATGAGAAATTTTCCACCGATAAGCCAAGCGACTTCAGAGAACTTTTTGGAGGAAATGATGATGACATGTTTCGACTGGGACTCAAATTTACTCGGAAAACGATCAAGTACTTTTCGCAATTCTACAACTCCGATATCATATTTACAAGTCCCTTGGGATTGCGAATGGCTTTGGAAGGCAAAGAGGACAAGAAAGGAGATTCGGATTTTTTGAGCTCCATAGAAATGGTCATTGTTGACCAGGCAGACGCATTGCTTCAACAAAACTGGGAGCACGTGGAATACATTTTCGAACACCTGAATCTTCAGCCGAAAGAAGCTCATGGTTGCGACTTCAGTCGTGTCAGAAGTTGGTATTTGGATAACAACGCTCAGTACTTCCGACAAGTCATTGCACTCACTGCTTTTAACACGCCAGAGCTTAACACTTTATTTTTCAACAAGTCCAAGAATTGGGCTGGGAAGATCAAGATTAACGACAACTACAACGGTGCCATTCAAGAGCTAGGCTTGAAGGTCAAGCAAACCTTTTCTCGATTGGAATCGCCTTCTTTTGCCGACGACCCAGATGCTCGTTTTACTTACTTCACAAGCGTCACCATTCCGGCGCTGACACGAAGAGCGAAAGATACCATGGGAACCGTCATATTTATTCCATCCTATCTAGACTTTGTCAGAGTGAGAAACTATTTTCTGACATCACCCTCAACTAGCAGTCTGCCCTTTGGAAGTATATCAGAATACACTAGTGTAAGGGACGTTGCGAGAGCCAGATCTCATTTCTTTAGTGGACGACACAGTGTATTGCTATACACAGAGCGAGCACATCATTTCAGAAGATATCAATTGCGAGGAGTCAGAAAAGTCATCATGTATGGATTGCCTGACAATCCAATTTTCTATAACGAGATGGTTGCTGGCTATTTGGGGCGAAGTGTGCAAGAAGGTAAAGTGGCACCTGGAGAAGGAACTGTCAGAGCTATTTTCTCCAAATGGGATGTACTGAAATTGGAGAGAATCATTGGCACAGAAAGAGTGGCCAAGATGATCCGAGATAAAGGGGATACCTTCGACTTCCTGTAGAAATAAAAGTGTCATAGTGGATCCATAAATACAATTAAAAGCCCAGAGCAAAACACCTCAATATGCAATGCTTCTGTATCTGTACAAAAAGTTCCACACTCATACACAGCATCCATTCACAAGCTCCATTTTCATACATTTCCACCCCATCTCTTCTCCGTACTTGCAGCGTTATCTCTCTCTCCAACCTTCAGGTCTCCCATCTTCTCAACCATATTTTCCAATTCTTCCTCTCCACCAGGTCTAAACCGAGTCACCTTGTCGAAATTCCTCGCCGTCATCTCGCCGAGTTTCTTCCCCTCGCCCCGCTCCCGCGCAATCGTCCGCGCTGTCATGGCAAACCGGATATCTTTCGGTCCGTCGACTAATTCGAGGATCGCTGACGGCGCCATATCAGGTTTCTGGGGCTCGATGCGTAGGACGCGGGTATAACCTCCTGGACGAGTCGCATATCGTTCTCTCAGCGACACCCCCCCATCGGGGAGGGGACCAAAGAGTTTGGGGAGTAGTTCATATGGTGTCTATCCTCCAGTCAGTATCTATATTATCCTAGCTATTTTTATCCTATCCAAAAATCTGCTTTTGCGCAAAAGACAAGATGGACGTACGTAGAAGATCTCTATCGCTCGTCTCCTACTCGCTTCCGTGTTTTTCTTCCCTAGCGTGATGACTTTCTCGGCGAGACGCTGGGCTTCTCTTGCTTTGGGCCAGGTCGTGGATATGGATTCGTGTTTGATGAGGGAGGTTACTAGATTGCGGAGGAGGGCTTGTCGGTGCGAGGAGGAGCGGTTGAGATGCCGGTATTTCATGTGACCGCCTGCCATTTTGAGGGTTTGGGTTGATGTATGAGCTCTCTTCTTTTATCAATTGATTGTTCTTCTTCCTATTTCTCGTGTCCAGTCGAATCGAAGGCGTGGGGTTGGGCGATGTTGAGGGCTGGCGCGCTGGTGTCGATATTTGGGTGTTGGTTGGAAAAAAAGAGGTATTTGGGCACGGACCACCCCTTATCGAAATTGGGGCTTCACTATATTTCATGGACGATTTCAAGTTGCGGGTAAAGTTTTCATGAATCCTACGATATACCTACAATCTTAAACGTTGAAATATAACGAAACTCCCAATCGTTTCTTGAGAGCGAAATTGACTTTCAAATATTACCCAGGATACCTGAATTTCTGTTTGTAGTCCAGGTAGGCAGGAATTTTCCTACGCAAAGCTGGCCTTGAGGCTAGCAAACAGAAGCCGTTAACTCATTGGAACCCATTAGTATGTCAACTATCTAAATAGTGTGGAGTCTCTGATATGAGACTTTGATGTGAATTAGAGAGCGTACTCGTATTGCTCTTGAGGTAGGGTTATATATTTGACAAGATAGAGTAAAGAGGCAGGGTAGCTTTCTCTCTTCTAGTTGATTTGTTCGAGAAACTGACAAATTAATCTAAGATTCTAAAACAGTCCAAGTAGTTATCGAAAATGTCTAGGTTGATATCTCCACTTGCTCGGGGTTTTTAGAACTACTTAATCGGGCAGAGTGGCACAACATGGGATCTCGATCCTTCGTATAGTTTGCCGAGCGGCTAAGCGGAGTTCTTTGGTTGGTTGGGGTCGCACGGTTGTCATATCAACAACCCGCACCGTACGGGAAAAAACAAAGTGGAGAAGATAAACACGATGACGAAGGCTTGATTAGCTTATTCCCTGCTACCTTTACCTCTGGCCACATTCCAGACACCAATCGGTCTCTACATTCCTAGGATTCCTCCAGCTTGTCTCTCGTTCTTGAGATAATGGGTTCCTCAGCTCCTTACGTGTACAATGCCATCCGGACACACGATCCCAAGAGCCCCCAGAAACCATTCGATCCCAAGGCGGTAACTCGGGCCAGTCAAACTCCCAAACCCCCGCGCAAGAAACAAGAGGGGCCCTTGGTGTCTTTCAATCAGCATCCCGAGTAAGTACCTGGGATATCTCGCCCTCAATTGACTTTGTACTTATACTCATGTGTAGTTCCTTCTTAATACTTCCCTATGGAAACACGAATCCGATTCTGATGAGCCCCTCGGTCAAGGTTTGGGTGAAATGGATGAGGATTGTCCAGCTGGTTCTGAGATGCCTTCAAATATTATGCGCTGGGGCCCTGCTGGCATTTATGATCATGATTAGAGGCATGGATGAGGCAACCGGCTGGATGATGCGCATTGCTGTAGGCCTCCAGTCAATTGGCTCGATGAAGCACTCGCTAACGTTGATTTAAAGCCTGGCGTTGCCATTCTCCATACATGCTACGCAATCTGTCACCTCGCGCGAAGATCAGCTGGTCGAACACCAGCTTCCTCCGCCAGCTACATGATCTTCGCATCATTGTTTGACGTTTCTATAATACCGTTCTATGCTTTCAGCGCACTTGTAGCATATAATCACCAAACCACTATGGGAACATGGACGATCATTTTGTCGGATCAATCACTTACCTTCACATTTTCAAAGATAGTGTTTCTAGTCGCAACTTCCGGTGGAGGTTTACATCTAGTATCTTTGGCCATTGGATTATATCTCGCAGTCACATTCAGAAAGATTACAAATCTACCACCAGACATGAACCCTCTGGAAGACAATCTAACATCACGTCATGGCCACAAGCGCAACAAATCATCCGTCTACACAGAGTCCACAGGCTCCGGAAACAGAATGTCAACAGCAACAACTGCCGTATCAGAGAAGCGCCTTTCAGACCCATTAGAAAACAAACGTAGCTCCGGGGCCGTTTACGAAGACCTGTCCCGCCCCCCAACGATCCCTTTCTTCCACACCAGAACCCAGTCCAGCGATTCTGTCTCAACCTACAAGAGCACGCCCCCAGGATCCAGAGACTCCCGCGTAGACCTCCCAAGCAGACAATACCAAGCTTTCCGCGTAGACCTCCCAAGCAGACAATACCAAGCTTTCCGCAACACCAACGGCCCCTCTAACACAGACCTGAAGCGAAGCTCCATGTACGCCGGTCCCTTGCCCTCAACACCCCCAAAACGGCAATCCTACCAAGAAATCCCGCTTTCAGATACCTCCTCTGCAACCAAATCTTCAAACCGGAAATCAGGCAACATGTCCCAAGGCTGGTACGTCTCCGACTCCCTCGGCAAACGCCACCGCAGCGCGTCCCCCCAAAAAGAAGGAAAAGGATCCTACGCACCCATCGCCCAACCCTACGACTCCTCCGACGACATCTCATCCCACCACACCAATCCCCTCGCCGCGAATCCTCCCACCCCGCGTCACAGCCACAATCCCAGCTACGCATCCAACAACTATACGTACAAATCGCCTTCTCATGAACTTCCTGATTCGCCCGCAAGCCCCGTCAAAACAGGTGATATCGCGGATATGTCTGCAGAGAGGGATGAAGCGGCGAGCAATTTCAGGTCGAAGTATTATGGGGACTTGAAGACCGCCACGCCGCCAATTATGGTGGGGAATGGTCGAGAGGTGAGTTCTGGGAATGACTTTTTGAATCAGAAGGGCAAGTTTAGGGTTCGGGATGCGAGTGGGAAGATTGCGGAGGAGGGACGGGGTGGATGGGCGACTAGGTATCGGAAGGTTACTGGAACGTGATGTGAGTAAATAGTGCGATGTGTATTGTCTTATTCATGTTTAATGTTTTTGGCGTTTATGTTTGGGATGTGAGTTTGGGGAACGAAATGATTGGATATGAAGGCTTTATTATTATGCTAGGAATCTGGGTATCTATGGAGGAGGCGTTGGGCTTTTTTGTATGTACATTGCCAAGAAATCGAGTGGTGGAGATACTATGTGTGTCGGACGTTCTTTCAAAAGCTCTCTTCCAAGATACTGGTAACACCTTCTCCCATTTCGTCATCACTCACAAATAGTTCTTGTTCTCCCTCTTCCTCAACACCATCCTCAAACCCCTCTCCATCCTCCTCTTCCTCAAACTCCCCCTCCTCCCCATCCGACCCCTCCCTCG